TTTGCTGCATCAAATGGCCATGACGCTGTGGTCAAACGGCTTCTCGAGACTGGCAAAGTTGATCCAGATGCGAAGGATAATGATCGAGAGACACCGCTGCATTTTGCTGCACAGCGTGGCCATGACGCTGTGGTCAAACGGCTTCTCGAGACTGGCAAAGTTAATCCAGATGCAAAGGATAATGGTGGAAAGACACCGCTGCAATTTGCTGCACAGCGTGGCCATGACGCTGTGGTCAAACGGCTTCTCGAGACTGACAACGTTAATCCAGATGCGAAGGATAATGATGGAGAGACACCGCTGTATTCTGCTGCATCAAATGGCCATGACGCTGTGGTCAAACGGCTTCTCGAGACTGGCAAAGTTGATCCAGATGCAAAGGAAGGACAATTCTGGATGGACACCGCTGTTTGTTGCTGCAAGGTATGACCGTGACCCTGTGGTCAAACGGCTTCTCGAGACTGGCGAAGTTGATATAGATGCGAAAGATACCAGTGGAATGACACCGCTGGACTTTGCAATCGAATATGACAACATCAGCATTGTGAATCTGATCAAGGAGGCAAAGAAAAAGAAAGAGCTGGGGAAACCTTGGAATGAACCTGAATGTCTAGAGCCACATTTGGTGATCGCAAAGGGTCTCTAGATCAGGGGTTGCTGCCCAGGTGTCACTTTACCAAATGTCCGAATCAAACCTTGGAACCTTGGAAGAAGAGATTCTCAGAATGATACGCTTTACTGAAGCTAGCAGAATTTGCCATCTGCAACATAAATTTGTGATGCATAAGCTCACGCTTTGAAAGGGCTAGGGTCAGCTACCTAGGTAGTCGTTATTTCGATGTGATCACTCGTAATTGTTAAGATCTGCCTTCACAACGAGAAGAAGATTTCTGAAGAGGCATCGTGGCGCCATTGTACCGAATTCCAAATGCGTTCGTAGACAGAGAACGAGAAGACCTCTACCCTCTGTGTGGTGACTAGTGACATCTGTCGCGGCCGTAGCCCGAGTGCGCTTGAATGCGCGTCGAAGAAAGTGGTGATACTACCCATTTGTAGAGGGCAAATAGCCCCAGGTTCGATTGCGGTTACAGTGTAGTGTAGTGAGCAGTGCAAGGACCAGTGAAATATCATACCAGGAAATAAATATGTAACATAGTAGATTCGATTTCAACCTTGGAAGGCGCCTATGTCCCTTCGCAGTTATTCCATAATTGTAGTACATCTGAATCCTCAGGTGTTGAAAATCAGGCCCTGAGAAAGTTGGGGTCGAATGAAAGTGGTTGCGCGCGAGGTTCCTGGAATCGTTTGGGCTTTCAGCAGGTAAATGAGAACCTGAGGACTTCAGGGCCATTTGAAACAGTTGGAAACATGAGAGGGGCACTCCGGGGCCTCAGTCCACATAACTGTATCCGACGGCCTCAGGAGTAGAGCTAGTGACATATCACAGATGAATATTGGTAGTGGATAGATGTAGTTCGAAGTCAAGGGAAGGGGTCAAGAGACGGAAATAGAGATAAACCTCCGCACCGGCACCTAAGCCCAAAGCCCAACCAAATCACCAAGTGAATTGGATTTGGTGGCCGTCCTCGGGCCCACAGGTGGGCTATGGGTCCCGGGTTAGGGCCCATTGGGCGGGTTGCCGCCAGTGAATCCATACTGTATGTTTTTTAGTGAGTTATTGATTTTTAGCCTGCAAAGTGAAGTAGTAGGAGCGCGACGGCAGTTAAAAGTCGTAAACAAGATGATAGGATGGGCGAGCAGCAGGCGGGAATAAAAGCTCAAGCCAAATGGAGCAATGGACGTTGTGTTCGCTTCCTCGTTCCGTTCCAAGGTTTCGTGGACTTCCCGACAGCCGTGAAAGGGATCCAATGTGAGAGGAAAGGGCAAAGTCTGAATGTTGTCCAAGTGGCTTTAAGATTAGTGCCTGAAACCTCAGGTGTTAATTTCTATATTGGGCGAAAATGCATTGAATATTCCTTGGGCAATGATCGACACGAGACAATACGAGTCCGAGATCAACCATTTCACTGGTTTGGATTTCTTACATGAAGAAAAAAGAGCCTGGTCACTCTGCCTCAGTGATGACGCCGTGATCAAACCACCCGCCATTTTCCCATTCCTTAGCCTTGGGAGCGCCTGCGCGAGCCTCGGCATCATGTGTGCCAGCCAGCAGTGTGTTGAGCCTTGAAAAGTCAATCGGTTTCATGACCCAGCCATCAAACCCGGCATCAATGTAATCCTTCTCGTTCTCTTCGGAAATAGACGCTGATACTGCGAAAATGGCGACCCTGCTTGGTGGACTGTCTTGATTTTTGTCTGAAGATGATGAGTTGTTGGACTCGGCCTCGCGGATCATGGTTGTAGCTGTCATTCCGTCGACAATGGGCATCTGTGAGGATCAATTAGACAAGGCCGAGAGGATATATTCTGAGGCTTGGCATGTACACACCTGAATATCCATGAGGATCACATCGGTGGCTTGGCTCCCGGACGAGAATTCATCTACGCATGCTTTGCCATTGGTGGTAAGTCGGACTGAATGGCCGAGTTTAGTCAATCTTTTCTCCAAAATCTTGCTATTGACCGGATTGTCTTCTGCAACGAGGACATTCAAGGTCTTTTTTCTGGAGGGTGTAGGTGATGCACTGTCTTTCGACATCGCGGGACGTTCTTGAGAGCTTTCCTCGTCTGGCCTTTGTTGTGGACTTGGATGCAGGGTATGTATGTGCTGGGCTTCATCAGGCTCTATGAGGAGACGTGAAGGTCTGTGATGGTTTTGATCTATGCTGACCCGACGATCAGGAACGGGGTTGAGTGGTAGGGAGTGTTCGTGTGGAATAGGTTGACCCTTCTCATCAGAGTCAGGACTAATGTGGGATTCCGGGTCCATAGCTTCGGTTTGACTTTTGTCATCACCAAACATCGAAGTGATTTCTCCTTCCAGCATTGACGGTGATGCTGGCATATCAAGATAATCGGTGCTTGACTGGTTCTGCGAGAGCGTCGAGGATGAATCTCCTGGAAGTTGAAATGGGAGAATAATTTTGAAACGACTGCCTTTGCCCTCTGTAGACTTGACAATGAGCTGTCCACGCATCGTGTGTACGATACGAGCAGTCAATGCAAGACCGATACCCAGGACACGATTGCTTTCACCGTCTGAATCTGCGTCATCATTCCCGCGTCCAATCCAATGCTCATCCGCGTACACTTCTTCAAGTTCACGAAAGAGCTGCTCGAGTCTAGCTTTCGACATACCTGCGCCTGTGTCGACAACTGACATCTCAAGTGATGCGTGGTCGTCATCGGCATCAGATACCTGGGCCTCAACGCGCACACCTCCTTTTGATGTATTTTCGATGGCATTCGCGATAAGATTGACGAAAATCTGGCGCAAGCGACGCTGATCCCCGAAAACTTTATCTGGAAGTTCGGAGCGCACTTTGAATGTGTAGGAAATGTCTTTTCGCTTGGCTTCCACAGCCAGCATCTCGAAAGCATCATTCAGCGTGGGCTCCAGCTCGAACGATTCATTCTTGACAAGCTGCTGTCCACTTTCAGTCGCAAGGTCAAGAAGGTCATTGACAATGTAGACAAGAGACCGGGAAGCTGAGTGTGAGCGGATCAAGTTGTCACGAGTTTCCTGATCCAAAGCACCTTCCATGGCAATCTCCAAATAGTTGATGATTGCATTCAACGGGGTGCGTACTTCGTGGGCTGAATTGGATAGCAGCAAGCGCGTAAGCTGGGAGTTCTGCTTGAGAACTTCTTTTTGTCGCCAGACTTGAATAAACTTCCCGTAGACAGATCCGAGTATAGCGGCTGTGGAAATATCCTGTTCAGACCAGTGCGTTGACTCGCTCAAGACGATCTCACGGTATTCTTTGAAGCTTTGACGCGGTGTTAGGGGCCCAATACCAGCGCCTGCGGGTTTGTGCGGATTTCCAGCCCAATTGATTATGGTCATTTTACCAGCACGGAAGAAAAGAATGAACTCGGACCCACCAGGGCCCATCGGAACACATAACAAGCCCGATATCCGTTTCAGTCCCGGAGGGAAAGCAAAGTCAGGGAAGTCTTTTCCGATATCGTGCGAAGAGAGGACTGATGTGATCTTTCGTAAACGGATGTATTGTAAAAGAGCAAGCGCCTCTTGAGAATTTGACTTATCACCGAAAAGCTTAGCTTCATTCCCAATGGAGAGTATACCGAAGTTAGCTTGGAAAAGCCGCAACAGGTCGTCTGAGGTTCCGACGATGTATTTTGATGGATCGGCTTCTTTCGGAACAGAATCCATCATCACGCGAGCCTGGAGGTCAGAGGCGTGGTTGATACGTTCGATGTTTCGGGCAACTGTGTCTCCGACCAAGCGACATAGTTTCCGAATTGGGAAGGAAACCCGCATACCCTGTTCGCCGTATGAATGGCAAGAAATGAGGCCCCAAAGTTTGTCGTACGCATTGATACTGATGGACATTGACGAACGCACTTCCATATTCGCAAGGTATTTCGCGTGAATTGGTGACATGGCTCGAAGGTAGGCATGGCTCATGTCGAGGGGCGTTTCTAAATCCTCAAAAGTCCGACAAACCAACCGGGCAGTGACATGATCTCGGTCGTAAAGTAGTCGGACTTTGTTGATTTTGTAGAGCTCGCGGGCCTGGGCTGGAATGTCGGAGGCGGGGAAATGAAGGCCTCGATACAAGTCCAGAGTAGCATCCGGGTCCATCAACTCAGCTACTACCCGGCCATTCGCTCGGTGGTCGAACTCGTAAACGAGGACTCGGTGGAATCCGACCAACTCCTTGACAAGACCCGCAGCAACTTGGAGTAATGTGTCGTGGTCTGTCTCCTGTGCAAGCTGCGCTTGGATCTGAGAGAGTGTACCAAAGACTTGTATTGCGGCAGCTTCGCCCTTTCGCCGCCGTGCGTCACGTATAGAGCGCACTGAATTACTTGCGCTGGTTGTGCTCTTAAAATATTGTTCTTCACTTGGAGGCGGGTTTGTTCGTAAAGTATTCGTGGGAGTCGCCGGGAGATTTTCACTCTCAATGTTTAACGGGTTCAGTTGGTCGTCCTCCAACTCAAATTCGCAAATGATGATATCCTTGTTTTCCTGGCTAACATGGGTCGCACACCAATATCGGGTCAGATTACCGGTTGTTCCTTGGATTGCAACGAGAAAAACCTCAGGGCCATCGATAGTCAGGTCATATGAGTCGTCTCGAACGTTGTCGAGGTGTTCCAAAAAGATGGCCTGTTGGTCTTCTTTCAAAACATCAGTGAAGCTTTCCATACCAAACAGGCTTTGCGGTGATAAGCCCATTATCTTTTCGGAATTTTCGCTGACAGCGCGAACGACCAGTTGGTTAGGCGATTCCTCTCTCAAGGCAACCAAGACCCCGTAACCTTGAATGGCACCGGGGGTGCGGATGGGCTCATCTTCGCAACGTTTGAGAGTCTTCTTGCTATCACCGAGCATCACAGTATGCCCATTCTCCGAAAATGCGTGCTCGAACCGGGAGGTTACGTATGCTTGGTTCTCTGGCGGTGCCGACTCTCTACTTTCAGGCTCTATGGGGCCAAAATATTCCCTGGTATGATCGAGATCTCCAGTGGCGGGCGTGTTCGAAGAAATTTCATCGTTGACAGAAACACTCTTCTGCGAGACTAAGGGGTTGAAGTAGTTTGAAGGGGGATTCCTTGAGTGGAGAGGTGCATTTGTCGCCGGGATCGGTGGGTCCTCGGGCTGGCTTGAGGCCTCAATCACGTCCTCCAGTGCTGGCGGCGATGAGACATACGCTGGGTTCATTGATACCAGGGATCGAATTGGATAAATGCGCTCGGAGCCGCTAAGGTTGGTGCTCGACACACGGCCATCACCTTGGCTCGAGGACCCGTTTTGACGGCCATCGGAAGTGGTCTGGGCATTGGAACTCGTGCGATTCGAATTGTTCAAGCTCGTTTGTGAGACTTGTGAGTTTTCTGGATTCGAGTTGCCCACGCTTGATTGTGAGGCTTGTGAGTTGTCCGGGTCGCATCGGTCGGAGGTTTGCGAGCTCATGATGGCGGACTGGATCTCGGCGGGAATACTGATCCGAGGGAATTGTTGTCCTGGCGAGAAGTTTGCAATTGTTCCCGGCGCTCCATTGTGCTCGGAAGATGAATCGTCTTTTGATTTTTGGACCAAAAATCAAGGAAATGTCGAGGAGCTCGGTGAGTCGCGGCAGTAAACCAGAAATCCAGAGCCCCGCCAGATCTGGCCAGATCGGGCATAGCGTGCCGATGCTAGTCTTGGCATCCTCCTCAAAACAACTCTCTTGGGTACAGTACTCTTGGGGGTTGGGAGTGAGCGAGCTGAACGGGTGAGCAGAGCTGTAAGAGCTGGCCCCGAAGATGATGGTATGATCACGTGACTATAGGTACAAAAGGCAATCACCCCTCGTCTCATCCTGCAACACACTCGGTCCCAAGCTCATTCCGCTCTCAACGATTAAAGATGGTCTCTCCCTTTCTGGATCTCTCTGGAGAATCTATTCCTCTGAAGCAAGTCCTGGGATCCGGATCTTCGGCGGTTGTGGTACTTCATGACGGCTTGGCCGTCAAGATGCCTCTGAGATATTGTTGGAGCTCAGATGTACAGGTTGAGATGAATATTGAAGTCATTCAACGTGAACAGGATGTCTATCGTCGTTTCCAATCATCGAATACCCAATGTGGTGGTATTGTTAATTGCATTGGTTTCACGAAAGAAACCACCAAACTGGCTTATATGGCAAATGGAGATCTTCGCGCGTATTTGGAAACCAACCAGCCATCTCAACAGCTCCAACTCTCTTGGTTTCGCGACATGGCTCGTACGCTCGAGTATATCCATGACCAACGTGTGCTTGTGGCAGATATTGCTAGTCGAAACTTCCTTCTCGATTCAGACCTTACAATTAAATTCTGTGATTTTTCCGAAGCGTCTCTTCTACCGTTGGATGTTGATATGGATACTTTTGATGATAACGGATATACGACTCGAATCTATCTCGGCTTCCTTGGGGCAGTAATTTATGAAGTCGTGACTGGCAACAAATGCAAAATCGACCTCTTCAAAGACAATCTGCCAACTGATGGTCGAGCGACCTGGCCGCAGAGACAATTCCTTCCCAGTACTGAGAATGTTTGGCTTGGCTCAATCATCGAGGACTGCTGGGTCGACGGAGGATTTCGACACGCTCGTAGCCTGCTACGAGCACTGGATTCAACCGCCCTACCTTCGCCAGCCCTCTAAGTTCCGAACGAAAGGCCTATACTAACGAAAGGTTTTTGTTTCATTCTAAAGTTCGTCGATGAGCGGCCAATAGTGACGCTGGTAGTCATTCTTGATTCCTTGGGCACGCTGGCCCTATATATTAATAGAAAGCAGCTGTGAGTTGGACTCTGTCACAAATGCATCTCTCGGCAATCGATATACTTGGATGTGTGGAATATTGTTCCAATAGCTACGGTAGCTCCCTCTCGCTGTGTTGAATGGACGCAATTTCTAGGTCCATGTAATTCCATTATAACCCAGGAGCTTTCCTCGTCATCAGCCGGGTTTATGACAAGCTGTGGGTATACTATACCTAGGTATCTCTCTCGAGTGAGCCGGGGTTTGTGGATTTGCGTGGTCCCAATTAGGTTCAACGGGGAGCCTTGGCACCTTGGAAGGGGCTAGCGAGGTACCGAAATTCCCTTTTCAAGTTGGAAGGTCGCCTACATATCTTTCGTTCGCCTTTCTAATCCATGTCAGTTTGCCTTTTCTATCCTGGGGGTGTCAGGAATAAGCTCGGAGTACTGTCTGATGAAAACTTGGAAACCAGGTCAAATAAATGCTAGAACGCAAAGGCCCTTTTGCTATAACATAATTCACGGAACGCAAAGTCGAACGCAGATGCATACTATGCCCTTATCACATCTTGAAAACGCGCGTGAAGTAACGAAGCTCGGAAAGAAGTGCATATATTGCAAGATTATCTCCACAATCAACAATTAAACAGCGCCGTAGGCTCACAAAGGCACTCTCTGCTTTCTCCTCCTGATCATTGCCTTGGCAGTAGGATCGGTATCTGTCTCCTGACCAAAAGACTTGTCCGCTTTACGACCCTCAGCAGTGAACTTCCAATCATAGTTCATGAGCAGGAAGATCAGGATAACCTTGATCTCATTTGCAGCAAAGAATCGTCCGGGGCAAGCATGCTTGCCGTGACCGAAGGCAAGATGCTCGGGTGCAGTCGAGACAAATTGTCAACGCTGCTCCTGTCCTGGCTCTTGGCGCATTTGCAAAAACCTGTCGCCTTTGTAGCTATGAGGATCGGGAAACACACTTGCATCGTGCATCTTGCTGATTTCAACCATCGTGAGAGCCCCTTTGGGAATTTGGGTACCGTCTGATAGCGTGACGGGGCTTACAGTCATGCGGTTCATTGCAGCTAGACGCAGCAGGTGGCTTGTTAGCAAGTTGCTGCACGAAGAATTCAAGGGGGTTAAAAGGAATGCGTACCAATATCACCCAAGTGGTGTCTTTGTGACTCCTTCATCGCACTATCCATAAGCTTCAAATCCTGCAATGCCTTCTTCGACCAACCCTTGCCTGCCAAGGCCAAATTTATTTCCTCGCGCAAGGGCTCAAAGTACTCAGGATTGGCACACAGGTCGCTGATAAGACCGCTTACCATTTCGGTCGTTGTGTGAATAGCTGCAAGCGAGAGGCCAATTTGAGCAACTGCTGCGTCGTACGGCTTTCCCTTAGCCGCCTCATCCATCCACCCGATTGTGTCGGCGACCTTGGATTGACTTTCTCCGCGCTCACGGCGCTGGCGATTTTCATCTCGACGTTTCTCAATCACCGGCTTCAGGATCTCTCGTGCTTGCGCAAGAGTTGCTCTCAGTTGCCGGCACTCTGGGAGAAACCAGTGGACGATAGGACGGAGGGTAAAATTCCATTGTCTTAAGGTGCGGGCGGCAACGAAAGCAGCAACGGCGTACTCTGTGCTGATGTTTCTCCAATCCTCGTTTTCGCAGAGCTCAGGGCCGACAAAGACGCGTGAGGAAATGCGAGAAACCAACTTGAGAAGTTCTGGCTTGTATGTAATTTCTGTCCAGTCTGAAAAAATATCTCAGTCGAAGGAATCATGAAAGGCTAGGAGAAAGCCACTTACCCTCCGGATTTCCGAAAAGTTCATCGACAGCTTTCTCTGTTTCATCTGCAAGCTCCTCGACGATGAGGTCTGGAGTAGGAGCATCATTAGTTGTGCTTTTGGGTGAGATGTTGAAAGAAAGCTCTCACTGAGTGATTGTGTAAGTCTGCCTTTCACGGTGTCTACGACAACTTGTGAGGAGCTGTTCAAAGCAAAGGCTTCGAAGCCGGGGTACGACCCGAAGAATTCCTGTTTGATGTATCAGACAGAGCTCATGAATCAATAGCATTAGGACAAATGATTATCAACGCACAGCGGATATAGCACTACCGAAATCAAACCCAGGGTGGTTGCGGATCTCGTGTGCAAATCGATTAGGCAGGACAAGCTTAGGTCCAGTCTCGGTGAAGACCTGGAAGCAACCGGTGAACTGGGAAGGATGTCAGTAGCAATCGCAAGATTTGACACTTGGACACTTGCCTGTGCCAGACCTTGGTCAATAAGGTCTTTTCCATGTGCGATCCATTGCTGTTGGGCCTTGGCCAATCCACGAGAATAACCATCCTTCATGTCGAACCCGATTAGAGGATACCCGGTATGGACTTGTGGTCCAGAGAAAGCTCCATAGAGAACAATGCCCAGAGCCACCACTATGAGGATCCGAAACGCAGAAGACTGCGGGATATCAATAACAAGCTCGAAAATCATTTTGGCATATACTGGGTATGCGGGTAGTCGAAAGCGTATTTTGTTTTCGAAGCATGAGGCGATACTTCGCAGAAACCCCAACAGGAACGCAGCATTTATATCTTAACCCATGGAAACTAAAACAGTACATGTCGCTTTGGGTGTCAACGATGCCCCGTAAATGCCGTCAGTGAGACCCGCTTTCGGGTTCCGCGAACTCCGTGATGCCGCTGCCAAGGATGCGTCGTGGGAATTGTACCTTCACGGTTTTAACTTGTGTTATATTCAAGATGGTTTGATCGCTAGTTTCGAATAGCCCATCATCTGCCGATTGAAAGATAATCAGCATCCAAGCCCCGGATATTGCACCTAACTAGATCCTCCGGTAGGCTGCTCTCCTCGAAGGCTGCCGTTTTCTCGTACACTGGGAAGATTATGACAAGGCATGGGCCCTCCCTGTATGGTGCAGATTTGCATCTTCTCGCGGTCATAGCCCGAATGCGCGTTCCCTTCGGCCCTAAGCTTCATTTGCTTCTCCCCCAAGGAGACAGCGCCAAGCGAAATAGTTTGCTTTTGACCATGTAGGCGTGGCTGTCGAATTGTGCGATGAACAATAACACTGCCAATTGCCTCGAAGCGATAGAAGAAGTAGCTTACAGAATCAGCCCGGCCTTCCTGAACATCTCAAAGCTTTCCAGCCAGCCGTGAACCGGATCTCTGGTTTTCATAAATCCAGTCTCCCTCAATCTTTTCAAGCTCAATTCCCGATCAAACGTTAGCCAATAGCCCACGCTGTCCAGCTGTCGATGACCGGCTCCAACTCCTCCGCTGATGGCACTCGCACGTCTACATCGATCAAATACTCCCCTGTGCCTGATTATATATTCTCCCGGTGTCAAGGACTGCGTAGCTTTGGGAAGCTCACCAACTCCGAGATTATGATCTTTAGCCTGAGAGTCCTCGATAGGCCCTACGCCCACCAGGCCGAACCAGCTCGCCAGCTTGGGCCAAAGATCGCCATATCTGCAAGGTGTCTCGCTGTCTGCAATATTAAACAGCTGGCCGTTCCCGAAGATTTCAGGATGGAGGGAGGCATTTATCATGCAGCGAGCGATTGTGCTGCTAGACACCGGAGAGAATAGCGAGTTGGCGCCGGCGGCGTTTCCAGGGAAAGGGACTTCCACGGGGTTTGAGTTTTTTGTTTGCGCGAATGGACCAACGCCGTGGTTATAAGCGTACAGGGATAGGTACTGAGCCCAGTGTAGTGCCAGGCTGTACTGAGAGCCGTTGGGTGTGAAACCAATCTGGACTGTTATTAGTGTCGTCCCCGTCAATGTACTCCGGGGCTGTGCTGGAACTCACGATCGCATCCGGACAAAATTCACACCATGTCCATTTCTTTCCTTCGCTTGCTGTAGTAAGAAGCTCGCGGTAGGCTGGATACACAACGGTCTTGGCGTAGTCGACTGGGAGGTTATTCACCATTTCCTCGCGCAGGGGCGGAGTGAAGGTGCCTCCAGGCGCGTAAATGCCATACCCCTGCTTTGGTCAAATCGTGGAACCTGGGGTGCTGTCGTGGTACTTACTCGTGTTCCTCCGGGGAAAGTCACAAACTGCAAGTTGGGACTGACCAAGCCGTGGGCATCAATGACACTCTGAAACATGCTTCTGTTGATCGCAACCTCTTCCAGATCGTCGTCTATAGCAGTAAACACTTTTGTATCGTAAGCTTTTGTCTCGTACAACGGACCTGCTGTGATGGCATACCCAGGTAGAATATATGTGTCACGGTCTCAACATCATTAATAACCTCCTTCAAAGAGCCTGCCAATTTAGCTCCATCCCCATGACGCAGGTCGATACCAGAAACGAGCTGCAGGTCTGGCTGATTCCGATCCGGCTCGGGCCAACGGGACTCTGAAAGGTTGAGTGCACGGTTCGTGACAGCGGTGATTGTGGAAAAGGAGGCAACATCGTAGGATCGGAGGAGCTGGTTGACCAGAGACCAGCCAATAAGACCGGATGCGCCGTAGATGATGGCGTGGTGCGAGCCAGCCATTTTAATTGGGGCTTTGTAGGCCGCGAAAAATGGGAAATCCAGTTTGGAGCGGGCGGTTGACTGGAAGAATTCTTTCCGGCTCACGTCCACGTCAGTAAGAGGTTAGTGAGAAGCCATGGAGAGCGTGCAGGATCAAGACATTTATACTGTCACTAGTAGTGTCCCCACTCTGCAGATCCCCACCTGATTCACCGTGAGTCATTGTGCCCTATGCCCCAGCCCTACCCTATTATTGGGTTCACGGGTCTCTCAGGGTGCCCCACTGCAGCCCCAGTACGCCTGGTAGGGGACACATGTACCCCTACTGACCAGTTGACCCCCCCCCCCCCAGTCAGGATGAACCGCTAAACATCCCCGAAAATTACACAGGTGCTTCGAGATGTCAAGTCTCCCATCTTTCCCAGGACTTGCCTCATCAAATTCCAATTTCTCACTGCCCCCTCGGCCCCGGCCTCGCCCCTGGCTGACATCATTATGAATCGCGAGAGTCAGTTCGTCTTTCTAACTATACATCTTGTTCCGAAAGCACATACAGCTAGCCCGGGCCAGCATCCCGCTGACGGACCACTGCTGGGCTCAGCTCAGAGGAATTGACAATTCGATCTCGCTCCGTTGATCAATATTCCCCTCTGTGACCCCTTCCATCAAGCTTTGCTGCTCAGCAGCTGAGTGCCATGTTCAATGCTGTGGCTGACCGTGTTGAGCTTGTATAAATGCTTGCTGTTGCTTGTGTTGTTCCTTGGGCAATCGCGTACCCATAGATTCAACATGCGAAAATTGAGAACGCATAAGCTAAGCCTTGCCACCATCAGTGCCTCCCCCGTTACCCTCCTGACGGGAATGGTCGTTGCCAATCGTGATGATAGCCCTATCAGGGCTTAGTTTTAAGGCAATGGCGCCTGATATGCCAAAAGACCCGATCACATGACCACGCTACCATTTCCGTGTAGCAAATAGGGCAAACAGCAGGGAGATCAACCGACCTTTCGACATTCTCCATCAAGGCAGGGTCTGCGACCTTGTGGAAATGAGCCAGATGCACACCGAACATATCCCAGTGTACGAAGGGTTCTCTGGAACAGTTTGGAATAGGGCAATCAAAGACCTTGTCAGTAATCCTGTGCTTAGTTGCCATGTGTCTTCTGAGTACACCCGTGCCGCGAAGTATCACAGTCTGAAGTGTTTCAATGTAGCAAATCATACATTGGAACTGTTCCCAGTGGGTTTGATTTGATTTGGCCGGTGGCAGGTATGCCTGATCGATCAAGTCAGGGCTTTGAGCAGATTCCAAATCGCTGTGTTGCTCTCGTGCTGATTGCGCGGAATGTCGTGAAGGGGAAGCCAGGTATCCATTTAATACAGCAACCATTTCAGGCGGCATTTCTGGACTTTTCTCGCTTTGGGGGTTTTCAGACACATTCCCCTGGTGTGCCTCGACCAGATTATATTCGGGAGAGAGGTCTTCTGCCTCTTCGTACGGGTGCATGTCATTTTTGCTTGTGCTTGGAACGTCTGAATCACTAGCTTCGCGGGAGAAGGTAGACTGTCAGCTCTTCGTCGGTGGTTCGTGGTATTTCAGTTTGTTTCTCCCGGTGGTAGGCGTACCCTCCTTGGAAAGGGCAGCGAAAATCTTGACTCACCGCGTGATTTCATGGCCATTCGAGTTGGGTAAGTCCAGTTTAACATCTTGTAGGCGGATTCGGATCGCAATTTGTCATAATCCTTGACCTATTTTGTCTGCAGTGTCAAACATGCATTACAGAGAACAACAAAATAAGGGAACTAGAAGTACAGTCGCAAAGCAACTTACCATGAGTGGTGTCTTTGTTTTCATGTGTCTGGATATGCCTTTGGAGTCTTTACCCAAGTGAGCCCTCAAAAGGTTGAAATCCTGTTTTTCGGCAACTGACCAGTAGCCTGTAGGCTCTGGTCGATCGTAATCAATATCCAGATGCTTAGTCGACGCTGAGGTATCATCGATATCCATGTCTTCCTTCGCTCGAGACTGAAAGCTTTGGATGGGCGGAAGATGTTGTCGTTCTGGGGAGTAGAGTGGTTGGAGCGGTGGTAACGGAGGTCCCCATTTGGGTGATGGTGATGACTGCTGCTCGGCTGCAAAGGTTTTTTTGATCCCAAACTCCCCATTACCTCTCAAATGGAAGACTGGAGTAGTTTGGGTAGGAATTGTGTCATCCATGGGCATGTCCTGTGGCAGGCTTTGCTGTGGTAAGTGCGCCTGTTGCTTGAATAAAGGAATAGTTGCATCGCGGAGTGAAGTTGAGCCATCCATAGGCCCTGTACCTGAGAGATCAGCATTCCCCAATGCCGAATCGGATCGATCCCTAGTCACTTGTTTATGCCGGCTTTTCTTAGTCGCACTGCTTGAGGAATCGGCGCTTAGATCGGCATCGCTATAATCGCTTTCCGCTCTCGGGAGGCTTGCCAACGAAATTTACTCCAAGTGTTGCCCTACGTGGGTGGCATATGTCTTTTTCGTTTGCCAACCATCCAGTGAGCAGAAGACACATTTGTAACTGTTAAAGTCCGGCGTCAAGACTCCCTCCCGAGCTTCAGAGACTGCTGCTATCAGGCGATGTCCAGAAAAGGCGATGTCGTGACATTTAACTAAATGCTCGACAAACAATCCTTGGCTGAGGATGGTGGTGTTGCACGTGAAGCAGCGCCACTGGATCTGAGTGAAATGCTCGTTGAATTCGTGCTCGGCCCATAGCTTGCGGCTTGTGAATGTTTTCAATCCGTGTTTGCAATCTTCGTGCGTGCAGATATATGACTGCAGGTCTGCGAAAACGTGCATTCTACAGCATTGATGTTAGTTCAGCTCAAGAACATTACCAAGGTTTGCTCATCTGTAACGTACTTCCACTCAATCCGGTTTCGCGGGGATATGTATTCTCTGCAGTAATCACATTCAAAGGGGCCATTGCCCTCTTGAGGTAGAGAAGGCACTCTGGGCCGACCATGCGCAAGATCATGCTCGGCGACCGACAGAAATGAAGAATGGGAGGCCGCAGTGGCGGCATACTGCGACCTTGAGGGGACCGATGTCCCAAGACCAGAGTCATTGAATATGGAGTAGGGCTTAAACTGGGTCACTGTGTCAGAATATGCGATTTGGGGCTCTTCTTGTTGCTCTTCTTGTTGTGCTCTGATACGGATGGACCTTTCCCAGTTAGCCTCTGCGAGTCGCTCTACCAGCGGGGTAACTGCCATAGCAAATCTATTTTCATTGTAAGCTTTGACGAAGAAGTACCCCAGGAGGTCACCAACCGATCTTGAATCCGCAAGGCATAAGGTTGGGCACTTTGTGACAAACGAAACAAGTTCTCGGGTGCAGTCTGCTGTGGTTCCACCGTATGCTGCAACCTGGCGAAATGCTTTTCGATCAAGGCTGCAACATCCATCAAGCAGCTGACATAACAATGTATTCGTCCGAGTCGATTGCATTCACGTTCAATCGTTGAAGAGGAATCGGAGGAATCGTCGCTATCAGACGAGTCGGAGGTCTCTTGACCTGAAAGCATGATTGCTGCTTTTTCCAATTGGATTTCAAGTTCACGTGAGATATTCCATGCGGTTTCAATTTCACTCGTTGCATTAGCGGTGAGTCCCTCACATCTGGCGAAGTAGGGCATCAGAATTTTGCCGATTGCTGTCAAATTCTCAACCACGTTCGTCCTCAAGCGAGCAGAAACTCCCAAAATGGTATCAAGGTGGCCTTGAGGAAAGTTTTCTTCCCAGAGTCGTAGGTCCGCTACGTCTTTCTCCAGGGTGCTCCTATTTCTGTCGTGCAGTGTCATGCGAAGTCGTGATCTCCAAAGATGAACCAGGGCGGTCGAGCAGGTCTGATATAGAGATTCGACAAAGCCGACGTTCGGATCTTGCGTGCTGTGGTTAATTCTCGAAATGGCACAGTCATCCAGTGACTGTGCTTCCTTTGTTGACTTCATCGCGTTGGTGATGATGGATGGCAGATTGTATTGGGTGCGGGGGAGGGCTGAAGTGCGTGAGGCGGCAGGCCGTCCGATGTGCGTCCTTTGGACCCTGAAATGCAACCGAAGAAATGCTCTGGAGCGCTCTCTCTGGATATCTCTTGTGCTTGAGTGAGATCGTGGAGTTGCCTCCACTACCCTTTGGGTGACTTTGGGCGATGCCAAGTCAGCTGGGCAGCAGTGAACTCAGCAGGTGTTCAGATGAGTGAGCCCTGGATGATGCCTAATTTGCCAGGCACCAAGGCTGAAGACGAAATACCAGTAGCGCCAATGCACGTGTTGTATTTTTGCTTTTTCTCTTGATTTCCCTCTCAGCCCCCGGGGGCCGAATTCAAGCGTGACTTGCTACAGGTCTGACGTGGCGATACTGACCCGTCCAATAATCCACCGGTGAGAAACCGTTACATACACATCCCCCTGCCGATAGCGACGACGATGGTCAGTACTTCACCACCAAAGCATCGGAGGGACTTCCGTGTCGCAATTATCTGCGCGCTCCAGTTGGAAGCCGATGCTGTGGAGGCACTCTTTGACTTATTCTGGGACGAGCATGGCCATCGATACGGCAAAGCATCTGAAGACACCAATTCATACCGAACCGGGATAATTGGTGATCATAATGTCGTGTTGGCATACATGCCAGATATCGGAAAGGGTCCTGCAGTCGGCGTCGCGGTGAATTTCAGGTCGAGCTTTCCGGGCATCCGACTTGCGTTGATGGTTGGAATATGCGGAGGTGTCCCAAATATTGCGGGTAACGATATCTTCCTTGGCGATGTGATCATCACCGATGACATTGTGATATACGACTTCGGTAAGAGATTTCCAGCGGGGTTCCGACGGAAGGAGGCAGCAGTCAATTCTGCAGCGAACGTTGAAGTGCGAGCCTTTTTAAACAAGGTACAAACTCGAAAGGGTTGCGAAAATCTACTCAGCGGGACCAATCAACATCTCACTGCTTTGCAGGAGCGAATTGAGGGTTATGACAGACCTGCTCGGGACCGTGATCAACTTTTTGAGTCGACCTATCATCACAAGCATCATGGCACCTCGACATGCAAAAAGTGCAAGAAAGATGCGCTTTGTCCAACGACCGAGGAGGCCACATGTGAAACTTTAGAATGTGACCGGAAAAGATTGGTTGTTCGCTCGCGCCCATCACCGGACGAGATCAATATCCACTTTGGTCGGATAGGGTCAGGGGATACTGTCATGAGGTCAGGAGAGGACAGAGATAGAATCTCTGCTGAGGAGGATGTGATCGCCTTTGACATGGAGGGTGCAGGCATCTGTCGGCACTTGCCCTGTATTGTGGTCAAGGGGGTTTGCGACTACGCCGATAGTCACAAGGACAAGAGATGGCAAAAGCATACAGCTGCTGTTGCAGCTGCGTGTATGAAGTCACTTCTGGAAGAATGGGCAACGGTTGACGAGCATCAAGGAGTCGACGGACAGGGTGAAGATCTCATAAAAGCCTCTTCTTGCCTCAATACTCCTCCTGAACAAAGCCCCTCTGAGTTACCTGGACAAAACAAAGCATACGAGTCTTCGAGGAACGAGGACAACCCCGATGACGATTTAATAAAAGGTATTCCCTTGCGTGTCAAGCAGTGATCACCGAGCTGATAATGCTAGTTCTGTCGACAGTTGAAATGAGTTTCAAGACCACACTTGCCTGCTCCAGATGAAACCGGAAGTATATACCTCGAGATTTTGATCTAAAAACCACGCTGAAGACCCAACGCATTGTCTTCTCGGATCACGCGGAAATCCTATCGTCGGATGGCTCTGGTTTTCATGACACCCACCTCGGTCTGTCGAAAAAGATCTGCTCAGAGCTCCTCCTAGAAATTAGATCGACGCTCGTGGAAATCGAAGATATCATGGGGGGTTTATCCGTTGCCACCAAGGCAAAAGTACAGGACAAAACCGCCGTAAACAGGCTCAAGGTGAGGCACATTCGAAGTGATCGCTACCACCCCATGAGCTAAACGACCAAAGGGTGCTGTAGAAGACTTGAAATCCTTAGTTCAGGCCTTTGCATCCTCAATTTCACAAACACCACAGGTCCGACAACCAGCCTTGTCGGAAATACGTATGGCTCCCAACAGTGGCCGCGACTTTCTACACTTCCGCACAGTCCAGACAGCCGCTGGGAGCCTCTATGAAGCTCTTGCGACAGCCTGTAATGCGCATGCTGTCCATGACGTTTATCTTTCTCTTCAACCTGACATGCACGAGAAACGAGTACGATTCAATGTGGCCTTCATTCAGGATGGTATAATGTCGGGAAAGGCAATATGGATTAACGTAGAATCAACCATCAAACCTATCGACTCGGACTTTCAATTGGACTCTGCGCCATTATCAGGGAATAATTCTCAAAAGCGACCGAGGAACTCTACGGAAACAAACGCCCCGCTGAAATCTCGCAAGCGCGTACAATTCCACACTCCACAGAAATGTGTTGAGGCGGTGTTGCGTAAAGAACCCATTGTTCGAATCCCAAAACTCTACCTGCAACGAGATTTCTGCGCCTTGGTCGAGAGGTCGTTTCTCTGGCAGAAAGAATGCAGTGATTGCATTGGGTTGCTAGGAGACAACGATCTTTGTAAACATTTCGCATATATGGGAAACCAAACCAACAGCAAGACCACGTCCACATCCCTCTCCCAACTTATCGCACAGTCAGGAGCTGAGTCCACCAAAGCCATGGGTCTCTATGAACGCGTCCGACTCGCCAGATCCCTCGCCACTGCCGTTCTCTACTACCATTCAACACCGTGGCTCAAGAAGGCATGGCGGAGCAACGACGTTCAATTCTTCGGCTATCACCATCACTTGCTTCAACACGCACAACAGGTATTACCATACATGACAACGTCTATTCAAGCACCGACCTCAATGAAGCCCCCGCCACGATCTTCGGTGTACGACCACATCATTCGTAATCCGGTTCTCTTTGGACTCGGGGTTATGTTCCTCGAACTTGCATACCAAGCTCCCCTTCGAGACCTACAACAACCGATTGACCTCAAGAAAGGGGAAACAGAAGGTTTCGCTGAGTATTTCACTGCCCACAGGTTAGCGGAGGGCAGCTACCGGATGGTGAGCAAGAGCTTCAAGAATATCATCACCAAATGCCTGCAGTGCGACTTTGGGCATAACAGTGACTTCACGAGTCTTGGGCTTCAACAGGCGTTTTATCATGATGTTATATCGGGTCTTGAGAATCTCGAGAATACATTTCGGGAATTGCAGCTTGATGATCCAGAACCTGCCTAGTGAAATCAAAAGAGTCTGACGGCGGTATTCTACGGACATGCTAGTCGCCAATCACATATCTCAAGTTACTCCATGTCTGAGCACAATCTTGATCTACATTATACTATTCCGAATCCTCCATGAGTCCATCTACCATATTTGCACTATTGGTATGCCAAATTCATGTTAGGCTTAGGGCAGAATCATCCAGAATTCAAATTCAGATGCTGGTATCTTCACAAAGACATTCAGTACCCAAACCTTGCTTGGTCGAGGTAAGTCCCAATTCCTCAGACAGTATGTGAAAAAGTTTTTCATATCGACAAGTCACATCTACATCTCAACTAGTCCGGGTGGCTTGAGAATACCCTTGATATCGCCCTCCGCTAGATTGTACCAAATATAAGTCGAGACCTGAGGAGACCAGTCTTCTCTGTCTTCATCTGTGCCAATCATTTTGCCATGTGGTGAAAGCGTAGAAAGGGGTGGCATAAAGAGCCTCATTTGGTACAGTCGCCATCCATCGTATATAGGTATACCCAGTCGTCGAAATGCTTCGCTATCCACTTTCCAGAGAGGATGGACGATCTTCAGCTTCAGAGCCACATCCCCTCGGCGGCTCCGAAGGTACCCGAGGGCGTGCTCCGAAATTCCGAGAGACACAAGTGCAGCTCTACCCCGACCTAAGTCATCATAACGTGGGTCTTCTGGAATATCGGGAATGTTTGGCAAGGGCCAGCATGCCTGCAGTATCAATTCCGAAGATGACGGAACGGCAATGTCCAATGGATCGTCGGGGTTGGGGATCGTTGGCTTGGAGCAACGCATATTCCACACGCATTTTAAAATCGTGTATAACTCCTCTCCCTTCTTGGCCTGTGGGATCAGTGACGGGAAGACTCTAATCATATCCTCTAGACGATCTTCCGCTGGCCACATCCAGCGAGTTTTTGCGGCGATTTGCATCTCATGCTGGAGTACAAGTATCCAGAGGGCCTCGTGCGCTCGATAAAATTCGATCCATGATGGTGGATCAATGGGAAATTTGATCACGTCGCCAGCTTCGGGTAGTGGATGGTCTAAGTTTATCCAGTTGTCGAGATCCTCATTGGAAGCCAGGGGGGCGAATCTCGAGACGATTGAGACGATTGAGGAAATGCTGGAGACAGGCGCATGCTAGGAGGTGGATTTTACTCGCAACATTGACGGCATGGCTCACTGCTTCGAAGGTGTAGGTGGAAAGGGAAATCGGTGGGATCCGACGCGGCAGTATGCCACGGAGTATGTCTAAGAACTGATCTCGAGCGAATGTGTTCGACCACATGGAACAGATACAGGTAAAGAAGCAATGCAGTCTCCATGAAGTCAGAGGGCGATTCTTCAGGACGCTCTCTGTGATCTCCTTGAAAGAGCCCTTGAAGGCAGTCGCTGCCGCAGGAGATATTTGTTGAAAACCAACCAGGCTAGTGAAGTCACTGCAAGATGCGAGAATCTCACAGATGACCTCGTTCGGGAGACTGGCGAATGGATCCATTGCGATACTATCGGGTTGAATGTGAAAGAATCTTTCCGCGACTCGTCAATTGCGGCTCATCGCTTGCAAGTTGCGGGGCTTCGCCCCCGGGGCCACCCCCGGGCCTGGGGTCGCGCGGGCGCATAGAGTCGCGCATCTACTGTAAAAGCCCACTACCTAGGTAAGTGGTTAGCTGGAGAAGTTGGCAAACAATTGTTTGAACGGTCGATTGCATGTTTAACATAATTGCCTTCGACTTTGCACGTCCGGGAACTGCCCGCATCTCGTGTCCCGGTGCTGAAGTTGAGTGACAGCATGTGTTGGACCAGCTGTCAGGCAATTCGTTTTTTTTTTTTTTTTTTTTCCGGTGGGAGACGGCCTCATACCTGTGCGTAAAGATGTAGAGTAGATAGAATTGAGCGAGACGAGAGATCAAGACACAGGTGATGCCCAGGTGTGGAAACAGAATGTAGCCTGAGGCATCATTCAGGCCTCAGGCAGAGACCACCACAAGAGGAACGACAGTGAAAACAGAGGCTCCTCTCTCTTCGCCCTCCATTTGTGGAGCGTAAGATATCGCATCGCAAGAACAGTACATCCCCATTCCTTAACAAACCCCGGTTGTACCTCCCAATTTCGAGGATCCGAAGGTTCGCCCCAGTTGGATCTGTTCCAAGGTTCCAAGGTTGTGAACACCTGGTCAGGTGATCATGTTTGCCCAGATCCATGTATAACTTCGCTCTCTCCCTCTCCTTGCTTTTCCCTTCTTCACCATCTATCTGAGTGGATTTTCCATCACTTCTCTCTGGCCTTCCATCAGTAGATGTCTCATCAGAATCAATGCTGAGCGCTTTTTCTCACAAGGAATGAAGCATCCAGTCGTGACAAAATAAAACAAAACAAACTCTTCCAACTTCGATATCCACAAGATGACACCTATTCAACCCTCTAGCTCGGATCCTATCAGGTCATCATCAGATCCCCTTGGCTCGTCTAGTGGCTACCCTAGCCCCACCGCTGATACCCATGCCACTTTAAACACCTCTGAACTGGCTTCTATGACTCTTTCAAGCTCTCTAGCACGGATCTTATCGAGTCATACTGCGCTTGCAAGTGATACAGGTCTTTTCTGATGCTGCGAGTGATGGTTCTTACACAGGGATGTTGACATCGACCGTGGGGCTTGAAATGGTCATAGCAGCCATTTCGGGGGTTTTTAAAGTAGCATTAGCATCGGCGTTGGGGCTATAGTCGCCACTAGACGACCCAAGAGGATATGGTGGTGACTCGATAGGATCCGAGCTAGAGAGTTCAATGGGTGTCATCTTGTCGATGTCGAAGTTGGCAGAGTTTGTTTTATTTTGTCACGATTGGATGCTTCATTCCTTGGTTGAGCAGTGGGGATTGCATCGAGGTCTGTTGACTCTCCTGGTTCCTCGTCCTAGATGTGCCGAGCATTGGGAAATGCGTTCAATACAGCGAGCGGTTTGTCCGGGACAATGCCAGGGAGTGGATGGAGCCTGCTCGATCTAGTAGACTGCTGTTCAATCTGCCTTTGCCTTCCCTTTGTTTTCCCTCCATGTCAATACAAGTTAGAACGTCGAATGAGAAATGGGGAAATGGTGCTAAAAATCATACGGTGGGTTCGTTGATTGATACGATTCTGCCTTTTCCTACGTTCTCTGTCATCGACAAGTCCCAGCCAATTATCTGCCGGCGATAGATCCGGGGTAAGGGCAACACACTCTCGGCCATTGTCAATGGAAGTCCTTATAGGGATCTCCATTTCGGATTTCTGCTCTGTATGACGTCGGCGAAGCACAAGAGTCTGAAACATGAGACTACCCATGCGGAATATTGACAAACTTGCAAAGCGGCGAGTCTACTTGAGTAACAGGACAAGGGGTAACCGAACTTGAACGTGGTAGGGAGCATTGGGGTGTCGTAGTGGAGTCGAAATGGGGTTAGTGGACCCTAGTCGAATTCTTAGTACTACTATCCTGGATTTGAAAAGTCACTTGTGCGATATTGTTTCTTGTAGACTCATGTGTGTTTTGTCATGCAGAGCTTGATGGAGCGAGCTCAAATATCGTTCATGAAAAGTTGGATGTTTCTTGAAACCGTGAACCTTGTACCTAGGTAACGATGCTGTACATTCTGCGAGTGGAGATCTGCAGACTGCTGACCCGCAATATATACGTAGTGGGCCCGATGACGGTGATTTCTTAACTCCGTCTAGGGACCTCGATTCACATTCTCATCTCTTCGCTAAATTTCAAGCAGCATTGGTATGTTCGGGCTCTCAGATTATCTTCATTTGGATGTCACGAGTGAGAAACACGTCGTCTCCCCTAAGTATAAATGTGACTCGTCACCCGGTGGTAAGCACCATAGCTCTCCCCTTTCATCCAGCTCTTAATGTATTTCATTCTGAGTGCAAGCATGCCTTCCAAAATGTCTCAAAGTCCTCTCCCGCACTATCGACAGCTCGCACCATCTGCCTCGGTGCGGGTCTCTCCCCTATGTCTGGGCGCAATGACATTCGGTGTTTCGCATCAAGAACGCTACGGTGAAATGACCAAGCAAACTGCGTTCAATACACAGAGATAGAAAAATCTAGTAATTGGGTATTCGAAGAGCACACGGTGACCAGTTAAAATATCCTCCAACACTCATCAATGCCAATATTTTCGAGCAGGCGCCGCAATGTGCTGCCATGCCTTCTCCATCGCTTGTACAACATCGCCGGGAAGGGAATCCTCTTCCAGATATGCCAAGTTGCCCTCCAATTGCTCGGTTCTGCTTGCTCCAACCAGCAACGCGTCGCCGTGCTCATCCTTCAAGGCCGAATGGTGCGCTAGCCAACGAAAAGTGCATTGAGGCAGGGTAAGATCATGACGTTGAGCAGCCGCCCGGATGATCTCTAAGGCTTCAAACGTCGTCTTGTCCCAATAGCGCGCATTCATGGACAGACTCTGCTTGTTGTTAGGGTCATATCGTGAGCCAGCCTCGAAAGATGTCATCTCATAGGTGTAACGACCGCTCAGTAGCCCACCAGCGAGTGGTTGAAAGGCATATAGTGAAATTCCATAGTGTCGCAAGCATGGGAGCAGCTCGGTCTCAATCGCCCGGTGAAGTGGATTGTAGACACCCTGATAGACTGATGGTCTGACCCAGCCGTGACGGTCGCAAATTTCACACATCTGCGCAACCTCCCATGACATGAAGTTGCTGATGCCCAGACGAGCAAACTTGCCCTCCCGATATAACTTGTCGACTTCGCGCATGCTGACCTCAAGAGGGGTGTTGCGGTCCGGCGCGTGCAAGTACCATAAGTCAATCTTGTCGGTTTGTAATGCCTCAAGGCTGCGTGTCAATGCCAGACGCAAATCATTCGCGCTGAAGGTGTAACCGTCTTGACTCATATTTGCAGTTGGGTAGATTTTTGTCTGCATTTGCAAACCTCGTCGCTGCCAATGGCTTTGTCCAAGAAGATCTTCGGAGGTACCGTTTGCATACGCACGGGAAGTGTCAACTTCGCTGTGTCCGTGTCGTTGAAAGACGTCCAGAATTTCCTCGATTTGCTCAGCTGTTGTCTGGTGACACCCATCCATTCCTTGATGTATGTTAGATATCGAATGTCTGAGTGGGCGAGGTTACAAGATACACTCACCAGCTTGACCAACGGTCATAGCACCGAAAACGATCTTGATCTTCGTTCGCTGATTGCAAGCCATGGTACGTGAATCCATCACTTTCTTCTTCTTCTACCTGTGTTTCAACGGGGTGGTATTGAGCATGATATAGGCCGTTGAAGGTATAGTTTTCGCCTCCAAGGTTATTCCCGGTTATCTCCGCTTTACTTCCGTTCTGCTCCACTCTATAGTATCTACCATCGCGATTTTAGTGTTACTGCTTTCGGATTCAGGACCGACGAAATTGCTCGCATGGCTAAGCCTTTGTATCAAAACAATGGGTGAGATAGTATCAAATTATATCCATGGATCTGAGGATCCCTTGTGAAATCCGGTCCCAAGATGTGACGAGCATAATACAAAAGAAGACCAACAATAATCGACTCAAAATCCACTTCACTTCAATTTTCGACTTGAATTTCATTGTGGAACAGCACATGGGAGCCCCAACTTTGAAAGGAAATGATTGGCGTTTTGAATTGTTGAGGCTCACCGCGAACCACCTGGGCATCTCCCGGGATATAAGTGAACCTTATCTCCGAGCATCCCACTCCGCAGACATCGCACTCCCAAACATTTCTTGACTCATAAAACGGCAACCCTCATACCTGGGTTTTACACTTCAAGCCGCAGACAGTCATTTCCGCATTTCCGCCAAAATAAAACAATTTGCTGGATGAACCCAGACTTCTCCCGCGGTCCCTTACCATGTCCAACTCGACATCAACCCTACCAACCCCACGACGCGTCGTGACTGGCCATGATGGCGTTGGACTTGCGACCGTGAAACACGACTCTCATCTTACCCCTCAGCCTGTGGGGGACGGTTGTAACATGACCCTTCTTTGGAGCACCACTGAGCACCCGGCGGACGTCAATCATAACCTGGACAATGGAACTGTCAATCCAGGCATGCCGCCGAAAGGCTCTGGCTTCACCGCATACGATATGTCCCCTCACTCCAAGGGACTCTTTCACCGTTCAATCACACTTGATTATATCATCGTGGCCAAAGGCAGTGTTGTTTTAGGCCTAGATGACGGCTCCAGGGTGACGCTGTACGAAGGCGACGTGGTTGTCCAACAGTCGACTATGCACAACTGGTGCAACGAAACAGATCAGTGGGCGCGTCTGTGTGGCATGATGGTGCCGGCCCAGGTACCTGTGATCAATGGAAAGGAGCTTGAGGCATCTTGGCCTTATTGAGGAAACCTTACAGCTGGCTGAAGATACTTGCAATCGGTTGATTGCGTGTCTGCTCGAAGCCAAACCGATATCGTTTATATATTCACGGACTTTCCTGCCGTTACGAATCACCAATATCATCAGTCCCCCCAAGCTTTGTGCTCGGAACCATCCCCAAACTGGTGTCACCGCCTATCCGGATTTCGGAGTACGCAGTAAGAAGTACCGGCTTTACAGCAATCGCGCAAGAAATCGCCGAAGGTACGCCAGCGATTCGGCCATGAACCTCCCAGGTCAGTAGTGAGGCTGAAATGGTAGGCTCCAGAAGGCTCCATGAACACATGTGACGAGCATGGTAGCTCACCTGGCACATACGAACTCATGAGTCGCTTTAAGTCGGTTGATGCACTATGGGCCTGTCATGTTGCAGAATCCCAGTGCATATACACATTCTTCCTAGTCCTTATTGCATCGGCAAGAATTATCTGTTGACCGAACTGAACAAAACACGTGAACCACTCGCGAATCGTTACGAAGAGCTTTATCGATCTCTCAAGATTGCCTTGGCAGAGGCTCATGATGCTAAAATTACCCTGCTTGTGAGAAACTGGATTTCTCGACGATGATATGACGCGTTCAGCCGCCGGATCCCAGACATCCGCAGGAATAATGAACTACCTAGTAGGGCTGCCTAGGTATACAAGAGGTATGTTTTTGCCACCAAGTCGCTCCAGCTGAGCAGACCTCGGGAGCACCGGGCAGATCTGGAGGTGCCACCAGCAATATATAACCATGTATCCACTTGGACAAGAGATCGGATTGGTCCAGCTAACTCCAGGGTTGGTTATATTCCGCGCATCCTTCGTATTCATGCGAGGCGGGCGCCTAATTTACTAGCTCGGACTTTCATGACATTCAATACAACATGGGAGTACTTCAGTCATCCGGAAGCAAGAGGATCCCTGAAACTTGGTCATTTCCATGAATATACCGGGTAACATGTTCGACAGGTGGGCTGTGCAATGTGCATATTGTGCAGGGGACGACGGATACGTCAGACATGCATGGATGGCGCCGGGAGATTCCAAGGTTAATGATAACAAGAACTGGAGATAAATGAGCCAAGTCTTTCTCTGAACCGAAAATCACTGAATGAAGACAGCGACTTCTTGACTGGGAGCCTGTGGTCGACGCGGACACCTGGGCACAATGTTTCTCATACCCATCTTCGCCTGTCTCCTCGCGACGCTGACATTTCCAACGCAGGTGGGAGCTGAACCCCAGCGATTTAGCTCGTGGTTCCCGCGCTACAGCTTCGCACTCAACAACCTCACACATGATATCTGCTCCGCCGAATATGCGATCTACAAAACACAGGCGTTGCGAAATGCAACAACATTCGCTAAGCTCGAAGTCTGGGACGTTGACAGTTCTACAACCCCTCTGATCAATTGTCTCGTGGAGAATACTCCTGAGATATACAAATTTGCCATGTCGAGTTCACAAGTCATGTTGGGCCTGATGCCCACAATGCTCGTCAATGTTGGCCCCACCATCTACGAAACGTCTATGCTATTCGCTTGCGGCGAACGAGACATTTTGGGATTTTTGATTTGTCTGGGCAGTCCATCAGTCCTATTCGACAATGTCAGCGGCTTCCGTCAACAGCTCAAGGAAATCATGGAATCCCAAGATAATATATCCATGGATGCTCTCATCGGTCCAAATATCTGGATTCTCTGGGCGGAATACTTGCTCGTCCTCGCCGCCATCGCGAATCTAGGCGAGCTATGCTACGAGATCGCACTCCGCACAGTGACATCAATCTCCCAGAATTTCCTCTTCCTACCAGCGACCTGGATCCTCGTAGGAGTCGCCACTCACATATTCGGGGCATTTATCTTCGCCATATTCAAAGTCCGATCCGACCGAACGCATTCCCGAAAATCGCTCTCTGTGCTGGACTGGGTCGAATGGGCTAGGAAGCAGTTTTCACCCGCCAGGCAAGCCGATAACGTCCAATCGTACTATCTCCCCTGTTCATGGCAGGAGTTGGTGCTGTGCTGGTTCACAGGTGTTCTCAGCGCGATCAATCTTGTATGGGGCTCTATGGTATTTTCAAGTCTATTGTTCATCTCGATCAAGGATGCCTTCTTCATTGTGCTGAGGTTCATGGCTTCGGCAATTGTTTGTCGGGCCATAGCTCGGTATGAGATATGTGCAATCCGTGGTGCGCCCCGCCAGAGCGATTCGTATCGTCTTCAACAAGGATCCTCTCGGCAGCAAAGCTGAACCAAACACGCGTTCCCGTGCGGTTTTCTTCGTGGCCGACCGGAGCAAAGGACGGTGAGATCTTGCGGGCGGAAAGACTGAACATATCTTGTTCATCGCATCAGAAGCTGCTTCGGGACGTTTGAAAAGGATGGAGATGCTTATTGGCTTTTGCAGCTTAATTTACTTAATATATTTTGATCGGCAGAGCGTGTTTCCGACTTGGCATAGGTCAGACACTATACTGTGCTATCTTTGAATCAATATCGAGAATGAATTGCGGAGACAAGGAAAAGAAGGGGGGAAAGAATGACTGAAAGTAAGAAGGGTCCACGATCGACTGCACAAGTTTACATCCGTGAAGTGCAAAGTGGAGAAATCCAGGAGATCTCAATTCTCCATTCTCGGACTCTTCACTTTTCCCAACCCCACGCCCCAATGACCCCCCCGAAAGCCCTCATCTTCGATATTGGCGATGTCCTCTACAACTGGGAAGCCCCTCCCCATGGAGCAACCAACATCCCACCCCAAATGCTGCACGCCATGATCAAAACTCCAATCTGGGCCGACCACGACACAGGGAAATACAATGAGGCTGTCTGCTTTGCCAAGCTGGCGGAAGAATTCAACCGGACCCCCGCCGAAGTGGATACGGCTATTTCATGGGTACGGGATGGACTGCAATTGAATCAACCCTTGGTCGATTTACTTCGATCATTAAAGACAAGACCAGATGTACAGGACTTGTATATCATGTCGAATATCTCACACGAGCTACTTACTCACCTACGTTCGAAAGACGATGGGATGGATTGGGGCCTTTTTACCGAAATCTTTGCCTCAGGGGAGGTGGGGCTGCGGAAGCCCGATACTGCCTTTTATCAGCTTGTGCTTCGGCGCGTCGGTCTGCCCGCGCCGAGGGTCTTATTTGCTGACGATAAGCCCGGAAATGTGGATGCTGCCCGGGCGTTGGGAATTCAGGGTGTTGTCTACACGGGCATGGACCATCTGGAGGCGGCAATCCGATCATTCTTGAACTGAACCATGGATGTCGGAAGGTTTCGATCGAATACGCTTAATTTTTAGAGTTCGGCCTCCCAGGGTTCACTCTACCATAGAGCTACATATATATATGTACACTCCTAGGCTAATTGGATATGACACTGTTTACCCGGCTCTAGATCTTGCGAGGCTGCAGGCAATGCGACCGGCAGCAAGCCAGCTCTTTGCCAGTGCCTGTTACTGCCGATGATGTTCAAGTTGGGTTGACCCTTATCATTAAGATTGTCATAGCGTTACTCTCAATCTTTTCTCGATTCAATTTACTATGCTTAGCATGGGCTAGTGTACTCCGTACATTCTGTAATCCCTGTCTTCCCCTCATGTCGATCGCTGACATCACTCGCATCTGCCCATTCCCGCGGTAATATGGCTGCACGAAGACAAAAAAAGAAAAGAGGCGAAACAAAAAAAGACACGCTCCCGCTCATAAATCGGATAGTTTACACACAACGCCTGGTTCCCTCTTGTCCCATTTTGCCCTTCAATTGTCCCAATCAGAAAGAATGCCAAGTCATCGCGATGAAATCATTGGCTCGGCAGTGATGTGCCAACGAGCCTATAAGCCGGATAGCAGAGGATACGAGTCGCCCCGCATTTTGTAAGCCGTGATGATAGGAGGGGTCGCGGATTTCCACTCCTCGAAGATATTCCCGTAGATATCGACTTTCTCGTCCGGCGAGGTCAATGTGATGCTGTCTGCGGTGCGGGCCGTGTCATGCAATTTGGGATTGATGTCTTGGAGGGCTGTGGTGACTAGAACGACGTCTTTGACGGAGGCGGGGTTCGTCGCGAAGCGGATGTAGATGATTGTCATGGTGAGATGGGCATGGAATTCCAAGCTTTGTTTTGCGACGCCGGTGCAGTCCGGGCAATATATATTTCTCGATGGTTGATAAGAAACACTCTCGGTGGTTTGCCGATCAACGTAAATGAGTCTCGACATGCGTTGGTCTGGAACTATCCTTGTCTGTTGCTGCATGAGAGATAAGCGGACAGAGCCAATGAAAGGGAGAAGTCGTTCCCTTCGGCCCCAGTGGGATGGTTTTATTCAATTTGAATGCGAAAGATGGGATTTATATCTTATCGGACAACTAGATCTTGTCAGATTACGAATTTGATAGCTAAATCATAGCCAAAGTACTCCGTACACGGAGAGTGATCTCATTCTTCTATGTATTCGCTAATACTGAGGGTGTTGCCCGTCCATCTGGACTGTCGCAACAGTTGCACATTCACGAAACACTCAGAGATACATCCCCTCTAATCCTCGTTCTCCTCACGAAGGCGCTGCAACGCTTCCTGGTCGAAGATTCCGGGACCAGTGAGCTCGTTGTTCAGGGCCGAAAGCGACGGAGTGAAGAAGTAGTCACCACCTCGCTGGTACACCCAGCTGTCCAGCTTCATGCGGGATTTGGTGGGAGTTTGGCCATCGGGCAGACCAATGGTACGCTCGGGGTGGTGCTCAAGTCGCTGACCGACAATGGCATCGATACCAGGTCCGTCATCACCGACGAAGTTGGTCTTGCGGTCGGGGAAGTAGTGGTTGCTAGCCCAGCCTAGAGTGGGTAAGAGTCAGCGATAGGTCCTTGAACACACCGAAAACGGGGCATCAAAACATACGGGTGGTAAGGAAGTTGAATCCATTTCGAATATCGCTCTGGTAGCAAACGAAGAGGAGGCCACGCTCCTTGTCTTCGGCGGTCTTCTTGGCGGCCAGTTCAGCGTCAGTGACACACTCGCCGTAGGGGATTCCGCGACGCATGATGACGGCGTGGTCGTGTTCCAAGTCAGCACGGGGTCTCATCTTGCGGATGTGTGCGGCGAAGGGACACTTGTTGTGCTCGGTGACCGGTGCGAAGTCGAAGTTGTTGGATTCGAACAAAGCCTCGTTGGTGTCATCGTGAGGAGACTCGTCAACGGGGGTTCCTGGGAGATATTCGGATCAGCGAACGGCGTGCATGAAAGAGATCGTTGGCAACATACCGTTCTTCCACCGACCCATCAGGTAAGCGGCGAGCTTCTCGCCTGGCTTGGGGTGGTCCTTGGTGAATGGTGCGTGCTTAGCGTTTTGGTTCATGAATCTAGCAAGGTGGTCAATATTGAGTCTTAGAACTGATGATCGATGACTTACTCCTCGAACTCAGGAACCTGCTGTTGCAGATCACGGAAGACAAGGAAACTGCCGTCCTTGGCCCATGCGGGCTGTTGCATGTCGTCGCCGTCGTATCCGCAAACGATCATTCTATGTTCAATTAGTTTCTGGCGCCACTGCAATCAATTGATCATTCTCACCCTGGCTTTGTGGCGACAGGCTCCTTGCCCTGGGGCACCTTCTCATCCCAGCCCTCAAGAAGAGGCTGACTGATTCCATCCTTGAATCCGAAGCTACGAAACGTATACATTAGCATATGGGACCTTAGCTCCCGTGGGAAATACTCACTGCTCCTTGCCCTTGTGAATTCCGGGGCGGACATTTCCGTCACGAGAGAATGTGAACTCGACGGAAGGATCTTTGCTGACGACATATGTGTCGGGGTTGAGGGGCTCGCCTTCTTCAGCGAGGAAGTGCTGCTTCACTTCACTGATTTTGTTCTCCAAATCGGATTTGACACTCGAGGTAACCATAATCACACCATCGATAGCTCTGCCGTTTTCACGAGCAGGGTGGTAGTGTTTGCGGAGCTCCTCGGGGGTGTCCCATCCCTCACCCACAAGATCAGCGAACATACCCTTCTCGAAGAGACCTCCGCGTAGCTGCTTTTGGCGGAAGATCGTAGAGAGTTTTCTGTCCTTCTTCACCAACGCCTGATCATTGACATTAATGAAGGCACCGAGCTGGAAGAAAACCATTAATACTCAATCCGGAACTGGTGGTGCGAGTTAAAAAAAAACTTACTGCCTCCAAGCCAGTGGACGTGAAGGAGATGTTGATTCCGGGCAAAGGCTCGAGCTTGACTGATGTCTTTGATTTTAAGGCATCCTGTTTGGCCTTCTTCATGACCTCGTTCATAGCACAGGCATCTTTGGCCGTGGTGATCTTGGGGATGAAAGTCTTCAGACGAGACTTGAAAGCAGCATTGTTCTTGACTTGGAAGAACATGAATGATTGAAACTTCTTGGGGAGACCGGGCCTGTCCATGAATGTCAGCATCCATGATAGCCTGAAAGTCAGTTGGTGGCACCGGGGGAGACATACCAAACATCTCCTTGGAGGTTTGCCTTGATGGCAGGTGTGAGACTCATTGTGGGAATTCGGACTCTGGGGGAGCCTGAGATCAGAGTCAAATGAAGCTACTCTGCATTCATCCAGATCCAGCCGGGGGACTGTAGCATTATAAGAGCATCCAGAAAGGGGCCCGCGGCTGCTGATTTGCACAGCAAGCACCGCTTCCAGCTCCACGCCAAAGCTAGAGCGGGGCAGGGTGTGGAAAAATGCCAATCGTGATGAGTCCCATGTACTATGCTGCAATGAGGTCAGATCATCAATTAGAAACAGCGCATTTTGGATTGGTCAATGTGACGATAATCCATCTGTTTACGGAGGTCTCCGTAGCTTACGGAGCATCGAGGGCCTCAAGCGTAGAAGATCGACAGCGTGCATTCTAGCATCACACACATGCCCACAAACACGAGCATCTGCATAACGCGAGGGATGTGTGCGATAATCAAAGCACTGTCATTGGACAGGAAGCTCGCCCAAGGTGCTCGACTTGAATATGAGCTGTGGACACACCGCTGCAGACTCTGTCAAACTAGTGGCCGCAGATACATTGAGGCGCCCCAGAAACCTGGAAATACCACTGCATCCACAGTTGAATTGAACATTAAGTCGAGACCGGGATCGGCCACTCGACAGCCACATTCTGGATTTGTCGCCCAACCTTCCCGAAAGGGGTGGTTGCACAAGGTGTTCCGTGCGGAGCGCCAGCATTGCTCTCTCAGTCCCTGCAGATCTAGCATGACCGTAACGATGGGGAACGGACCTTGCACTGCAGGGCTAAGCTGAACGCAGTTGTGAAGTCATCATGCACCGCAAAAGCAGATCCGTATTCTCCACATTCCATTGGGCCAGCATAGTGGATCATGGTCGACTATTACCGGATGTAACCATTCTGTACAGAGTAGTGGATCGACAGATCTGAGGGCAGATTGCCGAGAGTTACCCCAGCGTTTCGGAGACGATCTTGGCCATGATTCAGTGAGCAAACCTTGCTGAATTGCCCAAGAGGCTACCGTGGGCTTGGATATGCAGAAATGAGAGACACCTTAGGCAGGGGGTGTTGATCGATGCGCAGCCACTGTGTCACGAGAAAGTGAGGAGCTGAGGATAACATTGTCTCGAGGCCCGTCCCAGCGGATGCGGGCCGGGCTCCACAGTTCGGGGCTAAGATGAGTTATCACCTCTGCAGTTCCCCAGCGATCGACAGTACTTTTAATGGACGAATCACAGGCTGACGATTTGTCGCTCGATCCGTGCAGGGATTTGAAATTCCACAGCTGAAATTCAGCCACTGTAACATATACAGATCTTAAGTGGATCTGCATGTCTGCAGCATTGCCGATCTTTGGACCTATCGACGAACCGGTGTGATTTTCGCCTTGAATTCTTCGGACCAATACAACGAGGGCATGTCATGATGTGCACCATGAACTCAATATTGGCTATCTGTCATGGATGTCCGCTGGGGGTTCCCCACACTCAGCGGCGCCATGACGGGTCCTCGAACGAACTCTCTGTGAGACATCCAAGATTGGAACCACTTGCGTAATGTATTATTCCTTTGCAGCGACAGAGCCGAAGATCACTTGAATGCCCCCTTGAGCTCCGGCACCCTGCCTCGGCTAGGGAATTTTGATCGCTGCCTTTATATCCGCCGGGTCTCTCGCCAGTTTTGCTCAACCAGAGGTGAAGTGAGAATCTTTTACTCATTCACTCATTTTCCTTTCCCTCTGCTCAAAAAAATTAGCTCATCATGAGATTGCAATGGGCAGGGCTCCTCCTTGGAGCCTCTGTTGGCGGTGTCAATGGCATGGCTGAATACATGGCCGAGGCCATGAGAGGTGAACGCATCAGCGGCTTCGGCAAAACCGACAACCCTTCCTTCGTGCCTGAGTTCACGGACGAGTCGCCTCCATACAATGGAATTCGAATCCCTCGCCAGGATTGGAACGTGATGTGTAGCAGCTCCGCTGACAAGTCTCTGTGCAAACACGCCGTCGATGGCAAGCGCAAGACTGCTTGGCGCAGTGAGCCTTCCTCCAAGGGCCACAGCTTCATCATCGACCTTGGCGCCTCATACCAAGTGAGCGCCGTTGTCATTCTCCCGCCCACCGATTCCGGCAAGGAAGGTCTCATCACCCAGCACAGCATCTGGACCAGCGATGACCACCAGAATTGGTACGGCCCTGTCGCGTACGGAATGTGGCCCAACACCAACCGACAGCGCATGGCGGCCTTCGATCCCTTGTCCGCCCGATACGTGCGTATCTCGGCTGAGGCTGATGACTCGAACCCTTGGGTTGGTATCGCCGACCTCAACATCTATGGAACTCTGTACTCTATCACTAAGGACCCTTCTCTTGGTGTCTGGGGCCCTACCCTGGATTTCCCTATCGTGCCTGTCTCCGGTGCTCAGGAGGGATCTGGCAGACTCGCTCTCTGGTCATCCTGGGCTGACGACCAATTCCACTCGACTCCTGGTGGCCAGACTGTCATGACTCGCTGGAACCCTTTGACCAACGAGGTTTCGAAGCGCACCATCACCAACACTCACCACGACATGTTTTGCCCTGGTATCGCTTACGATGGCACAGGCATGATGGTTGTCACTGGTGGTAACGATGCCTCCGAGACCAGTCTGTACGATGCTACCAAGGACGAGTGGAGCCGCGCGGAAGAAATGATTCTTCGTCGCGGTTACCAGGCTTCCACCACTCTGTCTGACGGTCGCGTCTTCGTCATTGGTGGATCCTGGGCTGGTGGCTCGAACGTCCCTAAGGATGGAGAGGTCTATGACCCAGCAACCCAGAACTGGACCATGATTGCTGGCGCCACTGTCAAGGACATGCTGACTCAAGATATGGAAGGCCCCTGGCGTCAGGACAACCATGGCTGGCTGTTTGGATGGAAGGATCTGAGCATCTTCCAAGCCGGACCTAGCAAGCAGATGAACTGGTACTCCGCTCACGGCAACGGCAGTGTCAAGGCTGCGGGCAACCGTCTCGACGATGAGGACTCCATGTCCGGTAACGCTGTCATGTTCGACGCTGTCAAGGGTAAGATCCTCACCATTGGAGGTTCCCCCGACTACGACAAGTCCTGGGCCACCCCTGCCGCCCACATCATCACCCTGGGTGAGCCTGGTGAGAAGCCCAAGGTCCAGCTCGCTGGCAAGGGAGAGATGCACTTCGAGCGTGTGTTCCACACCTCGGTTGTTCTCCCCGACGGAACTGTTTTCATCGCCGGTGGTCAAGCCTATGGTGTCGCCTTCAACGAGGAGAACGTCCGATTCGTCCCCGAGATCTACGACCCCAAGACCGACACTTTCCACAAGATGCAGCAGAACAACATGGTCCGAGTGTATCACACCGTGTCCATCCTGCTGCCCGATGCCCGTGTCCTGAACGCCGGTGGTGGTCTCTGCGGTAACTGCACCGCCAACCACTACGACGGTCAACTCTTCACCCCTCCCTACCTCCTGACTGCATCCGGACAGCCCAAGCCCCGTCCCGAGATCCTCGGCGGCCTCAAGAACAGAGTCACTGTCGGTGACACCCTCCGATTCAAGACTTCGACCTACATCCAATCTGCCTCCCTGATCCGTCTGGGTACCGCTACTCACACCGTCAACACCGATCAGCGCCGCATTCCCCTCGACGTGTGGCCCACCTCCTTCTTCCGCAACAACTGGAAGGTGTCCCTGCCCAGCGACTCTGGTATTCTGATTCCCGGATACTGGATGCTCTTCGTCATGGACCGCGACGGTACTCCCAGCATTGCGAAGATTATGATGATCGGCGTCGACGGCCAGAAGACCATCCAATCCCCTGACCTTATGGAGATGGAGGATGCGGAGAACTGTGAGCATGAACCCAAGTCTTTTTGGCAATCTTGGAGACCGAAGCTAATTATGCAGACATCGGGTCGTCTCTGAGAATGGAGTTGGTGAAATAAAAGTGGATTGTTGGTTCATTTTTGAAGGAATTTGGCACTGGCTTATATAGCTTAGGCGGTGCTATCGCCAATAGCACGGCATAATGTAACGAGATATTGAGACAATCATTAACGACCTCAGAGAGGTATCGTCAATTCAATATTTATTGCGTTTCGAGTTTTTCCAGGGTTCCAAGGTTGTAGCCGAAAACGCTGAATGCACAGTTCGAGTAGCGTAAATCAACGGGCGCTCGATCTTACCGCGGAGTTGAGTGGAGAGCTCATTTCGACCCGGGAGGTCTGCCACTTCGGCCTAACGTGTTAGCTTCCAACATTGGATGTTGTCAGTGGACCCATGAATGTAGTTAATGGATGAAACCAAGGTCGATTATGCAGCGCTCCCATGTCTATGTACAATGGATTGTAACGATGGTGAAATCATGTGTGTTCTTCGCGCCCGCTGTAAAATGCATTTCTTAAAAGGAGAAGTCGATGCCGTGCTAAAGACCCAATATGCGGGCTATCAGCGCTTTCGGCGCCAAGTCAATCTGGATGAGAATGATGACTGTGAGCACCAAGGTCGCCACAATAATCTAGACGAGAGTTAGCCAGTGTGACCCTGTAGTTCCGTCGAGCAATATATCTCACCAAGAACAGAAACGCCCCGACCGAATTCAACTCCCATCCACCGGAATATATCTTCCCCCGCGCCATCGCATTTTGCTGTTTCCAAAACCTAAAAGCTCCGATAAAAGCAACAATCACAGCCACGCAGTGGCATGCAACAGACAATGGAACCCCAACCTCATGGAATGAGAGACGGTTCACGGGTCCCGCCGGTCGTTGCAGCCGAAACAATTGAGCCACCAACACCCCTTGCATGGCAATAACCGTCGAAGTGCGAATGTACGCGAGAAAGGTCCGTTCCAGCGCTTTGCAATTGTCAGTTATACACTGCAGTCAAATAAGCAGAATCAGGATTCAGATCCATACCGAAATGATCGCGATTGCTCTTTTGCGGAACGGTCAGGATCACATGGCTGGTCCAGAACCGACACACCTGTCCCCAGATGCCTTTCCGTTGGACGCTGGAGGACCGCGAGGCACGGGATGTCCGGGATGGAGTGCGATGGACGACATATTCCTCGCCTGAGGAGGCGGAGGGATCGGAAAGGTCGAGCTGGTTATCTTCGTGCGTTTGGATCTCGTGCAGCTCCAATGCCTCCCTGTAGTCGCAGAGGTCGGAATTCCGAGTAGGGGTCAGGAGGGCATTGGGAGGTTCGGAGAGGCTCTGGTAGCCGGGTTCGCGCTCCGTCATGGTGGATGGTGGTCATGCTGGACATTGGAGAGGAGCTCGAGAGAGCGGGCAGATCCACTGATCGGGCCCGGCCGTCAAACGGGTCCCCGCCCGGCCTGGGGAAACGGACTACATCAGTTCCTGGGGCTCCCGAAAGAGTACTTTGATGGATCTTGGGGTGTAAGAGGTGTAGATGAAGCTGGTAGCTCTCGAAGTATACAAAGCAGTCCCCACGATCTCCATAACGCCAGTGCTTCACTTGGATGCTGTGGACCAATCAGAGGCCTGCAAATCACGATTGCGCCATACTGGGGCGCAATGGCATTTCAACATCTCTGTTCGCCTTCACTACAGAGTACAGAGTACAGTACAGAGTAGGTATCTACAGAGATCATTGGTATATCACTCACCCTGCTTGGCTGTTTGGTCAGTATGCAGCATTATAATAATGGCCTCGCGGTGATTTCAGTGTATCCTTGAAGGTGAAGCGCAGATTCTAACGAGAGCAAGGTGTTCCAATATCAATTCCATTAATTTCAAAGAATTGGTCGCTGTCCATGTGTAAAAATAGCAAGGTTCCACTATAAATGCCTTCCAACACCCATTGACCTCCAGGTGTCGAAGCTCCAGCTGAGGGCAAACAGTGCAAACACACAATGCACTTTTGCAACTCATCACCCTTTTCACTCCTCACCTTTCCCATGTCAATGGACATCAATAATGAGCCCGAGAGACTACATATAAGAACCCGCTGATATGACGTTGTCCAGACCCACCGCCCAAAACGGAAAGCGAGTCCAGCTTCAGCGAATCATCGTCTGATGGAAGATGATCAGCCAACGATGATTGATCCGAGGAGCCGAGATGCGCCTGGACATGGCGACTATAACCAGCCCTGGAGGTATTGCTGGTCCGCAGAAGAAGCCGTGTTACTGGGACCCCGGCTTTACATACCCGGAACCCGTGCGGGGCGTAACAACTTTATCTGCGCAGCTTCACACGGGCGCATCGCCCTCACCACCCTGCCCATCACCCTGCGGGGTGCGGGGAGCTTCGTACGATAAGGTCACACTGTGTATGAACTATTCAGGGATGACAATATATAAGAATTGGCTCCGGCCAGCTTGGTAGTATCAATTATTGTGTTACTATGTCTTCCCAGCGTGTTGTTATCATTGGTGCCGGTATCGTGGGGACCAACCTCGCTGACGAGCTGGTCTCGCGAGGATGGTCCGATATCACCGTCGTCGAACAGGGTCCTCTGCATATGCCAGGTGGATCAACATCCCATGCCCCAGGTCTGGTCTTTCAAACGAATACCTCCAAGACAATGACCCATCTCGCCCGGTACACGGTCGAGAAATTGCTGTCGATTGAACAGGACGGCAAGAAATGTTTCAACCAAGTAGGTGGTCTGGAGGTAGCGACAACACCGGCCCGATTGGAGGATCTCAAGCGCAAACACGGCTATGCCACATCATGGGGAATTGAGGCCCGATTGGTGAGCGCCGAGGAATGTTTCGCCCGATACCCCCATTTGAACAGAGAGATGGTCCTCGGTGGTCTGCACATCCCCAGCGATGGCCTGGCATTGGCTGCCCGTGCAACACAGCTCCTCATCAAACGCACTACCAAGGCCGGCGTTCGATATCTGGGTCATACTCCCGTGACCGGGATCGAACGGGCGGGACGTCGCGTGACCGGAGTCACCACGCCTGGGGGCATCATCCCCGCCGACATTGTGGTTTCGTGCGCGGGATTCTGGGGCGTGGAATTGGGGGCCATGGTGGGGGTGAAGATTCCTCTGCTTCCACTCGCACATCAATATGCGAAGACAACGGCCGTACCAGCACTCGCGGGCCGGTCGCTCAATTCCGCGATCAACGGAATGAATGCCGAGCTGCCCATCCTCCGTCACCAGGATCAGGATCTGTATTATCGGGAGCATGGGGAGCAGTACGGCATTGGATACTATGGACACCGTCCAATGCCTGTCGTCGCCTCCTCCCTCGGATTGACTCCCCAACATGTCGATGATAAGAACATGCCTTCCCGACTAGACTTCACCACAGAGGATTTCGACCCGGCGTGGCAGGAAACCAAGAAACTCCTCCCAGTCCTTCAGCAAACAGAGATTGCCGACGGATTCAATGGCGTCTTCTCCTTCACACCCGACGGTGGCCCCATCGTCGGCCAACCATCCCACCTGGACGGCTTCTATGTCGCCGAAGCAGTCTGGGTCACCCACTCAGCCGGAGTAGCCCGAGCTCTCGCGCAGATCCTTACAACCGGCCATTCCGAAATTGACATCTCCGAATGTGAGCTTTCTCGATTCGAAGAGATCCAAACCAACCCAGACTACGTTAGCGAAACATCCCAGCAAAACTTCGTCGAGATCTATGACATCCTCCACCCTCTCCAGCCACGGACGTCACCCCGTGCACTCCGCGTGAGTCCATTCTATGCTCGCCAGCAGACGCTTGGTGCATTCTTCCTCGAAACAGGAGGCTGGGAGCGACCCTGGTGGTACGAGGCGAATAAGGATCTCGTCAAGGCTTTGCCTCCATCCTGGCAACCCGTTGATCGGGACGCATGGTCCGCTCAATTCCATTCCCCCATTTCTGCCGCGGAGGCCTGGAAAACGCGTAACGCAGTCGCCATGTTCGATATGACTGCCTTCCATCGCTTCGAGGTCTCCGGCCCCGGGGCTGTGCGCTTGCTCCAGCGTCTCACCACGAGCGACATGACTACCAAGGTCGGATCAGTCACTTACACCCTCCTGTTGAACGACCATGGCACAATCCGCAGTGACATCTTTACCCATCGCTTGGGCGAGGATGTATTCCAGATCGGCGCCAACACAGCCACAGATCTCGCATACCTCGAGCGCGAAGCCAGAGTCCAAGGCCAGAACACGCCCGGGGAATGGGTCCAAGTCCGCGATATCACGGGCAGCACTTGCTGCATTGGTCTGTGGGGCCCACGCGCCCGCGAAGTCCTCCGTGGAATCACCACGGAAGACCTTTCCAACAAGGGGTTACCATACTTCAGCCTCAAGAACACCATTCTGGCCGGTATCCCCGTAACACTGATCCGGAAGTCCTACGTCGGCGAACTCGGCTGGGAAATACAAACAAGCGCCGAATACGGCCAACGTCTCTGGGACAGGATCTGGCAAGCTGGCCAACTGCACGGACTGATTGCTGCCGGTCGCAGCGCCTTTAATTCCATGCGCATCGAAAAGGGATATCGGACCTACGGCTCGGATATGACGACTGAGCATAACCCGTTCGAAGCGGGTGTTGCGCATGCAGTCGATGTGAGCAAGGTAGATGACTTTGTTGGGAAAGCTGCCCTCCAGCGCATTTCGACGCAGCCCCTTGCGCGCCGATTGCGACCTCTCACGGTTGACGATGGTCGCTCTGTGGTTCTGGGCAAGGAACCTGTTTTCTATAATGGCCGGGCTGCGGGTTATGTCACGTCCGCGGCGTTCGGGTATTCGATTGGCAAACCGGTTGCCTATGCTTGGCTTCCGGCTGGGGTTCGGGATGGCGAAGGGGTTGATATTGAGTATTTTGGGAAGAAGATTCGGGCGACGGTCGCTGCGGAGTCGCTTTATGATCCTGAGATGAGCAGCCTTGTTCAAGATGCAGTTGCTGTCACGTCTTCTGTTAGATCTAGACTGTGATGGTACCTAGGTATTAAAATCACGAATTTATGTAACCACGAATGGTATTTCATGTTATGTTCTGTATTTTTCGGGTGGCTTCCCAGCTGATTGATTAGCATGTTCAGGATTGTAGAATACTAACCAGGAACTCGGAACTGTGGACCCCTTGGCTGAGAGCTCATGATCTGGTGGGCTCATGTCGGCCATGCCGAACACCTCGCCACTAGCTGTGCATGATATAGTGTATCCCGTCCATCGCGTCTATATGCTGTAACGGGAGACCCTGAGTGGATTTCCGGGGTCTAGAGCGACAGCCGAGCCCGTGGGAGGTCAGATCCCACGGTAACGTACGGTCTCGGGTGGGCGTACTGGCCTGTGATTGGTGGAGTGGAAGTAGACCAAGACGCTAAAACCACGGCAGTTGCCTGATTTGGCCACGAGGGTCACACGAGGCAATCAGATAAGATTGCACTTTGACTTCGAGACATTTTTTTTTCTCTTGGCTCAGTGAAGTTTTTTTTTTCTCTCTTCCTTTTTATCCGCGGTATTCCTGTCTTTCTTGCTCCTGGCCAAAGTTAACAATGTCGTCCGCCGGCGTGGTCTCCGAGAAGAACCCCAACAATGAATCCACTCCCGTGACGGATGTCAACCTCCTCGGGAAGGGTAGTCCGGGTGTCCGTCGCATCGAAGTCATCACCTCGTACTTCGGATTGGTGGATCGAGTCTTCCTGTTCCTGGCAATCTTCCTGATCGCCTATGTTTACGGCTTGGATGGAACTGTCCGCTACACATACCAGGTAGGCAGGAAGTCATGCGCTCATCATGAGAACAGCAGCTAACAGGTTCCCAAGCCTTATGCTACCCAGAGCTACAGCGAGCACAGCTTGCTGGCTACGATCAATGTTCTCCGAGCGGTGATTGCGGCCGCTGCGCAGCCCACCGCGGCGAAGATTGCAGATGTCTTCGGCAGAGTGGAGCTGATCATTGTCTCTATTGTCTTTTATACCGTGGGAACGATCGTTGAGACATGTGCGAAGAATGTCTCCGCCTTTGCGGCTGGTGCAGTCATCTACCAGGTGAGAAGACCTTGCGCCCTCTGATGATCCTCTCTGACTAGTTTTAGATCGGATATACCAGCATCATGCTCCTGGTCGAGGTCTTGATCGCCGATGTGACATCCTCTCGCTCTCGTCTGCTGTTTTCATATGTTCCCGCTCTGCCTTTCATCGTGAGTACATCAACATCCCGAACAGCGCGAGTGTTTACTAACCCCACAGATCAACACCTGGATCAGCGGAAACCTGACCGAGGCCGTGCTGAAAGTCACCACATGGCAATGGGGAATTGGCATGTTCGCCGCCATATACCCCATCTGCGCAATCCCCCTCGTCACAGTCCTATACATCGTGCAGCGCCGCTCAAAGAAAGCCGGATCCCTGGAGTCATACAAGAGCTCACTCGAGCTTCTGGGCGGCAAGAAAATGGTAGTCGAACTCTTCTGGCATCTCGATGTCGTCGGTATGGTTCTCATGATCGGCATGCTCGCCTGTATCCTGGTCCCATTCACACTTGCAGGTGGCGTGACCGCACAGTGGAAAACCGCCAAGGTGATCGCACCACTCGTCATTGGATTCCTCCTCATTCCTGTCTGGGTCTACTGGGAGAAGACATGCAAGCACCCGATGGTGCCATTCAAGGTAACTCACGTCCGACAAGGTTTCGAATCCGGCTAACGGGTTTGCCAGCTACTTCAAGATCGTGCCGTGTGGGGCGCCCTTGCCATTCCCATCTGGCTGAACACTGGTATGTGATTTGCTTTCTGCTTGGGGATTCAACTGACCTCTCGTAGCTTGGTACCTGCAGGGAGACTTCCTCTACACGGTTCTGTATGTCAGCTTCGATGAATCGGTTCTCAGTGCAACTCGTATCACATCACTTTACAGTTTCGTCTCTGTCATCACAGGAGTCATCCTCGGATTCATTGTTATGCGCGTGCGCCAGCTGAAGCCTTTCATCGTGGCCGGAACTGTTTTGTTCACCGTTGCTTTTGGAATTTTGATCCATTTCCGCGGTGGAGTTTCAGGCTCAAGCCACTCCGGAGTCATTGGTGCTCAGGTTCTTCTCGGAATCGGTAAGTGAATACCCCACCGTTGACGTTCCCACAATCTAACAATCCCAGCTGGTGGTATGTTCCCATACCCAGCCCAAGCCAGTATCCAAGTGGCCTCCCGACACGAAAGTAAGCAGAACTCCTCATTCACAACCATACCAATATCTAACCATCTCCAGACCTCGCCGTTATCACTGGTCTATACCTTGCCGCCTACAACATCGGCAGCGCCCTTGGCAACACCATCTCCGGCGCGATTTGGAACCAAGTCCTACCCGGCGAGCTCATTAACAGACTTGGCAATGAGACCTTGGCCGCCTATGTCTATGCAAAGCCACTTGAATTCGCAGGCACTAACCCTGTTGGCACGCCCGATCGCGACAATGTCATTTTGGCGTATCAGCACACCCAGCGCTTGCTTTGCATCACGGGTATTTGTCTGACGGTGCCCTTGATTGCCTTTGCGATGGTGATCCGGAACCCGATCCTGACCAAGGAGCAGACTTTGGCTAAGGAGGAGAGTGACGATGAGTGATTGCTGTGAATGTTGCTTGAGCTCTGAGTGTCTTTATTCGATGTCGAATTCTGGGGTAAAAAAAACGATGGGATGATAGTAATGTAATTACATTTTTGCTGATGGGTCAACGGGCTTGCAGTGTCAGTTTTCTCCTTTCTGCATATATTCGGGAGGTCGGTTCCAACCGAGCCGCCCTAACCCCTTTAGATCCACACTGGAGCCTTGATTCTTGAAGGTTGCAACCTTCACTCGAATACGAAATTCCTGACTCACCAAGAGACTAGATGACAGCAGCTGAACAGATGCAGCAGGGAAAGGAGCAGATCTACTTCCCGTGTGACTAGGTTTCGCCTCTTGTTCCCGCATTCGGACTTAGCGAAAGGCCGATTCTGCACCATGGAAGTCAACACTCCCACGTGTGAAGGAGAAAGCGATTATCAACAGACTTCGGGGCGGAGACAACTAAGGCCGAGAAGCTGTCCAGGTGAAACTTGATCGCGGTCCGCGAATGGCCGGACTGCCGATCACTACCCACACTCCAATGACAACCTGCATTCTGCAGAATTGCACCCCACGCTCGTTCAAAATGCGACAAAGAGCGGTCGGAGCTCGGGATCCGATTCCATGTGGAAAGCGCTGATCTGCATCGCACGATGTCGGAAAGTATCGACATTTGCCCTGTCAGAGACTTAGTCTCCACTGCAGAGGGGCTAGAAGGGTGTTTTTTTCTCCGACTGCGCTGACATTCAATCTATTTAAGTGGGAGCACGCCATCTGTCCTCGAAATGTAGTCATTTTGTGTTGCTCTCATTGCTCTATCTCGAGTTAAGCTTAATTATTGTCCGCCACTGAATCCCGACACCATGGCCACACCAAATATCCCCAATCGGATGATTCTCGTCAGTGTGCCTCGCACAGCCTCCAACCTTCTCCTGAAAGTCTTGAACATCCCCAAACAACCAAACCTGCTCACCAGCCCCAAAGGCGGCTACTTCTTCTACGATGCATTCATGACAGCCGGCAAAGACGGCCGTCTCAACAAAGCCATCTCAGAATGGACCACAGAAGAGAAAACCGAAGTCCGCGAAGCCTTCCAACACGCCATCACAGATCTGGAAGAATATAGCGCGCGAGCACGCGCAGAGAACAAAATCATGTTCGCGAAAGAACACGCCTTCTGGTTCCTGAATCCAGGCTTCTTCTCGAACATGACGCACGGCGCCATCTCAGACGAAGACCTCAAGACTTTCCAAGTCACTGTTCCGGAAGAGTATGGGCCCACCAAGACATTCTCTCAAAATAACAGCACCGTCCTACCGGATGAGTACCTGCGCACATGGCAGCTGGCTTTCATCATTCGACACCCCGCCCTGGCATGGCCATCGCTGTACCGCGCCATGCAGAAGATGTGCCAAGCGGGCTTTTTGGAAGACGACGATGCAAAGGGCATGAGTCTCACGAATATGAGTATGCAGTGGACGCGCAGACTTTTCGACTGGTGTCTCGAACAGCCAGATGCACCTGTTACTCCGCTAGTTATTGACGCCAATGATGTGATTCATAATCCTGGTGCCGTGATTAAATTCTGTGAGCGTACTGGACTGGATACTGCATCGATGCAGTTCGAGTGGGATGGTGGAGAGAAGAAGTCTGAGAAGTGGACTCCGGACCGTGCGAGCGAGAATAACCCCGCTGAGCTGGCGAGACAGCAGAAGGCTGCTTCGATTATGCTTTCGACGCTGGAGGGCTCGACGGGTATTAATAAGGATAAGGCGCCGGAGTCTCTTGATATTGATGCCGAGGTTGCCAAGTGGAAGGTCGAGTTTGGCGAGGAGATTGCTGCCTTGTTGGAGAAGGCGACGAGGGATGCTATGCCTGATTATGAGTATCTCAAGGCCAACCGGGTTACGGCATAGATCTCTTTGGTGACCCTTTGCTTTGGGATTAATGTATTATTCTGTCTGTTTGATAGCTCCGGTCTGAGAGCGCGAATGATATCCATCAAAAACTGGAGTGGTGGTGTTACCCACTTGTGCATAGTAGGGTGATTATATATATTTGTATGCTGGGGTCCTGAGAATGGGAGTGGGGACAAACTTTTCCCCTATATCTGTGGAGCTCATACTGAGTACCAAATTTACGAAAATTCGAGAAATGTATTCCTTTGTCAATTGTTGTATCACTGCGTGGGAGGTGGGGACGACTTACCAGAGACGGATACAGGACCTCGGGAAGAACTCTGATTTCCTATTTCGGCAAACATGGGTGTTTGATACTGGTTTGAAAGCACTTGAGGAATCAATACATACAAAAGAACCATCATTCAAAATAAACGACACAAACTTTCCATTGTCCTCCAAGATATTGGACAATGTGTCCACGGGACCTCGGTACATACATGGAGTCAGGTGACTACTGCCAGTTGCCCAGGTGGTGCCCAAGATCCAAAGGCGGCTATATGTACGTGAATCCGCATCTTCGGTTGTGATGGCTTGGAACTCGAATGTCACCGGGAACCTTGGAAGGCGCAATCTCGGATAATTCAACTGGATACCTAGGTATACGTGGTGTGAATCAGATTCTAGTCATTGGACATCCTTTGGCAGACCAATGGAAATGACGAAGTATTACAGAATCTAAGAGCGAGAACTTCCCTGTTGTGGATATTAGATTAGAGGAAATAAAACCCAAAAGAGTGACCATTTTGGGAGGTAACACCCTCTTTCAATATTTATCTCACTGTGTATAGTAGAACGCCCTGGCCTACTAGTGCCCTTCGGTGAAAGGTCCCGAGCATATAGCCGAAGCCTCCCATTCCATGTGCGTTTCTTGAGATCTGTGCTAAATATCTTGGAATTTAATGCCCGAAGTGAAGGACAAGTGTACCTTTACCTCCAATTTGGAATTTCTCTCACAATCCACCTCGGATACTTCTCCTCCATCCTTCTACTTGCGCTCTGTAATCGATAGACGAAGAAATGCAGTTGCCTCTCGGTATAACATGCTGCATCTTGGCTGTCGCTGGGACCTGTGTGGCATTTTATGACAATCCGGAACCCGTGACGCCATTTAGCGAAGGGGCATCGCTACAAGACCTGAAGGAAAGATGGAGTGTCGATGTAGGAGGCCCTCTGACATATAGCTCTTGATCCTTCTCGCTTGATTGAATCTAATCTATGATCCTGCAGTGGGGGTTTTCCGGCATTTCAACTTTCGCGCACTTGAACCACACGAAGTGTTTAGTTGCTCCAGATGAGGCCTTCGACATTGCTGTTTTGGGCGTGCCTTTTGACACTGCAACCTCATATCGTCCAGGTAGGTATTCCGACACGGTCCCCTCCCCATTCTTTACGTTAACCTTCCATTCCGACAGGTGCCAGGTTTGGGCCCCGAGCAATCCGCGCGGCGTCATCCAGACAGCTTACTTTCCGCGGTTTTAATCACCGCGCTGGGATCAACCCATTCCTTTCTTGGCCCCGAATCCTCGATTGTGGCGATATCCCTGTCAACCCAGTCGATAATGCCCTCGCTCTCCATCAAATGACTTCAGGATACCTGGAACTGCTCTCACGTCAGCCCTTTACGGTGGGCCATCCGGCATCCCATCAGCACCCCAAGCTAATTACCCTCGGCGGCGATCACAGTGTCGCTCTGCCGGCTCTGCGTGCATTGAACCGGATCTATGGAAAACCTATATCCGTCCTCCACTTTGACGCTCATCTCGATACCTGGCACCCAGGTAAATATCCCTCTGCGTGGGCTGGCAGCCCTACTCAAGCGGACTTCAATCACGGCAGTATGTTCTGGACTGCTCGCAACGAGGGTTTGATCGCCAATTCATCCTCCGTCCACGCAGGCCTACGCACCCGCTTATCCGGACACGACTATGTCGATTACGAAGAGGATGAAAAACAAGGATTCCTTCGAATCGAGGCTGATGATATCGAGGCTCTGGGAGTTGATGGAATTGTTCGCGAAATTATGCAGCGAATGGGCAGTGAGAACCCTGTATATCTCAGTATCGATATCGACGTTGTCGACCCAGGTCTCGCGCCTGGGACAGGAACTCCTGAGGTTGGTGGCTGGACATCTCGGGAAATGATTCAGATTCTGCGCGGCATCGACGGGCTTAATCTTGTGGGTGCTGATGTGGTTGAAGTGGCGCCAGCTTACGATGTGACCGGGGAATCAACGGCATTGGCGGCAGCACAGTTCGTCTACGAAATGATGACTAGCATGGTGAAGCGGGGCCAACAAGAAAGGGGGGAGTACGTGGAAGTTCATCGCCCTGGTAAAGTTTTCTCGGTTGGCCGTGATGCCAAAGACCCAGCTGTTGTTGGCGAGATTTTGAATGATCGCAAAACAGAGCTTTGAAAGAGCGGAATGATATATGTCTGTATCGTTGTGCTTCTTTATGTGCTTGGAGTAAAGACAATAAACCTGATAGGCATCTATTTATGGTACCTTGTCCAGTTGAAGCAAATTGGAGACTCCTTTTACGACATACATATAAAGCAACCCTGGAAACTTCGCTTAGCCTCAATAACATCGCCGGCAAGTTTTCATTCACCATGTAGAGTCTTTCATAGAGAGAACCATGTGTATTTTGGGGTTGCGCACTCAACACTGCGGGCCCCGGGGGTAGGACTCATTCAAACAAAAAGTTACAGGAGGCAATGGTATTCAAGAGAGCAAAACGTAAGGTGGTGGACTACGTGAACACGTTCTTACACATATCAGTGAAACAGTGGGCGAGCCCCCCTTTCCCAGAGAACTGACTGGCTTTTATCTAGAGCGTTGTTGAGAGCTGAAATCAGCAATTTACCCGCGGCGCAAAGATGCCGCTGGTACCGGACTGAAAGATTGCAAAGATTGCAAATTTTAAGGGAGAAGCTTTTATTGGATCGAATTCATGAATGATCTCAAAGTGCCTAGGTAGAGATGTGTTGGAACCACCTGTCATGATTGTCTGTACGTAGATACATAGCTCTAGACCTTGCTCCCTTTTTCTCTGAATTAATAGTCTCTTGACCCCATCAGTTCCTGAGTAGCTCTCTTAGAGGATGTCCTTCAAATGCCGTTTCAGACACCTCTTCAGTGGAGATGGGAGTAATTATCTATAGCTTGTAGTTTCCAGATGAGACCTGCATGCCTCCGTCCACAACAAGATCGTGTCCTGTGACGTACGACGAAGCATCACTCAACAAATACAATGCAGCCATTCGAAGGTCATCGGGGGTTCCAACGCGCCCAAGGGGTGGTGCTGTATGGAAGATTTCGAACAACTCCGGTCGATGAGCTGCAATTGATAGATTCATATCGGTGGCGATGTATCTGAGTTTCTGTCAGATATGGACACGCGGGTTTCTAGAGCGCTTGCTTACCCAGGGGAAACTGTATTGACTCGAATGCCATCGAAAGCGAGCTCATGGGCTAGATTTCTTGCCATGGAGAACACAAACCCCTTACTTCCCGCATAAGCCGTCAGTAGATGACCAGGGCAGACGTGCTGCGATGATTGGGAGCAAATCATCACGATGCTCCCTTTAATACCATGCCGTTTCATATTCTTCACGACATTTTGTACTGCAAAAAAGGTCCCTGTTTCCTGTCCATATAGTAAGCATTCGGCCGTGATGTAAGTCATGGGATACAAACATTCACTGCTTGGAGTTTCTGAATATCCTCCCACTCATGTTCCAAAAACGGCTTGTCAATACAGATGCCGGCCGCCGTGATTCTTTTTATCGAGAAGTCAGCCATGCATAGTTTCTTAACATGCAACTCAACTTGTTTTATCTCACATTCCATGGATGTAATGCAGTTTTTTGAAGATTTTGGCAAAGGTGTGTTCGATCTCCTCCTTCTTGGTCAAATCGCAACTTTCAAGGTCAGCGGTTTGGTAAATTCATCGTGCTACTGGTAGAATGAATGGTTTACCGGTAGTAGAAGAGTCTTTCTGGATTACTCTTCTGACACTCGAGAAATTCGGAGACCGGCTCGGGTAAAATATCAGTGACAACTACGGTCGCACCGGCATCCAAGCAGGCCTTCGACAGCACCATGCCGATGCCACGACCTCCACCTGATAGAGAGGTCAGAATGTGCGCGGAGCCTTGACCTCAAAAAGAGCATTCTTTACCGGTTACTAGAATTACTCGGCCGCTGAGGCTGAGGTTAACTGCCAGAGCAGATGGAAAGTTGCCTTCGGATGACATGATGCTTGCCAAATTTTGCATATGATCGAGCTAAAAGAAGAGACGAGATGAGCCCGGAAAGGACGAACCTGATACAATTTAAACGTGTGGTTTATATCTATACATACAATTTACATTGGCGTTACAAGGTTTCCTTTCAAGGCTGTTACAACATACAGGTCGAACTGGTAGAAAATGACCATACGCTACTGAAATCCTGCAAGGGAGAAATTGAACAATATTCATAGGCTATTTACCTAGATCCGAATAAAGCCTTGATGAGGTCGTCTACCATAACCGGGGTACGGAGTACGGAGTACGCAGGGGACGGTGGAGAAGGAGTAAAAGCAAGTAATACGTTGCGGTTATATGTACGGCTAAGTGGGACTAGCCAATTATGTATCAGGCAGCAGAACAACCTTGGAAAAGATGATAGTACTACATACATCTTGAGGTTTATTACCGTCTATTCCACCCTGAGGCTTATGTATGAACTATTAGTATTACGAGCATCGCCTGGGAATCTGTGTGTACTAGTATGCGAACAGCTTGATGACTTTGAGTGAATTTACGATGTAGTGTATAAGACAGTATGTCTTGTGTTAAAGGCCGTTGTGAATACCCGCTCAGGCAACCCTGGCTTTTCCTTAGACGGCTCACTCTCACGCTCTCTCTTCCTTTACCTTTTACTTCTTCGTCTCTTCCTCTCCGAGTCAATGGAATGTTCTCTCTGCGTTTCAGATGGCCACTGAGTACCTAAATCAACCTTGAACTACAGCGATCATAACAGAAAACCACCGATTTCAAACATGAAGCGAAAAAGGTGCATACCTGGTGGAGCGATAACTTTGTGCGTATTTCTTCGTGATAAAATCTATTCCTACTGAGGGATAACGCTGTGACCTATATCATGCACGGTTCACATCTCGTCCACAATGCCCCTGCGCACGAAGTAACCGGTTTCTGATCAAAGACAAGGCTTAGGGATGAATTTTGCATCCACCATCCTGTCAAATGTAGTCCGATAGCCCTGGAGCGAATCGATTTGCTCGTCGAAGCCCACGGAACGAGCCGCCTCAAGACTATATTCGCGAGGGAAATCGAAATCGACGAGCATGAAGTTCGCATGGCCCCAGTTTTGAGACTCAATGAGGCCATGCCTCAAGCCGTGGGTCTCGACTAAGCGGTCCCAGATCTCCTTTTTCTCAGAGACAAAATCCTCCATGTTCTTCTGCTTGCCATCTGGCTCGACGCCACGGAGTCCAAAGTAAGAGCAAATCCCAGGCCACACCTGAGCCCAGGTGACGGGTTCTCCATCTCCACAATTGAAGATTGACCCATTCCGACATTTGTCACGGTTAAGCGCAGCAAAAATCTCCATCTTGGAAAGGATATCTTGGAAGGTGTCCGTGTGGCGGGTATGATAGCCGTGTGGCCGACCGGGGAATGGCACCTCTGTGCCCTTTCCATTCACCTCCCGATACAGAGTCAGATAGAAAGCGATACCATATGCCATGTTCATGACATTGAAACCGGGAGCAAAACCAACAATTCCATCTGGCCGGATCTCAGAAAATGTCCACTTTTGGCCTTCAGAAAGTCTCTGTAGCAGGTCGTATTGGTCGTAGTAGAAAATATTTTCTTTCCATGGCGACGGGAGACGGGGCATGTTCTCGTGAAGAGGAGGTTGGATTTTCACATCGTTGGGGAATTCCAACCCGTACCCTTTTCCCCCTGTCTGCAGGATAACGGACTCAAGCTTGGGTGAAACGGCGGAAATAGACTCAATAGCCGTTTGAAGGAGATTGGTGTTGATCTTGCGCAGTGACTGGAAATCGCCCGTCTGAATATAAGCTAAAGAAATATCAACATCTTCAGTTTCAGTTTTAGAAAACAACAATCAATGACAAATACCCACCGCAGAAGAAAACAACGTCGACTGACTCGACTGACTCGACCTCCTTCTTGAGCTGAGCTTTTACCACTTCCACGGACTGTGTCAGATCAATACCCGGCACAATCCTAAGACGATTGTCATCAGGTAGAAAAGCATCCTTGGCGCGAAGCGGCCGGTTACATAGACCTGTGATGCGGCCAAAGGTTGTTGGGGTGGGGAATTGGAGGGTTTGATTCAAGAGAGACCATCCGGAGATTCCAGAGGCCCCAAAGATGAGGGCATGTTTTCCAGTTTGAGTCATAATGATCGTGGATTTAATTGAGAGGAATGTGTGAGGTTGCAAGCTATAGGAATAAGAGAGTAGCTTATTATTCTGGTTGTCTTTAAATTTCTTCTCTTACCGAGACCGTTCTCTGGTCGAGCCCTCGGTGTTTACATCCCAAATTATTATAAATCAATCCAAGGACCCTCGTGAGTTATCTTCCGGCATGAGTGGAGGTAGTCAACTGCATATAGCCGGCACTGACGGAGTTTGTTGTATTCGGGATTCAACCTCCGAAATATTGCCACTCGGGACTGCTCCCACATTCTCGCCGGGCATGCTTTGTTCTCACAGACAAGATGGTGTACATGATTATTACTAATTAATTAGCTCCAGCGCTACCTAGGTAGGTATGGTGTTTTGAGATCGCATAATTATTGATCTCTTCCAAGTTCTTCTTTCCCTTTCGCTCAGTTCTCTTTCTGTCTCTTTAGCTCCACCTCAATCAACCGATCGATCTCTCTCTTCTGCCTTCTATCATATTTAACGAAGGAAACGACCTGGGAAGATACTATAAATTCGTACGCATTTCAAAACAGCGTGTACTCGTATTCCCGTGGACTTTATAATCCGATTCCCAACCCGTGGACCGCTCGAGATTCTCTTAACGCCTGAATTACCCATCGTGCTTGTTGGTAACCTAAAAAGTCTATTCCAGCTTGGATTGTGGGCGTGGAATAAGCCTTATTTTGTCCGGAAAAGCTATCAATCAAACCACCTCAACCTTAGAAGTAATTCGCGGTCTTCTGCCAACAGCACCGCGTGACCTCGTGGATGAGAGAGGTCTTTATCCTAAGGTCTCTTTCTTTCGAATATTTCTCTTCATTGAAACTAGATTCCTACTTTAGCCTCGCGTTAGTCTTTCCAACGATCGTCTTATCCAAGCGGGCCCAATACAGTTCTAGACAAGGATTCAAGGTGGTTTTCTTATTCGCGAAAGAAACTATGGAATGAGCGTATAGAACCAACACACTCGGTATCTTTGCCTATTTACTTCGCTTGAAGACTTTGGCGAGGAAGGTCTCGAAGACTTCCTTCTTCAACCCCTTGGTTTCATCAACTGCAGCAATCTGGACACGCAAATCCCCAACCACCTGCTCTTCATACTCTTTGAACAATTCCTCCAGCTTGAGGTCCCTGAAGACCGCCTTCACCCTGGCTTCCTGCGCCTTATCCTTGCGGCCATATGCAGTATTTAGTATTTCACGCTGCTCTGGAGTGCACCGCTGGAGCGCTTGGTTGATTAACCAAGAGCACTTGTTATCTTGTATGTCAGATCCAACTTTGCCGATGATCTCTGGGTCGCCGAAGTTATCGAGGTAGTCGTCCTGGATTTGAAAGTACTGTCCGAGAGGAATCAATATGTCGTGTGCTTGTTTGAGATTCTCCTCAGTACTCAGCTGGAGATAGTGCAGAGCTAGAGCAACAGGTAGATAGAAGCTATAGTATGCTGTCTTGTACGTGACAATAAACAGATACTTCTCCATCGAAAAGTTGTCAAGATCCACTTGATCCTCAGAGACTGGTGCACTAATTTGATCGTATAATTGCCCTAGCTCAGTTTGCCAGGTAACTTCATGAAAAAGCTCAACGATTTCGACATAGGACGGATGCGAACGAAAATGCTGTTTCAGAATAAGGTAAATGGCCGATTCCAACATAAAAGCATCGTTAATTGCAATCAGACCGACACCATTTTGGCGGTACCAACAGGGCTGGCCACGGCGAGTGGTAGAGCTATCCATTATATCGTCGCCGACCAGAAAGAAAGCCTGGAGTAGCTCGGTAAGCCATCCGAGGATGCTCAAATGCCGAATCTGCTCGTTGGTCGGAGAGCTCTCTAAAAGGACAATCCCGGTATCGGGGACTGAAAGGCCGCGGTTGAGCTTTCCACCCAAGGTGTTCACATTGAGAGACTATACAATGTTGCGAATAAGTACCCCGAGAACTGGTCCAGGTAGGGGGGGGCGGGGGTTTGTTTGCTCACCCTTTCAAGCCATTCGAGGCCATTGGGTGGGAGGTTGTATCGCTTCGCATGGCCCAGAATCTCCTGAACCAGCGAGGGAAACAGGGCCTCGAAGTCGGCACGCTTGGTGTGGGAAGCCATGAGCCATGGCAGATGTTTCGATGGTGAGCGTGTAGGATCAAGCTTTTGTTTTATGGTTGTCGTGTATGCATTCAGATCGAAAATACTGGATCCTGGTCGGCTTTAAGGACTTCGTGTGAAAGCCCTTGTATTGATGGTATCGTTCTGTCACACTGACACACACCAGTCATGCATCGGCTATGTATACCTACAGCCAGGCCGTGGCCCACAAAAATTAAAGATGATATAACCATCTTCCACACCCGTGGACGCTCCATCAATTTCAAATATAGCATGGCCCACTCAAACTTCCATAAAGGAATTTAATTTGACTAGTGCTGGGACCGAGCAGCCGGAGACGAATTGATTGTTTACCCAAAGAGAGACGAAGAAGAAAAAAGGAAAGAGAGGGAGGGAGCAACCTTGGAAGAAATAGGAAGAGCGCAATGGCGCTCTGACGCAGCAGACGGGGCGATGGGATGAGTACATAGGTATGACCCCGTACTACTCCGTCCGGAGTATGGAAACACCCCCCCCCCCCCCCCCCCCCCAGCCTATTCAAACACCCCTCTAACCGAAATCGGAAATTTCATGCCTGATATATGCCTGATAAATGCCTGATTTTCGGGGTTCTCGAGGTTGGATCTTGCCGCCTTTTATCCGCCCAGCCGAAAAAAACGCAATACACCCAGTACCTATGATTAATATGGGATCCCCTATCAAAACTAAGTCACTCTTGTACTAAAAATTGACGACGCAGGTTTTCTTAGAGTAGAAAACAACAGATCTCATACTATTATCATTAATCCTTTTTATCACTTACTCCGAGTCTGTGATATACCTTCTCATGTTTTTACAGTCTTCTTTAGGTCAAATAAACTTGAATTTTACCCCATCCAGGCAATTTTGATGGTAGTTCCCTTACAATTTTTGTGGATTATCGAATTCTGCCAGCAGTATATTTGTAAGCTGTCACGGTTAAGAAAGACCCAAAAATACACGTTCCAGGAGGTGTGCACCTTTTTGGTTTAATGGTTACAAACGGTGTTTTTTGAGGTCACATAAGGTATTCCAGTTCCCAGTAATTGAGGCATCAACCTTCCTATTCTAGTAAGGGGGTGTTTTAGTAGGCAAAGGGGGTTGTCGGAATATATTTAAGCGGGTTTCAAAGTGAGACCCAAAAAATAACATTGGAAAGGAACATCCATGATCGCAACCACGCGAGAAGAATGAATCACTATTGGACAAGCTACTGGTTGGTCTAGTAAAGAGAGCTCTGGAGAGAAGATATTGGTCGATTGCAGAGAGAGAGAAACCGAGAAATCTCTGAGAGAGAGAGAGAGCTAGGTACCTAGCCCTGGAGGTACGGCCCCGGGGCTGGGCACGAGACTCATGGCACATGACCAAGATCGTCTCAACCCCCAGGGCTTGGAACAATCACTGCAGTCCTCCCAGTGTGATTGTCTTCATCACCTGATACTCAATTAAGCCGTACTTGCTTCCTTCGCGTCCAAACCCAGACTCTTTGACTCCGCCAAACGGCACCTCGGCAGCACTGATCTTACCTGTATTCACACCAACCATTCCGACCTCTAACGCCTTTGCCACTCGCCAGATCGTCTGCAGGTTTGCGCTGAAGAAGTAGCCAGCGAGTCCAAACTCGGTGTTATTTGCCATATCAACCACTTCTTCAACCGTGTCAAATTTCCTGATTGCCGCAAGTGGGCCAAAGGTCTCCTCACGAGTGACTGTCATGTCTCCGGTCACTCCCGTGATGAGTGCAGGCTCGATGAAAAACCCTGGACGTTCTAGGATTCCGCCTCCCATAACCAAAGTTGCACCCTTGGCCAGGGCATCATCAATATGACTTTTCACTTTGAGCACAGCTGCCTGGTTGACTAAAGGGCCATGGGTGACATTCGGATCAAGGCCCGACCCAACAACAAAAGTTCGCATACGAGCAGCAAGTCGCTCCGTAAACAAGTCATGGACACCACGCTGGACATATAGCAGATTTGCACACACACAGGTTTGTCCAGAGCCGCGGAATTTGCAGCTTACAACCCCCTCCACAGCTTTATCAACGTCTGCGTCATCAAAGACGATGAATGGGGCATTTCCACCCAGCTCCATCGAGATCCTCTTCATACTGCATACAGCTTTCTCTGAAATCTTCTTGCCGACATTGGTCGAACCTGTGAAGCTGACCTTCCGAACCATAGGGTGTGTGTAAAGATGTGCGGTCGCAATTCGGTCGGTACAGGGAGTAATTTGAATGACCCCAGGTGGGATACCTGCTTGTAGAGCCAGGTACCCGAGTGCTGAGGTACACAGAGGGGTTTCCCGAGGTGGCTTGACGACGGCCGTGCAACCCGCCGCAATCGCCGGGCCCAGCTTTCGTGTGATCATCGCAATTGGAAAGTTCCACGGTGCAATGATAGCACACACGCCTACCGGTTGGCGGATCACGATGTTTGCTGTAGCTGGAGTTCTCGACGGGATCACATCGCCATTCGATCGAATTGCTTCCTCTGCAAACCAATCGAGATATGATGCCCCATATTCCACCTCGGCCTCAGCTTCGGCTAGCGTCTTTCCATTCTCGAGCGTAAGAATCCTACTCAAAGAACGCGAGTGCTGGCGGACTAAAGATGCCCATCTCTTCAGCATGGCTGCTCGCTCATACTCAGACGTGGCTTTGAATGTCAAGAAGGCATGGTGTGCGTGGTCGATGGCCTCTAGAATCTCGTCTTGTCCAACGTCAGTCACATGAGCAATGACTTGATCGTTGGCTGGGTTGGACACAGCGAATTTCCTCTCCCCGTCTTTCCACTGACTTCCAATCAAAGCAAAAGGTTTGATCAGTGCTCGTTCCTGGACAGACTCTTCTAGATCAATATGGATAGTCATGGCGGATGGGAAGTATATGTCGTCAGTGGGTGATGTCGAAGAGGCGCGCTGCTGTTTCAACTGTTTCAAGATTGAAGATAAATCTTCTTTCTCGACGGGACATGAACCTATTCTATTCAATTCGGTCCAGAGAAGATACTGAATCACCTGCGCCCGCGGCGACGAACGTGGCTGTGCGGTCCGCTACATGGCCATATAGCCAGGCTCGCCGGCTCGGCTAAATGGGTTGTATCAAGCCGCTCTTTTTTGATCAAGATTCAATCAGTACCGACCGGCATTAGCACCTGACTCGGTCAAACACTCCGATTGTGCTATTCGTCATTTTTTTCATCTACTAGGTCAAGAGTCAGACGGGACCTCGGGACCGTCAATGTTGTTGTAGCTGGGTATTAATGCCCCAATTGGGACCTTGGAACTACACTAATATTTCCCGTGTTCCAATATAGGAATCATAGAATCCCATTGCCTTAATTACCATTACATTGCATGCCGCAGCGCTGGCCCCTAGGGGAGCATAGGGGAAAAAACAGTGGAAATGATACAAACCATGCAAATAAATCATTCTATTTGTCTTTCTTGTAAAGGATAATCTTAGAATCCAAGCCTTACAATGGTTGCGGGTCATGGTACTCCATCCCCTAAGGTGGTAGTCGACATGATCTTCTCGCCTACTTGGAGCAAACGCCCCAATGTCTCTTACAGGCACATCCGACATTTCGATCAACCAGACGATCTCTACTTTCGGCCAAATTGATGTCATTGGCAGTATTATATTGGAAGGTGCGGGCTTCCTCGTACGGAATTGTTGGATCAAGACCTTCTGCGTGATGAATCAGGGTTGACCTTGACAACTGCAGATCTCCTTACCGAGGTTGCAACAATCCAGATGAGCCAAGGTCCCCATCGATCCTTCAAATGTTACCTCACGCAGCTTTTTGCTTCACCGGGGCAAACTTTGGATTTTGGAGTATGTACCCAAGTAAATATATAACTCAAATGTCACTTTGCTGTGCAAACTACCTAGTATCACGGTAGGTAGTTATCTAGCTGGGTGTTCCAGGTTTTCTACTTTGCTCTGGGTCCCATATTCCTGGTGTTACCTAGTATGGGCGAAGAGGCGCCACGACCCAGAATTTCCGATCGAGAATCCTCCACGGCTCCGACTAGACGATACGGCCTGCGTGCATACCGCCAGTTATCATCATCTCGGAACCTGTCATATAGGCGCTTGCTTCGCTCAGCAGGAAAACTGCAGCGGTCATAAGATCTGTACAATTTCCCATTCTCTTCATCGGTGGCTGCTCTGTGAATGGGGTGCGTAAAGCCGGCCGTGCTTTCAAAAGCTGATCTGTAAGACTCGTCCGTACATAGCTGATACCGATTTGCATCAGAAAGAGAATTTCAATGGGCTGTAAAAGGCCTCTTACCCCGGGGATATGCAATTGACGCGCACATGGTCTTGCGCCAGCTCGACACCAAGCTGTTTGGTGAGCGAGACAACGGCTCCTTTACTCATGCAATAATCGCTGGTGAATTGATCCTTGCTTGCCTGATGGGCCGCTATCGATGCAATCATGACGATTGATCCTTGCGTTTGGGTGGATCCGCCTTCAACGCAAGATTGCTTTACCATCTGCTCAACAGCCAATTGAGCCGAGTAGTAGGTCCCAAGAGAATTCACCTCAAGACATTTCTTGACTCCCTCGGGGTCTCTCTCAAGGAAGCGCTGGTCGGGGCAGATCCCAGCGGCCGTGATCCTTGAACCATCGTGAGCTAGGAATTCAACCGGGCGGGGAGTATGGATGAGAAGCATGCTTACAATCCATCGAGTCGGCCAAAATCCTTCGCTATCATCTGGAAGGTTGACTTCAGCTTGACATAGTCCGTCACGTCGGACCTTTCACGCCACGGGAAGAAAGTCAGCCCTGATGAATACAAAAGCCTAAAAGATGGAACAATATTCGGGTAAACTGACTGATAAAATCTGACTTCTTCGCACTTCTCTTGCAAAACGGCAAAGTGCTCATGGGGGTTTGGGGAAGCATCTACCAATGCCACTCGAGCTCCCGCCTCAGCAACCGCGAAGGCCATTGCGAGGCCGATTCCTCGAGCTCCTCCGGTGATAACCACGACGTGACCCCGTAGCGAGAGACGTTCGAAAATACTTGTGTTTAGATAAGCATCCTCACCTAAACATTGTTCCTTTGTAGAGCCCATTGCTATCGATTGGAGATGGTGTTACGAGATTTCAACAATGGTTGTTGTTCTGCCTCAATATTCGCTTTGGCAAATCAGCCGGTATGTTTTCTTTATAAGACGTTGATCCAGGGAAGTAAAGGGTCATATAGCCACCCCCGGGAGTTTGGGGAAACGTCGGTTATGAGGCGAGATAGCCCCGGCCCGGTTATCTCTCTATTTCTCCGTATTTCGAGAATGGCAACAAGTGCGACACACCTTGTGACATCCTATTTCAAATATTTCTTTTGGGCTATCTGCTGACTAGCACCGGAAAACGCATAGCGGAGTGAGTCGAATTGGCTACTGAGAGAAACTGAGAAGAGAAGACAGGGGGGACTGTCTACATTGCCCCGGGAACCGCATGACCAATCCTCGACAATATCATGGATTTCCCAATACATCCAAGTTACAAAATTATGGATACGGAATTGAAGTCCGTGCAATGTGAGAGCAGCATATGTTTGAACATCTACCCGGAAGTTACAATACATTTCACCAAGTCTGCTGGTCGCGAGCGTAGCAGCTCGAAAGCAGCTTTTGCCTCTTCCAACGGATACTTGTGTGAGATGAGCGGTCCGAGATCCAAATTGCCGGATGCTAGGAGGTCGATAGCCGTCCGGAAAGTATTGGCGTATCTCCACACACTGATAATGTCAACCTCACGGATCGCAGCAACACCAACATTCAAATTTTGGTGAGGAGATCCCATTCCCACAATCACTACCTTCCCTCGCGGAGCTGTCGAATGGATGCTCAAATTGGCACAGACCTCTACGCCCGTACATTCAAAAGCCACATCCACGGGTTTGAATGAAGGGTGTTGACCCAATTCATCTTTCGCAATACGGGCAGCGAATTCTGTTTTACTCTCGCCTGCATCTGGGAGGGTCGGAACCTCGACCATGTAGTCCGCATAGCCATGAGTAGTTGCGAATTGTAAACGGCTGCGCTGAATGTCCACCATGCCAACTCTAGATGCCCCTGAGATGCGTGCGATGATTCCGCAGAGCAATCCAATGGGACCGGCTCCTATAACAAGCACAGACTGTCCCGTCTGTAGACCGGCGCGCCGTACGGCATGTAGAGCCACGGAAAGTGGCTCAATCAATGCTGCTTCCGGATAACTGATCGAGTCGGGAATAGAGAACACAAACTCGGCCGGGTGCTGGTACACGGTTTGAAGTGAGCCTTGAATAGGAGGATTTGCGCTTGCGGAACCGGTAAATTTGAGCTTTCGGCATAGATTGTAGGTGCCATGTCGACATTCTTGACAAGATCCACATGGCCGCTGGGGTTCAAACACCACGCGATCTCCGACCCTGAAAGCTGTGACCGAGGACCCTATCTCAAGAATCTCACCGGCTGCTTCATGTCCGAGGATGAGAGGCTCATCGATCACGAACATGCCATTGCGTCCGTTTTCGTAGTAATGGAGATCAGTGCCGCACAGGCCGGTAGCCCGCGGCGCTATGGAGACTTCGTTGGGTCGCAAGGCAGGCGTTTTGACAACTTCAACCCGGAGGTCTTGAGCCCCATGTAGCACAATGGCTTCGTGTGTTCCGGCAGTCGACATGGAGCAAAGCAGAAAAGATGTTATTGACAAGATTGTCTGGAAACCTGATGTTGTTGGCCCACGGGGTTTGAATCGCAGCACTCTTTATACGTATTTTCCTCTCTGGATCAACCAGAGCTTGGCGGCAGATGATTACGCCTTGTAGATCTTAATCCATAGGCTTTATGGCAAGGTGGGAGTTTGTAAGAAATGCAAAGGTCAGGTAAGGTCGGGTTCTCTACACAACCGGCTATTCTCTTTCAGCAAAACTCCTGAACGGCTTCCCCTCAAAACACATGCCGGTTGTTTTCCGACGTGTATCCGAGAACACTGCTAGCGCATATAGGGACTATACGGACAAGTTAGCTTCTATTCTGAGCCACGCATGATTGACAACACTTCCAAATTCGAATTTGCGTCGTTTCGGAGATGTGCTGAGAAACAAGTGTGGGGTATTTTGAGGGGAAGTCGTTTGCGAAAGGGACTGTGCTCTTAATCGATGAGCTGGTATTCGGGAAGGATTACGACGCTATGTTTCTAGGTAGCTCTCAGGAGGGACATTTCGTTTCCGGGATTGAATTGTGATAAAGTATAGGAATTTCGCACAGGGAAAGCCCGTTTCGTCGGCTATATCGAGATCAATGAGAAAGTCCTTGGGGTAGCAAACGAGCCCAGGGCGCCGCGTAAGTCACTGCTACAGCAAGTCCTCCGGCAAAACAAGCCTTTGCCACCTGAACAACAGGGTGGTCAGGCAGAGTCCCATTGCCACCTCGGAGGTCAAAGTCCTTCCAAACCGGCCAATACAGCTGCTGCCAGAATTTCCTCGTATTGTCGTGATAGTTGGTCGTGTTACGACCGGAGGCATCAAGGTTCCAGTTGGTGCAGCCAGAGCTCCACACCATGCTCTTGAGTTTCGATTGTGTGAAGCTAGCATCGCGATTTTCCGCTGCTTCCTTGACCTCAAGGACGTCAAAGTGGTGTCTCATCACTGGGTTGATCAAGGATTTGATAACGTACTCCGCCTGGGTTTCATTGGAGTAGATGACTGAATTGTGCGCCGGGAACGCATTAGGGCCAAAGATAATACCAAAATTGGGAAAACCAGAGACGAATGTTGCCTTGTAGGCCTGCGCGCCCCGCGTCTGTTTCCAGTGCTCATTGAGCGTTTGGCCGTTTGCCCCACGAACCACAATCGGAGACAGGAACTCCTGGATCTTAAATCCAGTACTCAGGACGACGGCGTCGACGTCGATTTCACGTCGATCTGTGCGTAAACCATTCTCGGTGAACTCAAGTACTCTTTCCGTGGAAAGTTCGACGGTCGGCGAATGCAGGGATTCCAGATATCCAGGGTCGAAAATACGGCGCTTGCAGCCCAGTGGGAAACTGGGGATCAGGATATCGTGGTATTTAGCCGGCGCAGTACGTTTCATGTACTGCCGAGCATGCTCAGTAGCTTCGGCGCGGGCTCGTTCAGCCCGTGGTGACTCCGTCGTGTACAGATGGTGCAGACTATCTGTGGACTGCCAAAGAGAAAAGCGATAGAGACGACCCCAGAGTGGCAAGTATCGAAAGCACCATTTTTGAAACGCCGTAAAGTCAGCATTAGGGCGCTCGTTGATCCACTGCGCTGATCGTTGAAACTGGTAAACCTTGGAAGCAACCTCGACCACATATGGCATTAACTGGGCAGCAGAGCACCCATTCCCAATCACGGCCACTTTCTTTCCCTCCATATCATATCGATGGTCCCATCGCGCAGAATGGAAAATGTTTCCGCCGAATGTTTCATACCCCGGGATATCACAGTCCTTTGGAATGGAGATTGTTCCAACACACGAGACGAGCATCTCCGCCTCTTTGTCGAAGGTAAGGTTGGTGTCGAGGTCGTGGAGAGTGACGCGCCAAACGTGCTTTGTCGTATCCCAAACAGCCTCGACAACCTCGATGCCCAGCTGGACGTGGGGCCGCACTCCAAACTTGTCGACGGTATCGTTCAGATATTGTAAGATCTCCGGTTGCTCGGCAAACCTCTTTGACCAATTGGGGTTGGGGTTGAAAGAGAAGGAATAAAGGTGGGAATCGACATCGCACCCAACGCCTGGGTAGGTATTCAGATACCATGTCCCACCAACACCCCTTTCACGTTCGTAGATAGTGAAGTTCTCAAACCCCCATTCAGAGCGCAGCTTTGAAGCAAGCGCGATTCCTCCTACGCCGGCTCCGATGATGATCAAGCGTGGGTCCTGTTTGAAGGGCATTTTTGTATTCGGGGTTTTTGTGGCCGCGCTATATGACTCGAGAAGCGAAAAGCGTGAAGTAAAAGAGAAGTGATTTCTGTTGAGCAAAGTGAAAACATGTCAATGGAAGGCTAGGAGCTTTAACTACATAGCCCTGGAGTCCATCACAGTCGCAGCATGCTGGACAATGCACAACCACGACCACGACCGCAAAGGCTATATGCTCTTCGCCTCCCGCCTCCCACCCATATAACCGGCGACCGGATGCCTGGGTGGAGCCATCGAACTATATGAATCACTCTCACGATCTGCTGTGCGAGGAGTCGGAGTCTTCGAAATCGAACCAACGGAAGAAGAAGACGAAAGAACAAAAGGAAACCCAACCCAGGCCTGCCCCCAAAGCAAATACCGCAGTCATGACAATTCTACCATCCTCCCCCATGAGCAACGACGAAAATACCGTGCGCGACATTCGCAAACTGGTGATCGACTGTTGTCGACAGAACGGTGGTGGCCATGGAGGGTCAGCCATTGGAATGGCCCCCCTTGGGGTCGCTCTGTGGAAACACGAGCTGCGATACAACCCCCGAAACCCCGACTGGTTTGACCGTGACCGATTCGTTCTTTCCAATGGCCATGCGGCTATCTTTCTATATACGATGCTTCATGTCAGCGGATATCTACACATGACGCTCGACGAACTGAGATTGTACGCCAGTGCAAAGGCAGTGGATCCCAAGACCGGAAAATGGCAGGAAACCATCTGCCACGGACACCCTGAAATTGAAATTCCTGGTGTGGAAGTGACGACTGGCCCTCTTGGGCAAGGCATCGCCAATGCTGTCGGGCTGGCTATTGCGTCAAAGAGCCTAGCGGGACAGTTCAACAGGCCAGGCCACGAGATCATCCAGTCACGCATTTACTGTTCGACTGGAGATGGATGCCTACAGGAGGGTGTAGCGCACGAGGCCATCGCCATTGCCGGGCATCTACAATTGGACAATCTGGTGCTCTGTTATGATAACAATGAGGTCACTTGTGACGGCCCCCTTGACTGGATTGTTTCAGAGAAAACCAATGAAAAGATGACCGCCTTGGGCTGGCACGTTATCGACGTCTTCACTGGAGATACCTCGGTCTCCGACATCGTCGCGGCCTTGCAACTTGCCAAGTCTGGTGTCAAGAAACCGGTCTTTCTGAATATCCGCACCACAATCGGTTACGGCACATCAACAGCAGGCACTGCCAAATCTCATCATGGCACCTATTCGGATGAAGATGTTGAACTATATTCATGGAGTAAGGACCAGTCGTCTCATCGCCTTTCCGATGCCGTGAGAGGATACATGAGTACCACCGTCACTGTAGGACAGCAACTGGAGGATGACTGGCTTGCACGACTCGAGGCTTATTGCGATGCGTTTCCTCGGGAGGGAAAGTTGCTGCGTGACCGTATCGCTGGACAGGTACAAGCAGCCCAAGCGCTCGAAGGCCTGGAGCTACCGGAAGAGCCTAAGCCAACACGGGAGTTGAATGGCACAATTTTCAACCATGTGCTGGACCGCCTTCCCCAGGTCATGGCCGGTGGTGCAGATCTCTGGAACTCTAATCAGCTGGGGGATCAGTCTCACCGCATCTTCGATTGTAAGCATCGTCAGGGGCAGGTCGTGCGCTACGGTATCCGCGAACATGCTATGGCTGCAATTTCGAACGGGCTTGCTGCTTATGCTCCGCGAGCTTTTATCCCTATCACGGCCACCTTCTTTATGTTTTATCTTTATGCCGCACCGGCCGTTCGTATGGGTGCATTGAGCCACCTTCCAGTCATCCATATCGCAACACACGACAGCATCGGTGAAGGTCAGAACGGACCAACCCATCAACCAGTGGAAGTTGACTCACTCTATCGCGCCATGCCCAATCTATTATACATTCGCCCCTGTGACGCCCAGGAAGCTCTGGGGGCCTGGAAGGTTGCGCTTTCGTCGAAAACACGTCCGACAATTATTTCCCTTGCCCGAGACAAGCCAGAGCATGTGGTTCCAAATACAAGCCAGGATAGTGTCTCGCGTGGTGGTTATACAATTGTGGAACGCGCAGATGCTGACGTTACTCTGATATCTTGTGGCTCTGAGCTTCAGTTCACAGTCGCCGCCGCCGATCAACTAACGCGAGAAGGCGTGTCGACTCGGGTTGTCAGCATGCCATGCATGGAGCTCTTCGAGGAGCAAAGCTCTAGTTACAAGCTGTCGGTCCTGTCTGCCAGCCCGCACATCATTTCTGTCGAGGCGTACATTTCGACGATGTGGGCTCGTTACTGCACTGCCTCGGTTGCCATGGATTCTTTCGGATATTCTGGTCTTGGACGGGAAAACTTCATCAGATTTGGCCTCGATCCTACAAGTATCGTGCGTAAATTGCATTCGCATGTTGTGGGAAGAAAAGCACACAGTGATAGCTTCCTTCGTTGGGAGCTATTGAAGTAGCTTCCTGCGTCACGGGTATGTGTTGGTCTTCTGGGCACATTTTGTTCTTTATAGTCACTCAAATGCTTTATATTTAAATTCCACCCAATGTGCCTGCCTATCGATAGCTTATTTGAAGGCGATATACTCACGGCCATTTTGAAAGATTCCATTGGGGTCTTGATCGCTCTCAACCTGTTTGCTTGTCTCGAGATCGGTTCCGATAGACACCCCTCGAATGACCATATTCCCGTACCTAGATAGCTCGCTCTCTTTGTCTTCGCTTTTCCCTTCTTCATCTCTCTCTCGATCTCTGGGTCAATAGGCTGACCTTCTCTTGCCTCCCAATCGCCAGTGAGTAGCTAGCCCAACATTTCTGTTTCCTATTACCTAGTATAGCCCTGTAGGTCAAATTCACCCCCCAACACTACCCATAGGCGATGATCCTCCTGTTTTCCTGCCCTACTTGGTACCATCATATCGTCTATTAGCATATTTTAGTTATTCACCTTTCGCTATTAGTTGGATGAGCTTGATTGGTGCTTCTTTTCAGTCGAGTAGCGCCAAATGATATAATATTTCTGATTTCTGGCACCGAAGTCATCTACCTAGTACGACAATGGTCCTTCTCTACACAGAAAGCGTACGTCTAGTTCGAGAGCTTTCGTATGCTAGCTCGAGCAAATGAATAACCCGCCGACCATCTTCACCACTCACTGGAACTTCCCCATCACCAGCCAAAGCGGCCACAAGCTGCCGATAGAATTGGGTGTACGTGAGGGGCTCCGCAGCTGAAACAACCTTCTTGGTGTAATTCCCATCATGAAAATTGGTTAGAGTACCTTGGAAAAATGTCAGTGAAATGCCTGACTTGACATAAAGGCGAAATTCCATGAGCATACCATATCTCTCGCTTGGCTCAAGGCCAAAAATACTCTCTGAGGGCATAATACCTGCCCTGAGTTGGTGTTCCTGGATGTCTAAATGAAACTTTCTGATGTCTTAGCCTGGAAATCTTCTGATTGTGAGTTTGATAAAATATTTACCTTCTTGAAACTGCCAGTATCACCACGCACCCAAAAGCGTAACTGCTCATCTTCCGGGCTAACAACTGTTCCTTTGGCGGTGACCTTCAGGCCTTTGGTGTAGTGCAGCAGTATGGTGAAGGAGTCATCGAATCCGGAATCGTTCACCTCTCGGTCAGAACCAATGAACCCAGTAATTTCAGTGGGCGGGCCAAAAAGATGCAGCGCTTGATCTAGAAGGTGAACCCCAAGGTCATACACCGCAGACGCCCCGGGCACGATCTTATTTCTCCATTTGTGAGCCTCTGGATCCGGCGGTGTCGGCAAATGGTGATCAAAATGGGTCTCGAATTCAGTAATTCGACCTAGCGAGCCATTGTTGATCAATTTCGACAAAGTCACATAGTCAGCGTCCCAGCGCCGATCTGCGATTATATCTGTTTCAGGTCACCTGGTCCAAGGGCCTGTTCAGGAGCAAACCTACTGTGGTATATGGAGAGAAGCTTCCCGCACTCCCTTGCCAGAGCTATCAAAACATCCGCCTCCCGGCTGGTAGGGGTGAATGGCTTTTCACACACGACTGAGTCCCGTCAGAAACGTTGCACGATGGAAATCTATGATTCTCTCACCATGCTTCCCTGCCTCCAGTGCCAGTTTTGATAATGCAAAATGGGAAGCAGGCGCGGTAGTAACAATCACAACCTCGATCGCTGGATCCTTCATCATATCCTCCGCGGTCCGGTAGAGTTTAACGCCCAGGTAGTCTGCCTCAGCGTCATCATCTGGCTTTGGAGTGCGTTGCACAATACCGTAGACTTTCATTCCGTGGACGTGGTTAATGAATGGAATGTGAAAGATCTTGGCACTAAACCCGTAGCCAACAACGCCAACATTCCAAATCTTGGTAGACATCGTGTGAGCGATCAAAGCCGATATTGAAGGGCTCTAACGTAGAATATATCTGTGTAGGAATAATTGAACAGCTGGGTACTCACGGCGTCCACGAGTATATTTGGCCAACCGAACCTTGGATGCCATATGTATAGGGTCCACGGCACCTGGAGTCGGATCCATGGGTCCACCAGTTGACGGGTCCACTCGGGTTCCACCGGAAAGTTGCCCCGATCAGGATGATGACTCATCATCATAGCGGGGCCCGGGGTTGGGAACCCGAAATCCTTCCAAGTGGCTGCTGGGCGGAGCGGGCGCCCGGCTATGCCCATTCTCTGCCTCACACCCCGCATAAATCAGCAATCACTTTGGCCACAACCGTATCGACAACAATGAAAGCAGTCTAGCTCGAGTCATTCAAACTCCGAGAGAAACTTGGCATGCGCGCCATTGAAAGGGAAGATGCCGTATGCCAAAGGCAGCAAGAAACAGCCGTCTCGGCCGCGTATCCGAGCGGGAAAGGCATGTAAACGGTGTAACGAGAAACGCGTGAAATGCGATGCCATGCTCCGCATGCCATGCAGCAACTGTGTCCACGACGCGAACGCCGAATGTACTCTCCGTGAGTCCAAACGTGGGACATATAACCGCAGAGTTCGTGATCAGAATCCCTCCGCCGAAGTGGACAACGTGGAAGACGACCCCACGCGCTTAGCCACCGAATTTTCAAATACCCTGCAGAGTGCCGAGAGTGCTATTCCACTATCCTTGCAGGGAGGTGAGACCGGTGCCAGTGTCATCGCGGAGGTTGCAGCTCCTGATCCAATTTCTGCCTTGCACCAGAGCGCGGATGCCCAACTGTTTGCCCACAATCCGTCAGTCTCGGTTCCTCTCGATCACTACAACAATGTTTCAACACAAGAAGATCAATCCTCGGATGCGCCTCCAATATCGCCTTTACATACCAATAGAGCCCCCTCACCACGGCCAGCTCCTGTGGCAAAGGACTCCCTACCAGCGCAACGATCGCAAGGAGATGTAGATACCACGTCATCGTATCGGGACATCTCCTGGTCAGCCATGTTTGACCATTTTCTGAATAGCCGGCAAGATAGTAGAGAGTTTGTTGACAAGTGCTCAATCACTTATCTGGGAGAATCATTCCCATTGGCGATCGTTCTAGGGGACGTCAACGAAAGCGGCCGACAGAAGCTACACCACCCGGGACCACCTTTCCCAGATAAAGGGGCGACAAAAGATGTCACATCCCAGGACCGACGCACACATCTCATGCCCGAAGACTTCGAGTATCTGCACGCGAAGGGTGTGTTTGAAATTCCAGAGAAAGCACAACTTGACAGTCTGATATCTGTCTTTCTTGAGAGTGTCTACCCTTTATACCCGATTGTGAGCCGACAGGAACTGATACAGCAACACAAAAACGGGGCGATCCCCTTGATCCTCTTACATTCAATCAGTTTCATAGCGGTGACATTTTGCCCTCTTTCGGTCTTGCTCAGCGTGGGCTTTTTCTCCCGTCGCGAGGCCCGCGCCCACTTTTACAAAAAAGTGAAAGCCTTGTTTGATTCTGGATATGAAGTGAACAAGTTAGTAATCCTCCAGAGCGCCATTCTCATGTCGTTTTGGGGTGGAGGGCCAAATAATTACTGGAACTTTTATTCTTGGGTAAGCACTGCCGTTACCATTGCTGAAGCTGTTGGCATCCACCGGTCAACCGCAACAACAAACATGCAACCGCAGGATAAAAGTTTACTTCGGAGACTGTGGTGGATACTGGTAGTACGGGACAGCGTCTGCAGCGCCTTGGTCGGGCGTCCATTCCGAATCGACATGGATCAATCTGACACGGAGATGCTGACCATTGAAGATTTCGCCCATGATGCAACGTCGTCGGTCTTTCTCGAAGATTCGGCTCACCAGAGATATGCCCTCTATCAAATCAACGTCGCAAAGCTCTCGCTTATTCTCCGTGATATTGTCATGAGTCGATTTTATCCAGGGAGACCACCGATCCCATCTGAGCAGCTCCACGAAAAGCTTACCTACTGGAAGCAGGGGCTACCTCAAACATTGCATTGGGGAGAGGATGAAGCGGATCATCAAAATCCATTCTCTATATCTCTGTTCGTCCAGTACAATCATCATCTCATCTTGATCTACATCGGCCACCCACCCGATGAAAATATCTGCCCTCGCATGGAGCGTGAAAGAGAAGAGATCACCAATTCAGCTGCCCAAACTATTTCCGCAGCAGCATGTTCGATCGTCACGAAATCATCCTTTCTGTCCGTCCCCCACGAAATGTTTCACGGCATCTTCCTAGCCCAGGCTGTCTTCTACACAAAACTGAAAAGCTCAAATCAGTTAATGGCACAGCTTGGCAGGTCTGCGCTCAATAATTGCCAAATGGTGCTCCATACGGTATCCGATTGCTGGGACCCTGGACCGTGGATAATGCAGTTATTTGAGGGTCTATCCGCCCGACGCCTGGACAGAGAATCGGGCAGTCAGGAGCAGAGTAGCCATGCGACGATGACTGTTGAAACACCTTGGCTGAATGGCGTGATGGGATCCACTCCCGAAGCAGGGGTTTTCAACGGCCTCTTGAGAGATGATGCGTGGAAAAACAATCCAATGCTATCTTCCCTATTTGAGAACCCTCCGGACATACTCTTGCAGGAACCATGACCAATCAGACACCCAGTACCGAGGTACTTATTCAGGGGTGACTCTGACGGCCGTCAAATGATGGGCACGGGGCCCCGGTGACCGTTGTGTGTTGTGATTGTAACTTTAGCTTGTGCCTCCTTTGGATTCTTGTCGGTTGGTGCTCTTTATTGCAGTGGGAAGATAGTGCGTGATATCGCATGCAGTACCTAGGTAATTGGTTGAAAGATCATGATCTGTCTATCCTTGTTGGTGTTCCTGAAATGGATCCATGGATGCACTTGGAAGATATATTCCTTCATCTTCCGTCCATGTACTAGGTAGGTCACTCGCCGGTTGGTGGCCCAGGTTTCATCGTGATTATCTACTTCGACAGTTCGGGGCCTACCTTGGTATGATTCCAATGCTAAGGTGAGTATTTTCTTGATCAGCCTGGAATATCTGGTGTGGGAGTCTTACCTTGGAAACCTTGAAGACTTCCCCTCTTCGTTGAAGCGAACGAAACGCTGGTTGTTTACTTGTAATACGTGTGGAACCTAGTGATATAAATATTGCAGGTATTTATGCCCAGTGTCAATTTTATTATTGAGTTTTGGTTGAGTAGAATAGATGAAGAGTTCTGCAGTATCTCTTCTGGGTGTAATTTATGAACTTCCAAGGTTTACTTAGACGCTGAATAGCCCGTGCGATGCCCAGTGGTTACATAGGAAGCGCCGCAGTGGTAATTCAATAACAGCGGAAAGGCGGTGTATACGGCGGTGTGGCTCTTTAATGCCGACAGAATAGTACCGCCCTGGCAGAAAAGAAAAGGAAATTTCCAACCTGGAACCTGGGAAGGTTTTTACTGTCGTAAACTTGTACTATTGGTCACTGGCCCCGGATATGTATATTGATATAGTTTGACCAATCACCCCGTATCACTATAAACTGGTTATATAGCAGGTGGGTCTAGCCTCCACATGTGCAGGACTTCGTATTTGAAAGATCCCCAGGTCCACCAGTGGACGGTTATATTGGGTATTTGTCATCATCTTCATGTAGCCGGCGCGCACTCGGGCTCCATGGTTCGGTGCGTTAAAGCGGACAAATTTCGTTTAGGTGGTAGATTTTCAATCATCGTGATACGTCATCAGGGCTGCGTTGCACATAAGAACTGATTTTTGCCCAACTGAATCTGGCTCTATTGATTTGGACTCGTTCATCAATGGTCACTTTGAGCTAGTGATTTCTATTCGATTTTCCCATTTGACTTTATCTACATTTCCCAAGATGACAGTCAAAGTGTTCCTTACAGGAGCTACAGGCTACATTGGCGGCGATGCATTCTACCGTCTTCACCAAAGCCACCCGGAATTTGAATTTGCGCTCTTTGTGCGGTCAGAGGAAAAGGCGAACGCAATTCTTGCCAAGTATCCCGACGTACGGATCGTTCTTGGGGCGCTAGATGACTCTGCAACGCTAGAACGCGAGGCCTCATGGGCAGATATAGTCGTGCGTAAGTGAGCGTCAATTCCATTATATCTTTTCAGACAAGTTAACTAGCAGGAGATACTGCTGATTCTTCGGATCATGTGGGCAGCGCAAATGCTATTGCCAAAGGGTTGGTGCAAGGCCACACCCCTGAACGACCAGGGTTCTGGCTGCACACGGGAGGAGCCGGAATTCTGACATACTTCGACTCGGAGGTGAAGAAGGTGTTTGGTGAGCTGGATTCGAAAGTTTTCGACGATTATGATGGCGTAGACGAGCTCGTCAACTTGCCCCCTGCTGCCTTTCATCGTAACATCGATGAAATCATCCTCAACACCGGCACTGCACATGCAGATTCGGTCAAAACCGTCATCATCTGCCCACCAACAATTTATGGCGAAGGCCGCGGCCCAACATCGGGCCGGGGCCGACAAGTGTACGAGCTTGCTTCCTTCATTCTGAAGGAGCAATACTGCCCCCAAATTGGCAAGGGTCTTTCCCGGTGGAATAACATCCACGTCCACGATTTGAGCGAAGTATTCGAGCTATTGGTCCAAGCTGCGCTAGATAGTTCTCGAAGACATGATCCCGAAATCTGGGGTGCCCGTGGTTACCTCCTCACTGAAAATGGCGAGCATTCTTGGGGGGAATTGTCCAAAAATATAGGACGAGAAGCCCACAAGCAAGGACTTTTGAAGGGGAACCCGGAACTACGTGACTGGTCCATTGACGAAGCTGTTAAGTCATCTGCAGGGTTCGAAGCTGCAAGCTGGGGCATGAACTCACGTGGGGTAGCCAACCGTGCTCGGAAGGTCCTTGGATGGAATCCAAACAAGCCCAGTTTGATTGATGAGATCCCAAATATCGTCCGGTCTGAGGCCTCCAGACTAGGGCTTTGATTGAGTGACCATCAATCACCTTTCATTGTGAATATGAAATAGTAAGAGAAATTGAAACAAAAACAGAATTCCTTTGAAATTTGATCTGATTACTGCTGGGAGAAAGAAGCCAGAGAGGAGATTGATTGTCTATATCTTAGACACAGAAAGGCGAGGGAGGTAAAAGCAACCCTTGGAACAGAGGACAGAGCGCGGGCTCCAGTGCTATGGGGTCACCTTACCGGGGTGCTCACAACCTTGGAAATGGGGAAAAAAGCGTGCTTCCAAGGGGGAAAAAAAATCATGTATCTAGATTGAGGCCTAGAGTAGGAGATGCTATAGCGGTAATGAGATTTCAAGGCATAATAATGGTCCAGCAAGTTGGGCAAACGGTCTGACCCGGGTACCTAGGTATATATTTGTATCTCAGTCTGAGCTGAACCGAGCGTGGCTTTTTCCTGAGATGCCCTGGTCCTGGATGTTGCTGGAAACCAACTTTGATTGAAACGAGTATGTATTTTGTGTAAGAGACCGGATACCCTTGAAGGATGAGACGAACGGATGAGTCGGATCGACTTACTGAACACCTAAGCGATCTTCGACGTATACTCTGTTCTATCGACTGATCACCTAAATTATCTTCTTGGCTGGTAATTCGCAATATGAGGCTTTTATTATCTGGGCATGATGCGAATAGGAAATCCCTTGCCTTCTAAATTCTCGACAGAATGGAGAGACCGGGGGCGGGACGACAGCCTTAATACATCAACATGCTAAGTAGAGAAGAATGATACTTTCAGAAAATACCATCAGAGAAATCAATCACTTGGGCCCTCTCAACAAGTCCATCCAAGCTTCGAACAAACTCCTGGTGAACAGGGTCGTCCTTCACGTAATAGTCTCGATCCGCACCGTTCGCAAAATTGACAATAAAAGCATGTGTGATACCTTCCTGTGCGTTTCAAAACTCATTGAATTAGTCTTCAATCTTTGGATCTTCTTTTCGACTTTTTCGTTCATATTCGTAGGTTTTCTTTTTTTCATTTTTCTTTCTTCGTGATGTCCATCGATTGAATGGCTCGAACAATTGCCAAGCTTACCTGTGCTCCTTCTGGAGAATTGTCCTTCCCTCCGGACGCTGATGTGATGTAAGGCTTTTCAGAAGACGGGTGGACGCATTTCTCTTTCAAAGCCGCCATTCGTTCGCAGGCCTGCCGAAACAACCGTCATTCGTTAGTGGCTCAATGCCACACTGGGCTATAACATGGTCGACTATTGGATGCAAACTTACACTGCGAACAGAACCTGGTTCGACATTGGATTTGAATTGAAAAAGCACAATATGAGTGATAGACATGATATGAAACTTTTTCCCAAAGACCTCGGTGTAAAATTGGATAAGACGGATATAAAATGTGGAAGGCAGAGTGAACTATTATGTGCTTGCGACCGTCCCTTTTAGCATGAGCTTTGCTGGTGTTTCCGATATTGCCCAGGTGCATTCCTCATCTGGGCACATGCACTGCCATCGGATTGGTAATAACTTGATGAATATAGGCATTATGCTTATAGCCGAATTTGTCCCGAATAGTTCCGGGAAATACAACTTTCTTCCAATGTTGGAGTTTGGCGCCAAAAAAACAGGAAACAAAAAAAAAACAAGGAAAATAAAGGAGGGGGGACTACCAAAAATCGAGCTCTCACCGAAACACGATTCACGAACCTCCAACTATCAAATGTGTTGAAAACAGAAGTTTATGGCTCTACGTCCATCATCTTATCGGGGGGGGGGGGGGGGTTACCATGCGAGCGCTGGTCATGTCTCAATCTAATGCTGCTCAATGAAGCGATGAGAATTATTGCCATCGTCAATGCGCAACGTAGACTAGTCTCTTTGAGATGAATAGGGCAATTGCCAGTGGAGCTGTACGCGCATCGGATAGCAGGAGTGTTGATCGAGCACACGGGCGCAGTTGGATTCAGTTCAGATAGAGAGGGTCAAACAGGCTGTATCCACAGGTAGCTCAAATGTGGATTTCACGACTGATTCTTATGTCTTAAATCTGCATTCTCTGGTGTATCCCTTCACCTTGTATAATATCCAAGCAAGCCACCAAATTTGGAACATCTTGGATGGTTATCCTTAATTGTTACAAACAAGATGAACAAAAAACTGAATGTTGGTGTCGTGGGCCTCGGTCGAATTGGTCAACGCCATGCAAAGAACTTGTTGCATAGGGTTCCAGAAGCGCGTCTTTTTAGTGTATGCTCACCGGACCCGGAAGAATTCAGTGAAGCAAAGAAGAACTTTGAGCCCGAAGGAGTGCAGGTGATGTCAGATTTCAATGAAATGATTGATCTTGTCGGGCTCGAGGCCGTGATTATTGCCTCGCCTACCCGTCTGCACATGGAGCATACGTTAGCTGCACTGCAGCGTGGTCTTCACGTTCTGTGCGAGAAGCCTATCACCACTGATCTCTCCTTGGTAAGAAACTAGAGCTCTTCTCTTCATGATGCCACTAACTATCTCCGAGCTCCGAAATCTGATCGAGACGGCCAAAAAATCCCCGCACATCAAAGTGATGACCGGATTCATGCGTCGTTTCGATTCCGATTACCAAAGAGCTATGCAGCAGATCCAACTCGGCTCGATCGGTACTCCGATTATTCTACGATCCCAGGGAGCGGAGAAGTTAAACGAGAGTGATTCCTATGTTGACTATCTGTGCCACAGCGGCGGTATCTTTGTCGACGCAGTTATTCACGACATCGATCTCACCCTTGCCCTTTTAGGCGAAGACATCCGGCCCAAGGCTCTCTGGGCGACAGGTGTCATTTCCCATCATCACAAAATTCGTGAATTTGGTGATGTGGACAACTCGATCGGGGTGGTAGAGTTTTGGGGGGGTAAGGTAGCTTACTTCTACCATTCTCGTACAGCTGCACATGGGTACGACAACTGCACAGAGGTTGTGGGTACTCAAGGAAAGATCTCTATCAATCTTGTGCCAAGGAGAGACAGACTTCAGCTGTCGAGCTCCTCGGGGATATCCGAGGAGGCAATCCCGAACTGGTCGGATCGCTACTGCGAAGCCTTTGTGGGAGAGTTGAATGAGTTTACCAGAGTTATTCTTGAGGACCAAGAGGTGCCCCTTCGGCTTGAATCGGCATACATGGGACTTCAGATAGCGTTGGCTCTTCAGGAAAGCTTACGAGATGGAACGAAAATTGACTTTGACGAGGGCGGCGTTCGAAGCAGTGCTTCTAGGGGATTGGTCTGATGTTTCTTTTCTGAATGTTCTTCTGGCCAATTTTGACTTAAAATGTTTGAATGGTATTTTCCCGGCAAATTCCAAGTTTCAAAACACATCAATGAAAATCGATGTAGTACACCTATGACTGCCTCCGACTGTAGAACAGAGGACTGAAATATTAAAAGTAATTGAATCCGGGATGCTATGTTACTTCCGTGTTAGCTTTACATACAAAAGATACTTTGTGTCAAGAGCACATCATTTCTCAAAAATATACAACACCCTTTCCTTTATTCAGCAAATCCTTGTGATATGGTATACCATCCCGATCCATGGATGCTATACAACCATTTTAAATTGAATGGGAGGAATCCGAGGTCATTGTCAAAATTGTACCTAACCCAGATACACAGCTACTACGGAATAGGTACTAGGTATATATTTTCAAACCTCGGAAACAGCGATACTACCTAGGTAGGTACTCCAAGTTCAAGGTCCCGTTTCCAAACATCCTGTACCTAGGTACCTACCTAGGTACGTAGCTAAGTTATATATCTAAATCAAGGTTACTCTTACCGAGGTACTTTGCTACTTCGAAGGTTAAAATTCACTAGGCAGTATTTGAAATACACGAGAGTTCCAAGGTTGAAATTCAGTCAAAGAGTAACGATTCTTAAGTACCTTTTGTACTACCTAGGTAGGTATGTCCCGACTCGGGAGGTCAGGTGCAGAATCAATACAAACCTTAGAACTTGGAAGGTATCATCAATCATCACGAATTCGATCCATGAATTACTTGGTGGAAGACAGACCCTCCCCTCCCGGAGAGGGGGTTAGACTAGCAGAGACGGGCACTGCGTGATCTCGTATCCTGGCCGTACCCATAGTCAATTCTAGCCTGACAGGTGCCATCCATGGATATTACGTAGTTCAGCGGTTTCACTTGGACATGCTCACCAGCGAGGAAGGCCTACGGCTATATCCTTCGGTGAAGGCTACATGCCATGTGTTCTCACTTGGACATCCCGGATCGCTTAGTTGCCCATCCTGCAACGTATTCCACGAGTCCAATTGCGGGCAGTCTTTTTTCGCTGCGCGTGTTCGAGCCGCCTATTCTGAACTTACCATGTAAAGTTCATGAAGTTGTACTTTCGGCTCGTCACCGATTAACTTTGCGAACACCCGGGTGATCCTGGCTGTTCTCTAGAATAATCGCTCTGTCCCTCTCTTTCGCTTTTCCCTTCTTCGCCCCTCTCGTTCTCAGTGTAGATAGTCAATTCGTCTCTGGCTTCTTGCCGCCAGTAGTAGTTAGATCAACTAGGATTCAACTTCAAGGCATCGACCAAATCTGAACATGGAGTGGCCTCGCTAGGATATTTTTTCTTTAACCTTTGTAGCTGAGAATAGAAAGTCTGTGGAGTGGACCGGGAGAAGTCAATAGTATGTTTCACCTCCCCACCTGTATATGTCAAGCTACCCCGACTTTCTCGCCTCGAGTAATTGGCCCGAATTCCAAGGGCTTTTCCCAACTCAGTTTAGAACAAATATTTCCTCGTCATGAATTTCGAGTTTCCGTGTTAGGGATTTCCCCAGATTTCCCCATGCCCCGGGAGTGACCGGGTGGGTACAACCTTGAAATATTTCGTACGTATTTGAATATAAATTCGGTCTTCGACGGGCTCAGGCTGTGATTTCTCAGTATACCTCCTCGCAGTCTCTTTTATCCTTCCAACCCGCTACAATAAAACCTTGATACATCATATCGAAATGCCTCATAAGCTATGGTTTAAACCTGGCTTTAACACCCAGTTGGCTATCACTGCGAACTGCCTGCATGCCTTCTTCTTGTAAGTAGACAACTCAACTGCTGGGTATGTGTATCTCATGCAGGCAGATTTGGATATGATCAAGGTGTCTTTGGGGGCCTGATTTCCAACCCGGACTTCTTGAATATCGTGGCCCATCCTTCAGATGGCCTTCTTGGTTTTATTGGTATGTTTTGAAAGAGCATCCATCCGGCCTCAACTTACTAGATATCTATCAGTCTCTAGTTACAACCTTGGGTGTCTTTCAGGCTGTGCCCTTACCTTCGTTATGGGCGGTCGGATAGGTCGCCGGCCAACACTTTGGCTTGCTATGGTCACATTAATCCTTGGTGCTATAATTCAGACATCTGCTTATGGGGTACCCGATGAATCATTGTTTGAGTAAATATGTTTAAGACTAAGATCTCAAACAGGTACCCCAAATGATTGTTGGACGAATTGTCGCAGGCATTGGTAAGTTTATTCCGAAAGGTTTCTGCTTTGCGCTGCAATGTGATAACAATCGCCACAAGGTGTCGGTATTGATACGGCCACGGTGCCTATGTAGTATGTCGGTAACTTACACTACAATGTCTATGTACTAACACCATCCAAGCCAAGCGGAGCTGTGCAAAGGTGACGTTCGAGGTCGTTTGGTAACCACAGAGGTATGCATTTCTATATGGCATCCCCAGAGGCATTGTCTAACTCGATTTGTCTTGCGTCTCAAAAAGATCCTATTCACTGCAATTGGTATAGCCGTGGCGTACTTCTTCGCCTTTGGCATGGACTTCGTCGGTGGCGCCATTGCATGGCGACTTCCAATCGCCGCCCAGATCTTACCCGCACTTATCATCTGCATTGTCCTCTTTGGTCTACCTGAAACGCCTCGATGGCTTATTGAGCGCGGAGAAGTTGACGAAGCATTGGGGGTCATGTGCCAAGTGTATGGCGTCCGCCCGGACGATGAGAGTGTCCAACATGAAATGAGGGAAATTCAGAGGGCACTAGAAAATGAAAGCGAAGCTGCCCTCCACTGGTTCGGGCTCTTCAAGAAGGATCTAGTTCAAACCAGTCGGCGAGTCTGCTTGGCACTATTGGTTCTATCATTCAACCAGGTCTGTTCTTTTTCTACAATTTTTTTGGCCGTGAAGGAAACTCATCTTTCACACAGTGGGCTGGGATCAATGTCGTTGTATTCTATATTGCTGTCGTTTTGGAAGAAAGCGTGGGGCTCCCCAGAAAAACGGCACTTGTTGCCGGTGGATGCATCAATCTTGCGTTTGCCTTCGGATCTTTGGTGCCAGCACTATATCTCGATCGCATTGGAAGGAAAAGGCCAATGAGTAAAGTACACCAAGGGAATGCTTGAGTCTGGTCGCTGACAATATTCGCAGTTATTGGCAGTGTAGGCATGGGGCTCAGCCTTGCGGCCATCGCAGTCCTCCTGTCCTTTCAAGACACAGACAACGAGGCTGTCACCGGAAAGACCTGTATTGCCTTTTTCGTCGCGGTAATGAGATGGTGATACTGGATTAAGTGCCATTGAGCTGACATATCTGGCAGTATATGATTTTCTTTGGAGCAAGCCTCAACGCAATTCCTTGGTGCTACGCCGCAGAAATCCTGCCGCTGAAATCTAGAGCAAAAGGAATTTCGCTGGCTGTTATGATGAACTGGGCTTTTGTAAGTGTTAAGATTGCAGCTCACGGGTACCTACAAGACTTACAACGTCTCAGGTTTTCCTTATTGTCATGGTCACTCCTACCATGATCGCCAAGATAGCGTGGAAAACATATTTGGTATTCATGGCATGTGTAAGTTTCCTGAATTTTCGTTTACTTTACGACGAGAAATATACCTAACCCACCATAGAACTTTGCAATGGCTCCCGCGATCTACTTCTGGTTCCCTGAAACTAGCAGACTATCCCTGGAAGAGATAGATCTTCTCTTCTTGGACGATGGAGAACATGCAACGGCCACCGAAAGTGAACAATTCAACATCGGCAAGAAGCCTGCCGCTACTGCATTTTCACACATCGAGCATATCAAAGAAGAAAGAGATGGCGACCATCAGTAGTATTACCCCTCCTGGGGGACTACTATTGGCGGTGGCATGTACTGAGTGGCTCAGGCAATTTTCATTCTCCCGCAGATGAATGTTATCTATAACGACTGGATTTGGATGTAGCTGGACAGCCTTTGAACGGAAGATGGCTCAGAAGTTTTATGGAGCGTAACTCGCAAGTGCCTGGCAGAAACCAAGATTTTTGTTTCTTAGGAACCAATTACTTCACTGTTTATCTACTATTTTGTTGTAAACACCCGTTCCGGTGACCCTGGCTATTCCCTAGGATAGCCCGCTCTCCCTCCCCTTGTCTTTCACTTCTTTTTCTCTCCATGGGTAGACAATCACACCTCCTCCGGCTCATTGCCGCCATCAGTAGTCAGTCATCTACTACTAGAGAAGGGAGACCTGTTATGCGCCCCGTGAAATGGAAACCTGCAGTCATGGCCATGAGCATTATGAACTAACAGTATTCATAGACTAATCCACAGTCCTGAGCCCACGGCAGCTTCAGCTGTTCGTTTAAAAAAGTAGTAATAAAATAAACTTCCTTTCCAAGAACCGCTGTCATATCATGACTCTCAAGGCTTGATCAAAATCTTTATATGAGCTGCACGATTATGAACCAACTCGTCGAAGCCTCCTACCACGGCTTTCGACAGTGGAACAATAGAGGTGATCATTTGCTCCGCATCAAGTCTTCCGTCGGCTAGCATGCCAAGGACGACATCAAAATCTTCTTGGAAATAGCAAATGCCACCAGTCAGCTTCTTCTCCTTCATGGTCAAGTCGTTCAGATTGAGCGATAGTGGTTTCTTGTGAATTGCGACATTGAAAACTGTTCCTCCCGGTTTCACACTGGAGATGGAAAGATCCAATGTTGATTGGAATCCAATTGCATCAAAAGCTATATCGACGCCGCCCGGAACCACTTTGCCAATGGTCTCCTCTGTCGATTTTCCCTCATCTGCAGATAGCTCCAGCGGGTTTATGACAGCATCTGCCCCAAACCTCCGGGCCTGCATCATACGCGATTCTAATACTTCGGTCACAACGATCTTGGAGGCACCCATGACACGGAGAAGCAACACGATAGCCAGCCCAATTGGGCCTGCACCACATATGAGAACCGACTGGCCCTTTTTGAAACCCGAAGACGTTATGCAGTGGCGCCCAATCGCAAGGGGCTCTACCAAGGCGGCAGCCTTCAAGCTCACGTTAGAAGGCAGAGGAACACAGTTTATAGCCTTGACAACCGTTTGGTCGCAAAAGCCACCACCAGGTGCATTAAGACCAATGGTTGCAGAGGCATCGCAGATGTTATACTTCTCGTCCTCACAAGGTCCACAGAACTTGGAACCATGGTGACGATGGTCGTAGGCAGGGCTGATGACGACGGGCTGTCCAACGTTCAGATGGCGTACATTGGAGCCAATCTCGCAGACAGTGCCAGAGAATTCGTGACCCATGACGACAGGCAGGGAAACACCCGTATGAGGATTGATTTGCCCTTCCTGGGGAGGAAAAATAGGCCCACCGACATACTCGGTCACATCGGTGCCACAGATGCCGCTATAGGCGACCTTGACACGGGCGTCGTCGGGACCGCACAGCCTGTAAGAAGTCAGAATGATGGATTCAAAGGAGGGATCACATCGAAGATGACCAGCACACGTACTGAGGCTCAAGTTGTTCTAGGCGAAGGTCACCGTGCTTGTAGAAGCGGAGAGCCGTGACCTTCGGCTGAGCGCTAGCTGTTTCAACCACAATGGCAGTCGACATGATGAAGCAGAATGAGATGGTTTGGGGCAGTGGTCTTTCAATGCTGGGAAATTTCGAAAGCTGATTGTCGATCTATATTCACAGAAGGTTTAAGACGACGATTGCTTGAGAGGATAGACTCGGCGGAGCAATTTGAAGGAAGTGAGTGAATCGAATGAGATAGCGACTGTATTTATCCCCGTCATTATTCTAGGCAAAAACCACCGATTGAGCACCCGATGTAACCAGTGGCGGCTGGGGGAAACAGCTTGGAAATTGCATGTCTTGTGCTCTGTCGACCTGATCCACGGACCTCGGGAGGCTTCTCCGGTTATATGATCTTGGGGTTCGGGGAAATAACCGGAAAATACCCAGGACACTCATCTGTGCGGGCTTTACCTTTCTTGGTGCTTTACCATGACAAGATTTCGTCAACAACCTTGGAATTTGGTGTTGTGAACCCCACGGTCAGGTGACCCTGGCTGGTCCCCATGGCTCGCGCTTCCTCCAGGGCTCCTCTCGTCGCTCGTCCCTCCTTCACCTCTCTCTCTCAGACTGGACAATTAACCTCTCCTCTGGGTTCTTGCTCCTGGCAGTAGTCAGATCAAAGACACCCTACACCACCCGGGCATGGATGATTACGATAATGATATAATCCCGAGGTTACCCCGGATGCCCGAGATCCCTCCGTACTGTCTTGGGCTGATGCACACCCGCGCCACACAATTTAGCCACACTCGACACTGAGGTAATCGACCGTCCCTCATCTGGCCATCTGGGCACCCAACAGCGTGCGACTTACCCTCCCTCGTCCCATTTACGCTATTCTCAACCATGAATCGGGGCATGGCCCAAAGGCCGCAATCACCATCCGATCCATCAAACCAGTCACGTTCGCGACAGACAGCTCGTATCCGCGCTCCCAAAGCATGTCGTCGCTGTAACGAGAAACGTGTCAAGTGCGACGCGAGCGAGCGTGGAATTCCTTGTACCAGGTGTATCCAGAGAAAGGAGCCTGATTGCAGGCTGATCCAGTCACGACGAGGCGCCTACGCTCGGAAACCACGTTCTCAGCCTGTTGCCACGGCGCAAAACTTTGCAGAACATCAAATCCTCGGCGGCGATAATGATCCTGCTGTTGTGGGAACGACGTCAGAAGAAGTTGGCGATGGCAGACCTGCACCAGCCCCGCATGCGGTCACTGTCGAGCCTCTTACTTCAGATTTTCGGTCACATGACGTCGATCGCCATCGGCTTTCAACTGGACGCGAGCGCGGCTCAGTCAGTAGCTCAAACGGAATTGCTCCACAGCAGGGCGGTAGGCCGGAAGAGTTTGTCGTTTCCCATGCTCATCAATCTCCCGTGGCGCCAGAAGTTGTCTCGGATCAGGATGGAGCACATCTCGAATCAGGGGAAATTACTTCACCCGTGGCGGACGTCGGACCCAATGATTCCACTAGCAGGAACCCCTTGTCGTATCGCAACATTAGCTGGACTGACGTGTTCAACCACCTTCTGGAGGGTCGCAGAGGAGGTGAAGATGGCCTGAACAAATGTTCCATCACCTACCTCGGGGAATCGTTTCCGCTCTCTGCAATATTACAAGATCTCCAAGGTGAACATGCAGGTCGGCTACCGCTACACCACCCGGGGCCGTCTTACCCAGTCGATGTGCAAGTTACAGAATCGAGTGGCCTTGGTCGTCCTGCGGGCATGGGCCCCGAAGAGCTTGCTTTCCTCGAAACAAAGGGGGCATTTAGCGCACCCGCCAACGACACGATGGAGACTCTCATAGATGTGTTCCTCGAGCGGGTATTCCCCATCTATCCCATAGTCAACCGTCAAGAGTTCCTTGAGTTGCACAAGTCACGAAAGATTCCCTGGATCTTGCTTCACGCGTTATGCTCCGTTGCGTCTATCTTTTGTTCCCCCGAAGTTCTCTACCGTGCAGGATTCGGAAGCCGGCAGCAGGCCCGGGGAGCGTATTATTCCAGGGCTAAAGCACTCTTCGACATGGGCTATGAAACCAACAAAATTGTGCTTCTTCAAGTCACTATTCTGCTGAGCTTCTGGGGCGGCAGTCCCACTGACAACTGGAACTTTTATTCCTGGATCGGGATGGGTGTTATCATAGCAGAAACCATTGGGTGCCACAGGTCTATGGCTGGGACCAGTATAAGAAAGCAAGATCGAAGCCTTTTGAAGAGGCTTTGGTGGGTCTTGGTCCTGCGAGATGCAACGTCAGCTGCGTTGATCGGGCGTCCCTTCAAGGTGAACCTCGATAATAGTGATGTGGAAGCTCTTTCTTTTGAAGACTTTGAACACGATGTGATATCGCCGACACGCCCAGCAAACCAACACACACATTACTCCATTCTATACCAGATCCATGTGATCAGACTGACTATCATTCTACGCCGCATTATAGCAGCTCGTTTTCAACCCCGTAGAGAGCAAGCTGTATCTCCGGGCTACTGCAGGCAGTTGCTAGCAGATTGGCGCAACGAACTACCGCCTGAGTTGGCCTGGTCTGGAAACGCCCTAGAGAGCCTGAACATTTTCGCGTCTACCTTGTCTTCAATGTATAACCATCACGTCATTTTGACGTATCTTTGTCGCCGTTCAGCAGAAACGACGCAGAACAGTCCATCGAATGAGACCTCGGAGAAAATGATGGCCGAAACAGCAATGAAAGAAGCCGCACAACAAATTGCTCAAGTTGCCTGTTCCGTTGTTACAAAATCAGCAGTACTGTTGGCTCCTCATGAAATATTCCATGGTATTTTTATGGCGGCCGCGGTCTTCTATTTGCAGACAAAAGGCCCTAGCCGTATAATTGCGCAGCTGGGACTGTTGGGACTTACAAACTGCAAACTCGTATTTCACGCGACTCGAGAGACTTGGGATCCGAGCCCATGGTTCTTGCAGCTTTTAGACAAGGGTATATCTGCCTCACAGCCTGGTAGTGTTGAGGAACATCGGCCTGCAAATTCTACGGACCAGACCATGCAGGACCTCGCCGGCGCTAGCTACATCGATACGAACATGAATGCCTTTCTCCCTTTCGGGAACGATATGTGGCAAGACCTGTCCGTTGTTGGCAGTCTTTTCGAAATGCCACCAAACACTTCAACGTCTATGGCCATCGGTCCGGATCTTGATGACAGGTCTGGTTCGTCCTGGTTCTGCGCCCAACCATTCGGTGACATTTGATATACTCATTTTATCCGAGATCGTCCATTCTTGTATTGTCCTGAACATACATATGTTCACGGGACTATGTCTACTATGATCCCTCACTATAGAATAAGCTGATACCGCCGTTCCAACCTGGGAACCCTGTCTGTCATGTCAACCAGTTTCCATGTTCGTCCTCCCAACCGAAGTCGACTTCCGTCCAGCCTTGTAATGTGCGTTTGCCATCCAGTTCAATCCATAAGAGATGGTGGATATTGCAGATTCTGTGCTGTTCAAGTTGGCTGTGCGCACCATTGATCTTGGCCATGTCTTCGTCATCTAGACTGATGAGACTGATGTTTTCGATAACACGCGTTTGGGAACTGCTCTTCGGGATGACTGTTGTACCACGCTGCACAGCCCATGACAGGGAGACTGCACCCGGCGAGCACTTGTGCTTTTTGGCGATGCTTGTGAAAATGCCATCCGTAAGTATATGGTTTTTAGCCACCTGGCTATCACCTCCCAGGGTACTATACGATCATCTGTCAGCCTGCTCTCCGTTACGAGGCAAAAAGTTTTTCTTAAGCTCGCCTTGATCTTTCACGGACTTACCCCCAACCCATGACATGAATTCCCTTCGACTGGCAATATGGGACCAATTTCAAACAGGGATTAAGTGCATGAAGCTCAACCTGATTGATGACCGGAATTATAGTGGCTTGCTCGAGTAGCACACTCAGAGTCTTCTCGGTGAAGTTACATACGCCGATTCCTTTGCATTGGTCCCCTACCAGTTTCTCCATTTGCTTCCAGGTCTCCACAAAGGTAGGAGACTCCTGGATTTTCAGAGGATTTCCTTCCGGCGTCATTGCCCACGGCCAATGCATGAGAAAGACGTCGATATAGTCAAGGGAGAGTTCTCTGAGGGAAATTTCCAGTGCAGCGGCGACGTTGTGATGGTAATCCCCCCAATACTTTGTCACGACAGTGATGTCAGACCGGGGCACCCCGCTATTTTTGACCGCACGACCGACGACTGATTCAATCCCATAGTACTGGGCTGTGTCAATCAGGCGGTAACCGTTCTGTATAGCAAATATGATCGACTGCTCAAGTGCTTTCTCGTCTTCCGTGCCTAGGCGACCTATCATTCATTTTCAGCTAGGCAATGTGCAGGATTTAGAGGACTGCCTACCTTGCCAACTGCCAAGGCCAACGGCTGGCATATGTCTGCCTACCAATCATTGACGGTTAACATGCCATTCAGCTCAGATGTTGGTTTGCGTTGTTGAGGGGACTATTGGAATGAAGCGAGCTGAAACCTACCATTGTTCAATTGGAACGTCTTGGTGCACTTGCGTATGTCAGCCATGATCTAACGGGCTGTTGTTGATATTAACGTAAAAATCAAAGTCAGATCGAAAGGACGGGTTGAACTGCGAAGCTCCACGCAGCGCCCTGGGAAGAGTGCAGACTTGTAGCTTTTGATTCTGGATCTTTCAACTATGACAAAGAACACGCTATTTAATAACACGAAAGTGGGAAATAGCAGTCTGCACACAGGACACATCCCGAGAGCCATAACCGCGACAGAGCATCCGGCATTTCTCGGTGTCTAGCAGCCTTATTACCGGGCCTGGTCCGCCATCAGTTTCGGCCAGGAGGGTCACGTCGTCATATAGCCGGACCCGCCCGATTTTGCCAGCAGACCCGGTCGAAGACCTTCAGAACTGGGTTCCGCTGAGACCTTTGGCCATATAGCAATTTCAGTGACTCGATCATCCCTCCCCTCACATGAATAGGTTTATAACTCGAATATTCTCTCGCTATTAGTCCACTTTCCATTAATCATCCAGAAATTGCGCAATCAGAATAATACTATACCCATGTCGACTGTCCGCCCTACCAACCCTAGCCCTGTCGATTCACCGCTGACACCCAAATTCAGACATTCGCCCGCCCGATCAACCATGTTGCGGTCTCCGTAAACGATATCGAAGCCGTGACGGCCTGGTACACTAAAGTCATGGGCTTCCGGGTCATTGGTGACCGGATTTTCCACATCAAGCGATCAGAGAACCCGTCAGCAGCAATCTTCGCCATCTACGGAGAAGCTCTCCATGAAGTCAAGCTGGCATATATGGCAACCGGTAACGGTGTCGGCTTTGAAGTCTTCCAGTTCCTTGACCCTGATTTCAAGGCAAATCCCGTCCACTTCGAGTACAACCGGGGCGGTTTCTTTCATATTTGCGTGACGGATCCCAGTCCGGATGCATTGGCCGACAAGATTGTTCAAAATGGAGGAAGTTTACAAGGCACCACAGTCAAGGTTGCGGGAGGGTCAGCAATCTGTGTATATGTCAAGGATCCGTGGGGAAACGTGGTCGAAATTTTAGACACTAGCTTCGATCGAATGGCTACCATGGACGTGGCTCAGTGATCTTACATTGACCACCATGTTGGAACACCTGCCCAGTGCCCAATCGAAGTAATGAAATATGTAGGGGGCAGACGTGGGAGAATATTCCAAGGTTGGAACCTCCCTTCGTCTATCTCTGAGTAGAAGAATCATTTATTTCTTCTGGTGTGAGCTCACTTCTGTAAGTTCATCAACTATCAACTCCATCTACTCGTGTCGAATGAAATGGATATTTTCTAGTCAATCTTGAAGCACGTCTAAACCTTTCGGGACTACCGAACATCCATTTAATTTCGTCGTTTAATTCTTCTCTTCAAGGTAAGCCTCAAGGTAGCAAGTATTAGGGCGGCGCAGATTATACTATGCAATAGAATAGTACATTCTACTGGACTCCTGTGCTTTTTCCTGACTCTATCACGACTGGGAGAAACATGGCCAGAAATTGACTGCAGTCTTCCATCAAGCTAGAATTGGCAATAACTCACTAGATGATATAGTGGTATTTAGAACATCCACGTAATTCACCTCTTCAACATCTGATGCCAGATCCTGTTGAACCCACATCATTTCTATCATCTGCCGTATTGCATATAGGCCGTGATTATTAGTCCTCTTCCGTGTTCTGTCCAGTATCCCCAAAATTGCCTGTCGCTGTTCATCATTTTGCGCTTCACAGCCGACGAAAAATATTGGAAATGGTCGTTCGCAAATTTGCAATTGGTTCACAATGTAAAATGCTTCCGCAGTCCATCTCGCTAGTCGGCCTTTGTTAGGGGTGTCTTTGAGAACGCGTTCGAGATAGATCAATCCTGCTAGTCGGTAGAGCTGGGATATGAGGCTTGTATGTGCAACCTCCACCGGATTGGACGTTTCTAGAGACCCTATGTCCTGATAGAGTCCAACTAGGTCGTCTTCAATAGAGCTCAGTGTATCCGGTCCTCCTAAATCGCTCTCAATGGTATCCTCAGGCTGGGATTGGATCTGCGACATCCTGAATATCAGGTTGATCATCTCCAGCGAGCAACCCAGAATCCCGAAAACCTATCAATTACATTAGCTCGGGCTTTGTGTTGTATTGCGGGTGACTAGTACTTGATTTTTAGCGACCGAGGCCACTAGAGTCGAAGCCATCCCAGGCGTCTTGAGTAACGCTTTGTTCTCAGCGGTATCGACTTTCCAATGCCGGGTGGTGAATTTTCCCAAAATATCATGATAATGCACCCAGAGAATGAGCAGGTCGACCTCCATCAATCGGGGATGGCCACCTTCGCAAATAATGTGCAGCATGCTTTTGGCCCCTGATACATATAATGGCCACTGGAAGGAGCTCTCAGATGGCCAGAAGGTCTGGGGAATTAGCATTGTACGTCGATCAATGAACGGCAATTACCTCGAAGGCACATAGCAGCATCCCCACAGCTGTGTGTTGATAAATTTCAGTTGTGCCTGTAACTCGCCCACTGATTGAAGTCCTCAGCGAATTGATCGCGGCAACCTTTAGCCGGAGTGACTCTTCCCCGTATCCATATCGATACAGTGCGGCCAGCGACAGGATTGCACGCAATACGGCCATCGAGGAGGGTGAGTCGTCGGAAAAAGAGAGCTGGAAAAGAAGTTTCCACAGTTTGTTTCCATCTGCTCGGATGCATGTGATTGAGTCCACTACGGTTGTCATGACTGGGTTGTCAGCTTGGGAATACAATAAACTGAATATTTCCTCACAGAATGTCATTAGGTGATGCTCATCACCTACAGATGGTCGTGCATTCTCCAAATTCGCCAGGGGAAATATGCACGTTGTATACAAGGGAATTCGTCCTGAAAGGTCAGCATATCCCTGCACATTGGCAATTGCGACACCAGAAGAATCACCTAGACGAGTCGGATGCAAATATAGAGCCTCAACATGTTTTGTGAGAGTATTGATAAAATGGACATTTTCTATATGATCCAGTCCACTTCCTACTTCCCAATCATTACGCACAAAGTGCTCGATCGACCGCCGAGACTTGGTCGCCGGCCAGCTCAAGCGTAGACCGTAGCCCAGACACTTGCGGCCCGCTGTCACGCATTTCCGGCAAGAGGGCCGGCCCTGATCACAGGCTACTTTGCGATCTTCCGATCTGTTAGATCTTGCGAAAGAAGAGGATCTGGCATCTTACCGCGACACGTCCAGCAGCCCCGCTTGGCGGGAATTCCGACGCGATACGGACCTCGCGGTTTTCCCATCTCGCAGAAGGGCCAGTCTGTGATTAATGTGAGGTGAATCTGCTTGGAAAAGGTGCTCGAAGAGGAAAAGAAGCCAAACGAAGACAGTCGAGCTATTCAGACGAAGTGGCGCAATTAATAATGTTCCCCAAACGGAAAGTGGGTGAGAATCTGTTCTTTTCTCTAGACTATAGTACATGCAATGTCTACAGCCACTGCTTATTCCCCAGATGCGAGATGAATGCACCACCATCTCCATTCGCGATCGACGATTTCTCCAACACGGACAGAACAGCCGCAACCGACTCGGCCGGTGTCAAGGGGCGCTGGAAGTGCGGGGCGTACTCGACGAATTTGCTCACAAGCACAGCGGCTTTTTCAGCATCTTCCTTTGATGGCTCGACTGCTCAAATGTCAGTAGAAAAATCACCATTCCTAACTTGTTGCGACATACCTTGGTTTCGCTCGGTCGTCACATACCCGGGGCTGATCGCGAAGAACAAGATGCCCTCCTTTTTGTACAGCGCATTGTATTTGGCGACCGCCACATTGAGCGCACCCTTGCTGATAGCATATGGAGCAGCGAAGTCAATCTCCGTGGCGTTGATCAGGTCTGGATCGGCCATTCCCGTCGAGATCGAAAGGACTTTCTTTTCATTTCCTTGGCGGATCAGCGGGATGAAAGCTTGGACTGTCTTGATCACTGCGAGCAGATTGATTTCGAGCGATTCTTGCAGATCCTTCTCCAGGGGTTCGAAGTCGTCCTCACTGAATCGGTTAGCTTGGCCCGTTGATATTGTGGTTCTCCACAAATTGGTGACACGTACAAATCGCTGAAGCTCTTGAATTCGCTGACGTGAGATACGACAGCTGCATTGTTGATGAGGTGGTCCAGGCCTCCTCCGGTAATTCCCTTGACTACTTCGGCAGCCCGCTGATTGAGATGAGCGTGGTGAATGGTCACAGAGTCGGGTGACTGACCTTTAGAGATGGGTAGTCGGTGTACTGAGCCTCGACTATATGGACATTGACCAGTCCCTCGGCGACAACCTTCGCTTCGGCCGCCGCTTTATCGCGGACAAGGCCGATAACGGTGTTGTTGGGATCTTGAGCAAGGTGTCGAACAAACTCGAACTAGAATATTTATCAGTTGGTGGAGCTTCTCGTCGGAGATCTCGGCCACTCACTCCCAAGCCGCGGCTGGCACCGGTAATAAGATATGAAGGCATGGTGTATCGTACGATGCTGTTTGAATGGGAATATGTGAAATGATGGATTGAAAGGGCAAGATATTCGTCTCATTATATACACTCAACTGTCGCAATTACTTGCCTCAATGTCCTGATGATTAACTAGAGCAGTCCTTCTTCTCTCTTCTGCAAGTAAATAGCTGACCAAGAGCCCGCTGATTGGCTGCAGACATGTGCAGGTCAAGTATTTGCGAGCCAATGGGAACAGTCGTGGTGGAGCTGATGGGGTTATATTAGTACAGCTTCAGTGGAATATTGCAGTAGTTAAGCACTTTTTAACTGTATCCTTCACTCTGATGCCTTAATAAGAGAAAGATGAAGAAAAGGTCCTGAAGTCGCTGCTGATCGGTTCCTGTGGTGACGTCATACATCCCAGATGGTCAGGCCAAGGACGATAAACTCAAGCCGAATAAAAGAATTCAGATTGCTGCAAGTGTAGCTCAAAAAAATCAAATGCCTAGTTGAGTAGTCAAGGAGAAGGGGAGTAGGAAAAGGAAGAGTGGAAGTATAGGGAGAGAAGTAGGTGCAGCCCTGGGATGGCGAACCATGACTGCGCAAGCCAACTTGGAACATGAGCAGCGGACATCTACAGTACGAATCTGATGTCTGGAAAATCAGAAGAAAAAAAACTGTGACCTTTTTGCATACAAATCTCGATGTTCCGAGATCTCGGCAAGGAGACTTTTCGCCGATCTGTTTTGCCCCTGCAGTCTTGACTTCTCAATTGATTGATACACACTTTATAACCTGCAGCCAATACTAAGACTATCACTCTGCATCTTCACCTTAATTGATCTTCATTCTTGCACACTTGCACCGCCATGTCCCTCACATACACGGACATCCCACTCCAAGTCCAAGGAGTCAACCTCAATCTCGCCACCATCCACAACTTGAAGTCCACGCCTCCAATTCTATTCCTTCATGGATTCGGCTCATGCAAGGAAGATCTGGCCGACATCATCGTGAATCCACGCGTCCAACACCATGGCTTCATCGCCTTTGACGCCCCAGGCTGCGGACATTCCACCAGTGACAACCTATCAGCCACTGATATCCCCTTCCTCGTCGCAACCGCGGAAGCCATCCTGTCGCATTTCAAAATCACCCAATTCCACCTGATGGGCCACTCCATGGGTGGTTTGACTGCGCTACTCCTTGCGCACAGCCACCCAGACCAAGTCCTGAGCTTCGTGGACATCAAAGGCAATCTTGCGTCCGAGGACTGTTTCCTCAGCCGGCAAATCTTTAACTTCCCTTCTGATGACCCGGAGGCTTTCCTTGATGCTTTCATCACTCGCACGCGCGAGTCTAAGTCTTTTGGCAATCCTCTGTATGCCAGCACTTTGCGCGCGAGGGTTCGTGCTGGGGCGGTGCGTGCGATCTTCGAGTCTATGGTGCAGCTATCGGATGGTGGAGAGCTTCTGGGGATGTTCCTGGGATTGCCCTGTCCTACGATGTTTATGTTTGGAGAGGAAAACCGTGGATTGTCCTATCTAGGACGCCTGGAACAGGAGGGCGTGGAGTTGGCGCTGATCCCGGAGAGTGGCCATTTCCCCATGTATTCGAACCCGGTCGAGATGTGGCGCCGGATTGGGGATTTCCTCGGAAGACTTGATTAAAAATTAGACATACAGAATAAACTATAGAGCAATATTTCTTGGCGCTCAGTTGACGCAGTAAAATGTATAGCCCTGGAGATCTCGGCTAGAACTTCGTAATGCATCAACCCGAATACAAGCCATTGACTTTCCTCATATTGGAATTTTCCCCAAGACAAAGTTACCTCTGAGCATTGACGACATGTGCAATATTACCAACTGCCCCAGAAAAGGTGAGGAATAAAATAAAAATTCACCAAGACCCGCACGAGGTCTGTTCGGTGTAAGTACATCTTCCCGACATGCATAAAAGCAGTCACAGGTATAGTTAAGACCCAAGAATTCATCACAAATGGATAGTCTGTATGCAAAGCTTGTATAGTTCTTCCTTTCAGGCCTAGCACAGCTCCTTCGATACATCCTCATACAGTTGACACCTTGGAACATTGAATGATCGCCGACTAGGCCGCCATCAGAACTTCAGTCATGTATAAATCCCCCATCACCACGTTGGTGCAAAACCCGCAGCTGCGTCTTCTCAATGCTTTGCGAGCTGGGTCAAAGCCCATCATGACCTTTTTGGGGCTGCCTTCTTTCCGCGCAGCCCAAATGGTAGCACAGACAGGACTCGATGTCAGTATCCTTTCCGTTCGACCCAGGATCCCGATATTGACATTTCCCAGGGAATTATCATTGACTGCGAGCATGGCAATATCAGTGATGATTCCATGCACAGTTCCACGGCCGCCATCGCTGGGATGGGTGTTTCACCACTTGTTCGCATCCGAATGACCCACGCAGATTTGATAAAGAGAGCTTTGGATGCTGGTGCACAGTAAGTATAAATATCAAAGGTGTTCTATCAGTACTGAGAAACATAGTGGTATTGTTGTGCCTCAAATCAACACGGCCGAGGAAGCCAGGGCTGTCGTCTCTCATTCCAAGTTCCCTCCTCAAGGAATTCGCGGGCAAGGCTCGGCTTTCCCAGGTATTGCTCACGGCACTGATATCGCGACGTATGTGAAATCGGCGAATGAGACGATTATCACTTGTCTCCAGATTGAATCGAAAGCCGGAGTTGAGAATGTTGATTCCATCTGCGCTGTACCTGGCATTGGTATGTGTTTAGGTCCTCTGCAAACATGCTTGTACTGACCTGAAACAAGATATGGTTTTCATCGGGCCCAACGACCTGGCTTTGTCGATCCTGGGCTATGTTCCTGCGAGGGAAGATGAGCCTGAATTTGTCGATGCAATTGAGAAGATTGTCACGGCAGCTAGACGGCATGGCAAGTGGGTTGGCCGATTATCAAATAATGGTGCGCTGTGTAGGGAGCATCTGAAAGTGTTTGATACCGTGGCCTTGAGTTATGATCTTCGGGCAATCCAGAACTGGTACACGGCGGAATTGCAGGCTGCGCGGAACTGAGGGAGATTGGCGATGTGGTATGGCATGATATATGATCAAGGCTCCATTGAATCGCATCCAGGTTGTAATGTCTAGAAGGGCACGTAGCAGAGTCGATGGTACTTTTGTGGGAATTCTGGAAGATGCATTCAAAACATGTTGTAGAGGCTGTCAAACTTTGGAATATTCAAGTGGCAAGTCACAAGTGACTTGTGTACAAAAGATCAATGGACATTCTGCTATTTGCACGATTACCTCCTAACCCTTACGTTGAAGTGTGTGATATCCCAACTTCTCTCGCGCCTCAGCAATAGATGCACCAGCAGAGATCAGCTTCCGAATACCAGCTTCACTGTTCTCAACCTGCCGAGCGACCTCAGCGACCTCACGAGCGCGGTCGCGGGGGACAATGACAACTCCATTTGCATCAGCGACGACAATATCGCGCGGTACAACCCGTACTTTGCCAATTCCAATGGGCTCGTTGACACCGCCGACCTGAACACGATCTTTACCGGTCCTCATCCAGCGCCCCGCAGTGAAGAGGGGGTAATCATCGCTGATTGCACGGTTCACGTCACGACAGACACCGTCAATCACAGAGCCAGCGATGCCCCGGATTCCAGCGTATTGAGTCATGATGTCGCCCCAAACGGTGCAATCGGTGCGACCACCGTTGTCAATGACAACGACATCCCCAACGGCGACGTCGTCAATGAAGTCGCCGACGCTTCCAGGGGGATCGCTGGCCGGCACGTAGCGAACCGTGAACGCTGGTCCGACAGTGACCTTGCTGTAATCGGTCAAAGGCATGATGCCAAATGCTTGTCCAGAAATGCCAAGTTTATCAAGCGCATCCGAGACACCGGGTGTGTCTGAATCGGCGAACAAAGCGATCAACTCTTCATCTTCAGCGCTAGCCTTCTTGGGATTCCGGCCTGGCTGCGAAGGTGCATCTTGAGACTTGGGCGCATCCGTGCGGATAGCTTCAAACTGCGAATCGTGCATAACTTCAGACACAGGATGGCCGGCGCGAACGGCCTGAACCATCAGATTTTGACGACGGTCAATTCTCTCTCCCAGATCAAGAACTTCTTCAATACGGGCTGCAGGAACAAACACCGTTCCACATCGATCCGCAATAACATAGTCATCCTGATTGACCGTGACTCCTCGCATTTCCAAGGGGATTCCAGAGTCGTATTGAACAACACGATTCCGAGCACTGATCATGGTAACACCGCGGCCGTAGACGGGGTAGGCGACATCGCGGCTACCATCGATATCGCGGCTCATGCCGTCGATGATGGTTCCACGAATGCGTTTGATCTTCGAAGCGTTGGCGATGATATCACCCCAGCATGACACGCCTTCTGTGCCGCCGGCGATGACGAGAATGCGGTCATCTGTGGTCACGGCGTCTATGACTGGTGTAAGAAGATGGGCTGCTGGAGCAACGTCGGTTTTGGGGCCGACTTTCACTGTGCTGGCGCGTCCGACTATCTTTGGACAGTCCCAGAGTGGTTGGAGGCCGTATGTGGCTCCTTTGAGGCCTAGGAAGTCGAGGGCGTCGGATACTGTGTTGGTATCCAACGATGATAGTCGATCCAGAAGACTTGATTGACTCATTTTGTAATTCGAATTGAGATCTGAGCCCTTCGAAGGTAAGAGTTGCTGCTCAAGAAGTTGGAAACGGCAGATGCGTAGACTCGGTGGGTTAGTATATGTAGGTTTCTTCAGACGCGACAAATTGGAGCATATTTCGAGCTTCGGTTCTCACATCGGCGAATCGTAATGCAACCGACGTTCGAACCTCATATTGAAGTCAAATATCGAATAATTTTGACCTTCTGTCGTCAGGTGGCAAAGTCTTGCTCTCTGAAGCAGACATCGGCAACATGCCATTACGCCGATGCCAACCTCCAGTCAAGTATATACTTCGATCGGCTTCAACCCCACGTATGAGTCACTTGATGTCCTAATTCTTTCAAAATCTTGACCTCACTGGTTAAATATCCTCGGTGGTTGTAGAAAGTGCCGGTGTGAAGCCTTCATCCCGAGTCACTCGGCAACCGAGATGCATGCCGCTTCGCAGTATGTATGGTCTTATAACGTTGTTCAAGAACCTTGTACACCGAGGAGCCCTCATATCAAGAAATCATAGCACTTTAGAGCAAGCGGCGAACACAAAGCTCGCCATGTCAAAACAGTACCTTGGCCTCGATGTTGCTCCTGCAGACACTGCCTTCGGACTCATGGCCAACTTTGCGGCCGATGACCACCCGAAGAAAGTTTCGTTGCTTGCTGGAGCGTATCGTGATGAGCAAGGTAATCCTTGGGTCCTCCCAAGTGTGCGAGAGGTACGGCCGAGACAATGTGAAAATAACAGCAACTGACAACAACAGGCAAAGAAACGTCTCAGTGAAGCCACCCATGAATACCTGGGTATAGCCGGGTCACCAGACTTTGTGAAACTAGCCAAAGAGCTCGTTTTCGGACCTATCTCATCCAAACTTCAAGGAAACACGGCATCAATCCAAACAGTCTCCGGGACAGGCGCAAACCATGTCGCTGCCACGTTCCTAGCAAAGCACCTCCGGCCAAGCCAGGTCTTGATCCCATCTCCGACATGGATCAATCACAAATCCATCTGGCAGATGGCTGGTGTTCCAATCGTCGAGTATCCCTACTACTCCTCCTCGACGAAAGAAATAGACATGGATGGCATGCTGCACTCCCTCGAGCAAGCCAAGCCAAATGATGTCGTTATCGTGCAAGCGTGCGCACATAATCCTACGGGTGTGGATCTCTCTCCAGCCCAGTGGAAGCAGGTCGCCGAGCTGGTGCAGCGGAAGAAACTGTTCACCGTCTTCGATAGTGCGTACCAGGGCTTTGCGACAGGCGATGTCGACGGTGATGCATGGGCTGTCCGTCACTTTGCCGAAGCAGTGCTTGCATCCGAGACACATCCGGGCTTTTGTGTCGCACAGTCCTTCTCCAAGAACTTTGGGCTGTACGGTGAGCGAGTAGGTGCCTTGCATCTGGTTGTACCGCAGTCTTTGTCCGCGGAAGGCGCACAATCTGAGTTGTCGTTGATTGCACGAGCGGAATACTCCAATCCGCCCCGATATGGGGCGAGTATTGTTGAGGCTGTTCTGGGTGATCAGGCTCTGAGATTGCAGTGGAAGGCGGACTTGGATACGATGAGTTCACGTATTCACCGGATGAGAAATATGTTGAGACAGAAGCTGGAGGATGAGACAGGACAGGATTGGTCGCATGTTGGAAAGCAGATTGGCATGTTCAGCTATACGGGATTGACCGCGATGCACGTCGTCCGGCTGCGCGAGGAGTATCATATTTATCTCTTGCCCTCTGGTCGGGTGAGTATCTGCGGACTCAATGAGAGCAATATTGATTATGTGGCACAGGCCATTGGCCAAGTGTTGCGGGAATCGTGAAATGTTATGGTTGGGATCTCAGAGTGTGAATATATATCGATTGGCGTCAGGCTTGTTGCACTGCTAGATGTTCCACGGTTGAAATTTTGAGACCTACCTAGGTAGCTTCCAAACATGCAACATTGAAACGACTGAAAAATCTCCCTGCATAAGTGTGAGGATAGGAATAATTCACATGCCCACCGTTGTCCACAGGCCGAGTCGGCTTTCTCTCCGTATTCTTCAACATTCTCGGATATCGCGCGACCCAAGTAGCCAGTGAACATAAATAGAGGAGTCCATCACTCCATGATTGTGGTCTATTCATTTCAAAGTCAGCATGGGGTCCGAATCAAAGCCAACCGTGCTCCATCTCGGAGATGCGATCAAATACAACCACGAGTTCTATAAGACCGAGTTCCAATCTCGTTTCAACGTCATTCAAGCAACAGAGACGGATCGAGATGGCTTCATTCAGGCACTAAAAAGTAATAAGTGGGTAATGAAGCTGTTCAGGTGCAGTGATCACCGACCTAACCCACCACAGATACGGCGCATTCTCGGCCCTGTTCCGCCCACACTTCCAGACTGGCGGCTTCATGGGCCAATGGGACAAGGAACTCATTGCATGTCTCCCACCAAGCGTGCGAATCTTTGCTTCAGCGGGCGCCGGCTTCAACTGGGCAGATGTCGACATCCTCGCTCAGCACAAGATCTGGTATACCAACGGGGCCGGCGCATCAGACGAGGCGGTTTCAGATACAGCACTGTACATGATTCTGAGTGTATTCCGAAACTTCACACGCGCGCAACTTGCAGCAAGGACGGCAGACCCGGAGATCTTCACGGCGACGCACAAATTGATTGCGACGATCTCGCAGAATCCGCGTGGCCATATTCTGGGCGTTGTTGGGTTCGGGAATATCAGTAGAAAGCTTGCGTATAAGGCGGGAACGGCGTTGGGGATGAGGATTCATTACTTCGATATTGTGCGAGCGGATTCGAATGTCGAGAAGGAACTCGATGCCACATATCATGAGTCTCTGGATGAATTGCTGAAGATCGCCGATTGTGTCTCGCTGCATACACCGCTGAACTCGCACACTCATAACCTGATCGACGAGCGCGCGCTAGGTCTCATGAAGCCTGGGAGTCGGATTGTTAATACTGCTCGTGGAGAAGTTCTCCATGAGGATGCGTTGATTAATGCGTTGCAGTCCGGTCATCTTTCGGCGGCGGCATTGGATGTGCATTACCATGAGCCTCAAGTCTCGCCTGTACTGGCTGGGATGGAGAATGTCACCTTGACGACTCACATTGGAGGTGGAGCTCTCGATACGAGGATCAATTTTGAGCTGAATGCCATGCGGAATATTCTGGCTGTTGTGGGAGAGAAGGGAGAGTTCGCCGGGGAACCTTTGACACCGGTGAATCGCAGGGCATTTGAAGAAGCTGAGACGCAATAGTCTAGATCTAGAGATGTGGTCTTTCATTAGCTTCGTCCGTTCAGTCCTGTCCTTACAAATCTGTACATGCTACAACCTTGGAAGGGTTTATGGTCTTAGGACTTCAAAAATTGAGCTGGAAGCATGTTGATATTGATAATGATATGAGCAAATCTGTAAAATGAACGTGTCTGTGCGTTGAAAAGTCTTACTCCCAAGATGGAGCAGCAAAAAGAGTGTAAATGCACGATGTAATGTGAACCCCCAAAGAGACAGTCTGTGTTGAAAAGTCCGACTCCCAGGATGGAGCAGCAAAAAGAATGTAAACGCGAAATGCAATATGAACCTCCGAAGAAACCGTCTCTGTGCGTTGAAAAGTCTTACTCCCAGGATGGAGCAGTGAAAAGAATGTAAATGCACAATGCAATATGAACCTCTTCAAAGGACCTCTGAAATTCCAGCTTCCAGCTTGATGTCCGAAATCCCCGATCTCTAAACCTTGGCATCAATCTTCCGAGAGGCAATGTATGCCCTCAAATAGAATCGGAAATCAGCCAAGAAGTTCGTCTTCTTGGGAACCCATCCAAGCACAGTCTTCGCGTTGGAAACATCGGAGAAGTTCTCCTGAACCCACGAGTCGAAAGTGCAATACTGCGGGTCGGCTTCGTATGCGAGGGGCGCCTCAACTCCCAAGAGCTGCTTGCAAGATTTCATGATCTGGTCGGCGCGGACGGACTCGGCATGGAGGTCGAAAACAGGCCAAGAGCCAAGCTGACCGTGAATACGATCGACGGCGGTTTGAAAAGCGGCAGCAACATCTTCGAGATGGACGACTCCCACGTGAAGATCTCTAGCGGCAGGAATCTTGATTGGGACGGTAGACTTGGGATCGGCATCGACGATAGCTTTCCAGAGCTGGCCCAAAAGGGGGGTTGCGTGACCGTAGATGGCGTGGGGCCGAATGATGGCGACGTCGAGGACGTCTCGGAGAGCAAGGATTCTGTGCTCAACAGCAGGTCGAAGTTGGCAAGCTTTGAAAGCTAGAGCCTCAGGTGAGTCGGAGTTGCGAACTCGCGTGGGAATTGGATAGTCTGGTTCGGTATGCACGCCAGACCGAGAGACATAGACGTATCCCAACTTTGGTCCGGTGGAGTTCATGACAGCAAGGACGGTCTTCTGATACTCTCCAACGCAGACGACGCTGTCGATCACCTTGTGGGCTTCTTTGCCCGCGGCGGAGGTAGCATCAACCACCACAGTGATGCGGAAGCTGGAGATCATTTTCATAAGACTGTCAGAGGTTTTGATGTCTCCCATCATGGGCATGATCTCATTGGATTCGAGGAAGTCTGCCTTGGCTGCGGTGCGGGTGTGACCCCAGACGTGATAGTTACCGGATCGATTCAGTGCTTTGCAGATAGCAAGCCCTAGATACCCGGAGGCACCGAGGACAAGAACGTTCGGCATGATGCAGATGGTTGAAGACCGGCGATGCAAGAACAGATGCGAGAAGAAGGGTGAGAGATGAAAGAGAGAAGAGAGAAGAAGGATAGGAGAGGAAGAGGGGTTTAAATAGATCCTGGCAAGCGTATTGAAGTAAATTACTGGAGGGTCCCTCAATGATCGTATCGAGATCGAGTAATACGGAGGTATGTATGCAGCCTGCGCTTAATTGAACGGTCTGCCATTGTTCTCGTCCCAACTAATTGATGGCTATGGCTTCGCCTATTGTTCCAATTGCCACGCACGGGGCACTGGATTATTGGCATTGTATACAGAAGATGTCTGAAGTGCTGGCCGACCTAGAATTGTTGAATTAGATACGAATATGGCAAATACAGTTCATTGAGCATTGAATGGAGGTACCGAGCATTATGTGAAGAGGTCAATGGAAACACAATTCTGTATTTGCGTATTTGTGAAATATTGTGAAAGGAGCCGTGGGCTCTGATTATTTTTGGCGCCAGCGCCAGCGCCAGTATGTGCCTTTTTGGAGATGATATGTTTCGTTACACATCTTCAAACTCTTCGTCGTCCTCGTCTGACTCCTCCGCTTCCTTGGTATCAGGTTCCGTCTTGATAGAAGGTTCTGGCTTGGCATCAGGATCAGGCTTGATACCCGGCTCGACCTTGATTTTCTTGGCTGCAGGGCCATCTTCCATGGGAGTAGTCGGAGTTCCAACAGAAGACTGCGGAGCGCTGGAGCCGGAGTCGAGCTCTCGCTTCACACCAACACCTGAAGATGGAGCAGGGGCACTCGTGGGCCCACCAGCTGCGGCAGGTGTTCCTGCTCCACTAGGGGCAGAGACGTCCTCGAAGTCCTCTTCACCAGAGTCATCTTCGCTACTGGCATCTTCTTGGGCCTGGAGTGCCTTCTCTCGCTCCATCTCGGCGTAGTAAGCAGCAACCTTGTCATCCAAAGCATCCACACTGGGCTTCTGATCCTCGTCTAGAAGCTCGGGCTTCACCAATTGTCCGGCTTCGTTCTTGACTTGGGCATTTCCGGCATTGTTCGCATCCACAGTAGAGTGGGTGTGCCAGACTGGAAGAGCATTCTGCTTTTCGACTGCGGCCTTGCGAGCTGCCTCATCGGCTTGCTCGGCGGCACTCTTCTCCTCGCTAGAGGTGAGAGAGATTTCCAATGCACTTGCATCTGTCTTCGCGTTGGGACGAGTAATATCTTGCGCCTTGGGTGGAACAGCAATCGCAGCACGGACTGGATGCGTGTTGTGGTTCCGGGCAACCTCCACCTTGTGATCCCAGGCAGTCTCAAAGTCATTTGGTGGAATTTCCACTGAATCAATCTGCTTCAAGAGCTTCAGCATATTATCAAGCTGTGCCATCAGCTTGCTGTTCTTTTCGTGGCCTGTACTCTCAACGCCTTCCAGCCCCTTGACATCCTCGGTCCGCTCTAGGATCGCACCGCAATTTTGGCATTCGAATCCTTCCTCTCCCACAAGACTCAGCACATCTAGCTCCGTCCATTCTTTGGAGCACCTGAGACAGATGTACTCTTTGCGCTCCTCGCTGGGCGTGTATTGAGCTTTGATTGTGGCCGTCAACTTGGAGACTTTGTATTTGATCGCATCGACCACGGGATGGAGAGGGATGTAATAGTATTCACGGTTGACAGGACGAGTCGAACCATCACGAAGTTCCGCGCGTGTGCTCCTAGAGTAGCAATGGTGTTAGCCGACTGTAGGTTCTCCCATCACAAAGGATGAATAGGCGTACACTCCGATCAAGCGGTCCTCGCGGAGTCTGGCACAAAGCTTCCGAAGATCCTTCTGCTGCATCCCCATCAAAAAGGCGAGGTCCTCGGCGTGAAGCCTGTAGCTGGTCAGCAGCGTCACTTTTCAAGAATCAATCACGCCTCATACACCGAGTGCAGAAAGAGCGCATCGACCACCAATATATGGCGAGTCTCGTAGAATGCGCGCGCCACCGTCCGAATCAGTGTCTTTGAGAGATCCATCGTGAGAAGGGCTTCAGAGCAAAACACGGGTGGGAAGGTTGGATGCACGGGAGCACAAGGCGTCAGATCAAAAAGGTTCAGGTCTCAAAGAAGTCAAGCATGCTTTGACCAAGCGGAGAAAAAGAGTGTGGATGTCAAAGGCAAAGGAAAGTGGGCTTGAGCGACAGCGCCAAGCTGAGATTGAACCAAAGCCGCAAGTCGAAGCTGAGCTTCACGTCACATGCATATTGTCTGCCTGAGGCGTCAAAATGCCATTCTAGGGATAGCGCCATGAGCCCTCACGCTAGCCAGTCCCGGCCTAGCGCGATATAGAAAAGATCGATGAATAAGGCGATTTTCCCCAAGTCTGATTTAATGCGTCCCTCAACCTTTTGCCAGCGGAACGTATCCGCTTTTCTCACGCCTCGGTACTCAAGGCCTACTGGCTCGATTACTCGAAAGACACTCTTCTATCACACATCTGCCCAAAGAATCTGGCACGACCCGTCCAGGACCCGTTCCGACTTATCAGAGATATTCCGCCGGATACCATGGCCGACAACAAAGGAGGAAGAGGCGGTGGTGGTAGCAGGCGTAAGAACAGAGATATGGGGCGAGCTGAGTGGAGGTATGTTCTGTCAATTGACAATCCCGTGTGTCGCATTGTCAGCTAACTAATTAAGTCGTCAAGGAATCGACAAGCGACAGCGCCTTGAGGAGCAGGCCGAAGCGAAGCGCCGCAAGCTAGAGAATGGCGAAGAGGCCAGCCTTCCTATATACGCGACTCAGTTCTCCAAGGAGGAGATTGACGGAGAGGAGCGTCGCCCGAAGAAGAAGGTCGCACTTCTTCTTGGATACTCCGGTACTGGATATTCCGGAATGCAGCTGTACGTTGGTTGTCGCTGTTTTGGCGCGCTCTTCTTGTGCTAATGCGCTGTGATCTAGGAATGAGCAACAACGTACTATCGAGGGAGACCTTTTCTCAGCCCTCGTCAATGTCGGTGCAGTCTCCAAGGCCAATGCGGCGGATCCCAAGAAATCGTCATTCGTCCGTTGCGCCCGCACAGACAAGGGTGTCCATGCTGCCGGCAACGTGGTTTCCCTGAAAATGATCGTCGAGGACGAGGATATCGTCCAAAAGATCAACGAACAGCTCAGCCCCCAAATCCGCGTCTGGGGCTACGAAGTCACCAGCAAGAGTTTCAGCTGTTACCAGATGTGTGATTCCCGTGTATACGAGTACCTGATGCCTAGCCACTGTCTTCTGCCGCCTCACCCGAGTACATATCTCGGCCGGAAAATCGTTCAAATCGCCGAAGAGAAAGGCGACTTGGATGCGGTCAAGAGCCGACAGGAAGAGGTCGCGAACTACTGGAACGAGGTCGACGAGCAGTACATCAAGCCGATTCTCGAAAGTCTGCCGGAAGATATCCGCGCCATTGTGGAGAAGTCCCTCTTCCAAGACGACCAGTCTGGAGATAGCAATGACCCCACCGCAGACGCTGAAGAGCAAGAGCCTTCCTCCGAGGCGCCAGCCCCAGAGACCCAGCAGAGCGAGCCGAAGCCCGAAGAATCAGCTGAACCCAAAGCCCAAGAGTCAGGCGAGCCCGAGCCCTTCGTCATGGAGCCTCGGCAGAAAGCCATCGTGGACGCAACCAAGGCCATCAAGGCCGCGTACCTCAAAGCTCGCCGTGCGTACCGAGCCCCAGCTGCCCGCATCAACCGCCTGCAGGAATGTCTCTCCCGCTACGTCGGCACCATCAACTTCCACAACTACACCATCCAAAAGGCCCACAATGATCCATCTGCCAAACGACACATCAAATCCTTCCAGGTCAACCCGACTCCCATCATCATCGACGGCACAGAATGGCTGAGCCTGAAGGTCCACGGCCAGAGTTTCATGATGCATCAGATCCGCAAGATGGTCGCAATGGCGACCATGGTCGTCCGCGCAGGATGTCACCCAGATCGCATCCCTGAGACTTACGGACCAGACCGCATTGCCATCCCCAAAGCACCGGGTCTGGGTCTGCTTCTGGAGCGTCCCATTTTCGACGTTTACAACAAGAAGGCGCAGGGCAATGAGCGGTCTGCTATTGATTTCGGACGCTGGGAGAAAGAACTGAATGAGTTCAAGCAGCGGGAGATCTATGATCGCATCTTCCGTGAGGAGGAAGAACGTGCCGGGTATGTTATTGAAATATCTTTGCTATTCCTTACCAATACTGACTTCATCTCTAGCTTCGGGTCTTTCTTCAACCACATCGATCATTTCCCCGCTGAATACTTCCTCTATGTCACATCTGGTGGTATCCCTGCTGCCAAGCTCACTACCTCGACTGCTCTCTATGAACCCGGTAGCCCCAAGGGCTCCAAGTCTCGTTCGGAGCGCAAGCGCTCTCCTAGTGGTCAGCGCAACCAGCGACAAGCACTTGCTGCTGTTGAGGGCGGGTCAGATGATGAGGGTAAGGCTCCAGCCGGTGGAGAGGAGGAGGGTTAAACTGAAGTAGATATACCTTGACATCCCAACAAAAAATGAAAGTCATGACTCCATGATACAGTTAGACGGAAACATATTCTACGCAATGCGGAGAAGACGAGATCAGAAATCTTTTAAAGTATCTATCTCATAGGAATCATTCGAAAATACGCTCAACTTTCTTTTTTCCATCAACAAACACACCCTGACTCCGTCCTATCCATCAAAGGGTAAGAAAACGCCAGCAAAGAATCATATCCAACCTTGAAATGGAGAAAATGAACAGCGAAAATCGTAAAATCCGTGAAGTGTGAAAGTCCGAAGGCGCAGGCACATATCGCGCTCGCTCATGCGTTGACGTCGCAAAAACGCAGGAGAAAAAGAATCGAAGGAGAAAGGCCGCCGAGATCAACAGGAGGCTTGGATCAATGCGAGATGTATTGTTTGTCTAGGGAGATCCTCGGACACCCCCGTCTGAGTCGGATGCAATCGCCGAGTTCACTTCCCATTCATCGCCGGAGGCAACTTCAGACTCTTGATCCGGGTGTTAGTCGGCATTCAGATCATACAGGGGATGAGGGTTGGTCGCACCAGATGCGGGTTCGTCATGGATCTGCTGAAGGGACAATTTTCGAAGGATGGTGAGCAGCTCTAAAAGTCAAACTGGTCAGCGATGCTACATGGAATCAAGGCCCAGGGCTAGACGTCGCCGAACATACCACGCGTCCTATTGATTTCGGCCTCATCCGCCTCACTGTCATCATAGAAAATATCCAGACAATAGTTGATGACCGAGAGGATGGGCTCGAGTTGTCTGCCATCAATCGGACGGGTTTGCTCTTTCAAGAAAGCAAGGGTAAGTCGCTCGGTGCAGTTCTTGTGGAGAAGACGACCCAAAGAAACGAGCTCGTCTCCTACAATGACCTGGGAAGGTCTTTCCGAGTCCTGAGTCTGGCCATCCTGCTCAGCTTTCGCTTCCTTCTGGGCTCCAGCAAACAGCTCGTCCAAGACGGTCTGCATGTTTTGTCGAACAGTCTCGTCAGAGTCTATCAGCAAGACGGGGGCGATTGTCGGGAGATGATTGAGACTGAGCTTGGTGAAAGCTTGAGGGCCAAGGTTCAGCCGCGAGTTAGTGATGTCACAGATCTGGGTAAAGAAGTCCATGTGCTCTTGACCACCACTGTTGTCGATGGTATCAATTCCGCCGGCGATGTAGTTGACAAGTGTCACGATTCGATCCCAGTCAGGACAATGTTCGCAGAATACCACCGCAGCCTCCAGGAAGGGCACACATTGAACAGCAGGTTCCATTCTCAACCCACTTTCCAACGCCTTCTGGATTGCATCGAGAAGGCCCGCTTTGGGTTCTCCTTTCAGAAGCTCTGCAAGAATCATTCGAGCGCTGTGTGTTCTAGAAATTGCCCAAGACCTGAGTATCTTCGACAAGATAGACAAGGATTGATCTGACTCCTTAGGCGTGATAAGGTCCATTTCACGCTCCCTGGCGGAGAACTTCCCAGTCTCGACTGAAAACTCTCGCTTCTCCCCGATGCGCGGCGGCTCGAGGGAGAAATCAATATGTTCGAAGAAGGTCAAGCATAGAACCATGAAACTCGACAAGGGGAACCGACGGCCCTTGTCAAGAAGGCGCACATAGTTGGGATACTGGATTCGCAAGTCCATTCTGTCTTCCTGGTCGATCCACAGAATATGGAGGCACATCATGAAAACACCCCGATCCAGGAGGATCTTCACGGCCAATGGCCCGCAGCTGCAAAGCTTGTTGAAGAAATCGAAGTAATCATCCCAGACCCGGGGTTGGCACTGCACGGTGGGCCAAATTTCAATCAAGAGTAGCACAATCTGTTCGATAGCTGTCTCAAGCTCAACGCACCACGCGTGCTGTTCGTCCGCTTCGAAAGTCGGGTCTGTTGACAGGAAGTGCAACTGTTTCAAGGCAGACTCAATGAGTGAGACCTCTTGAACTCTCACATCCTGGTTGGGCGTCTTGGCCACAATGTTACGGATTGATCCAGGTCGATCCCGGGTCCACCGAATGACGCTCAGGGCTGCATTGGAGCTGGTCATAATCATGTCGTGAAGGTCGCGGGAGATCTCTTCAAGGCCCTGGCGGTGCCGGGTGCGCGAAATCAACTGCTCGATGGTGTCCATTCCGACATTGACTGCCAAGGATTCCGCTTCAGCTTTGCTGTCACCGGGAGTCATGCGGGACCACCGTTGGAGCAATCTGTCGACAAATGAGGCATACTGGGGATCCAAGAGACAATAGGTTCGGATGAGCATCTCATTGTCCATGGCAATGTGGGTCCGAATAGTGCTCGGAACAGGAATGCGCACGGGGGTGTCAGGCTTCGGTGGGGTGTACATAGATTTGGACTTCTGGATTGAAGAGACACGCTGGTAAAACAGCATGTACGCATTCCATATCTTGTCCTTCGGGTTGCCATTCACATACTGAGAAGGCTCAGCGCCACCGAAACAGGTAGCCGAAAGTGAAGTTGGATCAAATTGACTGACTTCAGAGTCGTTGAACTCGACCCAAGAGGGTTGCCCACCAGACGAGGGTCGCTCAAGTGTGTACGAGTAGTAATGACCAGATTCAGCTGTACCGGTGTGGACAAGAACACCGACCAGTTCAAACATATCCGGCTCGACGGGCTCATTGGGGTTGGAGAGATGCTCAACAGTGTAAGGAGCCATGTCAATGTGTCGTGGGAATTGGAATTCGTCGTTGATCTTGCTTCTCAGCATGGTGAGCATGTCAAAATCGAAGCGCTTCAAGTGGAAGATCAGGTTATCCGGCACGTCTTTCAAACAGGCGCTAATAAAAGTCAGCAAGTTCACTGGTATCTTACGGTCAATGCCACTCACCGTTTGACGGCATCGACATGTCGTTCACACGATGTGCAAGAGTACTTGTTATCTGATACCCGTTAGCCATCACATTCGGGCTTGAATGCTGTGATAAACTTACCACCCTGCATGACTTCCCCTGCCACATAGGCCCGTAGACTGTCTTCCAAGGATGCCTTGCCTTTGATCTCACATTGGATAGCCGAAAACGGCTCTTCGCGCTCTGAGATGTGATCGCATTCCATGGACTTGATCTGTTGGACCAATTGACCGCCATAGAAAGACCTGAACGATTTCTTCTTTCCTGTCTCAGGGATCTGAGCTTCCCATCTATCGAACAGAAGATTGTAGAACTCATCAACGTCCATTTGAACGTTGACATCAATCTGCTCGTTGTCATATGTCTGGATACTTTGCACGAAGTCATATGGCTCAATGCTCTTTCTCCATGTCTCTTGCATCCAGGTGAAGAGTTTTTGGGTTTCATGGAGCAGCTTTTGTGAGACCTCGTCAGTGATTTGAAGCTTCAGAACGAAATCCCGGAACTCGATGTTCATGAACAGTTGAGTCATGAGGGAGTTGAGGTAGCAAGTGTTCGAGAGGTTTCTGAGACCGGCATAGCCGACAGGGGAACGAATCATCGAGTGTCGTTCGTATGAATGCTCAATGTAAGAGGATCCTATAGTCATTCAATTAGTTCAGCCTTATCGACTAATCAAGAAAAGAAGTGTCAAACCTCGAGGGACAATGGTATCGAGTAATTCCAGAGTTCGGCCATAGGACTTGTCGCTTTGCTCGCATAGCAAAGTTACCACATTGTACAACTGCTGGCGAGTGAAGGAATGCATGATTGGAGTTTGCAGATCTGTGTAGTTTCCTGTGTCAGGGATGAAGTCTGGAAACAGATACTTCTTCAACAACTGTTCGACAATGTGGCTATTGGCAAGACAATGTCAGCATAATCCCTTCGGTTGCAGCCATGGTACGTACTCGGAATCCAGAGGGACTTTGGCAATGATGGCCAGATCAAGACACAATTCAAGAAGACCACAAATCCCCATTACTAAATCGTCAGCGGGCTCCCGTCCCACAAACTGCCATGTGTTAGCAACACGATCACTGTATGTGCGCCCGTGCTTGTCACTTACCTCTGCCGTATTATGCTCGAGCAGAACCGCAGTCCACTGCTTAATGTATTGGCTGAACATAACATCACGTGGCGATCTCTGGGCGACTGAGCGGAAGATAAAGAGAGCAGCAGTAAAGAACTCCTCTGACTGGCCAACGAAACAGCGAGCTTTGGGTATGATATTCACAATTGAGCTCCAAATCGTAGCCAACATGTCGATTCGAATGGGATTTTCGACAGGATTAACCCCATTAGCTGACTCCTTTTCAGTTTCCTGTAGCTTCGAAGGGCCACTGATGATCTTGAGGCGTTCCAAGATTTCTCTTCGGACTTCTCTTTGGCTCTCATCCAGAAGCAAGGACTCGATCAAAACATCGAACTCGACATGTTGCTTTACAGTGTCCCAGATGTTTTGGTCGCGCAGCGATCCCTCGGCCAGGACAGCGAACGAGTAACAAACCAAGCTGTTGGCAAAAGCGATGGTCTGGTGACCGAATTTGTTATCTCGTCCAATTTTGATGAAACTCAAAACACGAGGAACGACATCTTGGGGACTTTGGACAATCGCGGAATCAGCGTCGCTCGGGTGATAAACTAGGTCTTCGTTAACGAGAGTTCACTGTCGTGGTTAATCGAGGACCACACATACCTGAAACAGCCAAATGTAAACACTCGACGGCTTTCGCGGCGAGTACAATCGCGATCCAGTCGTGGTTAAGCACGGTACACAATTCGTCGAGCGTAATGAACGCAACGAGGACTTTGATACTGTGGGACACGAATTCCTGTCGAGTATCGGTCTGTAAAGCTTGTTAGAATGGATGGGCTCGGCGGAGTGGTTGTACTCACGTCGAGGGCAAGAGGCACATCGTGAAGACACATTGAAAGCGTGTTCAAGGTGTACAAGGCCTTGAAAGGCAGTGCCAATGGGAACATGTCTTTCTCTGAGTTCTTTGTGGATTCGACAAGTTCGACGGCCTGCCCCTGGGGCGGGAACACGACCAGGAAGTCCATAATCTGTTGAAATCAGTGTCAATATCCAAAAAATATGGCGCAAGTCAATGATACGTACCTGTCGAGCCAAATCGTCTTTGAGGTCGAGCATGTCATACAACTCGTCAAAGTGCTTCAACACTTCCTTGTCGACCGCTGTCAGAGATCGACTTGACCCAGGCGAAGTGATGATATGGGCATCGGCGGCCTTTCTGACAAGGAGCAGGCCCGCGCCCAATCCCAAGTCTTTGATCAAAGCATCCGGGTTTTCCATCAAATCCAACTTCCTCCCGCTGAAGATAAGCGAGAACTTGGAAAAAAGGCTTGAATGCGTCAGAAGATCCACAAGCTCACTAGCGGTTGAAAGTTCACCGATTACCAGCGTCTTCACCTTGCCCGACGAAGCCCCGCCAAAGCATTGATACCGAATATTGACAGCATCGCCTTTCAGCGGGCGTTCATTGAAGCTGGGTGGAGAGCTATTCTGGCTTCGAGGTGAGCTGTATCGCGGCCGGGAGCGCAGTCCGTGAAGTAGCTGGCGCAGGAATAAGAGCGATCGGCTGAAAGCAAGTTCCTCAGTGCCAAGGTCCCCATTCTGAGGTTTGACCTCCATTGCCACTTCACCGTTGGCTTCTGCATTGCGGGATGACTTCAGGGCCGGCGCTGCGGACTTGAGTTGATCCAGGCAACGACCAACCAGGGAAACGTGAGTGGCATCAATAGCCGATCTGGGAGATCTTCCGATAATGACGTGGTCCAGGTAAAGGTCAATTGCAAACCTGATCGCCTCGTTTTCAATGGTGTTTGGAGGGGCAGTCAAAATGATGTGCCAGATACGATCCATGCCAGGAACGGCAATGACCTCGTCCTCCTCTGGTACAGGGGGCGCCTTGAGGCGGATGTCGTAGAAGACGGATTGCTGGGCAAATAACAAGAGCTCATGTGAGTAGCAGCTCGGGGGCACCTCCGGAAGGTATTCATGAATGCAACGCTCGACGAAAGTGTTGGATTTCGGGGTGATTGTCATGCTCTGGGCCATTTTCCAGATAATCAAGTGCCAGCTGTGAGGCAATTGCGCAGACATCAGAATCTCCTTCCAGAGGGTATTGCCGAGGTCTGGGGTGATCGTTTCCGGTGCGAGATCGATGATGCGACGCAACAGTTCTACCCGTGAAGCGAAGGCGTACTGTGAGGAGATGTCATCCGGAATTTTAGGGAGCTGTTCAACAAAATGGCGAAGTTCAGTGATGACCAGTCGTGTCAAGTCGAACTCGGTGGCGAGTTTTCCGAGTTCCCGTGAGCCGTCACAGGAAACAAGGGCATTCAGCACTTGAATGCTCCCTGCTGTGCAGCTATTCATCTCTGCAATGTCCTGGATGCAAGCTTCATACGTTTCGGCCTTGTCGGATTCGCTTAGACCGGCCTTCATGAAATTGACCAGCTGCTGGCTGCCAAATTGCTGCAACATTTCTTTCTTATCGGCTGGGATGTCGGCCCCGGCGCTCTCGCGAATCAACCGGACGCACAGCTTCAGGGGGACAGTGTTATGCTGCTCGTCTGAAATGATACGGTAATCACGGTCACCGGGCTTCTCTTGTACTCGAGGGACAAGCTGTTGGCAGAATTCGATGATGCACATGTCAAACCGTTCCAGTGGAAGCTCGAGCAGCTTGGTGCAAATGTAAATCATAGCACCAGACGTAGACGTGTGCATGGCTAGAGTGCGTGCAAGCATACCGACGACCTCTGAGATTGTTCGATCATCTTGGCTGTCAGTCACGACTTTCCAGATGATATCCGTGATGCTGTTGTCGTAGTTGCCAGTCACGATCAAGAATCCGAAGATGTTGCTGGCACGTGCAATGAGTTGTGGATGTGAGTCGATACCCATCAGATACTCGAGGATTTTGTTACTGTGCAGGAGCTGGACCATGTAGTGCACGAAGGGATTGTCTGGGTTTTGCGAGACATGGCTGGACCAGAGATTGACCAAATCCGATTGTATGGTCTCAACGCCGTTGACACGAAGTTCCATTCGGCCTTCCATTATCTGTTTCTTCAAAATATCAAGTTTCCAGGTCCATGTGGCACACATTTTCGTTTGGTCCAGCGAAGTGTCGTCGGGCAGTTTGATCTTCAACTCGTCGGCAAGTTGAAACATGAACTCAGTATCAACGGCAGTAAGGAAGTTGTAGGTGCGGAAAATTACACCCACCATGGTGGCACTGGCTTCGCTAGTGACCACTGGTGACTTCTTGGCTACCAATGTCTGATACGCCTTGTCGACAGCTCGGGTCGTATCGTACAAAGTCTGCAGACTTTGGTCGATTTTCGAGGAATCATCGGAGCTCTGCCCGTCATTCCGCAGTTTTTGGAAACTGGCGTCAGAGAATAAGAGTGCAGTGGTCATGATAGCAGGCAGATTGGCGAATAACGGGGGACTTTTCTGCAGTAGAGCAAGGACGCGGGATGCATACTGCAGAAGCACGCCTGCTCCACCAAAGCTAGATGATGTGAGCTGGTCTTTGAGACGGGCGATCAGACGGAGTGTTTCGTTGGGGTATCTTTTGTGCAAAACGACGTAGAAGGGAACATTAGGGCTGTTGAACACCCACGGGAAGTTCAAGAGATAGCGGTGGGAAGTGCTCAAAGGGGGATCAATGCCGTCCTCTCCGGTCAGTCGGCTGAGTATCAGGCTATCCAACCGAACCAGGTGGAGCACGATGCGCGAGTAGTCGAGGAAGAGCTCCTCAAAGAAGTCCCAGATATTATCCACGCTATCCAGTTGCAACTCAAGTTGTCTGCGCAGCAGACATTCCACCATATGCGGCAAGGCGTCCCAGAAGTCAAAGTCCGCGGTGTATTCCTCGAGCGTGAGTCGGTCCAACTCTGCGACGCATGTATGTAACCAGCGTTTGACTGCAACGACCGCCTGGCTTTCACGGGCGTGGCCTGGAGAACAAATTAGCATTTCACCCTCATTGTACCCTCGGATGTTGACTCACCAAGCTCAATCATCTCACCCAGAGCTTTGAAGTTCTCTCGGTGTCTGAAGTCCTCGTCCAATTTGGGGAATGTATCGGCGAGGGTGATTGTGTCCTGTATCTCAATCACATCGGGATCTTCCTGATCCTGCACGGCATGCTCGAGGGGTCTCCAGTTGGAGGAGGCCGGGTCCTGGTCCATGTCTTCGGGTTCAGCGACTTCGATTTCGGGGCTCCGCGGAGTGGAGGGAGAAGAGGAGAGCGCGATAACGTGCGGGGGTCCATCGGTGTCTGTGAGGAGCTTTTCATTGTGGTCAATCTGGAGCTCCGCGGGGTCCGCGTCAGAGGTAGGAGATTTCATATTGATCGTCACTTTGCTAGCGACGCGACCTGAGTCCGAGGCCTCGTCCATATCCGAGGCAGGTGCAACGGAGGCAGTACGAGAAGTTCCATCCAGCGACAGAGTGGGACTCACACCACTTCCACTGTCCAGACGGGGGCGCTTGCGGGTCGCTTGAGGGTCAAGATCTTCCATGGAGTGAGCTGAAGGGTTTATGGGCACGTTGAGTGGGGTGTAAGAGCTCTCTGGCGGGGGTTCAGCCATGGCATTTTTCGCGTTCCAGGGTGTTTATTAGTCCGTGTCACGCGTCAAATGGAAGTGAGAGGCAAATGGGTTGAGTGAGGACTAAGTGAGAGGACGAAGGAAAGGTGGACAGATAAAGCGGTCGACAGCTTCTTTGGGGGACGCGCCAGACACCAGTGACGTTTGATCGAACACCGGACAATATTGCAGAGTTTCTTTCTTTTCTACATATTACATATGGCTCTTAACTATTGATTGTATTAATTGCAGAATGAGGATATCGTGAATTTCAAAGCGATCAACATTGTTTGTTAACTGGCTTGCATGCTGCCTATAGTGCTCGTCTGGCACCTCGGATGAGCGTTAATGCACCGCCCCATATACGATCCATGCATAAAATCTAGATTATCACTCTTTATTCTTTATTTTCGATTCTTTGTTCTTTGAAAATGATGATATTCTATATAGTAGTCATGGTCTGAAGTACATCTGCATATATACATAGCATATATGTAACCATGCTCAGCATCCATAGACTCCTTCATTGTCTTCAGCTGCTACAAACAGAGCTTGTCTGTAGACCTAGCGAATTATTCCGCCATGGTCGTTTGAATGCGGCGGGTGATTCTAGCTGGATTTCCCACAGCAACGTGGAAATCAGGGACATTCTGCATATAGTTAGGAACCAGACAAGAACCAGGATGTCTATCAAGAGCAGGAAATACCTTGGTCACCACACTACCCGCACCAATGGTACATCCCCGACCAATGGTGATCCCAGGCAGCACAGTAACATTCCCGGCCAGCCAGCAATCCTCCCCAATCACAACGGGCTTCCCGGTCTCAGGGCCTTGTGTGCCATTGCGCACCGCAGGATCCAGCGGATGTGTGCCGGAATAGATATGAACATTGGGGCCAAAGAGAGTCCGAGCACCCACCGTGATGGGACATGTATCAACGAAGACGCAGTTGAAGTTCACGAAGACATTTTCGCCCAGCTTGACATTGAACCCATAGTCCACTTTCACGGGGGCTTCCACCCAAGGCTCTCGTGCCAGCAGATCGGCATCGGCATCTGGATCATCCTTCTGTTCGGGGAGTGGAGTCGAGTCTTCAGTGATACTGTTGGTATGTTTAGTTGATGCATCTATAGATCATCCCAGGGTTGGTCTGTATAAGCTCATAGATGATGGATCTCAGAGGCTAACAAAACTCACTCTTTCCACATCTGCACCATTTGACGACGAGAAAGATCATCTGCCTTATTGAATCGGTTGCATGCCGATTTACACCGAGTGCGGGCAGCGATTAGCTCTGGGGTGAAAGCACAGTAGAGCTCTCCACGGAGCATCTTCTCTTTTTCGGTGGACATTATGAGAGTGGTAGAAGTGAAAACAATCACCGATCTTGGACGGAGCCTTGGAAGCTCGGAAATCAAAGTGTACAAGGTCAGCCTGGCCCGGGCGGGGGCCGGGGGAGCTTCAAGAATCAAGATTGTAGAGAGCCTATTCTATAAGTTGATGCCAGAATTACTAGGCATCGAATTGCCTGGTTTTACTTGAGGGACATTGCTCCATATTTGGCACTTTTCAGACATGTTTCAGGCATCACTCTTCCTATTCTAGGTGTTGTATTAATACAACCTTGGGGGACAGGAGGAATCTATTGCCAGTGTAAATTGACACCAAGTACTACCCCCCTAAACTCCAAGTGGACCACGCTTGTCCACAGGATCCACGCTTCCCAACTCATCCGCAGCTCGATGAGAGTAGAAGCATCGGATATATCTGCACCCCAGACCTCAGCTTTCACGTTCCGCGGGAGTGAGCGAATGACCTTTTCCAAGTCCGACGCAGTATCTCCTGGTCCCTCCAGCGTCAACCACGCAAACACGTCCTGTGGGGCCTGACTCAAGCCCGATACCGGTCGAGGGATGCGAGATGGACAAAACTTAGTCTTTCCTTCGATGACGCTGATCATATCAGTGCCGCTGAACGTTTCGAAGACAGCGTGTGGAGCGTTCTCGGGTTTCTTAGCTTCTGCCTGGAGGAACCAGTCGACTGTTGTTAACCCCCGGCTCCTGGAATGCCGCAGTGACCGGGACAGCCTTTGCGAGAGCGAAACAGGGGATGAGCGCCCGGCCGTCATGTCACGAGCTCCACACGCTGCAATAATGTGGATGTTTGTCATCGAGTTCGACCGCCGTGCCGCAGCCGCATGGCAACAATCGAGGATGACTAGAGAATCCACCAACTTTGCACTTTCCAGTACACCTGCGATGTTGTGCCACGAGATCTCTTCCCTCAGAGAACTATTGGAAATGTCACCATGACCAGCATAGTAGCAGCAGAACAGAGATGGCAGTGATGCCTTAACTTGAGGGTCAAGGAGTGACAGAATTTCCCTGGAGAGGGTCCAGGCAGGTGTTTGATCATCATTCTTAATCACGAATGTCACACACTCGAACCCAAGCTCTTTCAGCATGCCATCCATCGTCAAAAGGTCGTCTTGAGCGCCAGTTCTGTCCCTTTCCCAGCATACCAAGAGACTGATCCGACGTGCGTATGCCTTGCTTCGTGCCCACGCTATTTTCTCCAGCTGCTTTTCAAGGACGGTGAGCTTGGTGACCGTTCGGGGCTGTGTTCGGGGCTGTCCTGTAAATGAGATCGGTACACTGCGTTGGCTTGATGTCGCAGGTTGCTCCGCGGAAGATGACTGCGGCATCTCGCTATGAGACTAACAAGGTCAGTTCTATAAAGTCAGTGAGCTGATCTGAGACTCACTTCCAAGGTTTGAACTGATCTTAACTCACTTCAAGGTTCCTAGATTTTCGGCTGAGTGTGACTGCCGGTACCTTCAGTTGAGATCAGACAGGCGAATGATGAATGATCGTCGAGAAAAGAAGAAGACCGGAGACCAACAGTTTAAATTGCTAGAGTGGCTCCCGGTTGGTAAAGATCAAATGTGCGAACCTTGGAATGATCCGAGAAGCCTTGAAAACAGGGTGGTTATAAAGTAGCCAGGAGTTCGAGAAAAGAACGGAGAGTTGGGAACACAATGGTTTACCTAGTATATACCTCTGAGCCTTCCCAAATGGGTGACGGCGAGCATCCATGATAACCTCCAGGGCTTGAAACCTATTCCAACGTTGGAACCTTGGAACGTTTTGAGAAAGTGAAATAAAGATGACCTCGTGATAATACCTACCTATGTAGGTAGTAGGTAGCAGAATATACCTAGTAAGAATGACAAGACCTCGGGAGCATATACTACATAGGTGGCTGTTCAAGGTTATATATAATCCTGGCGACGTCCTCGACCAGATCCACTGGGCGCGACCTCAGTCGAATTAACAACTCTACGACACCTGGGAATTTATTTCATCACCACCGCGCGGAAAATAGAAGCCAAAATCCCGAGGTCTACCTTTAAATATCAGAAAGAATCTAAAACCATGAAAAACCTTGAATTCAATTATCTAGCATCTCGCTACCTAACACCTAAACACCCAAACCAGTCATAACCATGATTCATTACATTCATAACCAACCTCAAACCTCCCTAAGCCTGCGGCACATACCCCTGCAAACGACCATCCAAACAAAGCGACAACTTAGGCTCCGCCCCCATCCTCTCATGTCTCCACGCCCTCTCCCGCAGCGCCAAATACACAGAACGGAACGGCTGAAGATCACCGGGCAACCTAGCAGGGGGAGCAAGGGGATCGAAGCCCAAATCCTGAAGCTGTGCTTCGCACCAGCGCAACGTATCTGCGGGCAGATACTCGTCTGTGTCGAAAGTTGTGTGGGATTGTTGCATGGCTTGGACAGTGGGTATGTCGACTGGGAGGCCGAAGTTTTCTACGCCTTTGGGAGGATGGTGGTAGTTCATGTATGGTTTGCCGGGGGCGCGCTCGGGGTGGTTTGCTTGTTTGCGGATGTTGTGCATGTTCCATGTTTGGACGTAGGATTGGATGTGGGTGCGGAGGATGGGCATGTAGATGGCTAGGAGGGCCACTTGTTCTGGGACTACGGTTGTTGAGAAGAGGCCTTGGCTGTGGAGGTTGCGGAAGTAGTTCTGTGGGTGTTAGTGGGGTTCTGGGTTGGGGAGTTGTTTCCCGCCTTACATAGTAGAGTGTTACTACTGCTCTGGCGAGTTGGGCCCACCAGGATTCAATGCGGTGGGTATCGTTAGCTCGGCCAGGTGCGCAGCATTGGGCGCGCTGGACGTCTGGCTCTGTAGCGCGACGGAGCGCGAAGTGCGCATCGGCGAGAAGGGGAACTTCTGACTCTAGGTCTGATCGTAGAGTGCGCGGTTGACGGCCCTTGGCAGTGACTGTTTCGAGGTGGTGTTTTAGTACGCCAGTTGCTGTGTGAGCGTCCACGCCGACATTGAGCCAGAGAACGTATCGGGAGAATGAGTCGATCTCGGCGTGAATGCGGAACCCAAAGTTTGCCAGCTTGGTATACCCGTTCACATGCCAGGTCATATTAGGACCGGTCATGATCTTCGCTGGGGGAGCACGTCGTTGGAAATCAGTTGTGCGGCGCTCCACGGTCTCGGGGCGCAGCATACGATACACTTGGTACAGGCGATCACGGGCAAAAACATAGCCCTTGCTACGGAAGTGGTTGTGCAACAGCTCCTTGCCATATCCCTCAATAGTGCCCTTATCCATTTCCTCGGTCAATGCGTCGAGGATCTCCTGGACCTGCGCTGCCTGCGCAGCAGGCGAGTCGAGTCGAAGCTTAATGCCTAGCTGGGAGCGGAGTCTGCGTAAAGTCCGCTGAGAGACTCGGTGTCCTTCGTCTCGTAGAACAGTCAGGATCTCGGTGTCGGTGAGACCCACCTGGAAGAAGAGGCTTTTGATGCGGGCATGGAGGTCTTTATTGGACGTGGTAATTGCTTTTTTCTCCTTCACCCCCCACCGCTGTAGGCGTTTGGTCATAGTCCGCGGAGAGATCTGCTTATTATGTTCTTCTTCCAGGTATTTGCAGATGCCCGCACTTGACATCTTGTTCTCGAACAGTGCAATGATCTCGGCCTTGTGTGGCTCCAGATTCACCCGTGGACGGCTTTTGCGCAATGGTTCTGCAGGTTCTGCAGGTTCTGCAGGGGTTTCTTCCATTTTTGTGTCTTCCATCTTTGTTTCTCCCATTTTTGAACGGTTCAGCTGATTTGATGCGCTCAGTGAGGTCCGTACAACAGTCAAGCTGTCGGGGCGAGCGGTGGGCCGAGATATGGCAGAATCCCCACCGCTTTGATAACCCGAATTTTTTGTTATCGCAGCATCTGAACGCCTGGCAGTTTTGAGACTCGTCTATCCGCAAAAATGGTTCGTGAACTCAAGCACCACGAGAAGAAGTAAGTGATTTGATCCAAGTTTTCATCCGCATGGACTCGAGATTAACAATCCGTCCAGGCTTCTTCGGAAGGTCGACTTCCACAACTACAAGTCCGATGGCAACCACCGCGAGCATGAGATCCGCCAACGGTATCTCCTCCAGGACCCAATGGACTACAAGAAATACAACTCTCTCTGTGGATCCCTGCGCCAACTCGCCCACAAGCTCTCCCAGCTAGACCCGGAATCCGACCCATTGCGCAAGAAGCTCGAGTCCGAGCTCCTGGACAAGCTGTGGCGGATGGGAATCCTCAAGCAGTCCCGTGAGCAGGGTGCGGGTCTCTCCAAGGTCGAGCGCGAAGTCACCGTGTCTGCCATGTGTCGGCGCAGACTGGCGGTGTTCATGGTGCGCTCTGGCATGGTCGAGACCATCAAGGCTGTAAGTGAATTGAAAATAATTGAGGGTCCAATCCTGACATTCTCTAGTCCACAACTTTCATCGAGCAGGGCCACGTCCGTGTCGGTACCGAGGTCGTCAACGATCCTGCATTCTTGGTTTCCCGTAACATGGAGGATTTTGTCACCTGGGTCGATTCGAGCAAGATCAAGCGCAACATCCTGCGCTACCGTGACAAATTGGATGACTTTGATCTTCTGTGAGCGGATACGGAAGAGCAGAGGAAAAAGAAAAAGCATTTTGGGTTTCTGTCTTTGATATACCCGGCGCTTGTGCATTGTGGCCTATTTCAGGTTTGGCGTACTGATGTTTATGAATTTTATCGATTATATGCACCCTGTGGTTGATTCAATACATAGGGATTTCAATGCAACTGGATACAAATTTACCGCTATTCTTGACCTAACTAGGAGTATTCTGGCTGTACTCCGTACAGTCACTGGGAATACCCGTGGACACACGAAGCATTCATTGAAATGATTCAATTAGGTGGAGTATATGGCATAGCCTGCATGAGTCTAACTCGTTTCCACAGATTAAGGCAGCAGGATGCCGAAGGATGAATAACGACATTCACGTCGAATATGTACCAAAGAAAAGTATGTACAGCATACTCGGGTATATCAGTCTGGAGACAGACAAGCGAAAGCAAAAAGAGCGAGAACCGCCCCAAGACAGAGAAATGCCCGAACGCACCCAGAGTCGTGGTATCATAACAAAAACAAGGCAACACCAGTGCTACCGACAAAAATCACGCATTAGGAAGAGGAGACGTCTTACTCCGCATCACCGTCCATCGTCGTCTCGATCCAGCCTTCGCACAAGGCTCCGGCAGATCCATTCTGAATCTCCTCACGCTCCCTTCCCGCTCTGGCTTCCCCTCTTCGAAGAATGGCGTTCTGGCATCCCGCGTCTGGAAACACCGGGGCGCCACTCGTCGCCAGAATCCTCGCATCCCACTACTTGCCCGGTCGATCTTCTCGTACTCTCTCCGTCGAGTATCGTCAGACGTCCACTCCATCACTGTCGCCGGGACCTGGATTGATATCTCCGGACTGATGGTGGGCATTGTATTGGAGCGATCACGAGCGAGCGGTCCGGGGGACTCGGGCTCGGAACGGAAGCTCGATCGTGAGGAGATGTTTGGTGAGGATGGGACTGAGTTGCCTTTTTCGGAGGACCGGCTTTGCCGTCTGTATACTGCTGAGGAGGCGCGTTGGAGCTGGGGTCGTTCAGGCTCGTCTTGGAAGAGTCGGCATGATTCTCGGTGCAGGGCTATGAGGGATTCACGCCTTTCTTGGGGTGGGAGGCGGGTTGTGGGGAGTGGCACGATGGCTCCGTTGGGCACTGTCCGGCGTGCTGAGTGGAAGGAGCTGCGGCGACTGTTGGGGCGGGAGGTGCTGCATGATACTGAACGAGAGTGGGATATTGATGTTTGTTGTGAGCTGCGTCGTGATTTAGATGTATGAGGTGAGGTCGAGGTAGGAGATCTAGGTATATCCCTGGCAGACATGTCTATAGGTTCACATTTCTTCTCGGTAACGATGGGTGCTTTTGTAGTGAGTGTCAAGGGCTGTAGAGCCAGACATGTGACGGAGGCCATAAGGTGCAGGTCAGGTTCGAAGTATAGCGTATAGTCACCTATACTACTATTCCTCCATCCCCCAAACCGAGGACGAAAACAAGGACGAGAATAATAAGAACAGAGAGCATCTTTTAATTCTTCGCACACCGCTCCTCATCTATTTTAGCGGGGAGGTGGGGGGTTCGGCGTCTAGAGTGTCTGGCCGTGATCGTCTCCCCTGCATTTGTCAGGGGTAGCGCTTTGGTAACTACAGTACAGCTTACTCCGGACTCCGTGCAGTCTGTACATCTGTACATAGTGTACTCTATGTGTGACTATGTACTGTACTCTCAGCAATGTACTAGTAGATATCACTCGAACAGACCACATGAACACACGAACTTAGTTTGGACGATCGTCGCGAAGACAAGAATGCAGAGAATTCAAGCACGTTGCATGACCCTAAGAGACCCTAATTTCTTAGCGCGTTGGGATTCAACGATCTACATACCAGACCTACAATATGACGAGATGTCTCAAACAGGTTCCAAGATGGCGAAATATGTACTAGTACTATAGTAGTGCTACTGTAGTATACTGTAGTATAGTACTATGTGCTAGAAGTCCAGACTCACAGCGAGTACAGGAACTCGGGGTTCTCCCGATCCGTCAGATCAAGCCACCTGCAGACTGTTAGTCTAAACTCGGCCTGCATGCCGACACGAACTCACTCTTGATTCTCCAACCGCACATAATCCCCAGCAGTGTGCAGCTGCTTCCGTCGGTTCTCCCGACGGTACCACATCCACACACCACCCAGCAGAAAGAGACACACGCCCCAGCAGACAATGATAGTCACTTCGGCGGGGACATAGCGGGGGGCGTCTTTCGGACGGAAGGTTTGTGGGCCTGCGAGAATTGTCAGTGCGTTCAGTGTTCGACAGTTTGTCTCGCTCACCGATAATGTTCCCCACACAGTATCCGATTAAATAGAACGCCGCCACGGTCGTTTTCTTCGTGTATCCAGCCACATTCGACGAAACTAGGGAAAGTAAGGCGACGAAGGGGGTCGGACTCGCTTGCGTGAGGTAGTAACCGATCAAGCGACCGACATGGTTCTCCAGTGGAAGCGCTACGATAAGTAACATCCCCACGATCGAGGCGACCAGCCCCCCGAGACTGGTGAGAATGCGCTGGTTCGTGATATGGCCAATGTACCCGTTCAGAAGGAGGGCGATGACCTCGACGGCGCCACCTGGCACGCCGAGAATGAGACTTTGCGTCTCGCTATAGCCGAATCCTTTGATCTGCGAGTCATCAGCGCAATTCGACCCGATAGGTATTCGAACATACCAACTGGCTGAAAAAGTTGGTGATGCCGCCATTCGGGATATTCCCAATAATGGCGAAGAAGAAGAACGCCCAGGTCATGGGATCCATCAGTGCCTCTTTCACCTGATACAGTTTGAAATGCTTATTTCCAATTCCCTGCTGGTTAATCCGGACACGGGCGATGGCCAGCACGCGATCTTCTTTCTTCAGCCACCGCGCATTGAGCTGGTTGTCGGGGACTATCCACAAGAACACCAGACCCAGACAGACGGTCAGCAGGCCCGTGACGAGGAAGATGATCTTCCACGGCTCGATGGACGAGCCATGCTTTGCGGTCCCGACCGCGATGCCATAGGCGACTACGCCGCCGAGAATCTGGCCTACCCCGTTGAAACTGAACCAGATGTTGACGCGGATGCCTTGTTCGTATTTCGTGTACCACTGCCAGTCGTGAGAAATGGCTCCCTCCCATGATTACCTACATACCTGGGATGTCAACAGGGCAAAGCCCGGCGTGACAGCTGCTTCGAATACACCGAGCATGAAGCGAATGGCGATGGCGCCGGGGTAATTCGACACGGCAGCAAAGCAGCACAGAATCGAGCCCCAGACTAGAATGCATGCTGCCGAATACTTACCTAGTGGGAGGCGCTGGAGTAGACGATTGGTCGGGTATTCCCAGGCCAGATATCCTATCGGGTCAATTTCGTTCTATGCAGCGAGTTGGTGCGACCAACCAAAGTAAAACAGACTGCCTAGCCACTGATACTGATCTCCTTCAAGGTGGAGATCGTCTTTGATTCCCATCACGCTCGCGTAGGACAGGGTCGTCTCTGCGGTTGGTCAATTTTGCTCTTGGCTGGGATAGCAGGGCGCATACTGTCTAGATAATTCATTCCGTAGATGACACACATGATGGGCATCATGTGCCAGTCGATGATGCGTAGGAGGCGGCGGTTGGTCGGTTCGTCTAGTTCGAGGGCTTCGCCACGCATCTCGTCGACGGCCTTCATGGCCTCGTCGGCGTCGTGGGCATGCTTCTCCATGGTTGGGTCCACATGTTTGCTCTTTTCGATGTCCACGCCAGTGGAGATGGCTGTTGATTCGGCCATGGTGAAGGTGTTCGAGAGAATTTACTCTATGGACGGGGCCTCTTATAAGGCCTGGAGCAATGCGGGGGACGAATGCCCTTAGTACATAGTATGCATCCCTGACACTATCAAGGTGGAGTCGATAAAGAATCTGGGGTGGAGCAGAGTGATTGGCCTGCCGGAGAGGGGGTGGGATGATCGGCAGAGAGCTTGACACTCTTGACACTCTTGACAAGCCCAGTTATTTCTGTCAGGTTGGATTCTACTTAAGGAATTAGGGACTGCTATAGCTGGTAAAGTACGGAGTATAGGGAAAAACTGATTATCAACAAAGTGGTGAACGACATGCCCAGGTGAACTCGGAGCCAGATCTAGTTCCCTATCGGGCCAAAGTACGAATAGATAGTCTTATCAAGGATTCACTGCACTCTAGCAGTGTTCAATGCAGATACAAGTCGGTCATCCTCCGAAGTGTGCATGGGTCTATAACCTGGAAGTACCTCTACATTCCGTACTGTATATGGACATGGCATGACGCCCATCTAATAATTACCTACTTCAATCTATTGCGAAACACGAGCCAAGTACGCCTCCCAGCCCTGCTGCTGGTACTGCTTGGCAGCATCAACCGGGTCCGCCGCGGCATAGATACCCCGACCGGAGATAATGAAATCGGCACCCCGCCCAACAGCCGATTGCGGAGTCTGATACTGCTGGCCGAGCTTATCGCCCTTCGAAGAAAGATTGACACCAGTAGTGAAGACGACAAAGTCCTCGTCCTGAGCAGACGCCTCGCTCGCCTCAACCTCGCCCAGCGAACGGGTCGACACAAAGCCCAGCACGAAACTGGGGTACTTGCGGGCGATGTCGACAGAGGCCGAGGTGTAGGCGCCGGTGGCGAGGGAGCCCTTGGAGGTCATTTCGGCGAGGATGAGGAGACCGCGCTCAGAGCCGTAGGGGAAGGAGGGGTCTTGGGCGGTTTGGGCGAGGGCTTCGACGATGCCTTCGCCGGGAAGGATGGAGCAGTTGATGATGTGGGCCCATTCGGAGATGCGGAGGGTGCCTTGGTGGTATTGCTTCTGGACGGTGTTGCCGATGTCGATGAATTTGCGGTCTTCGAAGATCAGGAAGTTGTGCTTGCTGGCGAGGGCGTTGAGTCCGTCGATCGTTGCTTGGCTGAAGTCGGAGAGGATGTCGATGTGCGTCTTGATCACGGCAATGTAGGGCCCCAGACCTGTGCGTGTGAGTTGCGTTCCTGTCCCTGGGGAGGTGGCTTACGGTCGGCGAGATCGAGGAGCTCCTTGGTGGTTGTCACGTCCGCGGACACTGTGACGTTACTCTTCTTCTCCTCGGCGACTTGGAAGAGCTTGCGCGCCAGAGGGTTGGGGTGGGATTGGGCGCGAGCGCCATAGGTCTGTTGCGACTTGGAAGACATGGTTGGATATAGTAAGAGATTGAAGTTCGAAGTTGCAATTGGAGGGGACTTTTTTCTGCCGCGGGGCAAATTCCCCCGGAAGTGAAGTGGGCCTTTTCATATAGATTGACAATGGATATACTAGTAGTAGATTGCAATTAAGTAGAAAGCAGACTGCCGCCAACGCCAAACACACTGAGGCCCCAGAGAGCACCTTGCACCAGCAAGAAGAAACTACCAATCATACGGCCCTTGCCCTGCGCCTTTCCAGAGTAGACATAGCCATACAGGAACAGCACACGGAAGAACACCCACAAGGCACCGAGACCCGCCGCGTACTCGGGGTACTTCAGACCAGCGACCAAAGTGAACAGCATGGTCTGGGAGGAGTTCTCGAGGAAGTTGGAGTGGGCGCGCTGGGCGCAGTTGAACTGTTCCGCCTTGGCCTGAAATGGGTGAGCTTTGCATCCGGACTAATGGCCATGCAGGGCATTCGGGGCACATACATTCTCCTTGGCGAGCTCCATGGAAGCATAGCTGTTGGGGTAGGGCACCTTAGCCTGCTTACGCAGGCTGCTAGTGACGATGCCGTGGACGAATCCAAGGACGGGAATGGCGCCGAGCGCCACGCCAATGACGGCGCTGGGAAGGGTGAGCTGGAGTTGCGGGTGGAATTGCGAATAGCTTACCCGTAGTTGCTAGGGATGATGAATGCGACCATTGTGAATCAATTGATGTGTGTACAAGTTGGAGAGAGCTTGACGGGATACAGGTGTTTAATACGCTCGGGGACTCGGGAACGCCCTGCCCCGAGCTCCCCGTCGGGGCAACTCATTCACCCGGCGCTTTGGTCCTTTACTCCGTTAACTCCGCAAGGTGTCCCCTTCAATGGCCAAAATAGCTTGATATTGACTTCCAACTAGATTCTACGGCACATTCAGGTCATACGACTGACACTGCCATACTTCGCCTGCCAGGCAAAGAAGTACAGAAGTGCCCCAAGTGGCTGTCCGACCAGACAGAAGCTGACCCAGAAGATGCAATTGCCAATTACCTTACCGGACGGTCCACGCATCTTTTCCAACGGTGTGGTGAGTGCGATCAAGGGAAGTTGGAACATCATGCCAAAGAAGGCAACACCTGGACCCAATTAGCAAAACGCATGGGCGGCAACAGCAAGGACATACCAATAAAGTTATGGGTGGGAATTCCCACCAACATCTCGTGCAGAATAGCAGACAGCGTGAACACCATACCGCTCGCAGCCAGAGGGCTCCAGCCACGACCAACCAGCGGCGAGAACACGTGGCGCTTCATGAACAGATACACGGGGCGATTCCAGGTACGCCAATACGCACCCAAACTCGAGCTGTTCCACCAGTCCAGGTAGAACTCGCGGTCTCCAAATTGCATGACCTCGGCCAGGGCATTCAACAGTGCCTGGAATAGCGCGAAGAATCCGGCCAGCCAGATGATCAGCGAGATGGTGGACAGCTTCATGACTCGCTCGAGGATCGAGGCGATGTCCATCACGGCAATCTTCTCAATGGAATTGCGGAGAACCGGTGCTGCGTACTGCGCAGACAGGAGCCAGATGAACATCGCCAGACCCACGAATTCGGCAAGACGCTTCGCAACAAATGACCAGCGGATGGATGGCGTGCGCGGGTACACAGGCTGATACACGAGGGTTGGGGCCAGCCAGAAGTAACCCAGATTTTTGATGGTGATGTTCCTCGGATATGGGCAGGAGGAGTAGATTTCTGGCAAGCCCGGGTCCGCAGCTGGGTTGAGCATGGCGAGACGCAGGTCTCGGTTTGTGAAGGCGTAAGAGCAATTCTTCAGCCAGACAATGATGGCGTGGAGCTGGCAGATTGTGCCAATGCCCGGGTGGTGGATGTAGAACCAGACCACAAAACTGGTCACGGCAAGGCAGAGGGTTGCGTTTAGCGTGTGCAGAAACGCGGTCAGCGGCCATGTAGACTGGAAGACCTTCTGATCACGCTCCTTTTCTTCCTCGGTCTTCTTCTGCCGGCCCACGGTCCGCTTGGCTGCCGTGGCCGCCGACAGCTCGATGATGTATGCAACAAGTAGATGGCATGGCACCGAGGCAAACAATATGGAGCCCAGGACCAGGTCCTGTCTACGGTAGTCGTGACATTTTATACAGATCAAAACGCCATACTGTTCCAATGTTAGCCTTGGACCATCATTGCGTCACGCAACAACCCACTTTCATGAAGTTCTCAATAATCAGTCGCAGGTTCATCACCACTAGTGAAACATCAGCCTATGCCCTATCTTGAAAGTTCGCCGATCTTACCAAGCACCAGCACCATCAGGTTTCGGAAGCCTAAGAAGTTGGGCAGCACATCTGCTTCGCGACTGAGGCTGGAGGCCTGCGACTTGGAGTGATACGCAGCTATATGACGATACTTGCTGCGCTTCTTCGGCGGGCGCGGTTGGTCATTGACCTGCCCGTTGGCATTGGGCTGCATTTCTTCACTCATGGCTTCTGTGCGAGAAGTCATGACAACTTGCAACTTCGCAGCTTTGCAGCTTCGCAACCTTGGCGGTGCGCGAGAAGGGTCTAAGCTCCCGGAGTCCCGACGGCAATGCTTAGAACAGAACAGATGAGCCCCTTAACATGGAGACGAAAAGGCAACACAGAGTAAAGATAGAAGAGAGGAAAAGAAAAGAAAAGAAAAGAAAAGAGGAAAGCACTCAATTCCCAACGTTCAAACGGCCTGGACTGTCATGGCGCGGGGGAGCATAGCGCATGCAGCCAGCCAATCACCGCCCCCGGGCTCAAAGGGATCCCGAGCTCGACTTTCTCCCGTTTTTGTCGCTCGACATTTGGGACCTCGTCTGTCCTGCTTTTGCCAATGGCCTACTTTGAGGAACACGATGGAGGTCGATTCGGAAAGAATTTCGATGGCCCCGTAGGGCCTCGCAGACCGCGTATGTGCGCGCCATGGCTATCGGTCTTGACTGGCTGACATGATGATAGGACTCGTTACGGACTATGGCTCGTCGATGGTACAATGGATGCGCACACGGCAACCGAGATACAAGGGAGGACATCGATTAGAAACGGAGCGGCCAAGTCCAAGCTTCGCGGTCGATGTATGTCGTCTGGATGACTTGGGCGACAGCGGGCTGACATGCGACAGGTTCTTCCCCCGATGGCGCGGCCTTTTTCGGCCGTGGACACTATCCCCGTGCGACACCTTCATCAATCGATTGGAAAGTCCAAGAAGCCTATTGTCGTCGTGCGATGGACCCCGGAGGGACGACGACTGTTGACCGGTGGCCATACGGGAGAATTCATGCTATGGAACGGAACGGCGTTTAATTTCGAGACGGTTATGGACGTGTGTATATTCAACGTTCGAGGATGAGACACCCAAGCTAAACTCGGTTGCAGGCGCATTATGATCAAATACAGGCCGGTGTCACATCACTGGCATGGGCTCACAGCCAGGACTGGCTCATCTCCGGTGGACAAAGAGGAGACATCAAGTATTGGCGACCCAACTTCAACAACGTCGAGACGATCGACGACGCCCACCACGATGCGGTTCGTGATCTTTCCTGGGCTCCTAGCGACACCAAGTTCCTTTCGGCATCCGACGACACGACGCTCAAGATCTTCGACTTCACAACCCGGACTGCAGACACCACGCTAACCGGACACAACTGGGATGTCAAATCCTGCGACTGGCATCCCACGAAGGGGTTGATTGTCTCCGGATCCAAGGACCACCAGGTCAAATTCTGGGACCCGCGCACTGGGCGATGCTTGACGACACTCCACAGCCACAAAAACACGGTCACCTCTACGCGATTCTCTCGGGTGAACAGCAATCTCCTCGCGACATCCTCGCGCGACCAGACAGCCCGTGTATTTGACTTGCGGATGATGCGCGACATCTGCATCCTGCGGGGCCATGAGAAGCCCGTTTCTTCGTTGACCTGGCACCCGATCCATAGCAACCTGATTTCGACCGGTGCCGAGGACGGCTCCCTGTACCACTACCTCCTGGACGAGCCCAACCTACCGAGCGGCCAGGTTCCCACTGTGGCGCCGTACGACAGCCCAGACCCGGCCAATACACCGCCCCAGGTGATCTATCCGGCCCATCGGATCCAATACGCACACGGTGCTACGATCTGGTCACTAGACTGGCACCCACTGGGTCACATTCTGGCCTCTGGATCTAAAGATAACTTTACTCGATTCTGGTCGCGATCACGACCGGGAGAGACTAGTTACATGAAAGACCGATTCCACATCGGCGAAGAGGCTGCCGAAGCCCAGGGAACGTGGAGTCGTGGATTTGGCCGGAAACAAATGCGCGAAGATGAGGAGCAAGAGAATCAAGACGAAGCAGACGGCTTGGTCGATCAGCGCCGACCAGGTGCTTCTGCTTTGCCAGGAATTCAAAGTGCGCCGCTGGCCGGCTCTCAAAATGACGCTCCAGGCATGTTGCCCGGTATTGGAAATGCTCCTCCTCCGCCACCTGGCGCGATGAGCGGAATGAACCCGGATCGCTTGGCCGCGCTCATGTCCACCCAGCAACAGGCGCCGCCTCAATCTAACGCGCCGAACCCGGGCATGCCTGGATTCGCACTGCCTGGTATGAGCGGAACTCCGCCAGTGAACATGGACATGGCACAGCTACAAAAGCAACTTCAAGGATTCCCCATGCCACCAAATCTCAATCTTCAAGCCTTGGCAAACACTCCAGGTTTCCCTGGCTTTGGCGGACTGCCTGGTTTGGGTGGGATGCCCGATGCCAATCAGAGACGATGATAGTCCGTTGGCTTGGGCGGGGTTTGGCGTAAAGGGTAAATTAGCATGGCCACGATGATGCAGGCAACGGCGCATTTGAGATATCAGTTCCCAGTTGTATCATAGCACGTTCGGATAATTCCAGGTTCCCTTTTCGCGGGCTTTATGGGCCAAGTCTTCAGGCCAGTAGTGTAGGCTGGCGATTGATCTAGTGTACGCAAGTTCGTCGAATATGATCTGCAAGTCGTAGATCAAAGACCACCTTGCATGGGGAAGCTCGTGACAATGAGAAGCATCACGTTGACACCGCCCCAGATCATCGGTAACCAAGTCGACATCCTGAAGTTCCCTGCCTCGTACACTGCGCCGAGTCTGTGTTCAGAATAGTCAGTACTCGATGTTTCCAATGTTGGCTAATGTCTAGCATAGAACATACACAAGACCAACTATACTCCCAGCCAACAGTCCCTCAAGCCCTGCAACAAAAGTATACACCAACGGTACAATCCAAATCACTTTCCAATTACGGCACTGGGTGATGACCGCGCAGCCCGCAACCGTGAGGTGTGTCGCAGCATAGAACACGAAGGTCCAAAATAGCGTGAACCGCCATATATCCTTGGTGTAGTAGAGGTAATATGCTTGCTGGTGATGCGACGGCAGGGGATCGTACAGCGACGGGAAAGAAGGGACTTCGTAGTTGATCGGGACCCGGTTATTGGCCATCGAGGAGTAGCTGCAGCCAGCAATCACCAGAACATGGCACTGTGAAGTCGACGCGTCCAGAGTAACGAGTACGGAGTACAGCATGGGCAGTTACGGGAAATGACGCTTGTTTGCACTGTTTGTCTCCGGACCCGGACCTCGGCTGGTCTGGGGTTCTCCGCGTTCTCTCCCTGAGCGATGTGAGCTTGAGGATCCTTGTATCCCATCGATTGTTTCAATGGCGACGGAACGCTCCTTGGCTACCTTGCTGCGGTCGCTGCAGGCGACTTCCAGTTTCCAGGATGCTGCTACGTATGTTTCGTGGAATGGGGTCGGGTATTGAGGCTAATCATCTGCAGTCTGCTCCCAACCGCTACCAGTTTCTTGTCTATGCTGGGGAATCCTTTGAATTTGACTTTGCTCTCGTCGCAGCTCCTGACTGCCCCTTCGCTGTGGAGTCACCCCGTCGATCTACAGGCGTGTCGTAAGATCCTCAGCGTCTTCAACACTGCTGCTATCGCCGTCTTGCAGAATGACACTACCGACGAGCCGCGCATACCATATGGACGTAATAGGAAAATCGAGTGTGATGCATGGGTGAAGGCTGTGGCAGAAGGCGCGGATGATAAATCCCCCCGGTGGCGGCATATGCTCCTGCTCGGTGGAATCCTGATGGGTTTCGAGGGCCAGAACCGTCAGGGCTTACCACGCCATATTCGGGTCAAGCTGGAATCGGCGCTTTCAACAGCGGCTCAACTGGCGCTCCAGGAACTGGGCACAGAAATTGATATTGATGGCCAGTGCATCACCATGGTGCTCAATTATACGTTCGAACTCCTGTCGGATCTGGAGAGGAGCAAGTTGGATTATGATCGATTGCTCCCTGCGATGATTCAATCTGCATTCTTGTCTTCTGAGGGTCTGGAGGGCGGATACTTCCTGGGATCTATTGATCAGGATGTTGTTGAGGCCCCGAATAAACAGTTCAAGTGGTCATCTAACTCTCCGACCTTTTTGATCGTGTCTGCAGTGTCTGCTCGACCACTATTGTCAACACTTGGGCCATTATCACGTTTGATTGCACACTCGATTGATAATGTGCGAGATCCGCGGATCGTCGCCCAGACTGTTGATTACCTGGCGGACTTTGTCCGCACTCTCATGGTACAATGGCGCCAAAACAAATTGTCGGAGATTGATGCTGCAGAGGAAGCGGAATTCTTAGACGCCGAATCGCGGGAAGTCACTGTCCCTGCACTTTGGAAGACGCTACGGAACTGCTTGTATTCGATTGTCATTACGCTCCGGGCAGTTCTAGGGCGAACTATCAATGATGGCGCTCTCGCGGCGAATAGCAGTAGGTTCTCACCGAGATTACTGACTTCCCCAGACTAATGTGCGTACTCTAGGCGCTCCCTACCTGTCGATGCAATGTCTCCACATTCTGCGGAATCTGTATTTCATCTCATCTCGGATTGGCCAGAACGCTTCGTCGCAGCAGACCTTTGTATTGTTGGCAGCCATCGATATTCTGTCGCAATACCCCGTCCTTGCGGAGAACTTCTTGCGAAGCATCAAGCCGAGTGATTTGGGACAGATCCCTGCTCATCCAGTGGAAAGATGTCTTGACTTGTTCTTCCTAAACGTTGCAGAACACTTCCCCCTTGTTCTCCCAACAGAGACAAGCGAGGAGCTCTTCCTGTCTGCGGCCTTCCCGTATCTTGCCGCGGGTGCCAACAGCCTTCTTTTGGAGATATTCGAGGCCGCTCACAGTCTGGTTTTGGTCGTTTTCGCCGTTCCCCATAATTCGGAGCTTGCTGCCAAGCACCTCCCCTTCTATATTCACAATCTCTTCGCGGTAAGTCGGTTCAAACCCTAGCTCAAGCCTTTTCTAATCATCTATAGGTCTTCCCCAACAACCTTTCCGCGCGTCAATTCCGCCTTGCTTTTAAGACCGTTATTCAGATAACGGCCCCTCCTTCTCCCTTAGCGAATACCCAACCCCTGCTTCCTTCCATTCTGTTAGAGGTCGTTCATGAGCGTGCGTTGAACGCAAGCTCCACCCCTATCCCACAAACCCCCACTCCCGACATGAGCCAGAGTCCACCCCTCTCTGAACAAGCCGTCCTAACACTGGCACTTCTTGATTCACTGGCATTCCTGCGAGTTCCAGATCTCAAAGAATGGCTCCCGCTGGCGGCGCAGTTGATCAATGCGATTGCGGATCGGGACATGCGACACATTTGCATAGATCGGTTCTGGGAAGCGTTGGCCGGTGGTGAGATGGATGTCGATCGTGCCCACTGCTGTGTCACTTGGTGGAGCACCGAGGGTGGACGTGAACTTGTTCTCTTCGGCGCCGAAACTGCCGACGCTCCTGAACCTGATGCAAATGGGCCTTATATGACCGGCGCTGTTGGTGATGTTGCGCCGGAAAGCAAGCTATAACGATTAAATGTGAATAATATCTACCATGCCTACGGGTGTGATCATGTCTATACCTTCAATATGGTGTTCCTAATAGAATTGAGTCCAGCTCTTCAGTTGGCCATGTCTTTGTGCATCTCAACTATACCGTACATGATACTATTTGCAGTCCAACTAAATTCCTGGGATTCCCACGGGAGTCTCCTTTCTGTACCGAACGTACTCGTCGCCGAAGAAAGAGATCAAGTAAGCCTCCTCGCCTGTCAAGAATTAGCCAGGTATCCCATCCACAGTAGATATCCAACTCACGTTTGATTCTGCTGGAGAAGAATCTCCACAAGACCAGCGCATATCCAACAAAGCAGACCGCATTCCCGAGGACCAGCTGGGTCCCAAGCCCCCACCAGAAGAACCCGAAGTAACTGGGATGTCGCAGATAGCCATAAAGACCACTTTTCACCAAGACATGGCCCTCCTGATGCTGACTCTGTACATGGTGATTGAAGTTACTAGCCGCAGTAGCCATCGCAATAGTCCGCACCACCTGCCCAACAACCAGCAGCACAAACCCACCCACCAGCAGCAATGAAACCTCACTCCCAAACACAGGCTCCGTCACAGTAACCAGCCGACCGAACGATGTCTGACCGGGAAACCAATAGTGCGAAATAACACACTCCACGACCGCAGATCCATGCGCAACATTGTATGCCCACCCATTCGACGAGAGTAGGAAAGCCGAAACAGTCGCATACCGCGTATTATACTGCGCCGTGACCCAGAACTCCAGGAAATGGAACAGGCTCAGCGCCGCAATGAAGAATGGCACCCGCCATAGTGCTGTCGGGTAGACCGTGCTGAGGAGCAATGCCAGGCTGGAAGTCAGGCCGAGGGAGGTGCCGAGGAGCATGGCGCGTAGGGAGATTCCTGCCAGTGACATCTTGCCTGAGGGGTAGTTGGAGGCGAGGGTGGGTGCGCCGGAGTCGCTGTCGGAGGAGTCGGTGTCTTCGCGGATGTGAGCGCGAGCTCGAGTGCGGGGGGTGGACATGCTGGAGGTAGACATCTAGAATGATTCGAATTGACACATTCTCGGGGGTTAAATAGAGAGGGTGGGGGGGATTTCTTTGTTTGGGAGAACAATCATATCCGTTGCCATTGACTTCGAAATGTTTACGCTGACACATCTACTCCCGAGCCACCTGCAGGTTAATTCAGACACCTTTCTACTGATATCCCTAGGCATGTAAATTATAATGGTAGATATAGATATTATAGAGTAGCCAGACCAGTATCCTTTGGCATTCTGTAATAAGCTGAAATGATTATTGGCCCTTGTCATTACCAACCTTGGAAATTCCTTAGGCTAGATCTACTGTAATATATACTTCTGATCTCCCGACCTTTCTACATAAAATGAAATGACAAAACTGTAAGATAGCGCTTTTAAACCCTTAAAGACCAATCTAATAGACATTTTAGATTATCATCAGTTAGGAAGTAAAGAGACTGAACCTTTGGAATGGATACTCTCCGATGCCCATTTGGGAAGTTCCAAGTCGGCAACTGCCAGGTGTGTACTATATAACTACTACTTCAAGGTTAACTCTCCCTTCCCATAACAACTAACATTCGGATTTCTATAGAATCCATTCCAAACCTGACAACTTCACATCCATGGATATTCTTTCCTCACTGGGCAGCAGAGAGGTATTAACCTGCCTGACCACCACTGGGCAACAGAGAGGTATTAACCTGCCTGACCACCACTGGGCAACAGTACCAGCACTACTTCCTGTTAGACTCAACTGACACTCTCTTTCGAGGTGAGTCTAAGATCAGCTCACTTCATACTCAGTCTTCACTTCATACTAGTTACTCAAACTGACATTACTACTCTCATAGCCACCCTGGAAGGTGCGGTAGTCGCCACTGATAACACCAACTGACCTTGGGAATTCACAAAGGTAAACTATGCTTCACATCTCACAGTGAATGAATTTCATGGCTAACCATCGCAGAGAATCCAGATCGTGCCCTGAACATCCCACGGGTTGATTCGCTCACAATACTGGACTGCCGAGATACAGCAGCAGCGGCTAGGCGTCCCAACGCAGTCATCGAAATCCGAATCATGGCCGCCTGTGGAGTATAAGGCACCTGGCAGGGCGAGTCTGCCGCCATGGCCCCGCAGCATCGTTTACACAAAGGCTTTTTGATTTCCACGGGTTGTTCAAAACCTTGAAGTAGAAGGGACAGCCCTGGAGAGGGGTTCACAACCTTGGAAGAGTCGAATGATACTTAAAACTCCAATCTGAAACGACTGAAAAGTACCGCACACTGTGTTCGAAACATCCATGGATGCGGTGGAACAACACTGAAGAATGACAAGCCTTTCGTTCAATGATGCTTCATCTCGCATCCCTCTGCCGGTACCAGGCCCAAGCCTGAGCCTAGACATGCCGGTGAAGCTGCGGCTTGAGGGACGCCCTGATGCTCTTGAAAGCCTCAAGTCGGGCAGATCTGTTCAGACGTTGCCATTGAACGGGAAAGGGGACGTATGGGTCCCGTTAAAGACCGATGGATCGGTTCTCCTATTAGTTCAGATGACTTGGCAAGCCTGAATACCCTGAACGATTACGCCCTGGGGCAAGGTTGCTACACCTGAATTTGTCTGACAACCTTCAAATTCCTGTTGTATCAGTCAGTGGTGAAAATACCCCTGTTGACGAAACCTCTGATCCGTGACGCGAAAATGTCCAAGAGAAGACCGAAGAAGAAAGTGCAGCAGTCTAAGAAGCCCAGGCAGTCGAAGAAGGCGCTACCTGGAAAGACCGAGACGCCTGACAAGAAAGGAGATGAAGACGTTCTGCCGGACGAACGATTGATGGCGAGAGCCATGCGAGACCAGAAGGAACGACAAAACTCTCCTTGCGTCGACTTTTACACAAACGCTCCTACTTCTCAGATCCGAAGAGAAAACATCCAAAAGTCACGGCAGACTGGCTCTCACTCTCACCCCGAGCACAGATTGAAGAATAGCTATTCTTAAGGCTATTTCACAATTCGCTAATATACGGACTACTGCTTTTCTTCTGTTCTAAATTATCTGTAAACTTCGAATAGGGAATAGTTATAGCTACCTCGAATCTTTATTATCCGGTACTATAGGAGACAAAATAGTACTCTATCACTATCAGGGTATCCCCTTCAAGTCTGTATGAAGTCTTACCCGCCCTCGGATCATCCAGTTATCCAAAACATCCTCCCTTAGTGCTGCAGTATATAATTTCGGAAATTACCTAGGCAGCTCAGAAGATCAGCTCTAACGCCAGGATGCAGGGTCGAAAGTGGATTTGAGGTACCAGGCCCAGGATCGCAAACCACCGCCGCAACCACATGTAGGGTCAAAATTCACAATAGCGCAGGAGAAGAAAGGCTGACCGTGGCTACTAGGTGACCATGGGTTTTTGTCCTCGAAAGATTACCAATCCCAGATTAACGGGGGCACCTGATCGACCAAATAGATTTCCAACGCCTGGGGGCGTTCAAAATTTGAATACTTCTTGCCTACCTTGTCCAGTATCTAGTAGCCAAAAACATGTGGTTTAACTCATCCTAGAAAGACACTGTACTCTCAATGAATTTTCAAAGGCCACCCGATCCCTAATTCGAAGTGTGAAGGTAGAAGTTTGTAACGCGTTTCAAACCGACATAGTCTTTTTTGATACATCGAACTCGCACCTCGGCGAAACAGTCATACCTATTCAAAACATTCCAAGGTTTGTATCCACTTCAAGGGTTTCAAGGTGGAACTGAATGCATTTCAAGAGCTTTTCTCTAAACATACTGTTGATGGACCACCATGGCCTCAAGGTTGTGAAGGTGACGCCTAAGATCTAAACATTCACACCTCAGAACCAACCAACCGACTCCTCACGGCAATCTTCCCACTCAGCGCCTGAATATTCTCCGACCCAATAATATCCAAGAGAGAAACATCAGCCTTAAGCTCCTTAACAATCCAGTATCGGAACTCCATCGCAACAAGAGAATCAATGCCCCCAAACCCGAAACGATGGACATCAATTTCCGCAGCAGGAGTGGCAAGTAGAGAAGCCAGCTTCTCCACTATTCCATTCGAAACAATTGCCACAGCATCGATCCGAGAGGCCACCGCAAGACGAGCCCCCGTGCTAACGGCCTTTTGCTCAACGACACCACCACCCTTAATGGCGGATGTACCACGAAGATGAGTGAACATCGAATAATCGAGGAAAGTAGGTGCCGGAATCCCATTTTGTCGACAGATTTCCGCAGTCGGAAGACCAAGGACTAATTGTGCTGGCTGTGGGGATTTGATTCCATGGCGAGGATCGATTAGGTATTCAAAGGCAGCGTGGACTTCGTCTTCGCGAAGCATTTCGAATAATGGAGCTGTGTGGGTGCGCATGGAGTTTCTGTTCTCGGCTACCCAGCCAACATTGGATACGCTGCCTAGGTTGATACTTGATGCTTTTAGGCCTTGGGAGACTCGGTAGGCAGCTAGGGCATCTTGGAATGTGTTGCCGACCGCGTAGTTGGCTTGGCCTCGGTTGCCCATAATTCCTGCTACGGAGGAAAGCATGACGAAGAAATCCATGTTGTTAGGGAGGACTGTGTGCAGGTTCCAGGAGCCCTGGACCTTGGGCTTGATGGCGACTTGCCAATCATCGAAAGACATTCCAGCGAAGAGACCATCCTGTGGCAATGTTAGTATTCATTATCTCGTTCACGGTTGCGAAACATACCTTCAAGACCATAGATGCTTGGATACACCCTTTGATGGGCGGCAGATGTGAGAATTGGTCCTCAGATAGCGCTTGCAGGGTGGAAATGTCCGAAATGTCACAGGAGTGGTCAATGATCTTGCAGCCCATCTTTTCAAGATCGACAGCCAATTCCCGCTTCTCGGGACTTGATGCAGCCGTCCGCGACAACATGATCAAATTCCTTGCGCCCCGGGATGCCATCCATCTGGCCAGACTGCGCCCTAGGCCACCATATCCACCAGCAAGAACATAGCTGGCGTCGGGGTCGAATTGGTACGGAATGATTGGCTTCGGAACAGCCGAAATCAAATCAGAAGGCTTGGGGATGAGAACAACCTTTGCCAGGCGTCCCATCTGGATGCTCTGAATGCTCTCTGTGACCTGAGAGAAATTCATGATCGTAGACCTGCGTATCTGAGCTATCTTCCCTTCAGAATACAGTTTGAAAACCGTGTCGAGTTGATTGCGAACCATCCGAGGCCGAGATTCGGACATTGAGAACATATCGACTTTGCGAATGCTGGCATTCTGTGACAGGGTGCTTAGCTCGACTGAAGTATCGGCTCGTAAATCTTGAGGTGAAACATCGACAAATGCCCCATGCGGTGCAAGACATTTCATTGTCTCTCGAAGCGCCTCGCCGGTCATCGTGCTGAAAATCACGTCGACTCCAGTGCCTTGAGTACATCGCATGACGCCCTTTGCGAACATCAAATCTTTATTTGAGAAGATGTGTTGTTTGGGAATCAGGTATTCAGATATCAGAAGATCTCGATCTTCCCTGGTCCCAACAGTCGTGTAGATAGTGGCGCCAGATATCCGGGCACACTGAATCGCCGCTTGACCCAGGGCTGATGCACCGTCGTGGATCAAAATTGAGTCCTCCGCAGACGGCGCGGCAGAATTGATCAGTGCATGAACAGATGTAGCAAAAGGCGAGGCTAGCTGTGCAGCGACTTCAAAGGATATTCCATCGGGGATCTGAGAGACAAGGGAGTGGTTCACTCGCTCGTGCGTCCGACAACGACCCCCTTTAGACAAAGCAGAAAGGAAAGCAACCCTCTGACCGAGAAGTGTACTCTCAACTTTGGACCCAATATTTGTAACAATTCCAGCAGCTTCAGTGGAGAGGAATTCACCAGAAGAATGCGAGCTGAAACCCACTGCGTGGACCTCAATCTCAACCTCATCCTCTGGCAGTGCAGTTTCATGCTGGAGATCTGCAACCCAGTGATAGCCATCATCGCCAGTTGCAATCTTCTGGAGCTCAATGGGGTAAGAGATCTCGTCGAAGCGTCGAAGCTTGGGGTATAGCTTGGAGGATCGTGTACCGAGGAACTCATCAGCAGGATCCGACTCCGTCAGGCGGCCAACTTGGATGATTCCATCTCGCAGAAGATATTCTGCGTGGCGATCAGACTGTGATTGGTTCCAGAATTGCAACTTGACAATATCGGTGATGTTCTTGACAAGTCGTGCTTGGTTTGACGCGATCTGATCTTGCGATGGCACAGTCAAGGTGACAATATTGGAGCCATCCGAATCTCGTTCCCAACGCACCGTGCGAAGCAGACCCATACTCATGTTCGAATGAGGATTTTTCTGAGGGTCTTGAGTGATCCAAAGCAGATTCTTCGGCCCATTGAGTAATCGCTTGAGCTCGTTGTACTGAGCTTCATCCATCTCAGCGAGATATTGGCACTCCAGATCGACCAAAGATACACATAGAGCATTGGATAGGAACGGACTAAGTTCCGACGTTGAAACAACCTCAACACGGCGATATTTCATCTCTTTCAAAGACGACTGAAGAGATAAAGCAAGCTGGTTATTAGCTGCCAGCGTCGTCACAATGAATGCATCCATCACAGGCATCTCTGAAGGAGCTTCAGGATTCGATGCAATCAAAATGCTCTGCCAAGTCAAATCTGGATTTTTCGAACTTGGGTATTCGATCTCCACACCAGAGAAGCCGGCTTTGATCAGATACTCATTCCACTCTTCGGTCTTGATATACGGACACCACTGGCGACAAGGTTCATCACCCAGCCACCAACCAGGTAGCTGTCCGAAAACAACCGGATACCAGAGGAAATCTTGACGGATTCCTTCTTGCATGATGAGCTGTCCACCCGGCTTGAGTAAAGCCCTCAGATTCTGCAATGCGTCTTGTAGATCTTTCGTTGCATGAATGACATTCCCAGCAAAGATCAGGTCATATTGATTCAACTCAAGACCTTGTTCAACAGCTCCGTGCTCTATGTTGAGTGGCTTGAAAGTCATGACATCCGACCACGACTGGAATCGCTGTTTCGCTTTCTCGAAGAACCCGGATGAAATGTCGGTGAAAGTGTAGCTGACGATGTTTCCTCTGCCCTTGGCTGGGTCTGGGGATAAGATTCCTAGCACTTCAGCAGTCAAGCTGCCAGTGCCACCGCCAATCTCAAGAATATTAAGCTCCGAGGATTGATGACGGATGAGAGACAGATGACTTCGCAGATGCTGAGGGAGATTGAAGATGTCAAGGCCTTCTTTGTAGACTTGTTCCATTACAGAGTCTTGGCCAAACATGAGGTCCAGAGGATCAATCTGCCCTTTCAGAACCTGTGAAATGTGTCGGCCCATTCGGACGGTGATGGCTCCTTCGGCGTTGTGCGATTCAACTTCTCGGCCAAGGGCCTCTTTCAAGGCCTCATCCTGAGCAACTGCCTGGAAGTCACTGTAGGGTAGATGGATGATCTCATCTCGGACAAGTCTCTCGTTCAAATGCTTCATCCAGTGAACGTATCTCTGTAGATGGAAGTCCAGACTTTGAACATCAATGTCTTTGCACGCAGCCAATGCATCTGTAACGTAGATCATGGTCACCAGCTGAAGACGTTTCACCCAGTACAAGTCCTCAGTCTCATCAGTCACCGCCAGAGCAGTAAATTCACAAGCAGCCTCCGACTCGAGGAAATGAATATCAGGCAAATACTCAATCTTACTGCATAGCTTTCGCTCATTAGTCTCAGCAAGACCCGATTCCAACGGAGTGAGCTCGATGCCATCCATGCGGATATGACCATTCGAGCCTTCTTCCAACATTCGAATCTGGCCTTCACATTTGTCAGATTGAGAGTGGCGTACAGATGCATGACCTGTGAATCTTTGCGAGGGCGTTGAATTCAAATCGGCTGAAATCCAAACGTCGCGAATGAAAGTCGGCAATCGAATCCGATCGAGTGTGGTTTGGCCTGTCAAGTCGAGAAGTGCTGCAATCATCATATGAATCATGCTGTCCATTGTTGCGGGATGTATTAAATGAGAATGTATGAACTGTTTCGGCATGGACGCCTGGATGTTGGGGACGGTCACTGACCCAACCGTCCTTCCCAGCCCGGCACCACTAGCTCGAACTTCATCGAGGTTGCGGAATAGGCTACCGAAATGAAGCCCTGATGTTTGAAGATCGTTGTATGTGTTTTTGAAGTTCACAGCTTTGTTGCAAGTCTGCTTTGCAGCCGCAAGGTCGGCTTTCCATGATAAGATTTCTTCCTCAGCTTCGCGGCCGTTGTCCAAGAGCTCTGAAGGCGCTTCATAGGTCGTTGTGATATAACCAGTGCAATGTTCCGTCCATTCTTCACTCGAGACATTGTAGGAGGTGATCTGGAATCGTCGCCATACCTTCGACTCAGACGAGGGGTCCTCCACAGTGGCCATTGACAGTGACACCTCGATTCCTTCTTTGGTGTCTGGTATAACCATCGCCCTTTTGATTTGGACTCGCCGCAACTGAAAGGCTGTAACTTTTGCCTCGCCTGCCAACTGTCTGGATGCTTCGATTGCCATGATCAGGTAGCCCACACCCGGGTAGATGTAATTACCAGTGACCTAGACCGTGTTAGAGGTCGGAATATAATTACCAAAGACGTTTGACATACCATATGATCCCTGAGCCAAGGATTCTCATGCAGTCTGAAGAAGTGTCTCCATCTGGGAGCTGTGGGGTTCCAATCCGTGATCGGTACACCGAACAGGTCATGGCGAGCATGCTTCCGAGCTCGAAGATTCTTGCTCAATCGGCCTTCGTAAAGAACCTTCTCTGTGTGTTTGAAACTGTATGATGGCAAGTCCACTAAGAGCTTCGGGCGTCTTCGTTTCCCAGACTCGAAAGCTTGGTTAATAAGATGGAAATCTACCGGGAGTCCACTCAAAGCCAGAGATCCAGCGGTAGTGAGTAGCGTGTTGAGATTTCTCTCTGTCCGTTTCAGAACCGACAAGTACCTGAACTCAGAGTTCGGATTACTCGCGGCCAGTGTCTCTTTTATCACACTCTGCAGCGTGGAATGAGGTCCAATCTCAACAATGAGGCTCGTGGGCTCCGATTCACCATGTACCGGGCCTGGTTTGGACATCATTTTGTTCAGACCGCTGCTAAAGCGAACTGGAGATACCATATTGTTGACCCAGTATTGTGAAGTCAGATCGTCCTCTTGCGTCTCTTCTCCAGTAACCGTGGAGAACATGCGCACTCTTTTCGGAGCCACCAATCGCTTCCCATCTGGGAGTGTGCCCATGAGATCGAGGTAGTCACCGGCAACCACCTTCATATGAGCAGAGTGATACGCATTTTTGACATTGAGCTTCCTGGCGAAAGTTCCATCAACATCGAGCATTGCCTTGAGGCTGTCAATCATAGCTTCATCGCCTGAAACTGTGTTGTTTGCTGGGCTGTTGTGACAAGCAATGATAAGTTCACCAGTATGAGCCTCTCGCACGAATTCGATGTAGCGCTCAATCTGAGATGCACCGAGCCCCACAGCCATCATTGTCCCGTTTGCAGAGAGCTGTTTGGATGATGTGTAGCCGCGGTAGTACGCAGCCTTCCAGGCAGCCTCACGCGAGATTCTACCGGCGCAGTAAGCTGCTGCAATCTCACCGGCCGAATGTCCAATCACACTTGTGGGGAAGATATTCCAGCTTGCCATGAGATCCACCAGAGCAATTTGTAGGACTGTGCAGAGGGGCTGAGCTATTTCTGGCAAGTTGACTCGAGGTGACTCTCTCTCAGTCAGTAGCTCATCTATACACTCTAAGTAACATAATTTTGGTGTTGAAAATGCACAACTCACCGATCAATGACCATGGACTACCCAACCGGCGTACATAGTCAGATGCGTTATCCACGGATTCTTGGAAGACTGGGTAAATCATGAGCTCTCGGCCCATTGTCTGGTACTGAGCTCCCTGGCCAGTGAATACGAAATGCAGTTCTGGGGGCTTTGTCACTCGCGAAGGCTTGCCAAAGTTGCTTTCTGACAGATTCCAAGCAAGCTCATTGACAGAAGAGGCCATGATGAAGCTCTTCCAAGGGAAAACAGATCTTTTCTTGGACAAGGTGAATGAAAGATCTTCGAGGATAGGACCATTGATAGATTCCTTATTCATTCGCCTGTTCAAGTAGTTTGCGAGTGCGGATGCGTTTCTCTCAACGCCTTCCTCGTCAAAGGCTGAGAGTAGGAATATTCTTGGCGGATCAATAAGATCGGAAGATGTGGACACACTGAACAGTCGTGATTCACAGATACCTTCGCTGGTGGGAGTACCCATGAAGAGGTCTTCATCGCCCGAGTTGTCGCTATCCTCTGACTGGCTTTGGGTTTGTAAGATGGAACTGTTTTCAAATCCAGCTGTAGCCATGAGCCGACTTTTGATCTTCTGGGCCGTGGGAACGGAAGTCACGGTACAGTGTCTCCCTGGAAGACGGCGCTCATTGAGATAATTATAGGCATCATCAACAATGCAATGGGAGTTGGTACCTCCAATGCCAAACGAGTTGACTGAGACTCTTCGCAGGCCCGACGATGGCCATGGAATATTTTCAGTGGGAAAGGCGATATTCCAGTCCTCGGCCGGTATTGCAGGGTTGACAGATTGCATGTCATAATTTGCCGGTATGATTCCAGATTCGAGGACCAGAATGGATTTGATGAGACTGGCAATTCCAGACCCGCCCTCGAGATGCCCAATGGAAGCCTTGATAGCTCCAACATACAAAGGCGTGTCGCGCCGACATTTGAATGCCCTTGCAAGCGCACCAGCTTCAATTGGATCCCCCTTTCGTGTGCCTGTTCCGTGTGCCTCGACAAACCTGGTGTGTTCGAGGTCCAATCCAGCTCTCCAGTACACTTCACGGATCAATCTCTCTTGGGCATCGCCACTGGGCACAGTGATTCCGGGAGTCCGACCATCCTGGTTGACCCCGGTCTCGCGGATGACTGCGCGGATGGTATCTCCGTCTCTGATAGCGGCGTGTAAAGGCTTTACTACCACAGTACCCACGCCCTCCCCTCGTGCGTAGCCTTCAGCTCGGGAGTCAAAGCTGAATGATCGCCCTGAAGGCCCCAGAAGGCCCGTATAGCTCATTCCGATGAATTCATTGGGGTATTCTAGAATGCTAACGCCGCTTACCACAGCCTTTTCAATGTCAGCGGTTTACTCTTGGGTTCTTCGTATAGAATCAAGTCTCACCATGTTAGATTCTCGACTCCGGAGACTTTGGACAGCCAGATGCAAGGCCACGAGGCTGCTAGAGCAAGCTGTGTCAATTGTCATACTGGGGCCTTTGAAGTCAAAGAACCAGCTGACTCGATTTGAAAGCACTGAATTTGTTGTGCCGGTGGGTTTGTATTTGAGAGCAATTTCCGCGTCAGAGTCGAGGATCCTGAGGTAGTCATGATTGAATCCAGTCACGAAGACTGAAGTATTGGAGCCCACCGTATTGGCCATTGGCATGCCAGCGTTCTCTAATGCGTGGTATACATTCTCCAACACGAGTCGTTGTTGAGGATCCAGCGTTAAAAGTTCTTTCTTTGTGATGTTGAAAAAAGAGCCATCGAACAGGGCAGCGTCTTCGGACAAATAATGCCCCCCAACCGCACTGAACTAAAGGAAGTCAGTTACATTGGTTGTGAATATCCAGCAGGCAATGTACCCGCCCAGAAGTAGCGAATACTTACAGTTCCCCCATGCTCCCGGTCAGGGTGGTAGAAGGCATCGGCGTTGAATCGCTCTTTCGGAATCGCAGACCATGCCGAGCGAGCGTGCAACAGCATCTCCCACAGACGCTCTGTGCTTGTGGCTTCCTGAGGAAAGCGGGTCGCCAAACCTACGATGGCGATAGGTTCCAAGGCGTCCGGAGAAGCAACTCCATCGCCGATCACGCTTGCTAGCGAGCGGGGACGCATTTTGTGGTCTTCGGGACAGGAGTGAAAGAGATCAAATCTCAAGCAGGTGAAGGGAGGAGAAGAAGAGAAGATCGAGTAAAGAGGGAAAGGACGCGTCTGCACGAGAGGACGAGAAGGAACATATAGCGAAATCAATAGATAGGAAACTTAGAGTGAGAGAGTTGAGATGAGAGGCAAATGAGGATTTATAAAGTCGAACAGATGGAGCAAACGCTCAAGTCCATGCCAGCCTCGATACTTTGAAGCGAGGGGACGCAGCGCTAAGCCAGTGCGATCACAATCGCCTATGCATCTTGATGTCCCTCGATTTCCCTTTTGGTCCCACTGTGGGTATAGAGGCCAACGTCGCCGATCTAAGCCGTTATGTATGATGTATTCATGGACTCATCCCGATTGGTAAGGATGTTGACATCCTAGAACATAAACCAAAGTACTTTACTCGATATGCCAAATCCACAAATTCCCAAACGCCTAAATGAACCCAGGTGCACCTGTTGCCCAGCCCTGGAGGTGTCTGCTTACTGTCAGCCCAAACACCGAACTATGCCGATGCAGGTAAACTCCATGCACGTCGGGAGCCCAACGTGCGCTGATCGCTGTCAAATCCGGCCCAGTGTTCTTCGCAGAACGATTGGCATGGAGAAATCGGTAACCCGCCGGGCCATGGTGAATGCTCCGGGCTTTTAAGATTGCCAAACTAGTCGCCACTATTGGTCCAATAGTATCGGCGAATTAGGCAGATCCGCAGATCAGTTGCACAGAAATCTACTCTGTTCTGACTTTTCTGATCTAGAGGAAAGTCTGTAGGTTTCACTGCGTCAACCGGTGAATGACTGAATTGCTGAATTACTGAATCCACGACCTCCTATACAGTAGATGGGGATCGGGAAAACCTCCAGATCCACGATCTGTCTGTATCGGAGTGTTACTGCTTGTGGAAAGAGATTAGCCCTAGCTATTCAGGGGCTCCACTCGTTTTCTGCGGATAATCCTCTGAATGGAGTATGGCCTCGTTTGACGCTCCCCGCGAATTCTGAGGTGTTCGTTGCGTTTTCACTCGCATCTGCGCATTTTCTTGTGAAACGTGGAGGACGTACATTGGTTTCTCTCCTACGCGCCCTGTCCAAAGTACGAGTGGATATAAATCGTGGAGGCTCGGAGTACTCCGTACTCCGTAATCGGCATGTAAAGATTCTAGACTTATTCGACCTTCTAGGCGTATACTAGTAACGGCACAGTTATGATGGCTGATTAGCCTCGGCCGAACTTTTGCCGTAGGAAAACTACTCCGAAGCCCTCTCTGCCAGTGCATCTTGCAACTGAATTGCCTGATTAGGATGAAATGGTCCACTTCCAAGATTGTCTCTCAAGGAGATATCGACATAACTTGGCATTGGTTCATCAACCCGCATGAAACATCATCGCATTGGAATAAATCCTCGCATATCTCCAGAGCTCCCAATCCATGTAGGTAGCCGTGCACCCCGCACATGATTCAGTCGACGCTCTACGGCCTGATCGTCCACCTGGGCATGCCGCATGCATATAGATACCCATCTCAACCAATAGGAACAATAGCGAACTATAAAAGCTGTTTACCTTTGACCTCAAACGACCGCAATTTCGAAAAAAACCCCTAGCCGATGTAGCTATTCTAGGCCGTTTGCATAAGGCCGTGCCAACGCGTCTACGGAGTAAACGAGTTCATCATTCTCTTTCATGAAAGACCGGTCAAGGTGTATACGTGTATAGTTGATCAAAGTCCGCTTGGAAAGAATAACATCCCAGTCACAGTCTCTGTCCTGTACCCCTGTGAGTAGGCCCACCTGGCAAGATACCCTGTACTAACCTTGCTCCCGAGGTCCTCCCAATATCTATGCGTTGTACACATCTTTCTTTGTTCGCATCCACCGCCACTCCGCCACTTGAACGTGGAAAACATGCGCCAGGACAGAACAGTGCTGGGCGAGATCATCTTGCCTAGAATCACGCCTTACGAACCCGATCACCCAGGATCGACGCGGCACTAGCGGTAGCTGGCGTACTTTTGACCCAGAGATCGAGCGGCTCTTCCTTCGGTCTTTAGTCCCTGTGCATGCAGGCGGCACGAATAAGCTTGTCGACCGGCCAATCAGACTAAACATGTCTTCCAGCAGTTACTTGCTCTGATGTCAGGAACGTCTATGGTATGCAAATTCGACTCGAACGAGAACGAGCCTGGGTTTGTTCTAATGCAGCCCACGACTTCAATGCACGCCGGCAAAACTAACACATGGAATGTACAGGGATCCAAAGAAAAATGAGGGAAATACAGGCTAAGTCTCACAGTTCATCTTTCCCCTCCGCCGGCGGAGGCACGACCGGACGGCCAGAGTCCTTCGCCAGATCAACGCCGATCTTCTTCCGCCACTTCTCCCAGAGCGCGTGGAAGTCCTTCTCCATCCCACTCTCCATCTGGTCGGGCAGGACGACAGTATACTCGATATAGAGATTGCCAGGTTCATCATTCTCGTTGTGATCATGCAAATGACCTTCCGAGTAATGCGGCATGCCCTCGCCATTGACAGTCTCAACAGCCAAAGGCTGCACGACCTGGCCACGAGAACGTCCAAGACGAACAACATGGCCATCAAGATGCGTAATATTGCGAGTCCAGTCTCCCATCCACGCCTCCCGAAGTGAAAGACTCTCTTTCCAGAAAAGATCCTTCCCCTTCCTCCGGAAGAAAGTCCCATCCGTCTTCTCCTCCTCCTCACTCCCAAGCTCTGCCTCCTTCTCATCAAGAACAACAATCAAATCACCAGCAATCCAGTCCGGGCTCTCATCAGCCTCATTCTCAAATACCAATCTCGTCCCCTTGCCCATGCCCGCTTCAATCACCGCACTCGTCTCAACCTGCTTCCGAACAACCCGACTCCCACTGCACACATGACACGGGTTCTTAATCTGCTTCCCTTGCCCATGACACTTATCACACTGCATCTGCACCTGCTGGAACATCCCAGGCGCAAGCATATGTTTCTGAATAACCATTCCCCGCCCCGCACACCGATCACAAGTCTCAACCTGATGATCCTTAGACCCGGTCCCTTCGCACGCATCGCAAATCTGCTGCTTCTCCACCAGGAAATCAATCTCCCGCCCGTTATAGAAATCCCGCAGTGGAAGCGATGCCCGGACCTCCATATCCGGCCCACGGCGATGACCAGGCGCGTGTCCAGAGTGTCCGCCTCCGCCGAAGAAGCGCGAGAAGAGATCGAAGGGGTCGTGGCTGCCTCCGGCCGCTTCGCCTTTGCGGTGTTGCTCCACGCCATCGTGGCCGTATTGGTCGTATACTTTGCGCAGTTTGCTGGTCGATAGCACTTCGTAGGCGTCTGCTATTGTGACGAACTTTTCGCGTGCGTTGTCATCGCCGCTATTCAGGAATGCGTTAGCTGTGGTTCTTTCTGGCTTGCGCTTGTAGTTCGGGGTGGAGGGGTCTTACGGGTTCTTATCAGGGTGGTATTTTTTGCTCAATGTTCGGTATGCGCGCTTGATATCTCTCTCGGATGCGGACTTGTCAAGTCCAAGCACTTTGTAGTAGTCTTCTGCGGCAATGACGACGACAGAGCATAGCACAATAGCCAATGCTATTACCAGTCGTAGCAATTGCATGTTGGTCGGAGCTGCGTGAGCAGCGGCTCCTACAATGTGTAAACCTTGCGATCTAAGGTCGGGGAGCTTCTCGAGCTGGAGGCGTGGGAGGTGTCGTAATTAATTAGGCGACATGGGTGTATATTGGAATTGCCACGGAGGTTCTGGCCAGCCGTATATTATAAAGTGGAGGGAGATGGTAGCTCCGCGGCCTCGTTGGATCGACATTAGGTGGCCTATAGTCGGTCACGTGTAGTCACGTGATGTGGTTTACATCGAACCATCTCGGCAAAGAACAAACATCAACATTAAATATAGCATTTGTTTTGATGAATTATAGTAAAGCATAGCTAGACAGATTAAGGGCAATTCACATTTCTCATAGCCTCATCGGCGGTCAATAGAACGCTTCAAACATTTGCACAACAGGAAAGACAAACTAATGTCCAGCAACATCAAAGATATCATTGTGCCAGGTATGGCCAATGCCATGAGTCTCATCACCATCCTCAATGGCCTCCTGTGCACGAGTAGCCTCATCGCGCCAAGTCTTGACAATGCTGCCAGGGGCATAAACATCCTGGAAAGCACCGTACTTCAAAGGTCGAATACCAATCCGTGCTTCAACATCAGAGTCAGCAGGCTTCAAGCGAGCCAACACGGCTTTGACAAAAGTAGCCAAGTCCTGAGGGTTGGCGATGCGAGCTGCACGCAGACGCTCGCGGGCAAAGACCAATTCGCGGTTCAGCGTGAATGCTGCAGCAACAATTTCCTCGGCGATCTTCTTTTCAAGTACGCGGCGGATAAGGTGTTTCAGGAATGGCTTGGTCAGCCAGAGAAGGAACCTCCACCTGCTGCGCTTGACCTGGTAGTCGAGCTTGTGGATGCGCACGCGGACGCCACGCAGCGAAAAGATGTGCTCTAGTCTGTCGCGGCCGACTTCGACATCCAAAGAGATGTCAATGCCTCGGCGATCGAGGTAGAAGCTGGCTATTCCCTCGTCTTTGAGGTTGAATAGAAGGCCGGTGTGGGTGCGGAACCAGTAGCCGAAGTCTTCGGCGCTGATGTTCAAACCTTGCACGGTGATCGTGAAGGCTGTCTTCATCAGGGTTTCGGTGCGTTTGGAGTGGGTTTTGATGACGTCGATGTCGTTGCGTGTAAGGAGGTGCATTCGGTAGGGAAGGAATGAGGAGAAGTGGACCGTATGGCCGGGTTCGAGAATCAGATTCTCAAGCAAGAGATCGATCTCCGGAGCCGAGATCTCCAGACGTGGAATGGGGATGTATTGGATCATCCGCAGAAGAACGGGAAGGAATACATTCACCAGGTCTGCAGGTAGGTCTGCCTTGTTGTCATTGTAGGCTCCCCACGCGTGCTGGTACACCTTTTTGGTGGCATTGATCAGCTTGTACACAGCAGGATCTTCTGGCACAGTTCGAAGAGTTTGCTTGGTCTGAGCCAGGAAGTCGTCCATGTCCTTGCGCAGGCTTGTCTCCGGGCCTACTTTCTCAGACTGCTTCTTTAGCTCATCGAGCTTCTGCGGCGCCGAGTCGAAGAAATCCGGATCGGTCAACATAGCCTGGAGTGAGTTTCCAGTCTCCCCTAGCAGAGTATCGAATTCGGGGTCTTTGTTGGCATGTCGGAGAACATTGTGAAACTTCTCCTGCAATCGATCCCATTCTTCTGCACTTCCGAATGATCTCAACAGTATCCAAAACTGATCGACAGCACGCTTGAGGTCCACATTGACCTGCACGTCTTCTTCCGCAGTCGAAGTGGTGTTCTCCGCTACCTCGGCGTAGATCTTAGCGTAGCGCTGCAGCAATTGAGCAAGTGTTGCGACCGAGTCAGAGTAGTCCGTTCTCTCGCGTAGGTTTTGCACAGCCTGTTTCAAACGGAATAACAGGGTATCCCTCTCCCGACCAGACAGGTGCTCCTTGGCACTTTCCAGAGCATCGTGCCCCGTATGAGCGATTCCTTCGCCAGCAGCTTCCGCAACATGAGCAACCTCCTCCCTCAATTCATCCTTAGACAGCTCATGTCCTTCGTCAGCACCAGCACCATTGAGCGCCGATTCATCTTCCGCGGACGGCTGGACCTCCTTCGCTACCAGCTTCGAAGACTCCGCGAGCGACTCGGCAGTATCAGCGAAAATCTGACGACCCACTGTGACGAGGTCATCGACGAAAAGACGAAAATCGGCATTAGTCAAGAGTAGACCACCAACGGTCCGGAAGCTATCATATGCTGCAGTGCCCGGTTAGCGATCGTCCCACATCAGATGCGCCAAGCCTGGAACCTGAGGGGAAGCGACCCACCAGCTTTGGTATCAGCTCGCGCTTTCACGTGGGCAGCCTGTCGCGAGACCCTCTCACTGTCGATCTCGACGCGTGAGCGAGATAGACGCCACAGGAATTCCTGTAGCTGATCGTGATGGTTCTTCTGGTGGAGGAACTCGATGAAGACCTGAATCCATAGCCGTAGATCGCGGACGAGTTGGCGCCCGACACTGCCAATATCTTGGTTTCGTAGGTTGAGGACGTCGGATGCGAGCAGGGTGCGGAGGTTGGCGATCATCTGTTCGGTGGTTGGCAGGTATCCCTCGGAGATTGCGCGGATCATCTGGTAGCTGTGGAGCTTCTGGTGGAGGCGACGCTGGCGAGAGGTGTCATCCTCATAGCGAGGGAGCAAAGGCTCCGTTTCTGAGGGCATCTTGAGATTGTTGAGTTGTGAGAGTAGTGAAGTCTAGACCGAAGCTCCCAAGATCGACACAACCTGTTTTCCCCGGAGCACATGACGCAAGAGAAGTATACCTACACTCGCAAGCCTTCCAAGTTTTCTTCTTTCTTGTTTAATTTGTACACTGTTCTTCAAGTAATTGGAATTAAATTGATCTAATTACTTCTGTCTCATAAAATAATGAAAAATATAAATACCAAAGCTCAAGGTATGCTACAGTGTATAACCTCATGTCAATCGCAACAGATCATACATAATGCTTCGCTTCGCTCAGCAGTTACAAAGGAGGCGCAAACGCAATCAATCCCTTCGCCAACCGCTGAATCTGAGCAGCATAATAAGTCTATAAAAGTCAGCACAATTCCACACCTGGACACTGGGACAAAACCAAGCAAACTCACACTCTCCGCACCAGCCCCAATAAGATACGCGGGCAAGAACCTCGTATACCAAGGAACAGGCGCTTTATTCAAAGGAAACCTCGCCTCCGCATCCCCAACACTCTCATCCAGCAACAAGCGTGGGAATTTCGGATCCACAGCCGCCGGCCGTCCAATTCCAACGACATCACAAGCACCATCCTGGACCGCAGCTTCGGCGCCAGCGCGCGACCGGAACCCACCTGTTAACATGAGTACTAGACCGGGATGTCGGAGGCGAACTTCCTTCGAGAACTCGAGGAAGAATGCTTCACGCGCTGCGGTTCGTGCGGACTTCCGTGGTGCTTTGGCGTACCCCATCATCGCGGGGTCTTCGTAGCTTCCGCCTGAGATTTCCATGAAGTCGATGCCGGCTGAGGCCAGGAGGGCGATCTGGGTCATGGTTTCTTCGAAGGTTGTGGAGCTGTGGTCGGCGGAGTTGAGCTTGATGCCGATGCAGAAGGTTGGGGGCACGACTTGGCGGGTTTGAGTGAGGATTTCTAGGACGAAGCGGGCGCGCTTCTCGGGGGTGCCGCCGTACTCGTCTGTGCGGAGATTTGTCTGGAGATGTTAGCTTTGGGTAAATGGTGACTTGTGTTGAGCAGTGAGCTAGATACCTTTTCATTGAGGAATTGATCTATGTCGTGTTAGCACCGAGACAATTTCGAGGTTTCATGCAACAGTGTGCCCAATCATACCAATCAGATATCCATGAGCACCATGCAATTCAACGCCCGAGAAACCAGCATCGGCCATGAGTCGGGCAGTATCCACGAATTGACCAATGACTCTCTCCACGTCTTGAGTGCTCATCTCCTTCGGCGTCGACCAAGCCAAGCACCCGATCAATCGTTCAAGATAGCCATCACCAAGATTGATAGGCACTGCGCTGGGCGCGAGCGTCTGCGCGAACATGCCTCTGTGGCCTGCGACGCGGAAGGACTGTCGACCTGGGTGGCAGATCTGAGCAATGACGGGGGTGCCGTGCTTTTGGCCTGCATCGGCATATTTCTTCCATTGAGCGACGAGATCGGCATTGCGCTCTGCGTCTTTGTACTCATTGTGTAGAGCTGGGTCGAATGGACTGCCCATGTGGTTTACGTCGACTTGGACGTTTCCTGTATTTTATTAGTGACGTGCAATTAGAGGCCCCGAAGGGAATATGTCAATTGGCAGATGAATGACTTTTCGGATTACTTACCTGTGAGGATGCTACCCCATCCACCATCGGACCACTGCTCATATGCATCCACGAGTAAATCGGTCGGGTGGTTAGTCTTGGCCATCAACTCGGCCATAGCAGCCTGCAGGGCGTTAGCCATGTAATGGATTGAAAAGGCAGAATCAATTGAATCAGTTCAATTGACTTGCACGATATTGCCAATATACCTTGCTGAGTCGATTGGGCAGTACCAGCCCACAGGGGAGTTTAACGGGGTCGGCGAGAGGCGACGGCATGGCGTGTATATGCAAAACTTCAATTCCAACAAGATTAAGTTATATGTCTTCGCCAGGGGCCCTTTAGATGTGAAATTCGCCCTCGGCCGAACTTAGTCATCGGAGAGATTGATTCCTCCGCGTCGGAGAAGTTGAACTTGAATTCGTCCGTCTCTGTGATGCCGAGGTATGACCACAGACTATTGCAGCTACACTATGAGAATCTAACACTTCTCAGAGTCTCCTAAGATGAATACCTAGGTATGAGAAAACAGGTAGTTGTAAATTTGTTCATTCAAATGACAATAGATGCTAACTATTCCCAAATGCAACGGCCCCAAAAAAGACCAAACAGAAAGTGATGGGTATTCTATCAAAAAGGAAAAACAAAAGTCATGACCCGGAAGAGGCAGAATGGTGCAAGTGCAAATGCGCTGGAAAAAGAATCAAAAAAGTCAACGTGAGTCAATCACGTCGACATATAAACGCTGAAGGAAAGGTTTTGTGATGCACATTTTTACAACTTGGCACCGTTCTTCTCCTCAGTGGGAGAGCCGTTGACAGTCAGAGGGGGGGAGACAGTGCCCAGGCTGGACAGGAGGTGGCCAACCTCACGCTCGAGAGCGCGAACCTCGGTGTGGGGATCGTACATGCGGGCACGGATCCAGTTGTCGAGCTCGACGTCGGAGAGAGAGCGGAGGGCGATCTCGCGATCAACCTTGTCTTCTTGGGCGGCGCGGATGACCTTGCGGGTGACGACGATGGAGACCTCGCGAATGCGAGTGATGTCCGGGTAGAGAAGGTTGCGCTCGAGCTCCTCGCCGGTCAGGGCGGAGGAGAGAGACTCGCCGGAGGCGTAGATCATGCTGTCGGTGACGCGGACGGCCTTGGACAGGATGCTGCCGAGACCGATACCGGGGAAGACGTACATGTTGTTACCCTGGCCGGGGTAGTAGGTGCGGGTCTCGCCGGCGGAGTTGGTGAAGGTGCAGTTGGGGAAGGGGGAGCCGGAGGCGAAGAGGCAGCGGCCGTCGGTGTTCTTGATGGCGGTCTCGAAGTCACACTCGGACTTGTGGGAGGGGTTGGAGAGGGGGAAGATCAGAGGAGCGGTGTTCCAGTCGGCCATCTTGCGGAGGATCTCGGGGGTGAAGACACCACCCATGGTGGAGAGACCCATCAGGATGGAGGGCTTGACGTGGTCGACGACCTCCTCGAGGGTCTTGAACTGGGCGCCCTCGTTGTCGCGGCGGGCGAAGTAGACCTTGTGGTCGGCGAGCTTGTCACCGCGGTCCGCGGTCACGAGACCCTTGGTGTCGACGAGGTAGAAGCAGTTGCGGGCCTCATCCTCGGTCATGCCCTCGCGCATGAAGAACTCGACGATCTGGCGGGCGACACCGACACCGGCGCTGCCGGCACCGAAGAAGACGGCGCGGTGGTCCTTGCAGGGGAGACCGGAACGCTTGACGGCGTTGATGACACCACCCAGGATGACGGCACCAGTACCCTGGATGTCATCGTTGAAGCAGGTGAAGCTGTCGCGGTAGCGCTCCAGGGCGGGGAAGGGGTTCTTGAAATCCTCGAACTGGATGACGATACCGGGCCAGCGCTCAGTGAGAGCGGTCATGAGCTCATCCAAGAACTCCCGCTCCTCCTCGGGGGAGATCTTGTCACGACGGCTACCCATGTACAACGGGTCTTCCCGGAGGGCCTTGTTGCTGGTACCCAAGTCGAGGGTCAGAGGCAGAGTAGCCTCGGGACGAATACCGGCACACGCGGTATAGAGGGCCAACTTTCCGATGGGAATACCCATGCCGTTGATGCCCAGGTCACCCAGGCCGAGAATACGAGAACCGTCGGTGATACATGTGATCTCGACGGAGGGCTGGGGCCAATTGGCGATGACCGAGGCCAGATTGCCGCGATCTTCCCAGCTAAGGTACATGCCTGCAGGAGTTAGCGTCTCCGGTTCTAATTCGTGGGGATCTCCAGAACTTACCCTCTGGCTGCTGGTAGATCTCGGACCAACGTTGGCAAGCTTCGCCGACAACTGGGGTATAGATGAGGGGAGTCATCTCCTGCGGGGGCGTTAGTTTTCGTGCTTCTCCAACTTTCCCCGGCCCAATCACATGTCTTGGAGATCAACGTACCCTGAGGTGGTCAGTCACCAGACGGTAGAACAGGTGCACATTGTTCTTGCGCAGGGTGCTGAGGTAGAGGAATTTCTCGATGGGGGTGTTCTTCAGACCCAATTGGGCGAGGCAGCGGGTCTTCTGAGTTTCGTAGCCCTCCGCGCGAGGAGGCGTGAGTCCGTATGTGCGCAGGTACTTGCGGATGTATGACGGGTTGGCGGTATCGTAGTTGGCATCACTGCGCGACGGTTAGTTCCCCCTCGATGCTATCGCCTGGGGCAGGGACTTACGCAGGCGAGGCGTGGTTCAGGTGCGCCGGCGGGGTGGAGTGCACCGGCCGGGACTGTTGGATGGGCAATGAAGGGTATCGAGCCATTGTGTGAGATGGAGTAGAGATGGAATAGAAAGTAGAAAGAGAGCGAGCAGGAACGATGTTTTTATGTCCACGCAGCATATTAAATTTCCCCTGGGACGTTCGTGCGCACATCAGGGCATTCCGACACAGACACGGCGATGACCAGATAATTAACCGGGTTCACAGCGACGCGGTATAGTAACGAAAGAGTCATGATTTGAGGTCGGGAAGACTCGGACACGGTGTGGTGGATTCCCTTTCGGTGGTGACAGCGAACCGTTTCGCGCGAATGCGATTCTGGAATTCTGGATCCCTCCAGTTTTTTTTTAGTTTCTTTTTTTTTTCTTTTTTTCTCATTATTTTCCTTGTCTCATTCATTTCGGAAAGCAGATCCAGGCAAGGAGTGTGGAGACGGGGGGCGCCGACTCCGACAAATGCGGAGATGCGACTTGACGTGGACATTGAGCTTTACGTCTCATTCCGATGGACTGAGGAGTGCACGGTAGAGTCTGTCTTCGTCTGCTGTATAGTATGTACTAGTAGGTCAAAGTCAATAGAAAGACAGACATGTACAGTGTAGATTTGAAACTATCGGAGCTGACAAGTCGCAGGGAAATTTTGTGTTTAACAAAAGCAAGCTGATTGGCCCGTAAAGCCGGGGAGACAAGAAAATAGAGACAGCCTAGACCCGATGGGGACTAGTGCCCTCCATCGGGTCCACCCCAACCACCGGGACTCCACTGCGATCCACAGCTACGAGCTCCCAGAGCCGCAGATAGTGCCGACTCGGGCCCCACTTATTCCCCCAAACGTCTTAAGCTCGGTGTTTACTTGGTTGGCTTTACAATCCTTACCCGATTGGGAATTTTGAAGGCAAAGCTTCTGGAAGGAATATTGTAGTGCGGAGACCGGCGACGGAGCCTGCCGTAGGCCCAAATCGCCCTGGGTCTCCAGTCGAAATAGTCCGGCAGATAGGGAATAAGGCGTCTTCCGATCGGAGCACCGGTGAGACCTTTGGGTTTCGAATCCGCCCGCGCTGAGGATTATCTGCAGCCTGAATGGCCCTCGGTCGCCGACAGGGGTTTGATTACTTATCCGGGTTATGTGTATCCTCTGCGCGATTATTCTTCAGGTCTGGAACTGCCCGCCAGAAACAATTCGGAATCCAGGGATTTGATCCGTGATTGGGCCCTGAGTCCGCACTGCACCCGTGTGTGTAAGGCGTCGCACATCTATTAATAATTCGGCGCCCTACACAATTCGTATGCCTCACTCTACTGCGTACATATCGCACTGGATCATTTTGTGCGTCCGGGCCTTCCCTGCAGTTCCCAACGTTGAGGAAAGGCTTGAGTGGGCTTGGCGATCGCGTGGAATGCGAATGAGCTCATATAGACCTGTCATTCCACTGAGGGATTATTCTGGCATATTTGCTTTTGTTCTCCTTTTCCTTGCAGATCGAATTTATTACGTAGGATCGCTTCGAATATGGAGTACTATGCAGTACGGAGTACGGAGTACAGACTGGAAATAAGCCTGATCTAGCTGGCACTATTGCCATGGTTGCATGAAACTCTCAGCTTTCCCCGGATTTGCCATTCCCGCGGGAATTCCACGGTTCAGTACATAAATCGCTCACTCCCTACTCCGTACTGCTTGCTCCCTGAGTACACCTCATTTTAAGATTTTGCAATTCTGTTGATTCAGGGGGTCTTCACTGCCTCCTTGTTTCAAGCTCTGTAGGGTGTGTTGTCTGATTGCCACGTACCAGTACAGTACGTAGGTGCAACTGCCCATATAATTCCATCCCGTCACTTCCCTATCCCTTGTGCGCTTAATGGCGTCACTCGGCTGCGTAATGGGCAATGCGCCCACTCTGCCGAGCATGAGATGCACAGCTGTCAACAGCTCCGAATAGGCTTAGCGGATCTCCCTTGCAATAATTTTATAGCTCATCGCATGGATCCTCGTACTCGTATGAATCAGATTGTCTCAATCATATGTTGTGATGTGACTTGCCGTCTGACTCGGTTTGCGCGGTCAGCTCACATTTGTGATCCCGACCACTCCGGTCCGACTCCATCTTTACCCGGGATGCCGAAATCCAGAACGCCCACTCGATCATATTTCTTTGGTTCAGTCTACTGTACTCCGTATAATGTCCGATCTGCTTCGGGTCCATTCAGTAGATCTGCAGATCTGCGCTAATTAAATCTCCCTCTCTTGTTCTGCGTGATTTCAAAGGCCATTGTTCTTGTCCTTTCAAGGGGCTTCCAGTTTCACCCTATACAAAGCTCTCATGGAAAGTCCCAGTGTCTATCCCCTTGTGCAAGAAATACCAAGGTTTCCTTCGCTCAGTCAAAGAATCTCGCACCTCTTGTGCCAGTTCTTTTGTCTATTAATCATCTTCATACTCCGTACACAAAAGCTTTTTGTGCTCTTTTTGAGGCTGTTCAGTGGCATTATAAGGTAGATATGTATATATACATGTTCATTTTGTCTGCCATAATTGCATCAAAAACAACTCGATCATCCAACTTCAAAATTATCACAAGCAACCAAGAATATACACATTAAATCAATAAATAAAAAGAAACACAATGGCAAACTTCCCACCATGGCAATCAACCGGACAGCAAATCCGTAAATGGATACAAAGCGCGAACGAGCCAGGATGTACAGTTTCCCGAATCACACTTACCCTGGATACCTTGCCACCCCACCGCACAGACTGGGATATCAACTCCGAAGCCGAGCACCTAGACCCAGAGCACTACAAGTGGCTCGAGCACGTCGGCATCCCGACCACAGCCGACAGGCTGAGCCGAACATCGGCATACTGGGGAACCATAGTCATGAAGAGTGAAGGAGCGCTAACTAGCTGGACAGGCATGACCGGACCGTCAGTGATCTTCATCAACAAGGTTGAGCGAGCGCGGAACTCCAATGATCCGTATATGTCTGAGCTGACGCACGCAGTTTATACCAAGGATTTCAAGATCGAAGGCCTCAAACATATCTGGGTGACGGATATTCAGAATGACGACACTGCACTCTTTGTCAATAAGCATGTCTATGCCCCCGGTACGGAACTGCAGTATCCCCGCGATGCTGTCATTACTTGGGACCCCTCGTACCCTCATTTTGATGCTTTACTCGGTACACCGATGGGTAAGATCGTTGGTTATTTCATCCTTGGGGCCTTTGGTCAGGGCGTGAGACGTATCTCGCACATCTCTGTTTTCCGATCTTTTGGCGCCCCGCAACTGCGCTTTGATATTGCGCCTGTCTGAATACAGATTCAAACTTCAGAATCTAGGTTGGATGGTTCGTCTCCACGTAGAACAAAGTGAGCCCCACAATACTTGATCGACAAAGTAGATAAGTGATTTGACATCAGGAATTCAACATTCCACCATCTGCACTTTAGAACGAGCAATGAAAAAGAAACCAACCTTCGAGGTGTTTGAAATGAAATCCTGAGATTAGATGATCAGAAATTAGTACTAGGATGTCTGTATTGTAGGAATTACAACACGCTATTCGACATTCCAATATTTTTTCGTGACCCCAATAGAAGGCAAGGCGGAGTCATTGGGACAGGACACTTGGACCCATAGCAAGAAGTTGTGATCAGGGCTGTTCGCAGTCCCCTAGGTCAGGGGAAATGAAGTACGTATGAAGTAAAAAAACGGTGCCTACGGTAGTTCAACTCTCCGCCGGGCGGCTCCCATTCAGACATCCATGACCCACTTCGGCGCCGTCCACGGGTCCACGGGTAGTGGGGAAAAGAAGGAAAGGCTTCGGCGCTGGCAAATTATTGAATTGAGGAGATGGGGTGTGTATGGCAGACCCATGGCTGTATGCAGCGATCAAAGGGCATTTTAATTTCCTGCACATGTGCGCATTGAGATTCTGTTGTTGTCACTATGGCCATTTCATATAATGGAAGGCCCTGGCAAGGTATGACATCAAATATCAGAACGTATGATAGCTGACAAAGGTTATGCCTTTGAATTACTATATAGGCTAATATATCATGGATGGAGAGGAATTTTGGAAATTTCATGGGATCGATGTAGGTATAGAGAATAAAATAGTAGAGTGTTGAGAGCGGTAGAGTATCGAAGACCCCAATGGTGATCGCAACCGCGAGCTTAGGGCCCGGGGTGATAGAGTCCACGAGTGCTTAGAGTAGTATGGTGCTTAAGTAGAGTACAGTGTCTAGCGGTATAGTCGGCGTGTGGGAATTTGCGATACATAGTTGGAAGACAGCTCTCGGGAGTTCCAAGGTTGTTAGTACTACTGTAGTTTTAGGAATATCATCAGCTCGAATTAAGGATCCTTCCACCAGATAGATCATCTTTCTATCTTATCTGAAGGATTTGACACTCTTCTGGAACACCAGAGAGCCACTTACGTCTGCATCACAGAGATATATAGTAGGCCGGAGCGGTCTGCCAGCAAGCACCTGGGCAGGTATATAAAACGTCATGGTGGACCCACATCGGCGCCGAACCAGATATCTAGGTATAGGTTTACGGAGGACACGTTAGATTAGTATAAAACCAAGTACTAGGTATGAAAAGATCAATATATAAAGTCTGCTGCCCAGTGCAGGCCACACCTAGTAGAAATGTTCTTTCGGCCGTACTAGGCATCTGCCTGTGCTTCATTCCACCTGGGCAAGGGTACCTAAAATTCATTGTCAGGACTTCAGTCTTTCAAGGTCCCATTTCAAGGTTTCGTTTGTACCTTTTGTATATTTTCGACTCTTCATCAACTTTGTTCTCCTTTGTGATTTCTACTTCAAATGTCGTCTCAAGCTGAAACGATCATCACTGAGGCCTGGTCTACATCATCTGATGAACGAGCATGGTCCGGCACAACAAAGCAACTCGACCCAGTATTCGGGAAAGAGGGAGACGATAGATATATCTCGGATGGTGACAGAGCGCAGATTGGAATTCTCGCTAGCTATGTTTCTAATATTATTATTAAACCAGAATATCACTGATACTGAAGTCCCAGGTTCTGCAAGACTCAGATACTAGCTGCGCCATTCCAGACGTGTAAGAATCTACCTTTGGTGACTATGATTGGAGTTTCAGCTTTCTGCAATATGCTCGTCTGGTTTCTAAAATCCAAAGCAGTTTATTCACAATAAGCTCGGTGAACCAGCCAGCTGCTGAATACAATTCCAAAGTGCAGGGCTTTCTAACAGAGTTAGAGTCTTGGCATATCTCTGCTCCTGAGCGTTTTCGTGCTGGAGAGACGCTCAGGCCTCGTCTCCTGCGCGAGCCACTCGCTCAGACGATCACACTGTTGACGAATTATCTATATTTCCACGCGCTGCTGACTCTATCATGGACCCTGCTACATCTCAGTGCGATCAAGTTGGAACCCATCCGACAGCTGGACTTGAAACGAGGACTGATGCGGACTGCACGCTCTGTTCTGGAACTAACCAAATTCATTGAAGTTGCCCCCTACACACCCGTCTGGTAAGTTGTTGAAAGAAGGCACCTTTCCTTCATATCGAACGGAGCTCTAAGGACAAACCACAACTTAGACTGACAACCAATTTGTAGGATGCTCGCGGTGTTGCCGCTGTCATGTTTGATGATCCTCTTTGATCTAGTGGTCCACAACCCAGACCACCCTGAGGCTAGTCTCAGTCTCGCAATCCTAGACATCGCTAGCGGAAATTTCAGTCGGCTGGAATTCGCGAGCAATGGCACTATACCCGGCTCTTTGGTTGCACAGTTCGCACACCTCGCACGCCAATACATATTTGAGAAGAGGGAACGTAGACAAAAGATGACCGACAAGGGAATTCATGGCTCTTGCACCATTCAGTCTGACTTGCCAGCTGGACCAGCACAGGTATCTCTATCCCCTGCAGAATTCCCTACCACTGGTGGGCTAACATCAAATCTACACGCCCAAATATCTGGCCTACAGGAGCAGCTACCACTCGATGCTGGGGCTGTGCCGCTGTGTGATTCGACCGTGTTAAGTGAGAACGATGAGTTATTCATTCCCTCGATTGATGATCCAAGCTACCGCTTGAGGACCTGGAATTGCTAGGAATTGATATGAAAGACTTATTTGATTATTCATATCCAATGTGAGGGAGTGACACATTTTTACGATATAGCATTCCTATGGCAATCTGCACTTTGACCGAGTTTCTCAACATGATATTTCGCAAATTTTTCCACTGCTTTCTGATTTGCCAGCTCAGAACGCCAGATCGGGCGAAGTGATAAAACTGTTGAAGTTACTGAAGAATCCTTCCACCGGCAGAGAAGGTTGGCTTTTTATTGAGGGAGAGAGAAAGAGAGAGAGGGGCGAAGGAGGGAAACGTAAGGAGAGAGTCGGGAGCTATACCCTCAGAATCACCTGACTGTTCAACAACCTTGGAATCAGGCGTCTGTGGAGCCATGGTTCAATTCAGGGTTCGGGAAGACTGCGGCTGTGGGGCCGAGTTTCCAGTCTCGCGGGACAAGAGTTCGTAGAGCCAGACATCTTTGTCTGGATTCAGCGTGGTTTCAAGCTGTGAATGACTGGTCAATATGCGAAAGTCGCTCAAATATCAAAAGATGTCTGGCGCTCTAAAGAATAGATAATGTTTCTACGGAGTAAGCCAACCGGTGTTCGGGGTTGGATTGAACGGGAACTGTAGATTCATTGTCATGACTCATGAGATCACTCAACTTTCTCCGGCCCCATACTCTACTTTATCCCACCTTCCAGCCCCAGGTTGAGCAACACAGGCAATATGGTCCAATTTGAGCTCTTTGTGGCTACTCAAGCCAGTCAGGCTGGGACCCTACCTGTCCTCTTGGTTGCCTCGTCCATCAACGAGGCCCGCCCGTATGTCGGCGACGTTGGCCCTGGGGCTCATTTTGGAGCGCACTGGTTGACATGGAGCTAACCCCCTATTTTCTCCTTTCCAGATCTCCAATCATTGATATTGTTTTTGAAGACAATACCGTGCTCACTGGGGCAGGGAATTCTATCATACGGTTCCAGGGAGATGGCAAGTCTGTTACGGGCGCCGCTGCCATCATCCAGGAGCTGTGTGCGTATTTCACTTTCCTCGCTGGCAAGGATTCCAAAGCAGAGAAGCTGTGGATTTCTCAGCTGGAATCATTTCAGACTCTGGAATTTAAAACGCTTGATCCTATTCTCCAGCGCCTTAACACCCACCTGATCCTCCGATCATTTATCACCGGTCACTCTCTGTCAACTGCCGACATCACTATATGGGGAGCCCTGCGCGGAAATCGGGTAGCTGTTGCCGCACTCAAGAAGGGTACTCTTGTCAATCTCACTCGCTGGTTTAAATTCATCGAAGAGCTCTGCCCGTGGGCCATGCTAGCCGTGGAGTCGCTGAATGCTACTACCCGCGAAAAGAAGTTCGCTAAGGCCAAGGATGGTGCAAATTATGATATCGCCCTGAAAGTGAGCCTTGAAGTTTTTTGCTTTTCTAATAACAAACAGCTAACCCGAGGAATTATTTAGAACACGGAGAATGGTGTCGTTACAAGATTTCCTCCGGAGCCTTCTGGATACCTTCACATCGGACATGCCAAGGCTGCTCTTTTGGTTCGTTCTCGCCCGCGGTTCCCTTCCATCACTGATTAGCATGCTAATTCCTGGCTCCATTCAGAATGGTTACTTCGCCCGTTTGTTGCCGACCTTACTCACAGCAATGGTACATTTACTGACGACGGGCCTGCTACAGACAAGAAGTATAATGGCACGCTTTTGCTTCGGTGAGGATTACCCGGTGAATGACAAGCTTGGAAGTAACACATGCTTATTCAATATTTAGATTTGATGACACCAACCCGTCAAACGAGAAGCAGGAATTCCAGGATGCCATCTTGGAAGATCTTGCATTGATGGGTCCGTCTTAATTGCATCTCATTTATCAAACAAAAGCGAGCTAACAGCCCAGCAGGTATACATCCCGACAAAGTGAGCTATACTAGCGACTACTTCAATCAACTCCATGACTATTGTGTCAAGATCATTCAATCTGGGAATGCGTACGCCGATGACACTGACAAGGTGACCATGAAGGACCAGCGATGGGACGGTCTTCCAAGCCAGCGCCGTGATCTCTCCCCTGATCAGTCACTGACTCACTTCGCGGAGATGAAAAAGGGCACACCCGAGGGACTACGCTGGTGCATTCGTGCCAAGATTTCCGTCGACGACACCAACAAAGCTATGCGTGACCCTGTGATCTACCGATGTAATCCTGCTCATCATCATCGTACAGGTGACTCCTGGGTTATCTATCCGACGTATGACTTCGCTTGCCCTATCGTTGATTCAATTGAGGGTGTCACCCATGCTCTGCGAACGATCGAATACAGAGATCGCAACCCGCAGTACCAGTGGATGCTTGATACCCTGGGTCTTCGTACTGTTCAAGTCTGGGACTTTGCTCGCATGAATTTCATTCGCACCTTGCTTTCTAAACGAAAGCTGACCAAACTGGTGGAGCGTGGTGTTGTCTGGGGGTGGGATGGTGAGTGCGATTGATCTCGCTTTTTTATTTCAATACTAATAGCCAGTCCAGACCCTCGATTTCCAACTGTTCGCGGTATTCGCCGTCGTGGAATGACTATCCCCGCGCTTCGTGAGTTTATTCTTAAACAGGGTCCTTCGAAGAACGTGACTCTTTTCGACTGGGCCTTGATCTGGGCTACAAACAAGAAACATATCGACCCGATTGCCTCTCGCTACACTGCAATTGAAACTGAGGGTCGTGTGGAGGCGACCGTGACGGGTGGTCCTGTTACTCCGTACACAGAAAAGCGCCAAAAACATGCTAAGAACACCGCACTTGGCGAGAAAGATGTCGCATTTTCCTCTTCCGTTATGCTCGAGCAAGTTGATGCTCAGTCCTTCCAAGAGAATAGAAGAGATCACCCTGATGAACTGGGGTAATGTGATTGTTCGCAAGATTGCTACCAACATTTCTACGGGTAAAGTCACGCACTTGGAGCTGGAGCTACACTTGGCTGGTGATGTGAAGAAAACCAAAAAGAAGGTTACCTGGCTGTCTACTGAGGGCCAGAGTTTGGTGCCCATTGAGTTGGTAGACTTCGATTACCTCCTCAAGAAGGATTCACTCAGTAAGGAGGATGTTCTGGAGCAGTTCCTCAATTTCAACACTGAATTCCGCGTTGATGCCTTGGCTGAGAGCAACGTCTCCAACGTCCAGGTCGGCGACATCATTCAGTTTGACCGGAAGGGTTTCTACCGTGTGGACCAGGCTCCAGCTCCTGGTGTCCCGGGCGTTTTCTTTTATGTACCTACCGGAAAGCAAAAATAGGTATAGCATCTTTCACACATGAAGCATCTCGGATATTCTATCCAAAATTTCATCCTGTTTGTTTCTCTCTGAAAACGAGGTTTTGCCAGGTGGGCTTATCTGAGGCCAGGGGTACAGCTCGCAGTCCTGCGATCCCCCAAACGAAGATTCTTCAACCCACGTTCCTTGGCACCCAGAACTTCACCTGGATATTATTTGATTCCAAGGTTGGATATGCTCCTTCTTTTGAACAGTCCATTCTGCGTGGAATAGTCGATTTGGGTCCACTTCATCCAATCGTACTCCACAGCTATACGCGTATTCGTATAGGCAGGGATTGACCCGTGTATGTGTGGATGTGATTTGCAGGGACCCTGTGCCCTACACAGTCCCACTGGTCCTTCTAGCTTCATTGAGTGATCTGCATTGGTTGCGGATCAAATCAGCAATTCTGACTTCTCATTGGCGCCGATCCACGCTAAATCGGTACTCGTATTCTTCAGTCAACGGGGTTTAGTTCGGTCTGTTGGATGCCCTATGAGTTGTTCCATGAGTGGTTCTGGCGTCGATTTCTCCACTGCAGACTATCTAAAGCCAAGTGCTGCTTCGAAGCTAGCCAGCTTTGAGTTTTCTGTCAACAAACTATTAGCTGCTCTATTGCTTTGACTCGCTGTAATTTCCGCCTCTGCTATATAACCTCCAACTCTTCGATCTGCATCCCACTAAAGACCCTCAGACCCTCAGGCCCTCGGACCCTCGGAATGTCTGGCACAGCCCAAGATACAGAGCTTCAGGATGAGCAGCCACCGAGATATTCCACACTGGAGGTAGCGGGATGGCCCCAAGAGGGCCCACATGTCCAAGGTATCCGCGGCTCTACACATCCAAGTACTAGCCGATGTACTGATTCTCCCTAGAGGACGGTCGTATCAGAGTGGATCTCGACTCCAAGATCTGCAGAACACTCACAAAGCTGATTCCCACGCCGCGCGAGCCTGAGTTTCCGCCCCCTTCGTATCCCGGAACTGAAATCTGCGACCTCCATCTAAACATCGTCATCCAGGTCGTCGGCAGCCGAGGCGATGTCCAGCCTTTCATTGCCTTGGGCAATGAGCTCCAGAAACACGGCCATCGCGTGCGCTTAGCCACCCATAACACATTCGAAGCATTCGTTCTTAAATCCGGGCTGGAATTCTACCCCATCGGCGGAGACCCGTCTGAGCTGATGGCGTATATGGTAAAGAATCCCGGCCTGATACCTCAGATGAAGAGTCTTCGCGATGGGGAGATCCAGCGCAAGAGAGCTATGGTAGCGGAGATGCTGACCGGATGCTGGGAATCATGTATTAGCGATGATCCAGTATCGGGTGCGCCGTTCGTTGCGGATGCTATAATCGCTAATCCACCGAGCTTTGCGCACATTCATTGCGCTCAGGCTCTTTCGATCCCCGTGCATATGATGTTTACTATGCCTTGGAGCAGCACGAGGTCATTCCCTCACCCCTTGGCGAACCTGAAGTATTCGAATACAGAGCCGAAGACTGCTAACTTTGTCTCGTACGGCATTGTTGAATGGATGACTTGGCAAGGGTATGCCCATAATATAATTGAATCTATCCCGAGGTCAACTACTTACTTCACCTAGTCTCGGCGATGTGATCAACGACTGGAGAGCGACCCTTGACTTGGAGCCTGTGCCTGCTACCGAAGGTCCATCACTATGCAATACTCTCAAAGTACCCTTTACATACTGCTGGTCTCCATCTTTCATGCCCAAGCCTATCGAATGGCCAGCCCACATTGACGTTTGTGGGTTCTTTTTCCGTTCGCTCCCAGACTACACGCCAGCCCCCGATCTGCATGCGTTTCTCCAAAATGGAAGCCCGCCAGTGTATATTGGATTCGGCAGTATTGTGATTGAGGATTCTGCAAGTATGACGGCGTTGATACTCCAAGCTGTCAAGACGCTAGGCATTCGGGCTATAATCTCCCGCGGCTGGAGTCACCTAGGCGAGGAGAGTTCTAACGATCAAGTATTCTATCTCGACGATTGTCCCCACGAGTGGCTGTTCCAGCACGTCTCTGCCGTCGTTCATCATGGCGGTGCAGGTACGACAGCATGCGGGTTACGTTTTGGAAAGGCTACAACTGTTGTGCCATTCTTTGGAGAGTGAGTGATCCTTCACTGTCAATTCAACCCGCTAATTCATTTCAGTCAATTGTTTTGGGGAAACTTGATTGCCTCTCGAGGGCTTGGGCCCAAACCTATCCCACACAAATCTCTGAATCCCCAGAACCTCGCCGATGCGATTCGATTCTGCCTGACTCCGTCTGCGCAGGCCGCGGCTCGGGACGTAGCAAACCAAATGCGCGATGAGGCTGGCGTCAGTACGGCTGTTGCCTCGTTTCACCGCAATCTACCTCTGGACCGGATGCGATGTGATCTGTTGACATCGGAGCCAGCAGTTTGGAAGTTGAAGAAGTCTTCGAAACCGTTCTATTTGTCCCGACTTGCAGCCGAGGTATTAGTTGAGCACCACCGGTTGAAAGCGAGTGACCTTGAGCCGTGAGTCAATATTCTAGCTTTGCCTTCCTTTTTACTCAGTTTATTGGATATGCTGACAGAAGCTAGTCATGCGAGCCATGAAATCTACATCCAAAATCGTCGATGGGATCCTGTCACAGGTACCACTTCATCTCTGATTGGCACCGGTACCGATATCATGAAAGCGACAGGCGACGCCTTCCTACTCCCATACCAAGAATTCCGCCGTCATCCACATACCCCAGGGGAAATTACCGGTCCTTCCAACGAGCGGTCCCCCAGTGTCTCATCAACAGGGGCTTCCTCAATGGTGACTACCAATTCCGAAAGACAGTCTAGACTCAAGACCACAGGCGTGGCCATGGCTGCTTCGGCAAAGAGTCTAGGCAAAGCGGTAGGTCACTCCTATAAAGGCATGCTCATCGACATGCCATTAGCGGCGAGTGAGGGACTCCGAGCTGTACCGCGACTGTATGGCGATGAGGTTCAAGACCATGGTGATATCAGAGATTGGAAGTCCGGGGCTATGTTCGCAGGGAAGAATTTCGCACATGGCATGACGGGAGGATTTACAGGCCTGTTTACGCAGCCTTATAAGGGTGGTCAGAAAGAGGGGGCTAAGGGTGTGATGAAGGGATTAGCCAAGGGGACTCTTGAGATGGGGACGAAGGTCTCATCAGGTACGTCTCACTCCGTTCTAATCAGTTCAGGACTAAGTGGAGGCTTTAGCTGCTTTGGGGCTTGTGGCCTATCCGGCGCATGGAATGATGAAGAGCATGTATACTGCAACACATTCGGGGACTCGAAAACGAATCCTGGAGGCCCGGAAGAGAGAAGGGAAGTATTTAGAAGAGCATACAGAGAAGGGCCGAGTTGGTCGACAGGTTGCCCTTCGGAAGTTCGAAGCTCAGCAACTTCGGGCCACTACTATACAGGGCTAGTTGCACCTAATACTGGTTATAATGAGGATACAAAAGCTTCTGGTTCATACATGGTTTCTTCCAGAGGGCAGTGACTTGGTACGTCTCGAATCCCAGGGTATCATTTAGTAGATTCGAAGTGTCAAAACGTTGAAACTCACGAATCAACTTCAAATGTTGCGACGTCACCCTGCCCATGGGTACTGCCCATTTGGGAAAACACCTTGGGCAAGTATATAAACAACCTCCTTCTCCTTTTCAAACTCTTCCTTCTTTTTCCCCTCAAGCCTTCCAAGTTTTCTATAACTTCTTTCTGTCTTGCCGCACGGAAAACACTGGCTCTGTCAAGTGAAAGACCATCCTTTTACTTTACAAACAAAATTACCTCTTGGTTCAACTGAACAAGTAAATACTAAACCTGTCTACCTATTTCACACTCTGGCTGACATTTTTCTCTTGGCAGGATGTACACTGGAAGAGTATTACCGGAGAGAATTGATGGATTCTTCACTCAGAGAGATGGAGGGAAAAGCAAAGTGAGGGAGAGAGCGAGAAACATCCTCACCTGACCAGGCGTTGACTCAGAACACAACCACACGACATCCGCCAACGGCCTCAACGCTGGCCCTTTGATTTCAACTCATAGGCTGACATCTGACCTGACCGGACCCCCATCGGTTCTGGTGTTTTCACATATTCTGCGGGCTTATGATGGTATCCGGTATACAAAGGATATCTGCTCCTCGGCGGACGGGGTGCGATGATAACTTCGAGGACTGGCACACCGCTGTCATCAAGGCACTGGAAGTTAATGGTCTCCATCGCATAGTTGAGACCAGCTGCCAACGCTCGAACTTCAAATCGTGACATTCTACTGGCCAATAGAATCAAATTATGGAGTCGAACGGGAGCCCTACTACACAGCTCAAATCGCCCAGAAGCTAGGCACAAAACGGATGCAATACAAAGGCTTCACGATAGGACAGGTCCTTGTTGAGCAGTCCGACTACGATACCGCCCTCAGGCAGCATCATCGGTCTCGGTGCCTACATTGGAACATCCATGGATGTCGTTACCGACAAACCTACTGGTCCACATTTCGATGCGATATTTCCAAGTCAACTCAAATGTGGACAAGCTCCCCATTCTCGAGGAAAAAAAAGTTACGCAAAGTCGCATCCACACGAAGCAAATAAAATTCACGTCGGATCGATCTTGTCAGTTGGCAACAGGGCGATACTGGAGCCATGCGTGAGAATGTTTGAAGGAATTCAGGTAACCCGAAAGTAGTTACGGAGGATCCCAAGCAAGGAAGTTACTAGCATGCAGGGTCTGTGTCATAGCACTAAGCAAGGGAAAAGGTTGATATTGCGGAGGGCGATTCTGCAGGTTCGTAGCATTTGCCCCATCGGAGTACTGTACGGATGATGACATTCAGAATATGTACAACCAGTTCCTTCTTTCTGAATCAACCAACAAGATGCTGGGCAAGGATTCTGAGGCTCAGGTTGCTTCCGCAAACACGACGAACAACCAACAATCCAAAGGATCACAGCCTAAAAACAAATATGAACAGAATAAGGATACAAAGCAACAGCAGAATGCCAACAAGAACAACTCGAATCAGAATCAGAACCAGAACCAGAACAACCAGAATAACCCCAACAAAGGTCCGAAAGGAAGGGGTCAGCCTACCTCTGGTCAGTCAAATTTTGGTGAACGAGATCAGATCTGGTGCACCAATTGCAATTCGTCGGGTGTCTAGAGAGAAAGGACAGTGAGAGAGAGTTCTAGAGAGTGAGAAGGACAGGACTACATATTACGATGTGTCACATGCTCCTAAGGTTACCTTGACCTTGGAAGTAGGACAGGATGTCTAGTCTGACAGAGCATAATACATGTTATAATGAGGATACAAAAGCTTCTGATTCAAATATGGTTTCTATCTCTCTCCAGCGACTTGATATGTCTAGAATCCCGGGGTATTAGCTACCTTCTCAAGAGCAACAGCAAGCCGATTGGGTTCAGCACTGTCCGGTCGCTCCAGAACGCGCAGCTGCATCTTGCCCAACATTTAAGACATCTCCTTGCAATACTCCTGCGTGTTGGGGTCTGTCACTTCGGTCATCTTTTCTGAGTGATACCCAATGGCAACGGCTCGTTTGCAAGTGCTCGGAGGCACGAGCAGATGATCTCACTGTCTGGTTTGGGGCATTTGAAATAAGCAATCAGATTGTCCAAGTCTTTTTTAAAGTCCGAGATGCGACGAACTTGCTTGGATTCCATTGACATTGGGTTGGCCATTTCGAATCGTTGGGTTCTGTATGGATAGTTAGTTGAGGTGGATCTGTTTGGACTTACTAGGTAGTGGTTTGAGAGAATACTGATGTTTGATGGAGCTGAGATAGATCATGGCTTGGGATTTTATACCTGAAGGTGAGTGTCGAGGGACTCGAGTTCTTTCGCAATGGGTCAAAGCCCTTTAAATGGGATTGTTCGAAACAACACTTGTTCTTTCATCTTTCAAGTCTATCCATTCTGCACAAAGGAAACAAACCTGTCGCTAATTCTCGGATTGATAGAGTGCAGTGTAATGTGCCGTGTGTGTAGTATCCCGAGGTCCAGTTGCTCCTGCCCTTGGGCTTGGGTTTCTCACGAACATCCAACTTCCCCCCTTCACACAGCCATGAGTTCCGACTTCGTTCAAGCCAAGTACTCGGCGTACGAAAAGCTCGCCACCGCTGCAGTCGCCCTTCTCGCAGTCTTGACATTCGGCCCACTCGCATACTTGGGAATATGGTACTACCTGCGGCGTCGGGTTCGATACTCCCGTCGGCAGCAAGCTCAAGATAACCTCATATTTAGCCAGTCAGCCGTCTCGTTACCCGAGGATACAAGCAAGGCCTTGGATGAGTTCCTCATGACAGACGTTCAGCCCCAACGCACCTCAATCATATGCGGATCAGGGCGCTCCCCATCCATCACGATGGTATTCGATGATGCATATCAAGACTCTCCTCCCCATTCATACCTGACAAGCCACGACAGTTCCGCTTCGACGCTGGTGCCGGGCAATGCCATCTCGGGTAATGTCTTGACTCCCAACACCTTGTCTCCAGTCAACACTCTATCGCAAACCACCACCTCCGGCTCGATACCAAGTGTTCCAACCTCGAGCATGATAGTGGAAGCAACTTCCACGCCGAGGGAATCTATCTCGCTGGATCCAAGTGTCCGCTCCTCGCAGAATACAACATCCGTCGGTACGCACGCCGGCTCGGCTTCGAATGGAGCCTCCATAAGCTCAAATCACTCCCAAAGACCCCAAAGCCCGGTTAGTCCGCTCGCGTCACGCGACTCGCGTGGCTCTATATCCCTCTCAAGTCATCGGAGCTCCTTACAACGGTCCAATGCTACTCAATCGCAATCTGAGCGACTGTCCGGTGAGATAGGATCATCGCGGGCCTCTGCGGCTTTCAGTTTCGAGATATCACGCTCGCCGTCTCTGGAGCCGTCGGTCTTGATAGATGTTTCTCATAATTTGGATCAATCACAAGGGGCTTCTCACCCTTCTCCGGGCTCCTCGACATTCCGTCACTCTTTCCCGACTTAGCTATGCATTGGCACAGAGGATGTCATTGCGTTCTCTTGTTGTAGGGCATGGGGTAATAATAGCGTTATTTTTACACTGGTCTGTTACTCTGGAAGTTTTGGTACACCTTACCTATCCTTATCTATGCATTTCGTGCACTCAATCGTACGCCAACCGATAATTTTTGCTTCGTTATCATCAGTTCTGCTACAGCCACTCTGCTTCAGTTAAGCCGAAGGGCTATTTTTTGCTCACTCCAATTCTGATTTCCATCGCTTTCCGTAATGTGATTCGAAGACAATAGCGCATAGTCTCTGTGGACCAAATAGCAAAGATTTGAAGAGAAATTCAAGTCGTTGGCCTCACAACAAGGGCCCAGGTGATTATAGTAATAACTTGGTATTGCCGGCAGTTATTGCCCAGACCTTTCTGGGTTCATTGCTCTAACCGGTGAGAACTGAGCATCGCTCATGGGTCTAAGATTCCATGAGTAAAAGAGAAATCAGAGACCGTTTAAAAAGCTATTAAAAGAGGAATCTCGCTATTCCAGTACGCTAAAGACCCGAACACATGTTCGCCATGAGATATACAGATCAAGAAAAGTCTATCCGATAATATCTTCATTTTCATGAATTTATGTCACGGACACTACGCAGACAACGCTCGAGTCGCTTCCCACGCTCCTTCTCTCGGACCAACGTATCCTTGACGAACGCGCGAATGGCGTCGCGGCCGACCTTTTCCCGCCAGGAGGTCCAGCCGGCAAGATCGCTGACGACAACGTCCTTGTTCCAGGTGACCTCTTTGGCCAGCCGGGAGGATTCGGCTTCGCCGTCGCGGATCTTTTGTTCAAGATCGCGGACGGATCGTTGTCGGGATTCTTCAAAGCCGGGGAGGTTGATGTTGAATTTGCGAGGGAGGGAGGCGGAGAGGAGCGAGGAGCGAGAGCGGGCGATGTGGCGGTTGGTGGAAGAAAGGGAGGACATGATGGAAAGGGGGCGGGAGAGAGATTCAAGGACTGCGGCGGTCGTGCTATCGATGGAGGACAGAGCAGCGAGGTATTGGAGGAGAGGAGAGGAGTCGGAGCGAGAGGTGGAAAGGTAAGTCGCGTAGCGGGCAAAGGCCTCGATGTGGGAGGTGGGGAGTGCATTGGTTGGTTTCCGGAGGGTGGCTAGCACAGAGGAGCAAATCATCACCGCGTCGGCGAGGTCGGATGTTCCATTTTGGAGCGCGTGTCCGCGGCGAATGAGACTGCGAGTGTTGACGTGCACTCCACGCACCATATCCTGGGCGTGAGTGACGAATTGCTCTGTGTCGCGCATTCCTTCAATGGAGACCGGCGCATATTCGTCTGATATCGTCTCTGAAAGAACCGCAGCCTTGCGGTTAGATCGGTCGGCCATCAGTTCTGGCTGCAGCTCAGGGACAAGGAAGAACTCCCATAGCATCTCGTGGGTTGCAAAAGTGGGGTGAGTAAGTAGCGTCTTGAGGAAGCGATCAAGTCTCTCCTGAAGATCGTGGAGCACAGATCGTGAGGGTTTGGAGTGGATCTGGAAAGGGTTGCGGAAATCCAACAAGGACGGCATGTACGATGCAGGATGTTCCACGGCAAGACACTTGGCCAAGTGCTGGAAGTCGGAGAAGTTGCGCCGGCAGGTTGTGACAGTGTATGTTGTTGATCCAGGTCGCGATGATGCCATGGACTTTGATGGATGATAGGGGGCGCCCGATTTGAGAATAAATCGCACCGTTGCATCCTCGACGAAGAATGACCGCACAACTGTTGTGACGCGACCAGATGGATCACCACAGGCCGAAGGGGGGTGAGACAGCAAGATCAAATCGTCGATCCGGTTTCGCACCTCGTCGTCCTTGGCCAGCTCCACGGCTGTCAATCCACGGGCTTCTTTCACGTGTACATCGACTCGTGGGTCCAGAAACAGAATGCGAACTTGGTCGACTCGCCCGTACTTGCTAGCCATCATCAATGGAGTGAATCTCTTGTCGTTTGTGGCATTCGGGTCACAATCACTGTCTTGGAGAATTCGTCGGGTAATTTCCGGATCGCCTACAATGTGCAGGAGTGTGTTGCCCTTGGCATCAACATGGTCATCAAGCTGGAGGGGTTTGTTGTCGCCTTGCGCGCGCTGCGCTGCTGTTAAGGCTGCTTGTACCATCTGCTTGTATTCAGGGTGATCATATGATCGACAAAGCGCAAACAATGGCGTCTGGCCATGCTTGTCTCGTTGTCTCCATGGCATGAACTCTCCAAGCCTCACGAGAAGAGATGGCGTGCTGAAGATATAATGGGCAACGGTGCGGCCGTGGACATCAGACTTGGTCAGATAAAAGGCAATGACGTTGGAATCCGTCTTTGCGAACAAAAAGTCCAGGAGGATATTAACGATCTCCTTGTTTGCGAGCTGCACAGCAGCGTTCAGCAAAGTCGTCCCATCAGCATTGGTATCTTGCAAGATCTCATCCAGCGGGAAATACTCTTCGAGGGTCAGCAGATACCTCAAAGCGTCCGGCTGGCGGCCCTCGACTGCCATCATCGGTATTGAATGGCCTGCAGGATCTTGAGTCTTAGTCAAGGTCTCAATTGAGCTATCCCCTTCAATTCCACTGGCCATGGAGTTCAGTGTTGTGGTTCTGGAGATGAATGATATGGCCGACGACTCGGACAAACTCCGGACATCCATCGAGACTTTCTTGACTGGACGGTGAGACTCAGGAAGGAAAGTCCCATTCCAGTTCTGGAAAGGGAAGACGTGCGAAAGCGGCGGTGTGTCGTCGACAACTGCTTCTTCTGACTCTAGCTCGCCATTGGTACTGCTGGTGAAGGAACTCTCGAACGGTAGGTCATCCGATTCATCGACTTCGTCCGTTTGGAAAAAGACAGACTTTCGCTCTGGCTCTGGTGGAGTGATGTCGTCTATCGATTCGTGGTCTCCATTTGGTTCCAATATCGACTTCATGTCCGATATCTTGCCTGCTTTGGTGGCTTGCCACAGGCGTCTGTTTCGAACACTTGCACGTCGAAGACCAGCGGAATCCGTGACAAGGTACATCAAAACAGCTTCGAAGGTACTTAGTGCATAGCCCATCTCGCCGCTGTCCACGTCATCGATGTAAATGAAGTGCTGCATGTATAATAGTCGGGCTTGGAGGTGACGGATCTGAGACCGGATCACAACGACTAGCAGCAAGGACACCAAAACATCTGCGTTGATCGTGACGGATGAAGTACCCTTCTCGGAGGCTGGGCCATCCACCTGGTCATAACTGCCAGGGTATGACACGACCTTGACCGTGCTGAGAAGAGTGTTGAGCATATCATGGGGGCATCGAGCATCATTAATCTTTCTGAACTCCTCCACACCCCGACCGAGCCGACGAATCAATTCTCGTTTCCCTTCACGTCCCCCCTCGACCGAAATCCCGACTTGAGAGACATCAATACTTTCCATCTGACGGATACGGGAATCCAGCTCGGTATCCTCGGGTTGGCGGAAAGAACAGAGGCGCGGGAACAGTAGTGGCTCGTGGACTTGCTCGGCGACATAGCGTTCTATCAAGCGCTCCACCAAGGGGCCTGTCAAATCTGTGGTGGCACCGAGCAACGACAGTTGCTGCTTGTCTACCAGACGGAACAGATCAATCGCGGCAGTCACGGCAGTCTCCAGGCTCCGGCGCATTAGATCCTCGTCATCCTCAAAGTATTCCTCTGAGTTGAAAGGCAAGCGTCCTCTATTTCGCGACGACCAGCTGCGGATGGAAGAGGTGTCGTCTGCCAAGGATTCCGCTCGGGACACCTGGCGGACTCGATCACTGCCAGATGCAGATGGCGATCGTGAAGGGGGCGGGGGCAACGGCTTCCCCAGCTCCTTTCCGAATTCACGGAACAGCCTTTCTAACCCCGGTTGCATCTGCCTAGCGATCATGGGGAAATTGGCAAGCAATTCTCCAAATGTCTTGATTTCTTGCTTCGGCGGGGTACCGATTGAAGTTCCACTGCCATAACCCTTATCGATGTTCGTCGGCTTCGGTGCGCTGAATTCGACTCCGGGGACCACAGCGGGGATGACCCTCGCGGGATCGAACGTGCCTATCAGCGGGCGCGAAATGTAGTATACGAGCCATGGCCGCGACTCGTTGGCGGAGGGGTAGTAGAGCGCGTCCGATAATAATTGAGCTTGCGTGAGGGACTTGAATCCTGATAGATGCCTAGAGTCAGCGCATCCGCATGGGCGCTCTTTCGGAGACTTGCTACTTACCTTTGTTGCTGTACACTGAGTTTTCCTTGATAATCACGGTTCTCCCGTTGAAGGTAGTCACTTGCTTCGCCTTCCCTCGGTTGTCTCGGACGTTGGTCTCCTCCTTAGAATTCGAGGAGCCGGTATGGACCGGGACGCGCAGCACATGGCTACCGAGGAACTCTTCCGATGCGACCAGATCTGAATATAGCAGATTGGACTCCCGTTCGCGCGAGCTGATGAGAGAATCGGTCGTGGGGACTAGCAAGACCTGAGGGGCCAATTAGCCGGGCGGAACGATCGGACTGATGCAGACGTACATGGTTCTCTACCGGTACACACTGGCCCGGGACAGTGCTCCGGAAGAAGGCACGGAGAAAGGGATTTAGAGGGTGCATCCAAACGGTGTTGGACGGCCCAGTCGCAGAACTGCAGCAATCATCAAGCCGTTTTAAATCTCCGGAATTTGATGGGGGAACAATGAGGTCAGATCGCGTCAATGATCAGTCCGCAAAAACAACAGACATCGAAGCTGGACTTGAGAGTTGTGAAGCTGAGACGCATGTGTTCGAGAACGTGATCGACGAGCTGATGGGCGCTATGCCGCTTTGGGCAATGCATAGGATCTCCATACTTCTTCGCTCCACTGCGATTTATAGTTATTTGCTTCTATGGAGTTACAAGGCTGTGTCTAGGGTTATGTCTAGCTGGTATCTCATCTGGTTCCTCTGTTAGGTACCTAGTAGGTATCGAGTGCCAAGGTTGTTTATTTACTCTGTACCCACATCACCCGTGGACATCGGGGATATATATATGCTACCTAGGTAGCTGTACTTGCATGAGTATACCTAGGTAAGCCTAAAGCAACTGAAATATCCCTACCTGGGTAATTTCCTATGTAATTCCAAACTTCTAAGGTTTTACTTCACTTCAAAATGAGTGCAAATCGAAATATCAAATCCTACAATATCGAGCTATCAGTCTACGAACCTGGAAAGCCTGCAGCCTACTAGGTAGGAAACCTTGAGCTCTGGATTCTGTCATGAGATTTCTAATATACAGAGAATGAACAGCGACAGACAGACATGCCACATCAATAAAGCACAATAATAGAAGGACTGCCCGTGGTTCGCAGCATGTAGTCCAGCACAGCTGCCAGCTGGGCCGCGGAGAAGCCACCGAGCGCCGGGAGTATGTTTTCATCGAACAAATGGAAGAACAGCGCCAAATGCCAGGTCAGACATTTAACCCAGTCTACGCTCGTGTCTGCTGCGAGTACCACCGAACTTGATTCGGGTGGAGTCAGTCACTCGCGCCACGAGTCCTCGAATGTGTCGGCCCTCGTTACCCAGGAGCACCTTGACGAATGCCTCACGGCCCTTGCCGAACCCACGGAACACAACCTCCAAGCGCTCAATTTCCATGAGGAAGCCCTTTTCTTGAATCTGGGACATCACATGGGCGGACAGCTGGTAGGCAGGATCGAACCCGGAGCGGCCAGCCTTGCGGAAACCAATCTGGCCACATCCAATGGACATGAGAGGGTTGCCATTTGGCCGTGTCAGGGTGAGGATTGTGTTGTGCTTGTGACAGTAGACGTGGAGGTGGTGGGGAGGAGCCCGATCGGCGTAGGGGTTTCGCATCATTTCAGTCTCGACGTTCTCGGCAGCCTTGGAGGACTCGGTGTTGCGCGCAGGCGAGTTGGCCTTGTCGCCTTGCACCATTCGTGTAATGGCAGAGAGCGGCGAGGATGCCCCGGATGCCGTCTCCGGGCCCCGGTTCAGCATTTGTCTTTCGAGCTCGGCACCGCGGTCATTGCGGCGGATCAATTGGCGAGGACTCGAGATCGAGAAGGGGCGTGTGATATTAAGGGAGGCGATGCGAGGTTGGGACTGGCGGCAGACCGAGGGCAGCGCCTTGGTGAGCGCGCTCATTGAATAGGAGTTCATCGCGAAGGTGTACAGCGAGAGAAAGACAGACGCTAATATGAGAAGCAGTCAGTGTGTCCAAACCCAACGTCCAAGATGTCGCGTTGACAATGGCGGATGTCGAGCCGTTGTCGGACCGAAGGGAAATGCTGGAAGTTTTTCGAAGTCTTGGCGTCTGCACTTTTTCCCTTCCCCGATCTTTTGCCTCTCATCACCTCTACACATCGCGTCCAGGCTGGGCTGGAATCCCCGTCTTTTCTCTTATTGTACCTTTCCATCTTGCATTGATTTCATCTCTTCACCTCTGTAAACGCTCTCCATGATTCCGGCTAAGATGTCCGCGGCACGAGCCGCTTCCCTGCGGTCTCAAGCACCGACTCTCAGAGCATCTACCCAACGGTCAACTCGGGCTGCCCTTTACTCATCGGTTGCTGCGCCAAAGCTTGCGCTGTCTAAGAGCAGCCAAGTTGTTCTCCAGACCCCCTCCACATCGGCATTCCAAGCAGTGTCGCCGTTCGCCGCTCTCCCTTTGACCCGTTCGTTCCACGTCGCAACATCTCTCTGGCAACAACAGCAGCAAAAGCAACAAGAAGAAAAGAAGGAAGAACCCAAGTCCGAGGAACAGGGCGAAGAATCCAAGGAAGAAGGCAAGGAGAAGAAGGAAGAGAAGGCTCCCCCCCCACCCCACGGAGACAAGTCCCCATGGCAGGTATTCCGCGAGACCTTGCAGACCGAGTTCAAGGCCTCAAAGGAATGGGAGGAATCAACCAAGGCACTCGCCTCCTCCGCTCACCAGTTCTCTGAGAATGAGAACATCAAGCGTGCGCGCGCCGCCTATGATGCCGCCTCCACCGCCACATCCTCCAGAACCTCAACGGCCTTCAAGACAACAGGTCAGGCTATCGGAAAGGGTGCTGCCTGGACATGGAACACCGGCGTTGTCAAGGGAGTTCGCAAGGGTGTCAATGCCACTGGAGAGGGACTCGAGAAGGCCACGAGGCCTGTTCGTGAGACCGAAGCATACAAGAGTGTGAAGGATGCCATCGATGATGGAAGCAGCTCACGCTACGGTGGCTGGGTGGAGAAAGAGGAGCGTCGCCTGCAGCGACAACGTCGCGAGGAGCTTGATCGCAAGGCTGGAAAGACTCACTACGTTGAGGAGAGGGTCGAAGATCCCAAGTAAGTTTTCCAACCGAGAATCTCCATTTTTTACCCTTTCGAATGTCTCTAACGGAAAAATTTCTTAGCGCCGGCACCAACGTCACTGTTCACAAGGATGCCGCCTGGAAGGACTCTTGGCGTGACTTCAAGGACTCCAACCCCATGATGCAGAGACTCTTCAGCATGAAGGAGACATACAACGAGTCCGAAAACCCCCTCATCAGCACAGCCCGTAGCATCTCCGATAAGATTGGAGGCTTCTTCGCCGAGAATGAGACTGCCCAGGTCATCAAGAAGTTCCGTGAGATCGACCCCAACTTCCAGATGGAGCCTTTCCTACGGGAAATGCGCGACTACATGCTGCCTGAAGTTCTTGACGCCTACGTCAAGGGAGACGTTGAAACCTTGAAGCTCTGGCTTTCAGATGCCCAATACCACGTCTATGCTGCCCTCGCCCAACAGTACACCACCGCCGGTCTCAAGTCCGATGGCCGCATTCTGGATATTCGTGGTGTTGATGTTTCCCATGCTCGCATTCTGGACCCCGGTGACATCCCCGTGTTCGTCGTTACCTGCCGGACCCAGGAGATCCACGTCTACCGCAAGGCCAAGACTGGCGAGCTCGCTGCCGGCACGGACGACAAGGTCCAGCTCGTCACTTACGCCATTGGATTGACCCGTATCCCCGAAGAGGTCAACAACCCCGAAACCCGTGGATGGAGGTTGATCGAGCTGCAGAAGGCTGCTCGTGATTACATCTAAGGGTATTATCACCTGTTATCTATATCACCTTACCACCCCTCTCCGTTTGTCGACGTATCCTCTGGACTTCGGCCTCTTGCATCTTGACACCTTACCTTTCCAATTGTACCATATGACTATTTGATATCAAGCCAGGTGGATTTGGCACCTGTTGACGGTTATGCTTGTTCCAGGGACTGCCAATTGAGGCTTTCGCTGGTTAATCGGATTTTCTCTTTATTCATGTATTAATGCTTCATTCGGTCTGATATTCCAACCAATGGGTTGGGTGACATATCTCTGGTGTTCCTTTCTTTCTAGATGAGAATGTGCGCTGGATTCGATCCGATGACAGTTTCTTTGGTCTCGAGGTGTTTTGCTGGCGTCTCAGTGCATTGTTTTCCACTCTCCCCTCGCCACCGTGTATACTTGATTGCTGTTTGAACCTGTCAATCTTGATACTTAGTGAAGTTATGTAAATATACCAAAGAAAACCCTTTTGTCTACCTCGAATACCTAGTACCACTCCATGAGCTTCCAATGTCCACTTTTCATAGCTGACTGAAGCCCAGCCCAGTCCTCAGGGCTGGAGGTGGAGGCTTTGAGCCTTCTAGATGCTAACAATAGCTCGAAGAACCACCTAGTCCATATTACGATAGGATGATAACTACTACAGTATCCCTGGAGGTTAATAATGAATTTGGTTTCCAGTATATCTCGTTGGCAAATCATTGGATAGCCCCTGAGACGAAAAATATACTCCGAATGCGAGAATTAGAGCAAAAGGCCAAAAGAGAATGGAAAAACGAGGGTTTTCCAGAAACATGAATTGCTACATGGTGTATCAGATGGTGTCTTTCAGATCATATCAATTATCCAACGTGTGAGCGATTTATTTGGGGCCTTGACCGGCGCCGCCACCGCCCATCATGTTGCGAGCCCTGTAAATTCGTTAGTACCAAACAGTCAAGTTAGATCCGTGGGATTTCAACTTACATATCCGCAAGGTTGGGGTCGCTCATCAAGCTGGACATGTCAGGCATGCCACCGCCCTGGCCGAAGTTCTCGGCCATCTGGCGCAAGCGAGGGTTGTTCATAAGGTTTCCAAGCATGTCAGGGTTGCTCATCAAGTTCTGTGCCATGCTGGAGAACATGGGGTTGTTCATCATGGAGCTCAGGTCGGGCATGCCGCCACCACCACCGCCACCGGCACCACCTCCGAACATGCCGGCCAAGGCAGACAAGTCAGGCATGCCGCCAGGAGCGCCACGGGAGGCACCAGGGGCAGTGTCAAGCTCCTCCGATGGAGGCTCGCTAGTGCGAGTGGCCTCCTCGAGCTTGCGGGTCGATGTCTCCAAGCCTCGCTTCATGGCTTCACTGCCACCGTTGCCCTCTGCGGCAATTCCCTTCTCATAAGCCTCCTTGGCGGCATGGTAGTCACCCATGTCGAAGCGAGCGAGTCCCAGGCGGCTCCAAGCCTTGGAGTACTTGGGGTCCGCGGCGGCGGCGAGCTCGGCATCCTCTGCAGCCTTCTCGTGCTGGCTGGAAGCAGAGTAGGCGGCGGCACGGTTGGAGAGGTAGATGGGGTTGGATGGGGCGATCTCAAGAGCCTTGGTATATTGTTGAATGGCACCCGCGTAGTCCTTCTTGGACATCAGGGAGTTTCCTTCCGACTTGAGCTTGTCGGACTCTGGTGTAGGCACGCCGACCTTGGGCTTTTGTTCTTGGGTGGATTGAGCGGCACCGGTGGATGGCGGGGTGGACTTGCTGCGCAGCTTCTCATAGACGCTGTAGATTCCGGCCAGTGATTGACCACCAACGGCATCCTTCACAGCAGCCTCATCAGTAGGGTCCACCTTGAAGCTTTCGGCGATACAAGACTGGGCGATCTCAATGGATTCGGCATCGTCGGCGGTGAGGGTGCCGTCCTTCAGGCTGGCGCCTAGGAAGTCGATGACGGCCAAAGCCAAGCGCTTGTTGCTTTCGGAGGGGGCCTAACCATGTAATCAGTTACCATCCTGTTATTCTCAAGTGGACAGGTCCTACCATTATAAATGAATAGCTTTGGAAATCAGGATAACCAAGCGTTCAGGAGTGAAGCGGAAAAAAACAAGATGCGGGGGGAAGAGCTCTCCACGTGATCGCAGCTTATCGGTCTCCCCGGTTTCTGTTTGAACCTCCGATTCCTCCATATTTGGTGACTTTGGTCGATTTGAAGAGCTTTGGCTTGAGCAGCTGGGAGATGACTCTATGTGAGGTTCATTGTTAATTTGAACCTCCCAACGACCCCGAGCCATGTATTGGCCTCATGGTGTTCCCCGGGTCTATGCGGTCAATGGGCCCGATATTGCCTATGTCTCGGAGGATCGCGAGGTCCCGCGCTCCTCAATTGATGATCCTGAACCGGTGAATACACCTGAAGACGATGGGCAACCGGAGATACAGCATGCCCAAGATGCCAGCCATCACGAATCGCAACCCGACTCGTCCCCTGATAATAGCATACCCAAATGGGAAGATGAGGCCATCAGGGATGTTTGCGCCTCACGTTCAGGGCAGCTATTCGCCACGATCTCAGAGTCATCAATTGTTCTCTGGCAGACTAGGGTACGTTAAAGGTGATCATAGCTCGAAGGGTGAGAGCTCAGCTAACCTTGGAACCAATATAGCCCACAGCCGTTGTAACGGCAATCGCTCGATCACAATTCTCCCTGAAGACCTACGGCCCCAATGTATCACTTCTTATGCATCCGGACTCCACAATACTCGTTGTACAGACCCTCAATGGATACTTGCTCACATACTCCGTGGCATCGGATCCAGGAACCCGAGTTTACGAGCAGCGTTTCGACCATTCCACGCATCATCGTCGTCAGCAAGTGGCTAAGTTTTCAGCCGTGGAAGAGGCCAACGTGGTTGATGATATTACCATCCGTTTCCGAATGGCCATTAAAATCGAGTCGGGGATTGTCAGCGCGTTGGCGCTGGATCAGGAACTGGTAGTCGCTACAGTGAAACCACCAGCAATTCAATGTATTCGATGGACAGCAGAATCAGGAGCGACCCAGACCACATCCGAGCTTTTGAGTCGCATTCTCGGAGTATCCAAGAAAGTATCAATCGTGGACATGGTGTACAACCGAGCCATGAACCTGCTTATCTGGATCACTACCAGTGGTCAGGTATATGCTGTGCAGCGGGATTTAGGAACGCACCAGGATCCCGAAACTGCCCCGAAGCTCTTCCATGGACACTGTTTCCACGACCCAAAGGCCGACGGTGAATATGCAGTGAAGGTAGCCGTGAACGCGCGATTCTCCCTTTTGTCCGTGAGTTGCGCCAATGGTGATGTTTTAGTCTACACGGCGAAAGATTACATGGGCAACATTCCGTTTTCACATAAGCTTCATCTGCCAGCCTCGCCGGCAACAACAGGTGCTTTGACATTCATGAGCTATTCTCCAGATGGATATTGCCTTTTCGCTGGTTTCGAAAACGGCTGGACTACGTGGAGTGTCTTTGGCAAGCCCGGGGGGAACAGCTTCTCGGTGGACCCCGCGCTCGCAACAGCCAATGCAGAAGATTGGCTGGTAGGCGTTTCAAACGGATGCTGGATTGGCGGTGGATCAGACATCATTTTGACTGGGAAAAATGACCGTCGTCTCTGGGTATTGGAGACAGCACGTAGCGCTTTAACCGGCTGCTTTTCGTCAGCTAATTTGGCTCGTGGACTACTTCAAACCGGGACCGAGTTCATTCTCTACCGCGGCCATGATCTTCCGGATCTCATGACAATCTCTGGAAAGGACTCCCTGTGGCATCATGCGCAGTATCCACCGGCGTATCTTCATTCCCAATGGCCAATTCGATCATGTGTGGTATCTCAAGATGGACGTTACGTTGCAATCGCGGGCCGACGAGGCCTTGCCCATTATAGTGTCAACAGTGGCCGGTGGAAAGTCTTTGAGGACTCCAAGGCCGAAAACTCGTTTGCTGTGCGAGGAGGCATGTGTTGGTACGGCCACATCCTGATTGCAGCTGTTGAGAGCGATGGGTCATATGAGGTATGCAATCATGATGTTTGGCTTGCTCAATAACTGACTCGTTTTCCAGGTCCGCCTATATTCGCGCGAAGCTTCTCTTGGGAACAACAATTCAATAATGTTCACTGAGTACGTTCCCTCGCCAGTGGTGTTTATTGGCCCCTCTGGAGAGGATTCTCTCCTCGTTTATACTTACGATAATATCCTTTACCACTATGTCATCAACTCCACGCAGCCACAAATCACCCTGGTCCCTGTAGGTCAGATTGCTTTCAATGGCATTGTCCGGGCACCTACTCGTGTTCGGTCAATCAGCTGGGTATTGCCAGAAGAGCAAATGCGTAAGTTGTGTCACCGGATCCAAGCACACCTTGTATAAAAGCATCGTTGACATGAGAACAGGAAATGGAGACCCATCTCAAGACGTGAAAGTTGCATCTGTTCTCCTCCTCGTTGATGGAAATCTAGTGCTTCTACAACCAACGGTTTCAGAAACAGGCGATCTCAAATATGACATGCGCGTTATATCTCATGATGTGGAGTATTATATCCTCATGCGGGATCAGCTTTCCTTCAACTTCTCACCACAGGTTGATGACAACCTCCCAGCTAGCCCTTCAGCTGACATGGCGCTGGAGCCTCCACACAGCAGTTTCTCTCTCAGTGACTCACTATGGATGTTCCGAGGCCAAGACCTGCTCGCCTGGAACGATGTCCAAAGCGTGCTGAGAGACGAGACGGTGCCGGCGCCGCTCAATATTCCTCTGGACTTTTACCCACTATCTGTTCTATTGAACAAAGGCATCGTGCTCGGCGTTGAATCAGAAATGATGCAGCGACGAGACGTGACATTTACGGTCCTGAAGTTTGCGATCCGCGTAAGTCATCCTAGCTTTTCAAAGCTACAGTGGTACTGACCTTCCGTCTTAGACACACCTGTTCCTCCCTTACTTCCTCCAATATGGTTTGACCAATGTGGGGACCCCCGCAGCCCTGGCTCTCTGTCGCCACTTCTCCCACTTATCTTACTTCGCCCATGGTTTGGAGATTCTGCTCCACCACGTCCTAGACGACGAAGTCGATAACGAGAGTCGAGCCAACAAGACCGAGAATCCCCAAGATCGGGCCCAGCCAATCCTCCCAATCGTTCTTAGCTTCCTCCAAGCCTCACTCCCAGCCTGGGAATACCTAGACATTGTCGTACAATGCACTCGCAAAACAGAACTCCGTTCATGGCGCACACTATTTGCCTACCTCCCTCCGCCCAAGGATCTATTCGAACAAGCCTTGAAACTCGACGCACTCAAAACAGCTGTCGGATACCTTCTCGTTCTCCAAGCTTTCGAAGATGAAACAGAAGAGCACGATGGCCGCATCGAAGAATATGTCGTCCGTCTGATTGCCCTCGCTTCCCAGAAAGGTGATTGGGAGCTATGTGCTGAGCTGGCCCGGTTCTTAATCGCTTTGGATGCTTCGGGCGAGATGTTGCAGCGTGCAATTGCTAAAGTGGGGCTGCGCTCGAACTCAACGCCGCCTTTCAAGGGATCCTTGAATTCTTCGACTGGTCGATTTGGGGTTGCGGGTGTCCAGGGCTTGGGGTTGAATCTTCCGATCAGATCACCGTCGTGGTCGTCCGTTTCTCCGACTTCGTCTATTTCGCCTCGTCAGACTATACAAGAGGGCGAGGTTCTGGAGGATAATCCCTACTCGACAGAAGACCTAGATAAATAGATAGGTCCGTAGATACAGTCAATTTCTACCTTGACGTCTCTTGGTTCCTGATTTCTACCTCTAGTGTTTCCTAGGGAGATACAAGTACAAAGTAGACGAAGACCCATCGAATCAGGGCATTGGATTGTTGTAGGAATGACTGAGTCAATGATCCTACAGAGTACAGAGTTCGGGACATGTTAGTGAGAATTAATGAATTTTCTCTATCCGATTAATCTACCGTATCTATGTCCTTTTCTCGTAATTCACTTCCTCGTGAAACCAAAAGAAAATCAAAATCCCAAAAAAGCATCGCTCGCAAAGGTATAAACTCTTTTAGTGTGCAAATAGGCAGGCAGCCGGACCAATTTAGTCAACGTATTTGGCCATGGACTTCATGATACCATCCCGAGCGATGTCCTCCATCGCCGTGGTGATTGTCTCAATGAAGCGCTTGTCGTTACGCAAGTCGTCACCGAATAGGTTCTTAATAGAGAGCAGCTCATGGGGCTTGGTACCGCCAGCACGGGCCTTGGCCTCGAGTTCCTCGAACATTGGATCTTCGACCTTGAAGGTGTTGCCCTGGTCGTCGACACCGAGGATGTATCGGAACCAGGCGGCGGCGACGAAGCACAGCCGGCCGAAAGGCTTGGTTCCCCAGATAGCCTCGGCGATTGAAGGCATGATGAACTGGGGGATCTTGCCGGAGGCATTGAGACTGACACGAGGCAGCTGGTCCATAATGGTGGGGTTGGAGAACCGCTCAACCAAAGTGTGGCAGTACTCGTCGATGTTGACACCCGGGATGTCGGGGAGAAGGGGCTTGACCTCTTCTTGCATCATTTGCCACACGAACTTGTGGTACAATGGGTTCTCCATCACTTCGTGCACGTACTTGAAGCCAGCAAGCTGACCCGGGTATCCAATGGCGGAGTGACTGCCGTTCAGCAAACGGAGCTTGTGCTTCTCGAACTCTTCGACGTCGTGCACGTTCTTCACAACTTGGACACCGACCTTTTCGAACTGAGGACGGCCGTCGGAGAATTGGTCTTCAATGACCCACTGCATGAAGGGCTCGGTCACGACGGGCCAGGCGTCCTCAATGGCAAAGTCACTTGCCAGGGTAGTCTTATCGTTGGCCGATGTCTGGGGAGTGATTCGGTCGACCATGGCGTTGGGGAAGGCGCCCTTCTCGGCAATCCATTTGGCAATCTCCGGGTCACGAAGCTTGGCAAAAGACTCGAGCATGTGTCGGGTGATGGAACCGTTCTTCTGCATGTTGTCACAGGACATGACGGTGAACGGCTTGAGACCCTGCTGGTGGCGGCGGGCCAGGGCAGCGTAGAGGAAGCCGAAGGTTGTGCGGGGAGCCTTCTCGTTGGCTGGGTTGATATCGTGTTGGATGTCTGGGTGCTCGCTCTGCAGCTCGTGGGAGTTCTCGTTGTAGTAGTAGCCGCTCTCGGTGATGGTGAGGGAGACAATGTGGGTGTCTGGGTGGGCCATCTTGGCAATGACAGCCTCCCGGTCATCGGGGGCAAAGAGGTAGGAATTGATGCTGCCCACGACATTGGCAAAGCTTCCCTTGGCGGAACGCTCGATGACAGTGTACAGGTGGTCTTGGGAGTTCAGAACGTCCCGCATGGTGGCATCGAAGGGCTGCAAACCGACACCGCAGATAGCGTAGTCGGTCATGCCGTGGTTCTGCATCAATTTGTCGACATAGACAGCCAGGTGGGCTCGGTGGAAGCCACCCACGCCAATGTGGACAATGCCCTCCTTGACGGCGGCACCGCGCTGGTAGGCAGGGACCTTGACCTGGTCACCCGCGATTTGGGACAAGTTTGTGCTGTTCAGCTTGAGAGGCATGATTGTATGGAGTACAAAGAATGTAGAAAGGAGAGAAGTGAAGGGGGGTACACCGCTGGTTTTGACTTAGCCACCAGGTCAGTTGACATCATGCGGGCTCAACCTTCCAAGGTTGGAAAATATGGGGGGAGTGGAGACCATCCATTCTACAATGTCTCTGGGACATGACTGGGACATGTCTGAAGCACGATTGGAGAGTGGACAAAAAGATGTGGGGAGGAAGACGAAGCTGAGAAATTCAGCGTATGCAGCTCCAGATCTGGTCATTATGACCTCAGTCTATTGTGCGTGTATGGTGGTAATGTCATTTCCGTATTATTGGGCTCTTTGCCACGGTGAGAACTGTGTGTACGGTACCGCATGGTATTACCCTATCAGCATCTGCCCCTCAGTGCAAACAGGACAAACCCGATCCCAGCTGAGTCACCCCCGATCTTCCCAGGAGGGAAGCTGAGCCCCGAGGCTTATCTCGACTGTTGCTTTTTCCCTTATATATGCTGGCCTTCTACAATCCTCCCGGGACCCTCAGTCTCACGGCAGGTCGGAACGAGCTTACTGAGTCTCACGGCCCGGAGTCAGTTTACTACTATCGTACTCTCGTACTCCGTACTCGGCTCGGTATGCTCTACGGAGTAGACCAGGATCTCCGTCAGAGATTTCCCGGAACTTCCGAATTGTGCAGTGCATGAAAGGTCACTTGATCGAAATGTGATACCCCAGAGCGGCTGCAAGGCTTTGTCCGGCTAAATTGCACGGAGTACGGAGTACGAAGTACGAAGTACAGATTACATCCGCGTGACTGGATCAGGTGGACCTTCAATTTCGCATGTCTGACCCGTCAATTGACTTTCCCAAAGGATTTGCGCAGGCGTTGGCTGATATTTGGGCTGAACCAACATGTGACCCCAGATTACGCCAAGCCGCACTCTATTGATTCCTAGGCCCGGTCTCAGATATTGACATTGGCCAATCCGTCCACATTCCAGTGCTATATCAAAGAGCAAGGTCAATCTCATGCGGGAGAATTGCATCCATTGACTACACATCTACCGAATACTCAACGTTTCCATGACCGGTCCAGGACTACGTGGAGGGAAGCAAAGATCAACCCTGAAACCTTGACAATGCAGCGTTAGGATTTGGTTGGAATGTTCTGAATGGTATGAGGTTAATTGATTGAACTGTATAAAAAGCCATGGAAAGCTTCCACTTATGAGCCCGAAGCTCGGGCACGCTCTCCATAGCTTTCTGATAGACAGCGAACTACAGATGATACTGAGAAAGGATCATGCAAGAGAGCTGCTGTCATGCGTACTAGGAAGAGAGAAGACTGAGCAAGGGGAAAGAGACCCGTGGACGTCGGGAGCAGAGATGAGGCCACGTGACTCGAGAAGATCCCTGAGGTCAACTCTGACACTTTCCATACGGAGTACAATTCACTCAATCTCATACTACGGAGTATTCAAAACATTTGAACCATGTAGAAATTGGATCGAATTCCATAAATAGAAACTTGAGCATTCGGATCAAGCATGGTATTAGAATTAATGTATCACAAAGAGAGATATGACAAAGATAGCCGACATGCTGCAAGTATGCATGGGAAAAAAAGGAAGGTATCTAAGGATCGTCATGTTCGCCGTTATGCCCGTCGCTTGCGTAAAGCAAAAAAAAAAAGTGAGAACATGAAAACAAATGCCCAAACGAGCTTAAGGCTTGGCAAGCTGCTCCTTGCGGAAGAAGAGCAGGAAACCAGCACAGACCAGAAGCTGACAGAACAAGGCCACCCAGAACCAGGCATTGCCTAGAGCGTGAGCGCCGAGAGTCATGTCTGGGGAAATCGGGCCGGGGCCAGTGGCGTTGGGGCCGAAAGCTCGGGCGCAGATGGTCGCGATGGAACCAAGCACCTGGGATGCAATAAGTGCGAAACACATGTGGACTCGCGTGAGGGTTTGCAGAAGAATGATACCGAAGCCGAGACCTTGGATGGAATCAAGAACGCCGAGCCAGAGCCAGAGACTACGGGAGACTAGGGCTCCGGAGGTGTAGCCGCCTGCCCAGGGGAGGTAGTAGCCGATGCCGGAGACACCCCACCAGATTTGGATGAAGCGAGGAGCACCCAGACCGCAGGCGAAGACGGGGATGAACCAACTGTGTCGCTTGGAGAATTTGCTGACGCAGAACAGGAAGATACACCACACAAAGCCGAAGAACAGAATGCAGAGGAGCACAATTTGCCAGGGCTTGGTGTGAGTGGAGCCCCAGAGGAAGCTCCAGTTGCGGCCGTAGGGTGCACTGAGGAAGAAGTTCTGCAGGATGACGGCGATGAAGTTCCAGGTGACAATCTTTCTCCGGAAAAGCGACTTGTAGAAGGAGGGGACCTTACCGGGCTTCTGGCGGTAGTAGTTGGGAAGTCCGAAGGCCAAGAGAAGTCCGACAAGGATGAGGAAGACTGCGATGGGGTAACAGATGGCGGACATCTTCCATGAGTTGGCGATGGAGGTCTCGGGGGTCAGAAGACCCTGGGAAGAGGCCTTGGTCAGAGTGGAACCCCAGTACCAGAGAGCAATGACATATGCCTGCTGGATACCTTGGATGACACAGGCACGGAAAATCCACACTTCGACGGGAGCACCACCTTCGTCACCAAAGTTGGAGGCGAAGAAGATAGATCCACTGGACGAGGCCGCAGCGTAGAAGCCACTGCCGACGTTCTGGATCCAGCCACGAGCGTACTCACCGGATTCGAAATGAGCAGAGCCAATGAAGATGAAGGCAACGGCATACAGGAACCACGGAGCTGACAGGCAGACAACGGACTTGAAGTAGCGGTACACGAGCCACCAACAGAGTGAAGTGATGGCATAGGTTGTCGCGATAGCATACAGCTTCTCGGCAGTCTGACCAACTTCGCCCGTGAGCAGAGTGATCTGGTACGAGTTGGCGGCGATAATCTGACCCAAGGCGAGGAAGATGGAGTAGACCGGCCAATCACCGATCTTGATCTGCATCCATTTCTTGAGACCGGTAGGAGGGACATAGTCCTTGCCGAGAAGGAACTCGTCATCGGTGGGGTGGTCCTCGCTGCTGGCGATGTGCGAAACAGCATCATCATTGTAGACGGAGTTGGGAGGCGAGTCGTGGTTGTGGTTTCGGGAGGAGAGTCGGATGGATGGAGTGGGAGACTTGCTGCGACCCAGTTTGGCATTGCGGAATCTGTCGAACCACTGCTGTTCACTCTTGATCAGGAACTCTTCGATACACAGCTGTGATTCAGAGTTGCTGCCGTTCAGAATCTCCAACTTCTTGTCGAAAGTCTTGTAGTACTCGCCCGTGCTATCAGTGAAGAAGGGATCGACCTTCTGCAACTTGAAGTCCGTCTTATTACCGACGACGGAGTCGAGGGAGAGAACGGAGGCAGTGCTGAGACGGTTGGAATCACCAAGAGGACGGGGAGGAAGGAGGAGATTGTCCGCAGAAGGAGGCATGCCAGGGCTTCCGAGGGGACTTCCATATCCAGGACTAGAAGGAGGGATCATGAATCTGGGCTGGATAGACTCCTGACTGGGGCTAGCGGGGGAAGAAAGACCAGGCGAGGGAAGGCCCTGGGCACGATCCTTTTGAGCGGCTTGGGCCCGTCTTCCTTCCTCAACCTGGGCTGGGGTAAGAGTGTACTCATCATCCTCGAACAGATCGTGAGAAGGATCATCGTCACTGCTTTCCTCACCGTCGGCATCGGTTTCGGGAATACCTTCGGCGGCAGCAGCTTGTCTGCGACGGCCAGCGTGTCCAGGACCCGAGCGAACACCCAAGGAGAGAGACCGGCTCAGTCCAGACTTGGGCTTTTCAGTATCATCCTGAGCGGGGTCCACACTGTAGCTGATCTTCTTCTGTGCGGGGTTCTCGTTCATCTGGTTGAAGGACAAGCTGCTCTCTCTGGAGTGCATGAAGGGAGAGTTCATGCCAGGAGAAGGCAATCCGCTCATTCCGCCCATTCCGCCCATAACACCACTGTAGGTGCTGCCGCCAGACGAAGTACCGGGGCGCATGTGGCTCAGACCACCAACGTGTCCGGTGTGAGTTTTGTTGGCTTCCTTGTGGTGGATAGTGATGGCGGTAGATTGCAGGATCTCGAGGTCCTCAACCCACTGGGCGACAGGGAAACGCTGCTTGGCGGAACGAGCACGCATCATCGCACGAGTAGAGTTCTTGGAGTTCAGCGCAGCCTCGATAGCAAGCTTGAACTGGATGAGGAGGTGAGATGTCGAGATGGATTCCACGTTGTACCACCAACCGGGCATTTGACCAAGACCACCGACACGAGCACCAATACCCAAAGCACCCTTACGTCCGAACTCGACGGCAACAAGACCGAAGGGCTCATCACGGGAGGGGATCAGGGCAAACTCGGCACCGGAGAAGATGAATGGCGGGAGAGCAGTGAATTCAGGCTTGGAGAAGACGCGGCCGGGGTAGACCTTCATCATGTGGTCGAGCTTGAGAGCTGCGAATTTACCGTAGAGATCGATAACAGGTCCAATACAGATCAGTTGCACATTGGGGCGAGCTTCGATAACCGCAGGCAGAGCGTCCGCAATCAGATCAACACCCTTCTGCATAGACCAACGACCGACGAAGACGAGAAGATCGGCATCCGGGTTCTGATCCAGTCCAGCCCATTCCTGTGCTTGTCTCTTGAGCTCACCACGGCTGGCTTCGTAGGTAGGATCGACAGTAATATCTTCCTCTCGGGTAGGCTCCTTGGTCCACTCGCCAACATCAGATGGATCGGGGTTAGGCAGGTTACCGACCTTGCGAAGACCCCAGAAAATAGGGTAACGAGCATAGGAACGCTTTCCGTATTTCTTGGAGACACCGACGGCACCGAAACCCTGCTGGTGAACACGAAGATAACTGGCACCGGCGTGAAGCAAGTTGAACACTTCACCGAACTGGACGTAACGACGGGCAACCTCTTCATCAAGATTGAAGACAGAGCAGACCTCCTGCTTCTCCTTGAGGGTTCGCATAGGCCAGAGACCCTGGAACTCAGCATTATGCAGAGAAAGACAGGCCGGAATGGTGTTGGGCAAGAGGTAAAGCGGGGCGAGAGAACCGTGGTAATCGTTAATGTGGTAGGCGTCAATCGGGAATCGCTTGATGGCTTCAGCAATACACTGGTTCCAAGCAGAGTAGTAGACAGCGGAGTCGAGATCATCCATGCGAGCAGGGTAGGGCTCAGTCTTGGACTGTTGACGGAAGACCGGTGCATCAAGCAAGACATAGGTGATGTTGTTCAAGACGTGGTATTGAACCTGGACCTGGTAGGCACTGCCGAGAATGGTGACGGTCATAGGCTCCGCAGCCTGGTCAATGGGGTAATCGATACCTCCAACACAGGGAACGACCCAGATCAGATCCTGGTGACCGAGGGTCTTACCCATGAGTTGCGCCATGACACCGAGACCACCGATCTTGATCTTAATGGCCCAATCCTCAATATCGTATTCCATGGTAGCGATCAGGACCATTCGTCGCTTCTCGGCCGCCATAGCACCACCCAGAGCAGTGGTGCTCTGCATGAAGCCAGACTTGTTAGCCAGGCGCATGAGCGGGTTCGAAGAACCGTCCTTTCCAGAGCGAGAAGGCTTAAGCTTCTTCCAGAAGGCGAGCGGGATCATGGACTGCTTCTCGCTAACACCAACCTGGTTGAACTTGACCTTGTAGAACGACTTCATGAAGATGTAAACGCAGGCCGAACCGGTGATGAAGGGGATGATCCAGAACAGGATGAACATGATGATCTGGGTAGATTGGGATCCAACGGGATCAAGCCAGAACTTGAGGGAGGCATCATTGATGTAGATCTTGTGCGACAAGTATCCCTTCGCGGGCGCCCGAGTGATGTTGATCAGGGTTGCGGAGAGGGAAGACGGGGGCATGCGGTCCAGAATAGTATCATTGTCGGCATCACCCAGAACCCAACTTTGATCGGGCGAACCATCAGGGTTCATGCCCCAGATGTTGAGCTGTCCAACCGCAGGCCATTCAGAGGTGAAATGGAAAGACCAAGTTCCAGTCTTCTCGTCAAACTTGATAGCGTTGTCAAGACCTCCATCGTAACCGTACTGGTTGTAGGGTCCGTTGAAGAAGGCGTGTGGGAAACGACGTGTGGCCGTGCCACTCCAGTCAACATCACCCTCCTGCACGTAATCGCTGCTACCGGTCAATTTGCTCCAGTACTCAACGCGGACGTGATCGCCATTCCAGTCTTGCTTCTTGGTGCCGGACCATGGGAGCCTATCAATGGGGACGTTGCCACCCTTATAATCGAACCACTTAGAGAATGTAGTGCCCCAGTTCGTCGAGTAGCGCCACTTGTCAGCGCCAGTAGCGTGTTGACGGATGTAAAGAGAACCGTTGTCATATCGGTGAAGCAGACTACTGGAGTAGTTGGCGTTGTTCTGAACCATGGGGTTATCGAACTGTCCGATACGCAGAAGGAAATGGTCGATCGCATTCGTGTAATCGGTCTTGCCCTTGTTGGTGACGTTGTTCAGTGTCAGCCGGTGGATACCGTTGTAGACTCCCGTCAGGTTCGCTGCCCAGCTGAACTTGCTTGGGATCTCACTGGTCCAGTTGGTTTGCAGTGGTAGATCGGTTTTGTATGTGGTGCAGTTGACGGTATCCTTGTTGATTGTGGGGACCTTTCCAGTCTCGGTCGATGAAACGAAGGTGAGATTGTTTGTGATGGTATCGCAGTCCATGGCTTCCGAGAAAAAGAATTCGATCTTCACGCTTTCGTCCTTTCCTGGCGCCACGCTGGACAGCTGTGGGTGGTCGTGACCGGGGGTGAACTTAGTGACCATAGGGCGGGGCATCTTGTGCTCGCTCTTCAGAACATAAGCACGGAATTCGTAGGCCTTCAGCTTCAACTCGGACAGACAGCCATTGTACTCTTCAGATCCATTGTAGCCCAGCTTGCGGGCACCAGTCTCCAGGGTAACCTCATCGAAGGGAGCGAAGAGGTTCTTGACCGTGGTCTTGGATTCGAAGGGTGCAGTCAAGGTCTTGTTGGGGTTGGTGCTGGAGCAGTCGAACTTGTAGGTCCTGGTGTCGTTCAGGTTGGAGTAGACAAACCACACGGGCTGGCTGTCTGCGACCGTCCAATTCTGCACTGCGGTGTTCACGTCCCTGGAGACGGACCACATTCCAGTCACCGTGACGGTACCGTTAGAACCAGGGTACTTAACATCAAACACTTGCTTGGAGAGGTTGTTGAGGGCATAACCATCGTTGAGGACTGGGTACTGCTCACGCATCTGGTACATGTGCTTCATGATGTTGCGCAGAGGGTGGGAAGGATCGCGGTGATCATAGGCAACAGTCAGATCCCGGCAACCCTCGCGAGCAGCTGTCACAGGCCACTTGTAGTACTGCGAAGAGTCCAAGTTGAAACAACCGTGGGTTCTCCACGCAGTGGCGGGAGACATCGACTGACGACCGTAAATGTAGTTGGACGCGGTACCATCCAGGATGTAGAAGTTTTGTTCTTCACCCCAGAGCAGGAGAGGAATTCCAGGAAGCATCAGGGTAGTGATAAAGGATCCCAGGAGCTGTCTGTGTGTGCCGTTGGCAATGGCTGGCCAACGGAAGACATCCTGGTTAGTGGCGCCGTACATGTGTCGGGGATCGAATTTTCCAGTGTTGGCGTTGATCAGATCGTTGGATCTCGCCATGTAATTCCATCCCTCAACCCAGTCATCGGGGGCATCGTAACCAGCGGAAAGCTGTCCATCCATACCAAGGAAACGAGTCAGGGCACGGTAGGTCGTGTAGTGGAAAGCCGCACCGTCGATTGCTTCGTTGCCTGCCTCACGCAGGAAGTATTGGGCTGAAGATTCGTTGGTCAACTTCATCGTCGCCTCCGCTGAGGCGGGCCACTGGTTTGGCTGTCTTCCTCTGCCGAGGTAAACGGTACCGAACTCGTTACCACCCGTGATTTCACCAGCGATGAAGAAATTCTCCTTTCCAACGGCGCGGGCGCACTCGCGGTATGCGGCGGACATATCACCCAGAGCGTCAACCGTCGCCTGGGTGGCCTTATCGTAACGGAAACCATCAATATCCAGAGAGGCGATAATTATACAAGAGTGTCTGATCAACCTCTCGCGGACCGTGGGGTGCCACTCTCGGAGACGATCTTGCACGGAGGCGAACTTGGCCAGCTGACGCTTCCAATCGGGCCAGACACCGAAGGCTTCGATGTCACCGTACTGGTCGAAATCACTGTTGAAACAACCGACCAGTGCCGAGGTCTGAGACTGGTTGACCGGGTATCCGTCCTCGAACCAGAATCGAGGGTAGTCACAGGTTGCGTTGTAATCTCCTTTACCGATATCGAAGTCGACGTAGCGGCGGTCGGTCTTCCATTGGGTCTTCCATTCCTTCTCGGAGAAGGGGGTGGAGGTGTTGAGATGGCCTTCGAATCCAATAAGATCACCCATTCTAGAGACATTGGTTAGCACGGCTGCCGGGTCTGGCTGGAGGGATCACTTACGTCGCAATTGTGTTGTCGAACAGCACGTACATTCCACGCTTGTGGATTTCCGTGATCGCAGTACGCCAGGTCTCGAGTGTACCATAGTGGAAGTCCAGCAGAGTGGTATCCATCACCGAATAACCGTCCGAACCCCACGGTTGATTCAGCAGAGAGGTTCCCGCGAGATACAGACCCTGTGTTTTTGCATTAGCCCATTTCCCTGCCATCGCGATTCGAATGCACCCACCTTAATACCCATTCCTTGGAGATAATCCAGAGTATCGATGAGACCAGCTACATCGCCACCATGGCGCATTTGTGTCGAGTCGAGATCGTGCTCGAACTGGGTTCCGTTGATGTTGTCATTGGTGGGGTCACCGTTGACGAAGCGATCCATGAAAAGAGTGTAGAAGGGGAACCGCCAGTTGTCCGGGGAGGGGTGGTATGTGTGATCGGGCCATTCTCCCCAGTAGTGTGCGGGATCTGTAGCGGTCTTGTTTTCGTTCAAGTTGTACTGGAGGAACTCCGTATCGTAGGGCCAACTTGTCGCGGTTGTCGCAAAGAGCGAGATCAACCCGCTGGCGAGCAGCCACTTCATGGTGAGAGACGGGTAGCCCCAGCAAAGAAGCAAGTCGGGGTATTAGATGGAGAGGTAGATCTCACTGGCCATGGAGGTGGGGACGTTGGAGTTAACAATCAACGGCAATGCGATAACGAGGGACAGAAACGAGAGATAGAGAGATAGAGAAGAGAAGAGAAGAGAGGAAAAGGGATCACATAAACGAGAGCTAAAAGCTAGTGGCTTTGCCTTGAAGCTCAAGTTAAAAATAAAAAAAAAGTAAATGAGACAGGCTGAGGCTCGTGCCGATTATAGAACACCTCTTGGCGTATCTGTGCGGTATCTGTGTCCTCGTATCTGCCGTATCGCGGTATTCCTGGTACATTTCAACGTCTCGGTATTTTTTGGCCCCTTTTGGGCTTACTTCCTGTTTAGACCTTTATCCGTGATTGGACTGGCAATTGGTGTCTGCTTTTCTTCGTTTGGGTGGCCTGTTTCCTAATCCAGTCGCATTGCCCCCGGAGCTCATTGTATCGACCCCGCCGAGTCCCTATACACTTAACGGTGTGGTTCGACCAATACCAGAATATCTATGTACTGGTATGTCCACGGGTACGGAGTAGATGGACTGTGCTGGTAAACGGGAATGGTGTTCTAGAAAAAATTAATTGGAGCCTCGGCCAGAACGGGTCTACCCGATTGATGCGCTATTGGATTTGCGACCCATAACTTTTGGACCCTGATTTCGCTGGGTTTGATAGATTCGCATCCGGCCTTGAATGGGTTTTTATATCTGCTCTTCTCTCGGGTGGTGAGACATACTCAGTCTGACTTGAAGGCCCGGGAATACCAGCCTATCGAGAGATGGCAGTCGGGCCACGGACCATCTGGAATCGAAGGTTGCGGCCGACAGCCCTACCGATCTCACCGATTGGTCTGGAAGGTGAGACTCGATCCACCGGCGTTACGGGGACCGTACCGCGCTAGTTATTTTCGTTCGGGCTTGGCGAAGTGGGTTGTTTATTAATACTTTCTCGGGTATCTCGGTCTTCCCCAATGTGTTTTTCTTTTCGTCTTTTCTTTTCGTCTTTTCTTTTCGTCTTTTCTTCTTTTCTTGTTTTCTACCTTTTACTATTTCTATTCTTTTCTTTTCCAGATGGAGTCCTCTCCACCGGCTACCTACTAGTAGTACCTGCTTAGCTGGCAATAGCCGATGGTTCACCTACATGATAATGTTGCATGAAAGGCGTAAGATAAGGCGTGATAAGAAAAATTAAACTTGGCCAAGGCCAGTGCGAAGGCCTGGAGGAAAATCTCTAACGTCCCCACCACTATGCAGATTATGTACTTGGAAGGGGCATCTCAACGGGCATAAGGCATTGGGATAAAAGGTCTGTACTAGTACTCCGTACCTGATTTCATTTCCACAAATTGGATCCAGCTAGTTCCAATCGATGCTTGGTCCCCGCATAGACCTCGGATGTGGTCCTCGGACCTTAACACCGAATATTATTATCGAGACAATGATGCTACTAGTATATTAGTACTACGAATTGGAAGTACTCCATTGATCCAAATTACTCATATCATGGCTATCCTTTGATAAGTAATGTGTAGTACTGTAAGTACTCCGGACATAAAAGATATCCATTGTGGAGACGACTCAAACTAGTCCGGGTCTATGGACCGTTGTCTCGGATCATTGGCCCATCCGAAGTTTGTCACCTCTAGCTCGGTGATGGAGGATGTGACTACTGCGACGTAGGAAATTAGGGCAGTCAATGTCTCAGCCACTGAACTTGACAATGGAAGAGGAGGAGGAGGAGGGAGTACGGAGTACCTGAAGCTAAACTGGTTCCTGTGTCGGAGGCAATCATCCAAATAAACTTGATTCTTCAGTCCCCGCTTCATATGTAGGTCTAACTCGCATCTCCACTGCCATTGGGTCAAACGCGGTTCCTGGAATCCCGGGGCATTCCGCAAGCTTCCAACCGCAGGCCGTGGACTGTATAGATTATATCGACTATATAGACTATATAGACGAGTATCATCGTCTATCTGAGGCACTGGAATCGCCAAACGGTGGAGCCAGAAAGTAGTCAAATAGAGTCAAATCAAAGAACTGAGGGGATCGACAAGTAGCCACTTGACTTAGGGCCCCCCCTGCCGAACCAGGTTCCCCGATTCTCTCTAGGACTTCCTCTTTTTTTGTCTTCTCTTTTCGCCTCTCCCCTCATTTTTTATCTTCCGCGGCTATTGCCCACATGTCATTCCTTTATCGCTGGCCGTCCTGCCCTCTTTTCTTCCTGATCTAGCCACACTCCTTTTCATCCTTTGCCCTTCCTTTTTCTACATGATGTCATGGGCTCTGCGCCGTTTGGCAGGGCTCTGCGCCCTCACAGGTCTGGTCGTATCCACGTCAGCTGCGGGCTTGGCCGACTGGAAAGCCAGGTCGATCTATCAAACCATGACAGACCGGTTCGCCCGCACAGACGGTTCGACCACAGCGGCATGCAACACAACGGCAGGTCTCTACTGCGGCGGCACATGGCGAGGAACCATCGACAAGCTCGACTACATCCAGGGCATGGGATTTGACGCCGTCATGATCTCCCCGATCGTCGAGAACGTCGAGGGCACCGTGGAGTACGGTGAAGCATACCACGGATACTGGTCATGGAACCTCAACAAGCTCAACGCACATTTCGGAACCCATCAGGACTTGCTCGATTTGGGGGCCGCCCTGCGGTCCAGGGGCATGTATTTGATGTTGGACACGGTCATCAACAACATGGCCTACATCACCAATGGCAGCAGTCCAGCCACCCACATCAAGTATGCGGATCTCACTCCTTTCAACAACGCCGACTATTTCCACAACTACTGTAAAATCACGGACTGGAACAACATGACCAATGCGCAGATCTGTCAGACTGGTGATAACATTGTCGCCCTGCCGGATCTCTACACGGAACACGAGGACGTCCAGAACATGATGATCAAGTGGGCCAAGGACGCGATCAAAACTTACTCCATCGATGGCTTGCGTATCGATGCCGCCAAGCACGTCAGCCCGGGATTCCTCACGAGCTTCTACAACGGCATCGGCGAGACCTTCATGACCGGTGAGGTTCTGGTGGGAGAGATCGATACCATTGTCGACTACCAGAAAAAGTACATCAAGAGCATGCCCAACTACCCCATCTACTTCGAGATCATCCACGCCTTCACCGAGGGAAACACGGCACTTCTCGCCAAGGCCGTCGAGAACATGAGAATCTCGATCCCAGATGTCAACGCTCTTGCTTCCTTCTCCGAGAACCACGACAAGCCTCGAATTGCGGGTCTTTCGAAAGACATCTCGGTATGTTTCATGCCGTCTAGACCTGACCGTCGCTGACCACAACAGATTGCGAAAAACGTCCTGGTCTTCACCATGCTCTTCGATGGGATCCCCATGGTTTACCAGGGCCAAGAACAACACTTGGACGGCAACGCCACTCCCGACAATCGAGAAGCCATCTGGTTGACGAAATACCCCACTGACACGGTGTTATACAAGCTCATTACCAAGCTCAACCTGATCCGAAAGCACGCCTATATTCTCAGCAGAGACTACCTTGAATTGCCGACCCACACCATCTACCAGGATAGCAGTGTGCTTGCCTTCACCAAGGGTGTTGAGGGCCGACAAGTCATCATGGTCCTGTCCTCGCAACCCTCCACCAGCACCTACTACACCATCAGCCTGCCCCTAACATATAATGCCGGCACCCAGGTGTTGGATGTGCTGAACTGCAAAAACTACACCGTCGACAACGCCGGTATGCTCCAGGTGGGCATGGACAAGGGAGAGCCCCGGGTCTTCTTCCCTACCGAATACATGGATGGCAGTGGCCTCTGTGGCTTCCCTGTTTCCAACGCCTCTTTAGCCACCATCAAGACCGGCAAAGACATTACTTCCTACTCCAGTGGGGCCGCTGCCCTGGGAAGTTCCGGTCTGGTCGGTTTGTTGGCTGCTGTAATGAGCTATGTGATGATCCTATGACGTCCCTTGCAACACAACCTCGGTTTTCTCTCGTTTTCACTGTTTTTTCACTGTTTTGCATATTCTTTGCATATTCTTTCTTTCTCTTCCCTTTTTTCCATTCTTTGAGGCGTGTTGACTCGGCTTCGCACAGATATCCCTTCATGTAGCATACTATTTTGTTTTTTGGGTCGCATTTATCCTGAAATAATACACAGAGGAGTGAGTGGAGTTAAGAAAATTCCACTTGCAAATGAAAATTTTTCATTGAAAAAGACATAATTGGGCCAAGACAGCACCCGAAATAGGCCCCACTTGGATGTGAGACCAGCTCGCCTTGTACACACAGCCGGAGTACAAAGTACAATTTTAGATCCGTCAGTTCCGTCCTGCTCACATAGCCTCCGCAACGATGTTCTGGTGCTGTGGATCCCGACAGAAAGCCCAACGGCGGCAGCAGATTGAAGGTCAGTCCCCTTGGGCGAATGGGAAACACCCACTAACCCCCTAATAGAGAAGGCGGCGAGTATAGAGCAGCAGGCATCATGGACAGCGCCAGATAACTCGCTCATCTTTCAAACGTTTGAATGGCATGTCCCCGCCGACCGGTCGCATTGGCGCCGGCTGCGCGACGCCCTCCCGGGCTACAAAGCCATGGGGATTGATCAGATCTGGATCCCCCCTGGGTGTAAGGGAATGGATGCTCATGGCAATGGCTATGATATCTATGACTTATATGACTTGGGGGAGTTTGATCAAAAGGGGGCGGTCCCGACGAAATGGGGCACCAAGCAAGAACTGGAGGATTTAATGCTTCAGGCGGAGATCCTGGAGATCCGGGTGATTTGGGACGCGGTCTTGAATCATAAAGCGGGTGCAGATTACCCAGAGCCCTTCAAGGCTGTCAAAGTTGATTCGCAGAGTGAGATCTCACCCCGTTGCGCCCCTTTACCACAAGGGCTTCATTCAGCGTACAATTTACTAACTGCAACAGGGAGAGATGTAGAGATATCTGAACCCGTCGAAGTCAATGGCTGGACAGGGTTTGAATTCTCAGGACGTGGTGACCAGTACAGCTCGATGAAGTACCACTGGCAACACTTCAGCGGGATCGACTGGGACGATAAGAGCAAGCAAAACGCAATCTACAAGATCGTCGCCCCGAACAAAGGTTGGGCGCAGGACGTCTCCACCGAGAAAGGGAACTATGATTATCTGATGTTCGCCGATCTCGACTTGACACACCCGGAAGTCCGCGCCGATCTCCTGCAATGGGGAACCTGGATCACCAAGGGATTGAGCCTCAACGGCATGCGGCTCGATGCCGCCAAACACTTCTCCACCGAGTTTCAAAAGGCGTTCGTGCAGCATGTGCGCCAAACGGCCAACCCGGACTTCTTTGCCATAGGCGAGTACTGGACGGGACATCTCCCGTCCTTGCTGGGCTACCTGGAGAAGGTCGAGTACCAACTGAATGCATACGATGTCCCTCTGGTGGAGAGCTTCTCTCGGGCTTCCCATGCGAAGGGGTCTGACCTGCGTGGGATTCTGAGAAACACATTGGTCGATTGCCGGCCGGACCACGCAGTGGTAAGTTACGTGCGAAAGATTCGAAAACAGCCACTGACTTTTTCAGACCATTGTGTCGAACCACGATACGGTAAGCTGACGCCCCATCCAACAAAGGCAACGATCTAACCCAGCCACAGCAAGCAGGACAGATGCTCGAAGTAAGTTCTGCGCGATCCACCGAGAAATGGTCAACTAATCAAACCGCAGACCCCGGTCGCCCCATCTTTCAAACTGCTCGCATACGCCCTGATCCTCCTCCGCAAAGGGGGCCACCCATGTGTCTTCTACGGAGACTTGTATGGAATACGAGCTAATGTGGAGAACCCAATGACCCCGAGTTGCAATGGGCTCCTCCCCATCCTGATGCAGGCCCGCAAACTTTATGCGAACGGTGAACAGCAGGATTACTTCGACCAACCAAACTGCATAGGTTCGTGCCCTTACTTCTGAGATTTCGTGTTGGATAAGACTTTGCAGTCCCAGGTCTTGGCAGAGCTGACAGCCTACACAGGATTCGTTCGATACGGGAACGCCCGTCACCTTGCTGGTTTGGCTTGCGTTATCAGTAATTCTGGTTCGGCTGTGCAGCGCATGTATGTTGGCCAGCGCCACGCTTACGAGGAGTGGGTCGATGTATTGCATCCGGAGATGAAGCCTGTCGTTATCGACAAAAAGGGATACGGAGGCTTCGCGGTGAATGCGATGAGTGCCAGCGTCTGGGTTGAGTCGGCGGCCGTGAGCCGCGATGCACTTGTCAGGGATTTGTAAGTCTCTCCCCTCTCCTAGTACGATGGTTGGGCTGACATGAACCAGCGATGTCAACATTTACAAATAATTTCAGATACACCATTTCTTTGGTGGAAAGTATAGCTATACCTCAGTACTAATCGGGATAAAATATTGGGCTCGCGTATCTCGCTCTCGTATTGCATTAAAATTCGCTGGGTAAGAATTCCGTGGCCCATGAGGCAAATGGGCAAATGGCATGGGCTAAAAATTGCCGGTTGATTCTCGGTGAGACACTAATTTTACTCGCTTTTAGCGTATGCCATGTCTCAATCAGAATTTGACCTGTACGCGAGTGGGTCTTGAAACACCTGTGGCGTAAGACTGATTTGGGGGAGCTTAGCGATATCCAGGACTGCGACAATGCATATTATCTACTCCGTAGAAGCAGAAAGGCGATCAACTCCAGCCCTCCAGGGCTGGAGGCTACTAGAATAGTAGTAATTAGGTAGATCAAGTTGCTCTACACCTTATCTGCGTGGGATGATTGGGTGCGGAGGCAGTCCGATACGTACGGGGTACTCCGCGAGTGCAAAATACAGGAAAATCAGGGTCCAGGACCGTTCCGGGTAAAAGACGTATTAAATTTTGCAAACGAAAAATACTGCACAGGAAAACAGGCCCAACGCGGTAATAAAACGTGGCGCAAGATGCCGGTCCTGCCAAGACCAGACTAGTGGCTTGCCAAGGCCTCTTAGCGTCTTCTTTATCGGGCCTCAATTGTCCTGTCTACAATACAACATCTATTTTCAGGGTAATATGGGTACTAATATATGGCAATATGGGTGCCTCTGCGGGACTCGGGCCCTGAAACTAGCTCCAGGTCGAACCATGACGATCTCTCCAAGACCCTGCCGTACTCCGGGGCGTAGAAAAATCAAGTGAAACTGGTTGTCAGTTCTATTTCTGTATTTTTGCCTCGGGATTTTGTTTGTGGGAGAGACATTGGATATCAACCCGGAGTTACTTATATTGCAACCAACCTTCCATCTTTCCTTCTTCTCTTTCATACACTCGCTTCATAACCACCCTCTAACTTCTAATCTTCCCACTTTCGTTTATCGACAAGATGCGTTTCTCTATCGCCCTCGCTTTGCCTCTGGCCCTCTCCGTGGCCGGTATGTCGATTGCCCTGTCTGCAAGTCACACCCGCTAACTCTGTTGCCAGCCCTCAAGGTCACCGAGCCTGCCAAGGGTGCCGAGGTGGATCTCTCCAAGTCCTTCACTGTCAAGTGGGAGAGCGTCGAGTACGTTTCCCAGAAGTGCGCGCGCAATCGCAAAGCTAATCCCACACAGCACCGATGCCAACACTGTCGACATCATCCTGGTCAACAACGCCATCTACCCCTCCGTGGAGGAGAAGATTGCCTCCGACATCGACACCTCCAAGGGCAGCTACACTGCCTCTGGCCTCAAGGATATCGCCAAGGGGTAAGTCCACGCGACAGCCTCGCGCAAAGTACTCGACTAACGCATAGCGCAGCTCCGGCTTCCAGGTCAACCTGATGTCCACCTCCGAGAAGAACACTGGCATCCTCGCCCAGTCCCAGCAATTCAACGTGACCGAGCCCGCTGAGAGCTCCTCGTCTGCTACTTCTACTGGTACATCATCCACTGTTTCTTCTTCTACTTCTGCTTCTACCTCTGGCGTCTCCACTGGTTCTTCCACTGCTGGTTCCTCCACCACTGGATCCTCCTCCGAGATGTCCACTACCGGTACTTTTTCCCCTCGCGTTCCCACCGCTCCCACCGTTCCCACTGGATCCCCCTCTGGAACCCTGACTGGACATGGCAATACAACCACTTCTACCAAGCATAGTACTGATCACTCTACAGTCACCAGCGTTGCCACCCTGACCGGTACCGCCGGCACTGCCACCGGCACCACCACCGGTACCTTCACCAAGACCGGTCTTGCCACCAGCGCCTCTGCCTCCGGCTCCGCTAGCGGCTCCTCCACTGCTGCCCCCACCCCCTCCACCGGTGCTGCCATGTCTCTCATCGCTCAGCCCATCGCTCTCGCCGGTGCCGTTGTCGGTGCTCTCGCTCTGAACCTGTAAATCGCACCTGGGGATTTCGGTGTCGCGCTAGGCACGGCACTGTCACTCAGATGTGAACGGGTAAGGGTTACGATATGACTCTGATCTCATGGAGGAACTTAATTGATAGATTCAAGTCCTGGCTGATTAGTCGGTCTTCTGGGGCTTCATCTATGGATGTAAACTAGGTAGCCGGACGATGCATGCATGAGCTATGCTTTTTTTTGATATGATGTCTAGTAATACGCAGCTTTTTTCTTCTTGTTCTTAGACTTTGATTTTTGACTTTGGACAATCAACATAATCTCATATTTCCAAGGTTCTAAGGTTCTACCTAGTACCTAGTACTCCCGTTCGTCAAGTCCACCGGTTCAGGTAGATGCGCCGAAGAACCCTTCGGTGACTACCTACATAGGTAGGTACCTAGTAAGGGTACTAGTAAGGGTACTTAAATTTTGCATTGACTCGGGGAGTTTGGATAAACCCGTGGACTTTGGAAGCTTTGCAACCTTGAAGGTTTGTCGGGACAATTTTGGGATGTCTAGCATAGAAATATATCTCGCACCTCAAGGTTAGTATGTAGAACAATGAAACGCCGGGTTGGAAGTGAGCACCTAGGCAATGCCCTTATCCAAGGTCAGGCAAATGCTGTTCAAGATTCTCTTTGAATTGGAGGTTCTTGACGGATGGGCCTTGGCTGATTTCAAACACTGTCAAGGGTCGACACTCGGGATATCCTCGGGTGAATATCGGGGTACAAGATATTCATGCCTGAGGCATGATATTCGCCAACATTAGAAGACCAGGCACACAGTCCAGGGCTGGTCATGATACCTTACGGTGTCTTCAGCTTGTGGAAAATTCATGCAATGGGGCATAAATATAAAAAAAACAAAAACATACAACAGTGAGGATTCGCTGGTGGTCACCCACCCAACTACTAACTCACCGGCGTGTGGCTTAAGTACGGCTGAGCGGACGGGAAGCCCTGTTTTCCACACCCTGTGGTCGTATGTGCTCGGAATTAGGGAATGTAGATATATAGCGCGCGGGTTAGATTGATGCCGGTGTATCGCTAAGCAATGTAGGAAGGCAAGCAGAGTGAGTTCTAGATTGAAAGTGGGAAGGTATAACGATTTGAAGATTTGAAATTCCAAGCTGGTGTGTCTATTGGCTTAGACCAGGCCCTGAAGCCGTCAAAAAGTCGAAGTCTGCTCCCTGTTCCGCCTGCAACACAGATCGCATATAAAGTCCTCGATAGCCTCTCATTTTCTCCCGGGCAATCCATGATGGCTGGACTCCAGTCTCTGTATTTCGGCTGTCCTCAACCTCGGCCTTCCTCTTTTCGATTCGGCGTCTGGTTTCTTCGTCCGAAATCTCAATCTGTAGTCTGCAGTTTTCCACGTCACAAGTGATGATATCTCCATCTCTGACAACCCCAAGGACGGAACTGGGATTTGCCGCCTCGGGAGATATGTGTAAGATGATAGAGCCCCCCGCTGTGCCACTCATCCTGCCGTCGGAAATGCGGAGCATGTCCAAAACCCCCTTGCTTGCTAGCTTTCGTGGTATCGGAATCATGCCAGCTTCGGGCATCCCGGGGTTTCCGACAGGTCCGATATTTTGGAGGACGAGAACGCTGTTTTCGGTCACGTTGAGATCAGGATCATCCAGGCGTTTGGCCATGTCTGCGGATCCGGCGAAAACCACAGCAGGGCCAGAATGATGGAGAAGACTCCGGCGTTTTGATGCACTTGCTTTCATCAGCGCGCCTCCAGGGGCCAGGTTACCGCGGAGGAGAACCAAAGAGGAAGCCGGGTAAAGTGGCTCGTGAAAAGGCTGGATGCAGCTCAGTCGTCGAGGGACCTTGATGTAGGTTGCCTGATCGATCTGTTCGCCGATTGTCCCGCCCATCACTGTGCCTGCATTCAGATGGAGGAGAGGCCTGAGCTCACGCAGCAAAGCAAGCATGCCGCCGGAGTTGTGGAAATCGGTCATGTAATTATCACCGCTGGGCTTCAAGTCCACGAGCAGGGGTGTTTGACGACCAATTTCGTTAATAGTATCCAAATTAATGGAACTGACAAGCTCCGTATCTAAATGTCGGCCGACGATAGCCATGAGGTGTACCACTGCATTTGTGGAGCCTCCGATCGCCTGTAGGACGGTGATAGCATTCAAGAAAGACTCACGTGTGAGCAATTTCTGTGGTCGTAAGTCTCTCTTTAGAGCAGCGACTGCATTCCCGCCAGTTTCTTCCGCGATTCGTAACCGAGCAGAAGATACGGCGGGAGCAGAAGCGCCACCGAAAGGCATTAGGCCAAGGCCAACTAGAATACAAGCCATTGTACTTGCTGTACCCATTACGCCACAAGTTCCAGCCTTTGAAGTTCACCATGTTGTCAGCAATGGATATAGAAAAAGGGGACAGGGTCCATAACCGTACGGTGGGAGCTAGCTCGTTGTTGATGGCGGATATCTCCTCGATATCGATGGTTCCGGCTCTATAGCTCGCCCAATTATTGCGGCAGTCCGTACATGCCCCAAGTCTGACACCCTTATGGCTTCCGGGCATCATAGGCCCTGTGACAAGATGTAGGATTGGTTTATTGGCTGAAAGACCACCCATCAGCTGTGCTGGAGTAGTCTTGTCGCAACCTGGAACCGCGTCAGTTGGTTTAATCACCTTCGATCTCCTCGTGGGCAGACCTCACCTCCAATCAGCACTACCGCGTCGCAGGGTTGAGCTTTGATCATTTCCTCGGTATCCATGCTCATGAGATTGCGCAGATACATGCTCGTTGGAGATGAAAAAGCTTCATGAATGCTGATAGTTGGAAAGTCAATGGCCAGCCCCCCATTCAACTGGACGCCGCGTTTGACCGCTTCAATGAGTTGAGGGATGTTGGCATGGCATGGGTTGAAGCTGGAGTATGTATTGACGATTCCGATGATCGGACGAGACAGAGCATCCTCGCTGTAGCCCAGAGCTTTGATGAATACTTTTCTGAGAAAAAGGGAGAAATGCGCATCTCCATACGATGTCAGGCTCTGTCGAAGACCAGTTGAATCAGGGGGTATCGGGGTCGAGAGGTCATAGTCAGGGTTTTGTGAGGACCGAGGGTCGCCGAAGCCGTCTGTGTCAGTTTGAGAGACCATCTTTTGGAGGGCTGATAGTTGATGAACCGGAATTGAATACTAACGCATCGGAAAAAGTCATGAGGTACCATAGCACTTATATCATTGCGTCGGACTTCGTGACCCCGACATGTTATACAGAGATAAGCTACACGGAAGAGCTCCGACGCCCCGCAGCTCGCACCGAGCTTGAAAGCGAATCGAAAAGAAAGTTCCTGGGGGTAATTGCTGGTAATCCCAAAGAAGCGTCTGGTACGGAGTACACATCAACTTGACATTTTCCGAAGAACTCCGAGTTCTTGGCAGCCTCGGAAATCGTAAAGGCAGTGAGCTTGCCGAGCTCGGAGTATGTGCCGACGCCACTACCGAGTTTTGACGATATATTCTGATCGTCTTTTGCAAAGCATCAGATTGACACACGTGAGCCCCAAAGAGGAATTTCAAATATGTCTGACAACCCAGGTTCCCCAAAAGTTGCGATGGTTGATAGCGGGCATGGCGGGGCCCCCGCAGATGAATTCCACGGGGTACGGTATCCTGACCTGAAAGACAAGGTCGTGTTCCGTAAGCTCTCCAGATAATCTCTCAATCCCCCAGTTTCTGGGTTGGAACCCATTGCTAATGTACTCCATGGAACAGTCACAGGCATTGGTCAGACCGGGGACCCCAATGAGCCCATGTGGGGAAATGGGGCGACCATAGCTCGTCTTTTGGCGTCACAAAATGCCAAAGTTTTTGGTTGTGATGTCAATATTGAGGCGGCGCAACGTACTCAAAACCGGATCAGTGCCGACGGGAGGGAGATCACCGTGACACAAGCAAATGTCACCGTCAAAGAAGACGTGGAAAGGGCTGTGAAAGAATGCATCAGCAAATATGGACGAATTGACGTCTTGATCAAGTAAGTCAGGAATGGCAGCTGTATCACGTCGACCACTGTACTCTAACCTGCTTTCTTGTGCTTTAGCAATGTGGGACGTTCAGAGCCTGGTGGACCAGCTGAGATGGAAGAGGAGGTCTGGGATGCGCAGACTGATATCAACTTGAAGTCTGTGTATCTCACATGTCACTGCATCATTCCCATCATGGAAAAACAAGGATCCGGCGCTGTGGTCAACGTGTCTTCCATCGCGGGTCTCCGATACATCGGCAAACCACAGGTTGCGTATGCAGCCGCGAAGGCCGCAGTCATCCAGTTTACCAAAGCCACCGCGGTCATCTACGCTTCAAAAAACATCCGTTTGAACGCGGTGGTGCCAGGGCTGATGCACACCCCTCTGGTTAAAGTTCTGGCAGAGAAGTATGCCGGAGGCGACCACACAGCCTTTATTGAGAAACGGCATAATGCTGTCCCAATGGGAATGATGGGTACTTCCGTTGATGTTGCCATGGCCGTTGTATTTTTGGCGTCGCAGCAAAGTCGGTATATCACGGGACAGAAGCTTGTGGTAGATGGTGGGATCACGTCGTCTACGGGGTGAGAGCAGCATGACAGTGACAATACGAAAGCACATTCTGCTAGTTTCGGGCCTTTGCAGATGTTGGGCAATGGCGATTGTCTGATATGATAGTCCAAGTAAAGTAACATAGGGTCCGCTAGATGATAGTAAGCTTCAGAGCTGATCGCCTCGTTGGGCAAACGAGTCGGGAAATCTAATGTTATCGAATCCTATGTCCATAATCATATCGAAGCCCCGAGATGTACCAAATGAGTCTGGCACAAGGGTATCCAATTGACTCTGCGATGGGTCAACATCATAGAATCATTGTAGGACTGGGTGTTACTCACTATATCTTGAACCGGCTCCAGGGAAGCGTCTCCTGGGTTTGAAGGCAACGGTGCTGGGTGTGAAGAGTCATTGAAATACGTTTCACCATCGATTGCGTGGCTTTCTTGATAGCCAATTTCCGCTTCGTAAGCTGTCTCCATAGCCAATGAAGTGGGCGGATTGAGAGTTCCAATAATTTGAGCTCGCCAGTGAGATTCCTGCATTTGCAATAATGTCAGCCAAAGGCTCCATCCACGGAAATGAACAAGAGTTAACAATGGCAGATTGGAGATACTGACATCGAGAAGCCTTTGTGCGCTAATATTGACGCTACTATCCAGCTTGCGATGGAATGCCATGGCATCTCCAATGGCTTTTTCGACCCGAAGCCGCTGTTCCGGGTTTTGGCACATATTCAGGTAGACTAACAGAATTGATATGGCGCAGAACAAGAAATGTGATGTGATCTAGCAAGTCAGTCAGTCACTTAAGACCCTTGTAAAGGAGATTAGGCATACCCAGAAAGTACCATTATACCTGCATTCGTTGATGCCAAAGTCTGCGGCCAAGGCAATCATGGACAACGCATTGTCAGCACACTTTTCGGCACGCGCGGATAAAGGACTGGAGTGAGGTGTACTAGGCTCTTGACACCGGAATTCGCGTAGTACATGACCGCGATATATCAGCATGTTCGCAAAGAAGAAGGCGGCTTTGACAGTCCGCTGTTGTCGTTTCAAAATCCAAGGAATATCATAGAACAGGCTCTCATCACGATTGGAACCATCGTATAGTGGGTTGAAAAATGTAGGAGTTGAGGCGAGCCATGAGTGAAGCTCTGACTCTAGACCCACGACAATTGTGTCTGCGGGTCTCTGGGATTGGTCGGTAGCTGGATAGAGCTGAGTCGTAGCTTTGCCGATAATTTTCACCAGCCTTCATGTCGTCAAAGTTAGTCCACGGGAAATGAAGGATAGTGAGGGTCGAGTAGACAGACTGGTAGTGAAGAACGGTTCCAATTAGGAGCTTTTTCTCAGAAGCATCGACCTCATGAACGATGGTGTCTGGGATTTCGGAAGAAAGTATGACAGTCACATCACTTTCTTGGATTGCCATCGGTCGTCCCAATATGACAGCAAGATAGCTGAAACGGTCTAGGTGAGTGAGGGCGACTGCGGAATTGGGGTGACTGACCGATCAATCATAAACATTGCCCAGAATAAACGCCTTCTGAGAAAAGCTTCTAAGGGATCGAGCGACGCTAGTTGCTGCTCCCGTTGGATATCGATCATTTGGCTTAGCCTAACAGCCAAGCCCAACGACATCCAAGCACTATTGAATAGACCGAACACAAGTTCACATTGACACTGTCACAGCATGAGAAAGAGCTCGGTTTACTCATTCACTGAACAAGCCAACACTGACCTTCAAGACCTGAGCCTGCAGCACGTAAATATTGGGCGGAAATACTCGATTGACCTTTTCAAGCTGAGATTCGGCTGCTTGGTAGAAAGGCAGACTGCGGTCCATTAGTACCAGAAGCGAAGCGAGATAGAGTAGAGGAACATACGCTTTGGATCTCCATGGTGCGACTGTCTCATTCCTCCAAGAAGCTGTCCAGACGCAGCTATATTATGACGTCAGCGATACCACTCGCGAGACCAAGTGCAATAACGCTGAAACGTACCCAGTGCCAATGAGGAAAAGAATAAGGGCGGACTTGGCATATTCCTGAGACAATTTGTCATTGTCCATGTAAAGCCTGTCCAATAGTGCGAAGGATTGATCGCGGGGAAGGAAACGACAAGTGGCGTTGCCGTGATCAAAGTAGGCCTCAAGATAACTCGTAGCTAAAGATTTGTCGGGAAGAACTAGTGTCTGGACGTTGCTTTCTTTGCGTACGTGGTCATTCTCCTCGAATCGCATGAACAGACTTCTGGGAAGTCCTTGGCCGATTTGGGCCAAGTGGCCGGACACTCTTCGCAAGAACGAGTCTACACTGGCATCCCCTGGTCACCGTGTCAGACTTGACGGGCTCAAGCAAAAGCTGAGTATGATTAGAGATTACCTGTATCCTCATCAGCCTGGGCGGTGTACCTGGCGCCATCCTCGAGCGCTCTGGAATTCGACCCGGGAGTGTTGGGAGTGTTGGGAGTGTGAGATGAGAGATGCCCTCGATCATCCATACCACCAGAGAGCTGTGATACGCGTCTGCCTCTCTCTTGGCCATTTCGCTGATACGCATGTCAGATGGACACCCGCAGCATCAAAACCGCATCCGGAGATTGGAAGGCATACCGCGAAGGTGGATTGGACCCGGTTATATGAAGAGCGATAGCTGCAATCTGCCTTGCGTGATCAGCCGCCGCTCCTTGCGTGATGGCGCCTGTCGGGTTCGGTGCGGACTTACCGACATCAGACTGCGTACAACGGCGACACGGATGCCTTCCGTCACATCGCATTTTTCGTCTTTTGCACGTGTCACATGCTCTGCACTAACGGATGAGGTGTGATTCATCCATTCGGATTGCTGCACTCACCTTGTAACATTCTTCCTTGGAGTTGAAAGAGACGCCATGGTGAGCGTGACTTGGCCATGTTTTCTCTCCCCTGCGCAGTCTCGATATGGAAGGTGCTGAGTCAGCAGCGCTGAATGGCAGGTGCAACTGGCCAACTGGCGAAATCTACTTCAGCATCCTCACAGCACTCGTCTCTTCTCCCAATTCTCCTCTTTCTAAGTTGACTATCTTCTACAGGTTCAACTGACTGCCCAGATGGTGACTGCTCAGTGGATGTCTTTAAATTTCACAGTGATGCTTCCAAGGTTTGGAGATATATTCGAGCATGGCTCCACCGTCCGCTCTGACGACGTCCAGATATGACCTTGGCAACCTTGGAACGCAGAAATCATCGGCAGTTGGAGCGGAAGGAACATTGCAAGCTCGGCACTTTGTGAATCCGTCATACCTGAGTGCGAGTCAACATTCTGCCAGGCGCTTGAGTCCGGGGTATGGCCTGGGCGTTGGGGAATCCCGCGATCTCGGAAAATATTCTCCGAGCTTCTCCGACAGAACACGCTCGGAAACACAACGTGCGCGGAAATTCAACCCAAGCTTTGTGCACAGCATGCAAGTGGCCAAAGCTCCGATAGTCCCCGTGGGGTATCGATTCCAGATGAATGCTTGGCGGCCAGTGAGGTACGAAGTACGTGAGCATCATAAATGAGGGCGATTTCCACGAATCCTCACCATGTCCAGGCTGTTGCTCAAGTACTTTTTGCCCTAACACTGCGCAACCAACGATACTGGAAACATGTTGACGAAAGATGAAACACTCCCGGGTCAGGACCAGCGACTCAGCATGTCGGCGCAAGACAAGGAGGCCGGCGGTTCCATCCACGTGGAGGTAATCGCGGATCTGTCAGAGGATGATCGGAGATTCCTGGATGGCTTTACGGATGAACAGAGAAAGAAAGTGCTCTGGAAGGTTGGTCCATAACACCCCAATATGACGGCGAACTAAATCTGATACTCTGATAGTTGGACATCAGGCTCGTCCCTATGCTAGCCTTCCTATACCTCATAGCCTATATCGACCGAGCCAATATTGGTAAGACCCCGTTCTCGTGGATCCGATAGTTAACGATTGACATTTTTTCCCAGGAAATGCCAAGATCGAAGGTCTCCTCGAAGACCTCAACCTTTCAGGAGAGCAATACAACATTGCACTCGCAATCTTCTTTGTGCCCTACATCCTCCTTGGTAGGATATATGTCTTTTGATCAACTTTGCAAGGAGATGGCGCTGACTCAATCACCAAAGAAATGCCTAGCAATACCCTTCTTTTGAAATTCAAACACCCTTCCTACTACCTTGGTACATTGATCACTCTATGGGGGATTGTCATGACTCTGACCGGTATTGTGACCAATTTTGGAGGCTTGGTGGCCTGTCGAGTCTTGCTCGGCGTGTTTGAGTAAGCTGAATTTATCACCTCTCAACAGAATGGCGGGACCCAAAATCTGACAGCTGATTTCTTAGATCCGGCTTCTTCCCAGGGGCAGTATTCACGATTTCCAGCTGGTATCTTCCCAACGAAACACAGGTGCGAATAGCGCTCTTCTATGCCGCGAGCGCCCTGGCCGGTGCGTTTTCGGGCCTCCTCGCTTTCGCGATCGTGAAGCTCGACGGGCTCGGTGGCTTGGAAGGCTGGCGATGGATATTCATTCTCGAGGGCATAGCATCGGTGGTAGCCGGTGTGGGGACATTTTTTCTGTTGGTTGATACCCCAGCGCTGTCTTCGTGGCTCACGTCAGAAGAACGTCGGTATCTACAACTTCGACAGCTTGCCGTTCAAGGCAATAGCACCCGAGTGAAAGAAGCGGAGAAGTCTAGGAAGTGGGAGATCGCTAGATCGGTGATAACAGACTGGCAGCTCTACCTCCAAGCCCTGGTCTACTGCTCAAATACAGTGCCAAATTACGGAATGAAGTTCACAATGCCACAGATCATCAAGAACATGGGATATACCAGCAGCAATGCCCAACTCCTTACAGTGCCACCATATGTCGTGGGCGCGATTAGTGCATTTGCTTCCGGTGTTCTCTCAGATCGCTTCCGGTGGAGAATGCCCTTTATCGTTGGAGCTCAACTGCTTGTCGTCATCTCGTTCGCGGTTCTCTTTGCCAAAGCGGAAGATATTGCTTCGAACATCCCAGCTTGTTACTTCGCAATCTTTCTTGCGAACGCTGGGTTTTACCCCATCAACCCCGGTGGTAACGCATGGACGCTCAGCAACCTCGCGGGCCCAACAAAGCGAAGTCAAGGAATTGCGTACATGATTTGCCTCGGTAACATTGGCGGCATCATTGGAAGCTTCATCTACATGGAAGATGAGAAGCCGAAGTATCCGACTGGCTTCGGTGTTTCACTTGCAGCTGCGAGTCTTGGGATAGTGTCCTGCTTGGTTCTGGAATTCAGTTTCTGGAAGATCAATCGATCTCGTGCTGCTTTCAGTGAAGCTGAGATTCGCTCAAAGTATACCGACGAGGAATTGGAGAGAATGGGAGATCGCTCGCCTCTGTTTAGGTACTCACTTTGAGGCCTAGAAGATCGTTTCTGATGGATGATCGTGGAGATGCCCAGTGCAAGGAACTCTGCGGGCAGTAATTTCGGTACTTCTCATCGGGGTTGGAATCAGAACGTGTTCTATATAGAGTTGGAAACCCAGGTTTTGCTCTCAGGCCGCATTATCATACAAAGTGTTAGGGTTGTCGACCCACATAAGCTGCCACTCTTTTTCCGACATCATGCGACTCATCGCCTCAATCCATTTCTTGTCATCAACCTTCAAGAAAGACTCCTCACTAGTCGATGACTTTCCCACACGGTCCTTATGGCGTTGTGTATGAGGCCAATCACTTCCCCAGACCACTCGATTGGGATTAGCATCCACGAAAAGTCTGACTAACCACTTCAAGTCGACAAAGCCCGGCTCCAGATTAGAGCACCGGTATGGGGCAGAGAGCTTGATCCACAGGTTTCCTTCCTGCAGCGTTTGACGGAGACTCTCCAATCCAGTCCTATCGTCCTCGGGTAGGTAAGAATCATTTTGGACAACAGAGGACGTGTCATTTGCAAGAAAGCTGCTAGCACCGATCAGAGCAAAATGATCCACGACGACGGGGATCGGGCTAGAGTTGATCGTCTGGCGCAATCGTGGCCAGAATCTGAGATGTGGTTGCTGGATCTGGATACTCCAGTTGGGTTTGCCCCATTGAGCCAGACGCGCAGCCGTCTTCGTGATTAGCTCGGTCTGAATTTCCACATCATCCATCGCTCTGAAGCGGAAGAAATCCAAGCGCACAGAGCGTACGCCGGCCGCATGGTACTCGTCCAGAAGGCCATCTGTAACCGTCTCGAGGTCTAGTACACAAATACCCCGAGCCGTGCCGTTGAAGCGATCCAGGTAGTGGAGAAGAGAAGTGCAGTCGGGGCCATATGAAAGACCATGGGCAATGCAGATATTGTCTACACCGATGCTCTTTTCAAATTCCTCCAATTGCTCGAGTGACGCACGCGCAGGGGTGAAATGACGCCCTTCCGCGAATGGGAAACGATCAGGGTCAAAAATATGGTGATGGGTGTCCCACGCACCAGAAGGCACGGGCTTTGTCGGGTGCTCAGTTTGGGCCATAGTATGAAGCAATGGCTGCACTGAATGTGATTGTTTGCAAGACTTTCCAGCGTGTTGACTCTAGGGACTTCATATTTAGCCTGTCGGTGACCCTTCGGAATTCCCCAGACGTTGTGTCGTGCCGTATCGGGGCGGCGCCGAAGTCTCTCCGCGTCGGCGAAATGCCGACAACTTCACGTTCCCGACAGTCCCTCGGAAACAGCAATGCCTTCATAAACTAGCTCATCGCTCTCCGTGATTCCGCATAGAGCCTCCCTCTAGCAATATCCATTTCTATCGATTATGCCTTCCGATTCCAACACGATTATTAAGCGTCTGCAACAGTGGGGTGCCTGCGATGTAAGTTTGATGCCAGTGCTCTGTTCGTGTGGGTTGCAAGAATAAAATCTAACAACTTCTGCATACGACAGGTTGCCGATGGCCTGTCGAAGCTCAATTACCCCAATGGGGGTTTCCTGGAAGGTCCCGTCATGCAATCACCCCAATTCCAAGCTGGCGAGACGAAGATTGTAGGACAAGCTTTCACAGTCAAGTTTGTCCCTAAGTCGGATACGTCGGCGCCTAAACTGCAAGGGAATTATGTGCGTCACGGACCTTCTACATGACTCAAAATCCTGACCCGTATATGCAGATCGACCAAATCCCCGAGGGTGCCGTTGTATTCATCTCCCAGCCTTTGCCCCACGTCAATGCGGTTTATGGTGGCCTGATGACCCTACGCGCTCAAGCGCTCAAGGCAGCTGGTGTCGTGATCGACGGTCGCGTACGTGACCTCGGTGAACACCGTGATCTCAACTTCCCTCTGTTTGCCCGGTCTGTGGGTACTACTGCCGGTGGAGAAGTGTGTCGCCCCTCGGAAGTGAATGTCCCTGTCCGGCTCAACTCTAGTGACCAAGATGCCTGGATCAATGCTGGAGATTACATTATCGCTGATCTAAATGGCGTGGTCCGCTTGCCACAAGAGCTTGCCGAACATGTTCTTGACCTCATTCCTGACATTGCTGATGCCGATGCAAAATGCGCGGAGGCCATTAAAGGTGGAATGAGCGTGCAGCAGGCTTTCAAAGAGTTCCGTGGCCGTTAGAGATTGTTAAAGAGCGGGGATTCATGTCTGTTATCTGACAGAAGCTCAGCTCCCTCCGCTCCCCTCTTTCATGGAATACAACGACTTCTTTCTTATTTCTAAAACTGTCCAGCTGGTCAAAAAAGCGAAATTTGAGATTTGAATGCTTCGAAATGACGCGATCTTAGATCACTGTCCCCCCGGAGTACTCATTGGCGTGAGACTGTTTAGAGACCTTGATGTGGCTGCTGGCGAGCGTAGTCTGTCAACATGCTGTTGCATTCCTAAGCATTTGCATACTGTTCTCAGATACCAACCTCGTCGAGAACGGGTAAGCCGTAGCCCTGGAGCCCGGTATGCACATCCATACTCACATTAGTCACATGACGAAGTCGACATGAGCCCCGGAGACTACGTCGAAGAGGCTGTCACGTTGGAAAACAAACTGCAACAGGCAAAGTGCAATTAAAGTGAAACAGAAGTACGTGCGGTACACAAGAGGAGAAGAGCAAATCAATCAACATGCTGATTTCAAGAGGCTGGCCTTTCCATTTGAAGTCAATCGAGCATAACCATATCTCAACTGGCTTTCTATTCGACAGCTGAGCGGGTAATTTGCCCATGGGCTTCACCAAAGCTGTAGTCTGACTGACCATGACATTGTCGGCATCTTCCGAAGAAATGGTTAAGCACAATTGAGACCATCGCTCTAAGTAAAATGGAACTTCCGGCCGCGGGCCGAGTATATCGGGATTGGCCGATTATAGAATCCCCCCCGAACCAAGACTTTCTTACTCCTGTTGATCTCGGAATTGTCCTCAATTTAAGAGCCGCAGGATTGCCAACGTTGGGGATTACCAGACTAATTCACATTTCCCAATTGCCACAATGACTCTCATCCACATGGGTCAGTTGTCTTCCGTTGAATGCAATTCGAGCCTTGCAGGACCGAGCACTGATTCACTCCACAGTTATGTTTAAGTTCCGCCCTGAGGTAACTCAGGAGCATAAAGATACTTTTGTGCGTGAGCTCAAGAAATTGAAAGATCTTGATTGTGTTAAGGGACACCGACTGGTCGTTGGTGGCCCGTCCGTCACCGATCCTATCGAGAGAAGCAAGGGCTTCCATTACGCCCTTCTCAGCTTCCACGAGAATCTTGCCGCGTTACAAGAATATCAAGCAAGCAAAGAGCATCACTGGTAAGCAGTAGCTCGACAAAATACCTGACATCAACGTCTGTGTTATTAATATTGCATTTTACAGGGTCACGAGCACGTACATGTTTCCTTATAAGGAGGACCTGGTCCGATTTGATTTCGAATGTGACCCGGAAGACGAGCACATGTGGCAATTCATGTCAATCCCGGGCGTTAATGGCTCAAAATCTCAAAATTGAGTCGATATATAGATTTCAATGCTACCTTGAGCTCATGCCCAGGTGGAGCTCATGGTACTGTTTCTCGCGCTACTTGAAAAATCCTCAAATGTCATCAATTTAAGTTTAGAGCCTGAACGGGGAAAATAGAGATGGCTGTGAATTTGAATCTACCTAGGTAGTATAACAGAAGCTCTCCAAGTTGATTGGATGGATTCCATTCAATGGTTGCTCAATGCAAACGATCAAACAAAAATATATAGATGGTCTGTCAGAATCTAACCATCTTTATAGGTATCGTCTTCCAAGGTTGATTATGGGATATTACTGATCGAGAACGAAATGAAAGATGTAGATAGGTCAAATACCAAGCTCGCATTAGTTTACAAAACATCATGGATTGTTCAAGAATCCATTGCCTTCATAACTCCATTAAGCACCGCAATGATACCGCAGGCACCCGGGTCAGGAAGGCAACTTGTCTCTCCATTGCCATTTCCCACTCCTTGTCCCTTGTTCACGTAAGTAGAGCGTCCGTACCTCGCCTCGAAATGCCGTGTAGCCTCGCAACCAGCAACTGCTGCTGCCATGGCTGCTTTCATGGCCGGGATACCGCTCATTGACTCTGCAGAGCGTTCAAACTCTTCGACGAACGGAATAAGTGCATCCATCAGCGTACGGTCACCAATCCGGGCACCGGTAAATCGCATCAGGGATTCCAAAGCCTGACTGAGAGCACGCGAGAAGTACTGCACCGTAATTCCCTCACTCTCAACAAAAGACCTGCTTAAAACTGCGGCAAATGCTGCCAAGAAAATCCCGTAGATGGCACCTGAAGTACCACCCATCGCATTCGTGACAACCTCGACAAGCACCAGCATCCCGTGCGAGAGGTCAGCAGGGTTGATGTTCCCTTCGAATAAAGCACTTCTCACGGCCGATGCTCCCGTGAGAAGAGTGGTTCCACAGTCGCCATCTCCAAGCACGATATCATATTGCGTAATTGTCGGCTCCTGAACTTTGACTTCATGGAATATGCCATCTATTATTTTTGTGAACAGATTCGGGTTACCTGGAATAAAATATATCAGCATACCCGAGACTTATCAACCGTACTGAGATACAAATGCTTGACTCACAAGGAACTGAGAGCTCGATTTGCCGCTCAACCCCGTTAAGTGTACCGACCGACTTTGTAATAGAGCTCGATTGGCGAGTCCATTGACTGGAGGGAATCGAGGGGCTCCAACCTATTGCCGTTGTAGGCTCATCAAGTAGGTTCAATATCATCGAGGCGTCTTCCGATTCATCGAGACTGAGTATGGTGATACTGAACCCTCGTCCATCAAGGGCAGAAAGGAATGTGCCAGAGAATGTGCGACAGGGAACAATACTGTATGTGCTCTTGAGCTGATAGGTCACCATAGAAGTCAAAGCGCCAGTTTCGAGAGACGACAAGCCTCCAAGATTATTGATCAAGCAGACAACTCGGCGGCTGGGGTGTGCAGAATTCACACCCAAGAATGCATGTTCCTCATCGTTTGGGTTCAGCAAAAGATCAAGCATCCGTCTGATGACTTCCTCCATAGAGGTGCTTTGGGGTAAACTGCCAATAGCCGGCTCATTGTGAATACCCATTCCCAGTTTGATATCATTCGACTGGTCAGTGAAGTCTGCAGACTGACCAGGAATGACACAGGGCGCAAGGGAGACACCGATGGTACCCATGTTTGGCGAAATGATCTCGTCACAGAGCCGAACGATGCCATCCAGTTCAAATCCTCTTTCAGCTGCGGCACCGGCAATTTTGTGCATAATAGCTGTGCCCGCAAGTCCACGACGGCCGACGAATTTGCCGCGTGTCCGGCCCACCGCGACATCGTCGCTCACCAGCACCATCCTAACATCGTTTCCCGTAGAGGCTTTGAACTGTTCAGCGGCGAGTGCAAAGTTCAGCTTATCGCCTGTGTAGTTTTTGACAATCAAAATTGTGCCTTTGGGACAGGCAGCCAGCTCAAGTCCGCGCTGGACTTGTCGCACGTTTGGGGAGGCAAATACAGCTCCAGTGACAGAAACATCAAGCATGCCTTCTCCGACATAGCCCGAATGAGCAGGCTCGTGCCCACTACCTCCTATTCACTAATTAGCAAGAATATTCGGAAAGACTTGATATAGCACAGGGTCATCGACGCAATAAAGAACGAACCTCCGCTTACTACTGTCACCCGGCCCTTTTGACCAAGGTCTGGCTTGTGAAGGACAGAAAACTTTTCATCCAATCGTAGGCCTGGCTGCAATTGAAGCTGCGCCAAGTTCCACTCACGAACAAGTCGCACAGGATCTTCAACGAATCTTTGTGCTAGGTCACTCATCAGTATCAGCATTGGAATCAAGAGAAAGCAAAGATTTTCTTTACTGACAAGAAGACATGACTCTAGGAGTTTGTTGTTCAACAATTGGAAGGCGCATCTCTGGTATTGTTTTATAGAAGTCCTAGTATTTAAATAACATGACCTTATGGACTCACGCACCAGTTGACTCTGTATACTCTGGTTTGTTCGGGGCGGAACCGAGCGGTTCTGACTCAGGGCTCATGACAGCCCTGGAGTGCGCTAAGATTGGGGTCTTGTGACTTGAAGAAGCATACCTAGGTATTATCGCGTGACAGCAAGAGCCGGCCTCTACCATTGTCTGCGCTCCCATCCTTCCTCAGCCGGGTAGACGCCGTGAAGCACTCGCCCGAGGCCGAAAATTAGTCGATTTTGCCCCCATAAGACGGACAATCGGACCGAGCCCGGTCGTACATATGATTTATTTCTCCCTGACGTATGAAGAACGCTGTGTTCTAACCCCGGAAAGTGTCCATGGTTCCATCGGTCAGAGTCAATCATTCCTTCTTTGAGACCATCGGGCAGTCATGCCATGGAGCGTAAGCAGTGAAAATGAAAATCACAAATAACAGAAATGATACGTGTTGGAGTGGATGGTCATATGCCATCTGAGGATAGCTTAGCTCTCTTCTCTTGCTCTGTCTTAGCTTTCAGTTGCTTCACTCTTCTGAAACCAACTCTCTGCTTTCTCTCTTTCCCGGTGCCAAACAGTAGCTGTCCCAACACTATGGCCCACAAGTATAGAACCTATGTTCAAATGAGCGACATGGCCCCAGTTGTAAGCCAACTACGTAATTCTGTCGGCTCGGCATCTCCCCGGATTTCAGAGTACCCTATGCTTTCCCCGTTTCTCAAATAGCGCAATCCTAGCTCCGCTAGTTTTGAGATTTTTGGAAAACACAACCAAAGGAGAATCATACCTATTCTCTCACCCATTCAACGGTAAAATGGTATTGGTGGACAAAAAGCTTGCAGCCACGGTTCCTCCTGAGGTCGTGAGCTTGAGAATATTCCTGTATGGAGGGATTCTTTCAATGTCAGGATGTCTACACGGTCAGTGTGATTTCCCATTGTTGCCCCTTCTATTGCATAGCATCTGCTAACTTTGTTTTCAGGCGTCAACACAGCCAACATTTCCGGAATAATGAGTTTGGCTCCGTTCGAAAAGGCCTTCGACTTCGATGACAAAAGCAAAATACAAGTCTCCAATCTGAAAGGGTGGATCACATCATGCGTCTTATTGGGATCATGCATGGGTGCTCTTATTGCTGCCCCTATCTCAGTGAGATATGGCCGCAAGATCAGTCTTCAGGTGTTCAGTATGCTATACATTATCGCAGCCATTCTCATGGCAGCCAATTATGGTGGCTCACGGGGCCTTGCTCAGCTTTTCGTGGGACGAGTCCTCTCAGGTACTGCCTCCGGGGCTGCCAGTGTCGCCGGGACAGCCTTCATCGCTGAAATCTCCCCAAAGGTTATCCGCGGTGGCCTATCGGCGCTTTACAATGCGAGTACAATGATGGGGATCTCATTGGCATTCTGGATTAATTATGGATCCCTGCTGAACATCTCGTCGAGCAGCAACGCCCAGTGGCAAGTCCCTGCGGGTGTCCAGGCTTTCCCTGGGGTCATTCTCTTTTTAGGGCTCTTTACACTCCCTGAATCTCCTCGCTGGCTTGCATCCAAGAACCTGGTCGAAGAAACGATTGCCTCTGTCACAAACCTGCGCCAGCTTGATGCAAACCATCCATTTGTTCAGGAAGAGTTGACCGAGATCCTGGGTTCAGCACCGACTGCCCAGCAACTACTGGAACAAACCAACTCCTCGCTCCTCACGCGACTGAGAGTAGTTCCGAATCTTTTGAAGAGATTTGCTTTCGTGATCCTTGTGCAGACATTCTTTCAATTCTCGGGAGGCAATATCATAACCTACTATAATACCACGATCTTAGGTTCTCTCGGCTTGTCGGATCCCAAAGTCAATTTTCTCTTTTCGGGGATATATGGGCTGGTCAAGGTATTCGCGGTTCTGATTTATGTCTTCTACTTCGTTGATGCATGGGGACGCCGCCCTTTACTCTGGTTTGGTTCGACGATTGTCATTGTTTGCTTGACCTATATGACGATATACCTGGCTGTGCTGCAAGATCTTCCAGGCCACAAAGCCGCCGGATGGGCGGCTATTGTTGCAATTTTCCTCTATGCAATTGGCTATGCACTTTCATGGGCTACCGTCCCATGGATTATCAATGCAGAAGTATTTCCCATGTCCGTGCGTGCAGTGTGTATGGCCGCAACTATCACCTGGCAATACTTGGTAAACTTTGCCCTCACTCGGGCAATGCCGAACATGATGGAGAGCATGGATACCTATGGACCTTTTGCCCTGTTTGCCTGTGTCACAGCTATCGCATTTGTTTACAGCTTCTTTGCCTTCCCTGAAACAAAGGGGTTGAACATGGAAGATATTAATACCCTTTTCGAAGCCCCGTGGTACAAAATAGGCCGTGCAAGTGTCAACATGGTTCGGCAGAAAACAGCACAATCGGCTTTCAGGCAGGAAGAAGTTGCTAAAGATGATGTCAACTTTCAACATTGTGAGAGACTCAATGGTCAGATTTAGGCCATACCCGTCGGTGCACACAGTTTTGAAAATCCCAAGTCACTTTCATACCCGTGGACGTCTGATGTTTCAATGTTTTGGACAAGGTACACTGGGCTGCTTTTTCTGTCATCCTCGCAATTTCCAATCATATAACTTCATACCTAGGTATAGCTGCTGTAATTTTCTTTCTGTTCCATCTCTTTAGGTGTACCCTGGGGACTGCCATGTCTCGAATCAATGGAAATTCATGTTCTGCATCAACTGGTGCTCACATATATTCTGGCCCAAAATTTCATCCGGGGTTTTTTTTCTTCTTTTCTCCCATATCCTACCAATTCGTATCATTCTAATCTGCTACAAAGCATCTTCCTGTGAGCTGCTAGTCTATAATCTTACATTAAACACCCGGCCTGTGGAAATCTGAAGACACGGTTGACGAATACCTAGGTAATAAAGGCTTTGCAGTAACCCTGGGTGATGGACTTATCAGGAACGGTTATTTGCCGTTGACGGAATTGATAAAGAGCTTTCCTTGAGAATTGTTAATTGTTTACTTCTTCCAATATTGGCGGGTTTTCCCTCTTACGTGTGACAAGGCCTTCACCTGGGCACCTCGTTACGTTCGGTAATTCGTGAGTACTTATTAGTAATTACTTCATCAACTCATGAGATACAGTACTCGATAGAGATACCGGGCTTTGGACGTGTCTGCCTGCCTTTCTCAGCTGGTCAACCCCACTGAGGGAGAGCAGCATCGTCAAGCCAATCAAGATCAAAGAATTCGCGCATCATACCCAACTCATCCACCAAGGCATTGACACCATGCTGAGTCCAACTATTCATGAAAGTGTTATCTTGAAATTCCTCTGGTCGAATCAGAGGAACAGGAGCGTCCTGCAACTGGGTGCGTGTATCAGAAACCCCGTAAAGACTGTCAAAGCCATCCATAGCGACTGGAATAAGACGCTCGAGCTTCTCAGATGCATTATGTGCCACCGACCATGTGCTTCCAAGAGACTCAAGCAATTGCTGGGCTTTTTTCACTCGCTCGAAGCATGTTTCGCGAGGGGCCGACATCATCACGATTGGACTTGTCCAGAGGCAGTAAAGTATGGCAATGGCCGCTATAAATATTGAATGGGCAGCAACCCAAGTGCAATCCATGTTTTTGAAACGATTGAGATCTGCAGAAATGCGAATGATTTCCATGGCGCTATCGAAGCATTTCCGTACGGCATCCTGAGAAGGTCGAGGGATCTGAGGGCTGGGACGATACAGCAGCATAAGACAAGAATGATACTTGAGTTGTAACTTCTGAACCACAACGAGAGAAAGATATGGTGAGTCTGGCATGCGAAGGCTTCGTTGGCGACTTTCAACATCCTGAATGAGAATTTGGCACGATTTTTCGATGTCCAATTGCCAATTTCCGAGATCCCCTGGCCAAGGAAACCGCTGTGGTACCTGCGATACGCGGTATATCATGAGCTTGACCTCGGCAACGATTCTGTCGAAACGCAAGGCATAGATGCAGGGAACAAAAGACTCCGGCACTTTAGCACCACACTGGTTCCACTGTAAAGCACCCCAGTCCACTTCATTTGTCTCGTCGATGCCCGGAAACTCAACATCGATGGCTTCATCTCGTAGTGTAAGTGGCCTCCCAAGGATCGTGGTCAAAATCCGATCAAGCGAGTATGCCGACCAAAATATTGCGCTACGCTTGTGTCGTCGAAAGCGCTGCTCTGTTGTTTCGATATCTCGATTTCCTGCAGAATGCAATATATCAGCAAGATTATCTGGGTATCATCCGAGGGCTTTGACTAACTGTGACTCGACCGCTGGAGACCAAGATCCAAGCAACTGGCAATAATTGTGTGCAGGATATACCAGGCATTCAAGCCTTCTGGGTTATAAAAGCTGTTAAGAGTCATCAGAAGAAGAACTTGGATCCCTTCTGTACTATCGTAAAGCTGGACTTGGGTGGCATATCGCATTCCGGCAGCCAGTAATCCTGCCGAATTGAAGTCAGTCTTAAATTTAGTCTCGAGTAAGCGAGCACCAAGAGACAGCAGTAAGAAAGCCTGTGCAAAGCCCAATGTGATGGGAAGGGCTGATTTCCAAGCTCCTGTTTCTTGAAAAGCTCGCACTTCATCCAGGAGATCGAACACCTCGTTACGCATCATGAACGGTAGAAATATGGCAACCTCAAAGTACGCCTCTGCATATTGATGGCATTCTGCCGGCTGCGGAAGGTCAGCAGGCTGTGTGTTTCCCGGACCTCTATTTTCGGTATCACCGGAGCAGAAGGTCTGGGACCAGTCTTGGAGAGAGAGTCCTTGGGACTGGGGAGCGCTCTCGTATATCAAACGCGCAAAGGGTACACCGGATGAAGGGCCGAGGTACTTTGGGTCACTCGAGTTTGCTAGGGATAGCAAGCCAACTTCATGTGCCAAAGGTTGATCCCTAGTGATACTGGTCGGTGCTGAGCCAGTGGATGATTGTGTCATTGGAGATTCGGTATGCATTACGTGCTGATGCCTTGAAAATGGCCCTCCTTCGCGAACTGGAGGGGGTGGGACACTGGAGGATACAGTTGTTGGATCGTTCTGCCCACGAAAAAGCACCGAATGACCAGTTGAAGTATTGGCAGACTCGTTGGAAGGCTCATCGGCAGACCTATTGGAAGGTACAGTGGTTGGATTGTTCTCCCCACGGAAAAGTACCGGATGGCCACTTGAGGTGTTGGCAGAGTCATTGGCAGGCTTCTTTGCAGGCTCATTGGAAGACGCAGTGGTGATTCCATCATTCTGCTCATGGAAGAGTGCGGATTGCCCAGTTCGAGTATTGGCGTCTTTATTGATCAAGTGATCTCCACTAGATATGATTGGTGGACTTCTTGATACATCGATGGAATCATCCTCGTCTATGAAGGTGTCTGAGCGAGATTGAGAACGAGATTCAAGCTCGCGTACTCGATTTTCAAGAAAATGGAGGCGGCTGGAGTTCGGATGATCAGGCGACGGTACACCGTTGGAGACAGAGTACTTACGCGCGTGAGATCTTCGATGAGGATACGCCCTGAAAGCACTCGACTCCCACTTTGGAGCAATTTACGCATGCCGGAAGGGATCCGTCGCACCGTACTTTCCGCTGACGACATCTCACACATGCAATGACCCGTCGCGGAGTGGAGGTGGAGACTGCAGGGCGACTTGTATTGCTTAACTCCGCGTCCCCGTCCACATTTGTTGATCCGTTTCCCGACATTGTTCGATGTCTCCGCGACAACGACCGAATGGGAACTGTAGCGAGTTTCAACGGGGAGATGTCCCTAGTAACAAGCGCCATCGGACCGACGCCGGGGGCAGTATCTGACCGCCTGCGGGTCTTGTCATCGCGGAGCTCCCCCGAGGTCTCCGACTCGACCAGTTGGGAACATTTCGAGAATCCGATCTGACTACTGCTGGGGGTAAGAAGTCAGAGTAGAGATTGACTCTATCTTGAGGAAGAAAAATGCGGAGGGAAAAGCAAAGAAAGAAGAGAGCGCGAGCTTCCGGAACAGTCAGGGTCACCTGACCGGCGTGTTGACAGAATCTGGTGGCCACCAACTCGCGCTGAACCTTGCCAGCAGTAATTAGCAAATTACAGCATCTATCCAGATAGACCAATGGGGTCGTGGGGCTCGTCTTCTGGAATATAATGGAATTTTAGCGCGTTCTGTCAAGGGCACATTTCCCGAGGCAAATGAGCAGTTGCGGTTCTAACCTCTGGACGAGTCCAACCATTAGCTTTGGCAAATCATGACCTGATAGGTGCAACTATCCGAATCCAACTGATTGAAATTTTGTTCTATGTTTGAGCAAGTACGGAGTAGAGAGTTATCAACACACCACAAGCAATGGGGAATTATAGCCTTGTACATCACTCCAATTTTCCTTCAATGCGCTTGTCAATTTCACACTCAATTGAGAAATCATCATTCTTGATTCCATCCGGTCATAGATGATTGTTCCACTGGGAAACAAACTTTGGAAATCATCAATGTGCAACAATTGATTATGCTCCTATAGTATGTCGCAAGATTCTGCAAAACTATTTGCTCATGCTAATCATTCGTGCAGGCATCGGTCCCTTCCGAAGACTTACGCAGTCCTCCCAAGCCTACAATATAGTCCCATAGATGAAAAGGCAGACTGAGATTGCCCATTTCGATAGAATTCACTGCAATGGCGGTTTCAAAACGGACTGCGATAAGCACGGAAAGAAGCAAGGCTTTGGGCGCTGGCGAGAATCTCTTCCAGGAGAGTGCCATAGTCCCATCCTAGGGCAGTTGCTGCCATGGCGGTTAGACTAGCTTGGTCTTCGCGCCCAGGACGACCAGGCCCAGTCATATTCTGTATCACAGGATTCATTAATGGCATATTCACGACACAGTACTCGGGGGTTGCCTTACTGGTTTCATATTGATGTCAAAAAGCGCGAATTCCGAGCCAGCGCTGAATCGTCGCACATCAACCCGGATTGGAGCCGTAGCGCCAGTCAGTCTAGCAACCTTGACACACTCGTCCATGATTTTGCCGTAGGCCGGGTCCTGCATCTCCACATCGTTTACTATGCGAGAATTGGCAGTCACGGCTACAGTGCCGTTGTAGGGAGCGATGCCACCGACATGGTTGAACCTGACAACCGGGACCATACTCCAGTACTCAGGGCGCTTGGGGGTCGGTGGCATAACAGTGATCGTCGCTTCCGCTCCGGCCAAATACTCCTCGACCAGGACCAGAGGCGATTCTTGAAGCAATGTCTCTAGGTGTTGCTTTAGTTGAGAAGGGTTATAACACACTTTCACTCCGTGACTTCCACGGCCGCGAACCGGCTTTCCCACGACGGGGAATTTTTCGATGGAAGAAGCAAATTCCTCAAGGTCGTCAGACGTGGAGATGGACCACGAACGGGGTAAGGTGTACCCAGACAGCTCGCGGAGCTTGTCGTTCAGGAATAATTTGTCGTCAAAGCTTTCAACCAACCGTGGAGGTTGACCCACAACATAAATATCCGAAGCAATCGACTCTAGCTTTGATGACTGTTGCAGTGGATGTGATTCGAAGACAATAGTGTTTGCCCACAGATGGGTTGCGCCTCCATTCACTGCTGAAAGAATGCCTTCCTCGGTATCCGAGAAACACCATCCCTCGTGAAGGGACACTTGCGGAGACGCAGATGGCGTAACAACGTTGATGCCCCTCGATCGCAACGTGTAAGCTATGTCAGCACCTGAATCCTGGTAACCTATCTCTCCCGTGAGTATCTTGCAGATATCTGCGACTTTGATCACATACCACCGGGCTTGCGGGGCTTGCATACACCCCCGATGACAGGAGGATCAATGTCTTGGAAGATTACAGCGACGGATGGGTCACGAGCAGACTTCGAAGAAAGGCGACGAGCACATATGGAAAGACCGTATGTACGCGCCGGTCGCAACAAAGGTTTTGGAAACAAACGAGTCAACAGCATGGTAGAATGACACCCAATACTCTCACGATTGAAAAACTCCTAGGAAGTGAAAAGCCGATAAACTGTCCAAAAGCGACGGAGAAAGGCCGAGTCAACACCGGAGATGGCCGAAGTCACTGACGTCGATGATTTCGGGCCAACGCCGACGAACTTCGTATTTAACTGCGACAGCACAATTGGGAAGCGCCATATCTTTTCAGCAGAACACCTGAATATACTCTTCTACAATGTCGTCTGTAAGCTGTCTATACACGTCTCACTGTCGACCTAATCCTCATTCATAGATAGGCCCGCTACTATGCTGACCCCGCCGTGGCCACCCAATTCGCTACAGAGCTCCTTATGAAGGCTGGCCTCAACGAGGAACACGCCAAGTCGATGGCTAACTGCCTGGTACTGGCTGACATTCGCGGTGTTGTACGTCTCCCTCTCTACTTCTTTTCCCAGTTGGAAAAAATAAGAGAAAAAGAAAAAGAAAAAGAATTGACCCGTTTTTAGGACACTCATGGCCTAGCCCGTCTTCCTCAATATATTGACCGCGTCAGCAATGGTCGTGTGAACGCGAATCCTAACTTCAAGTTCACCGAGAAGACTCCTGTAGTGGCTCACATGGATGGCGACAATGGTTTTGGTTTTGTCGTGGCCACTCGGGCTATGGAGGAGGCCATCAAGCGCGCCGAAATCTACGGCATTGGTCTCGTCGTGGCCAACCACTCGAACCATTTCGGAATGGGTGCCACATACGTGATGCAGGCTCTCGAAAAGGACATGATCTCCCTTGTTTTTACCAACTCGGCCAAGCAGATGCCTCCTTTCGGTGGCAAGGAGACTCTACTCGGTATCTCCCCCTTCGCCGCGGGTGCGCCGTCTGGAAAGGAGGTTCCATACATTCTGGACATGGCTCCATCAGTTGTGGCCAAGGGCAAGATTCGCCGTGCTGCTCGCCGTGGCGAGTCTATTCCACTTGGCTGGGCAGTTGATGCCGACGGAAACCCCACTACCGATGCTGAAGTCGCCCTGAGCGGAAGCATGGCCCCCATCGGTGGTCCTAAGGGTTCCGGAATTGCGATTTTGATGGACGTCATGTCCGGTGTTCTGAGCGGTTCTGCCTTCGGTGGTGAGGTCGGTGATCAGTACAAGGACACTAAGCCCCAGGACGTGGGCCACTGCTTTATCGCTCTCAAGCAGGATATCTTCCTCAGTGCCGCCGACTTTAAGGCCCGTATGGATACCCTTGTTCAACGCGTCCATAATGTAACGCCTGCGCCTGGTTTCAACGAAGTTCTCTTCCCCGGTGAGCCTGAGCATCGTCTCGGCGTTCAGCGTCGCAAGGAAGGCATTCCCTATGCCGACGCCGAAAAGCAAATGTTTATCGACATTGCCAAGAAGTTCGGTGTTTCTGAACTTCCTCTTGCCGATTCTGCCTTGTCTTTGGCCTGACGGATTGCAGGCACTCATATGTAACAAATCAAAAGAACAACTGAAATTCGCCTCTTTCATGTTTTACACTTTTCTGCTTGTTGGAAGTCAGATGACTTACATGTCTGTATATAGTTCCTAGATCCAGCCTATACTCTCTAAATGTAACACTCTTTTCCGCAGCCTCTTCTCCTAGAGTCTATCACTGGTGCCCGAAGACGCCCGAATATTCTAGCAGTTGAAGCATCGGACATGCTGTCTAGATTACATTATTCAGGAAATTAAAATGCTGTCATCTAGTCCTTTCGGCCCCTCTATTTCCGCCCCCGTTTGTTTATCCTGATCAATTCACACCATATGGAATATCCTTTCAACAGGCGATTCCGATAGGAATATGTCTGGCGGTGATCGAGAGACATACGCGACACAGTTTCCTTTCTTGAGAAATGAACGAGAGAAAAGGAGAAAGAGTGAAGGAAAAAAATTGAATATAACTATCGGGGGTCCTAGTAACGTCCGGATGATCCCAGAATTTTCATCATCCTCTCAACCGATTTAGTGTAAACACCCACGCCTTGCATTGAAAGAACTGTCAGCTCCAAGGAGCCGGCGTTTTCGGCAATGAAATTGGTATAATCATCTCGGACGGTACGGTTGAGGTTAATCTTTCGCACGCCGAGTGGAATAGTCTTCTGGAACAACTCATCGGAAACAGGATGAGTTCCATGAAGTGCCAGCGGGGTTGTATCGGAGACCAATTTGCCGATAGCTTCGAGACTGAGAAGGCGAGAGAAAGTCAGCAAGCAAATTCCAACCCAAATTCGTGGACTTGATGCAAGATCTCTTATGGAAATGGTCCTTTTACGAAACATACCGAGGTAGGTCCCAAGCCTTCTCTGCACCACCAGCCGGATACCCGCCATGGATATTTCCAAAAGAGGGAGCCAGGAAATGAATGCCTGTCTCGCGGATAAAAGTCTCAGCTTCTTCGGGGCGGGTCATGACAGACTCCATATCCACCGAGGGCAGACCATCCTCCCCACCCTCGATGCGCCCCATCTCGGCTTCAATTGTGATGCCGAGAGATCTCGCTCGTTCCACAACAGCCTTCACGCGGCGAATATTCTCTCTTTCATCTTCCGTAGATGCATCCACCATAATCGAATCAAAGGGAAGTTCCAAGGCCCGCTCAACGTCCTCGGGCTTTATGCAGTGGTCCAAGTGGACTGCTATCGGGATTGTCGCAGCATGTGCAGCATTGACGACATAGCGAATGAACTCCGCACCCTGGAAATTCATTGTCCAGGGGAACAGCTGGATTATCGCTGCCGAGCGCTGCTGCTCTGCCGCGCGAATGACCGCCATTACGCCATCGGTATTGTAACTGAGCGCGCGTGAGAGGAATTAGTCAAACTGCAAAAACATTTCTCGGCGGAGAGTTGTGATATACCAATTATACGCTCCAACGGCATAATTGTGCAGGTTGGCATGATTCAGCACCTGCCAGGTCAGGTTGCTGGCAGGGTAGTCAAGTTGATAGGCCATGGTTTGCGACCGCTTTACTGCGATGAGTTTATTGTATGAGGATACAGAAAGTCCGATATCATGGCTAAGCGCGATTCTTAAGGGATCAATCCCGCTCGGCTTTTGCCGATCTACAAATTTCTTCGGGGAAACGCCGACATCAAGGACTTCGGGCCGAATCTCCTGCGATTGGCCATTCCATTTTGAGCACCCACTTTCAACATTGACAGTGTGCATGTAGTAAAACATTTGAATAAATCATCGCGAGTGACGCATTTGAGGTTCTCCAAATTTCCACGCCAATGAAGGCTCAATACGGAACAGGATAAGCATTTGATGCGATTGTGTGGCGTATGGAGTACAGCTCAATTGGGGCTACCCAGCATCTAGAAACGTGTCGTACATCCTGCACCTTGCCAAGGCCTTGGTGAAAAGCCTACATATTCCCCATTCCTCTACAGTATCCGCCAACACGTATTCCCGAGATCTTGTTTCTTTTCCTATCTTCATATGCTACCTAGTCGTCCGTGCGTGCTTCATTATCGCCCCAACATCCTTCCTCCCGGGAACACGGTGAGCTTCCTTTTTTGGGAGATTAATACCGAGTCGCAACGGTGGGGTTTCACAAATGATCAAAAATCAGCTCAGAGTTATGCGAGGAGATCGAGCATCTTGGTTACGATGGAAAGGTCATGTGCCCTCCGTAGTGTAGGATAGCTCTCCCATCTCTTTCCTCCTAGCTCCTCTCCTGATCCAATTCGACTCTCTCTGCTCTTCCTTTCTGATCGCTAGCCAGTCGCCTGTTCAATACTTTTCTATCCCTCTTGTCCTCCGCCCAGCTCGAAAGAATAGCATTCATTGCCTCCTATATCATGCAACGTTAAAGGTTCTACCATTTGCCTTTGTTCTTTCTGAATCTGCTTCGAAGATGGGTAAGGGTCATTTCTGTTGAGGCTACCGAAACACCAAGAGAGAGAGAGAGAGAGAGTAGAGAACTCGATTCAGCTGATTGAGGAGAGAGAAGAGAGAAGGAAACCACTGAGGGGCAACCGAGAGCTAGAAAACACCGGGGTCATGTGCCTAACCCTAGGCCATGACTCACGACAATTTCTTGACATGCCTTAGGTCCCGGAGCTTGTCTTGTTTAAACAACCGCGTGAGTCGCCCTGGGGTATAGCCCTGAAGGTCGTCTCACAAACCATGATAACACTAGATGAGTCTAAAATCCGTGAAAATAAGGCCGTGCTGGGGCCGAGATGCATCCGGCTCTAGCCCTCTCACACAGCAGAAGTGCTACTCAGTGTACCCCGGGAAGATATGACCTTGTTCTGCAATATCCCGTGCTAGGACAGCTACTCGCTGGCACCGGAAAAGAGAGAGCAGAGAGTCGATCAGAAGAGAGAAGTAACTGGAGCCCAACAGAGAGAGAGCAATAGAACAGAGCTACGCTACACCTGAGAGGGCACATGACCATCCCTCACAACACCCGGTAGCCCATTAATCTCTTGAGAACTTCTTCCGGGGTGTGCCACTCGGTATCGGTCCGACCCCGAAAGAGAAAACAGTGTGCAGAGCAAGAGGATTCATGATTGATTTGGATGTTAAGTGGACAGTGTCGCATTCCCCCGCCGCCATACCCCATGGATCTTCCCCGTGGGGTTGACTCAACCCCGACCCACCCCCGGATTCCCCCCTTTCGGAGCCAAAAAAAGGCGAATTTATGTTATATAAACGTCCTATTTCCCGACTCTCACTTTCCACCCTCATATCTGACTATACGAATCGTCTCGTCTATCTGCACTGCACATTCTGTCCTATCATCGATGGCTTTGGCTTTGAAGACTTTGGCTGATCACGATGAGTTACCGGGTGACAATCGTCTATCAGCTGCCCAGCAACTCACCACTGAGGAGTTTGCGGCAGCGGAGAGATCTTTGAAGCGAAAGTTGGACCTCCGTCTCCTGTGCTGCGTGTGGGTCATTTTTATCATGAATTACTTGGACCGAGTACGTGTCACCCAAGCAAAGCTCATGAATCCTGACAGCCATGGAGGAGGACTAACCTCCATTCAAGGGGCGTGTGACTGACTCGATTCATCTCTTAGAACAATATATCCGCTGCCAAAGTTGCAGGCATCGCGACTTCACTACATATGTCAAGCACCCAGTATGCTACGTCTGTCGCGATACTGTTTGCTGGCTATGTCTTGATGCAACTCCCGTCCAATATTTTCCTATCACAGCTGCGCCCTTCTGTGTATCTACCAACCGTGATGGCTATTTGGGGGATGCTATCTGCGCTTGTCGGGGTGGTGCATAATTATTCGGGACTTTATGCATTGCGATTTTTGTTAGGCTTCGTAGAAGCGGCCTTTTATCGTAAGTATCGCTACTACCTCTCGCATGAAGCATCGCTGACTTGCTTCTCTTTTTCACGCTGAAACTAGCCGGCGCATTGTTCTTGATATCGTCATGGTATAAACGTGAAGAGATGGGCGTGCGCAGCGCTTTCCTGTTTTCTGGATCCCAGCTTGGCAGCGCATTCTCGGGACTCATCGCCGCCGGCATACAAGATGGATTGAATGGCGCTCGAGGTTTAGAGTCGTGGCGATGGATCTTCATCATCGAGGGCTCTGTCACGGTTTTCGTTGCGATATGCGCCTTTTTGATTTTGCCCGACTACCCCAGCAACACTCGCTGGCTTAGTTCCACGGAGCGAGCAGTTGCGGAATGGCGCCTTCTCGCAGACTCGGGCCAAGTGGATGAAGATGGTTCCAATTGGAGCTACGGCTTTAAGAGGGCCTTTGCTGATTGGCGACTATATTTCTTTGCATTGATCTTCCTGTGCATTCAGGTATCCAGCGCCACCTCCAACTTCTTTCCTTCAGTTGTTCAAACCCTCGGATTTGGCCGGGTCAACACACTGCTTCTTACTGTTCCTCCTTATATGGCTGCCTTGGTTCTTTCCATCGCTAACAATTGGTCCGCCGATCGGCTACGAAACTCCTCATTCCATGTCTGTTGGCCCTTGGTGATGGCGATAATTGGATTTGTGGTTGGGGCCGCTTCGACTAACACAGGCGCTCGCTACTTCGCTATGATCCTCATGGTCGCTGGTGGCCATGGAGCAAATGCGGTTCTTCTAGCCTGGACCCAGAAAACTATGCTGCGACCTCGCGTTAAACGTGCATCAGCGGTTGCTTTTGTCAATGCATTTGGAAATCTTGCCCAGGTAAGGCATTTTAATCCTGAGTGGAGGGCATCACCTTGCTAGCGGGCTTTGATTAACCGCCACTGTCAGATATTCTCATCCTACCTGTATCCAGACGACGGCAGCCCCAGATATATCTTAGCCATGTCAGCGAACTCCGCTTTCTGCTTAGCGGCAATACTGCTATCGCTGTTTATGCGCATGGTTCTCCTCCGAGCCAATAAGCGACTCGATGCCGGAGAGACGACAGTGGGATACGAAATGAAGGCCGAGAGGCAGACAAATATTTCGGGGATCACAGACGAAGAGCAAGCTACTCGCAGGGAAGAGTTCAGATTTATTGCGTGATACTTTTTCTGAGTCCTGCTCCAAGGTATGGAACACAGGTTCTCTCCCCACACACCCGCGCCTTGTGAACAAGCGTCAGGGTGTCTCTGAAACTAGGCATTCCAGACTCGGCTTTCCAGTGGATCTACTAGGTATGGGAGATCAAATTCCCAAACCTCGGAACTTGTTATTCTAAACTTTCTCCTGACTTGAACCTTCAGTCCCGAGGTCATTTTGACCTCAGGATTCTATTAAAACAGTATAAGAGGTAATTCTTAGGCGTTTTGCAGATTTAATCATACTAGGTAATTTTCTACTTTGTATCTAGCGATAAAGACCCTTAAACAACTCCGAGGTCAGAGATTCACGAAGACGACAGTGTTCTCAGCCGCCAGTGGTATTTTGCATGACAGTGCTTCAGGCTGTGGCTTTCCAGTCGACAGCAGTACGCGCAGTATAGGACCGGTGGAGAAACAAGGTGAGGGTTGACGGGTGGACGAGTCTCAACCACGACACAATCATTTCGCTCGGGTCAACTGGTCTTCTTCAAGGTTCTTAGTCAGACCTTGGCTTCCCTGGCAGAAGGACGCGAAAATATTGTCATATAGTATTAATCCCCAGCATCATGTATGTACATAGATGTGTCTGCCCGTCGAAGTTTAGGTAGTTGGTTGAGCCAATCAAACTTGATTATATCATCACCCCTTACTTCCTTTCCCCCCTCATTCCCCTTCACTCTTTCTTCTTTCCTCTTTCCTCTTCAAATATAGAGAATTTGCTTCCATCCCTTCTTCTTGAAATACCACTACTCACTCTTCACGTTATTTACTTCAA